CTAAATACATAAAATTTAAGTGTTATTGCTACAAATAATTTAATATCATGCGCTAAAACTAAAATAAATTGATTTCCAATTCTGTATCTGTGCTGGGCAATAATTATGTATTTTTTTTATATAATTGATTGCATAGCGGAAAGTGCAGTTAACAGTCAAAACTTTTAAACGTAACGTTACGTAAGTTATCTAAATCTACTATTCATACATTTTTGAATTAATTGTTATGATTTAAATTTACGCATACCATTCATTACAAGTCATTACTTAACAATATCATGTTGGATGCGTAGAGCTGAAGATCGAGCTCAGTGGCGTGCCATAGGAGAGGCCTATGTCCAGCAGTGGACGAAAGCAGGCTGAATATGATGATGATGATGATGATCATGTTTGAATCCAAGTGTTGTTACTTTCTTCTAATAAAATAAATAACTGACGTACCAGTAAATGTGTAACATAAATGTATATATACATTATACATAACATATGATTAACTTGACACTAAGCTTTAAGTTATTATAGCATTTTCAATGATAAACTTCGTTAATAGTTCAATTTATTATGACGTAGTGGACTTACCAGCAGTCACAATTAGACCGTCGCGTCGCGCGTCGCTTTGAAGTAACATACCGAGCACTACACGCCTAGGGCGGGTCATGGCTCACACAATATCCCTGCTACTGCGATATGCTCTATAGCCGATCATTTAGCTCGCGACTGCGATACGGCCAGAAGGAAATAGTACTAGGTAATTAAGGCACCCGAGTATGCTGTTGCTTCCTTTGTTCAATCACGGCATTCGGGATCCCAGTCGCTTAAGACGGCTCGTATAATTTTAATATTAAGATATACTTATTCAATTTTGTTATGTTTCAAATCTAAACAATTCAGATTCTTATTATTTATAAAACTAAATAAATATAATAAAAGTGATTTGTTTTCAATTTGTCTATAAAATGTCAAAATACACGCGGAAGAGGTACGAGTAGTTTGGACGGGGAGCCGTTTCTACTATTGCTGGACAAATGATATGCCCACACTATTACCAAGGGAAAGCTGAATTAATATTTTATGTGTTGTCATGGTATTTATTGATTTTTATTATTATTTTCGCTGCTCGATTCAGTTGCATCATTTCAAGTTTATTACATATGTACGAGTAGATACATATGTTCACAATGTACATGAACAACGCTTGGCATAACAAATATCTTGTAAACAACTATTATACACACTAGTTGAAACAAAATAAGAAATACCATGTATTTTCAATATTAAGTTATAGTAAGGTTTGGTGGTCGATAAATGACTAAATCATACTATTTTATTAATTTGATATGCAAAAATATTGAATATAAAATGTTTGTTAGAAAAAAGTATATCAGATTACGATTTCTGTTAAAAAAGCAATTTTGGTAAAAAATACACTTGTGAAAAACGAGGTTACAAAGGGGAAAGGTCGAATGTCTTTTACCTTTTTTTATTTTTCAGCGACCTGCTGAGTCCTTTCCTTTTATATTTGAAAGTGTTATACCGAATAACATATCATGTTAATACTCGTAAGTACTTGAAGTGATTTCGCACAAAAGAGTTAGCCGTTTAAAGAACGCTGTACAATAGTCAAATCAACTCGAATGTCAAAACAAATAAGTGAACTTAAATAGTTTTGACTACTATATTATAAGGTGTTAAACGTGACACTGGCAGAATGGATTGCGTCTGTTAACGCAACTATAAGCCATTATAAAAAAAACTTGTTTGCAAAATAATTAAATACATCGAAAATGTCCTAAACAATTTATCACATAATATATTTTAGCAAAATGAACGTAATGACTAATGATATATGAAATACCTTCCTTATTTAGTTAATATATTAAGCGACCAAAAACTAAGTTCCTTATAGTTTGTTTTGCTTCAAAGTCACAGTGACCTTAAAAGTCAACAATATCCCATTATATCGTGTTATTTACAGGCGCTCTACAATTAACGGAGCAGAACTTCAATAGAAGAATAAAATACACATATACTATTACATGCTTTTATTGGTGAAACTTTAGACGTTCCACCCCTCGATATTTACACATTTTTGCGGATAAAAAGAATATGTGCTATCTATTTAAGAAAGCATTGTAAGCAGTTTTTATTATAAATGACTAAAGCGAATTTGTTACTTTTTCCGTTAAAACAAAAATACTATTAAGTAATTCGTAAGTATCTTAAATAAAATATAAATTATATAAAGTAATACTAATAGCATTCGGTATTCGGCAACACATTGCAGACACTAATGATGTTGATACTAGACGCGAATGTTCAGGATGGAGTACATAGGTATGTTCGCGCTTGTTACGTTCCGCTTGAACCCACTTAGTGCATTGTAGACTCATGCTAAACAGATTCTTGAATTGACTTCAATTGAATCATCTTTAAATTTTTTGTATTTAGTAATAGTTATTTAAAAATGTAGGTAGGGATATATTTGTAGACTTATTTCACACGAGCTCTGCGTTAATCTACGATATCAGACCTCTTATTGAGCCCCATTTATTTATTCTGGCTATACAGGCTTTAATCATTATTTTAATCTTCATCTGTATTTAAATACATATATAAAATGTATGTTGGTTTTATTATAAAAATAACGTAATTTTTTCTGATTAAAGTCTAAGGTATCTTTACTCTCTTTCTCTATTTGCTTCGACTGCGGTGAAACCCAAAGGAGGGTTATGTGTTAGACCTGTATGTATAAATAAATGAATATGTTCGGATATTATGTTTAATAATATCCGAACGCTGTGTGTTCACAGCACCATCTAGTTTCATGGAAAGCTACGAGGCTTGTGTTATGGATACCAGATAGTTGATACACTATACATATATAACTTTAAATACTTACATAATAATTATAAATATAAACACTCATGACTGGAGTACAAACATTCGTGCTCATCGCACAAATGAATGCCCCCAGCGGGACTAGAACCGTAACCGCTGACACAGCAAGTAGGTTCAGTACAATATCCTTATAATATATGTTTCCTTGTAATTTATTTACTACATATTTATATTTATTATATACTAGCGGCTCATCCTCGCTTCGCTCGGGTTCGCCTCTAGAAAAGCACTAACAGATCTCGGGAACCGTTCATTTTTCCGGGATGAAGAGTAACCTGTTGTTTGTCCGGCAATATGACGTATCAGCATGCCAAATTTTACTAAATTATTTATTTATTTTAGTATAAGTTGTTGTGTACTAAGCTGTATAAGTTACTATAGTTTTTTAACTATCCCACGGAAACTCTTTAATTTTCTGGAATGAAAAGTATCTAAGATGTTGCCCGGGGATATAAGGTACCACCATGCAAAATTTCATTTAAATCGGTCCAATATATTCGGAGATTAGCCCGTACAAACAGGAAAACAGACTAACAGCTCGCTCGGGTTCGTCCATACCTACGAATATGTTGTATTATCTCTTTAACCATTTGTCCAAATTGTATGCAGTAAAAGGAAAAAGTCTTTTGTTTTAAACATTTTAGACGATAAATTTACTTATTTTGATAAGAATTCATAATTGTTGATAATATGACCAATAAACATAACGTACCGATTAAAATTATTTTTTTAATATAAAAATCTACTTTTTGTGACTTAAATATAAAAGTTAGACATATGCTGTCGCTGACTTTTTTGTAGGCATTATTAGGCTTTATAACTTTTCTCTAGAACATAATCATATATCTCTCATCGTTAAGGCAGCGTTCGTAAGAAACGTTTTCGTTCGACCGTTTTTTCTCCGACTTACTTTGCAAATCCGACTACCACGATAAAGCCTTTTCATTCTTCGGGTTAATATATAGCCTATGACACTCAGAAAGAACGTGGCTTTCCATTGGTAAAAGAATTATGAAAATCGGTTTAGTAGATCCAGAAATTACCCCCTACAACGTCACAAACTCACAAACCCACAAACTCACAAACTACAAACCCACAAACTCACAAGAAACCCAAGTTCGCAATAAAGTGTTTGATTTGATTTGATTTGAAGATCACAAACTTTACCTCTTTATAACATTAGTATAGATTATAATTACTAAACGGCCTAAACAGATTTTGATTATTCATACGATGTAAGATACGTCTTGATAACGTGAGTGTTACGGATATACCCTATATGGACATCATTAAAAATAAAAATGGTCAATCTTGGGGTATCAATTTGTCTTGAAAAATTGTTTTTACGAAACCCACCTTTTTATTAAAATGAGATTTCAAAGAGGCGATCACAATAATTCATACAACTTATATATTTATAATTAAGGATAATAAATTGTTGTAAAACTTCAAATGTCTAACTGGCCAAAGCTATATAAATTTTAAAAAATCATAAAATTAAAAAAAGTAAAACTCTACTCCTCTACGTAAAAAGCGAAATAAAAAGATGAAAACAAGTTAATGGAGTAAAAAAGTAGGTACCAATTATGCAGATGGAGACATACAATATACACACATATCACAGCAAGGATGAAACATGTATGTCTCCGACTGCATAATACCTACCATAATGTGTACTATTTTACTTCGTCAACTTGTTTTCGTCTTTTTATTTCTTTTTTTACGCTGTCCGGTTTTTTATTTTTATTATTTAATATTTTTTATTGCTCTTGACAGAATTCATAGATAATGAGTTTTTTTTTGTGTATGCTGCTGTGCAAGATTTTAACGATTGTGAACAGATTTTTATATCAATTAAAAAACATTACTCCTAAGGGCAAAGTTATTACTTTGAAAAATGATTTTGTCATCGGTAAACATTTTAGTTAAAAATGAATTGTTAGACATTGTTTTATATTATTTTGTACTAGGAGTACAAAATTAATATATGATATTACATTGACAAAATAAAAAAAAACATACATAGTTATATTTTTATAAGCTTATTAAAAAATATATATAAAATTACAATGTATTACAATAACATTGTGTTAAATACCAAGGCTCCATCATGTTCCACGTGCGGCGGCGACCATCGGACGCTCAGCCGCGGCGACGGAAAAAGAAGACTGGTGCGGGCACGGGCAGCGCGCGGCCCGGCAACGAACCCATGCTGGTAGAAGTGACTCCTGATGGCACGGCTTTAGAAAATGGCCGTCGTGTACGCATCACAGATGTTATTGAGGTAGGCATTCGTGATTCAGCACAACTTGCTAAAATGACGTCAATAATACCTACTCGACGACACCAAACGGGAACTGATGCTGACTGCAATAAATATTTACTATAGCATACATATATGTATATTTTTTAACTGCCTCGGTGGTGTAGTGGCTAGCATGTACGGCTGCACACCCGGAGGTCCTGGGTTCGAGTCCCGGGTCGGGCCAAGTTTAGTTATTGAGTCTTCCTGTATAGTAAGTCTCAGTAACAGCCCGGAGTTGGGAAGTTGGCGGTGTTTCACCCCCGTGCCTCGGAGAGCACGTAAAGCCGTCGGTCCTGCGCCTTAACTCTCACCGGTCGTGTCGAGTGGTCGTCCCACCGGAGTATGAGAGTGATAGGAATAGAGAGTGCACTTGTGTCTGCGCGTACACTTGAGCACTATAATATCTCCTGCGCAGTTGGCTAATCTCATTGAGATTGGCCGCCGTGGCCGGAATCGGCTAGGAGAACATCATCATGTATATTTATATATTGCTCGAAAGTGCAAATCGTGACTTTTATATCTCCTTAAAAGCTTCAACGTAATATAATATACATCTATAAAAGAACAAAATGAAATGAATATTTTATTATAATGGTTTTATTTTAACCTGCAAATGTCACTTTTCTACATATTTTTATTTCTATTTAGGACTATTATAAAATCAAACAATTCAGTGTAGTAATAAAAATTCTCATAATATGTATGTATTAAATAAGTACTGCCCCAAAAGAGTGTCTAGCCGAAATCACGTGAACAATTCGTATCAAAGAAAAATGTAGCAAAGCGCAATGCAGTAAATCTTAAGCTGAAACCTACACTGGAATTAATCAATATAGACTTAATATTGAAAAAATTTAAATTTTACCATTACAAGGTATTTATATTAAACTAGCATTGCCCGCGGCTCCGCCCGCGTTCAGATGACCCAAATTCTTAGGTTTTACATATTAGTATACTCTTACATTGCAGTTTTTGTATTTTTTCTCAGAAATGAGACATTTTCCCGCTGTAATAAGTATCCTATATGTTGACTCTGATAACCAGCTATCACCATACCAAATTTCATCAGAATAATTTTTTTCATTCCCCTTCTGTGGTTTTTCTGTGATGCGGTAACAAACAGACAGACAGACAAAAATTCTTAAAACTATATATTCGGCCTCTGTATCGATAATAATGTTTATTTCAATAAGTTTTTCAAAAACTATTTAATGTACAGATTCGGCTTAGTTACAATTTTATTATATGTATAGATGTACATATATTATAGTTATACATAATATACCTTTTTTTTTTTTAACGTTGGGAAATGCATTTACGCACGACGTGTGGGACTCACCGGCGTAATACAGCCAGTACTACCCACTAAAACATAACAAAACCTTCCCCCGTCATAATGGGGCGTCGCAGGATCGCTTATGCATTCAACTACGACGCCCCGACGGCAGGTCTGCCAAAGCAGACCACCACAACCATGGGGTTGCTCCAAGGTCCACTCTGCTATCAGAGAAGTACCAGGAGCAACCCGCAAGGTACACCGCCCCCCGAAGAGGGCCACCTCCCACCGCCCACCGAAGTGGGCAACCTCCCTGTGCGTTTCTTAGCTTCGCTACTACTACTGAGCCCCCCCACCACGACAAGGTGAACGCACGTTGGGGGGGATACATAATATACCTATACGTACATATGTGAGTTGTGACATGTGTGAAACACAGTCAAGGTGTAAAGTTCCACACATATTTGGTGTAAATTTCCATATTAAAACCATTTTATCATACGCTCCGGGAATATAAAGCTGGATATCATCTGCAACCTCATTTCTGTATCTAATAAAGTATACGTGTATGGCTAAAGTTTATTATGTTATCTTGATGCTAATTTGACAAAATAAAGTTTATGCATTTGAAGTACTTATATTTTATGTAAATACTAAACAATGTATTTCAAATGCACTTTATGCAGTTAATATGTTATATGATGTATTAAAAAATAATCTCATAATAATAAAATACTATTTTCATTTTCTTTACTAAAAATATTTTCACCCAATCACATTTGAATTTCAATAGACATGTGAAATACACGTTAGTATTCGAATATACAATCAATTTTCTCAATTGGAAGCTGTGCTGTGAATGTCGACCAACATTTCCGTAGGTACCTACTGAAATATATTACACAATTAACATTTTACAGACAAAATCGTGTTTTTTGAACTAATTACAGATTAATATTATTCAATAATGAATTCTTTAATTAAGATTGTGCACGTGATCAATCCTTTAATAAAAAAAATATTCATCGCAAAAACCAAAATCTATTTAATAAAAATCTTAATTTGATTCATTTAGTCTCTCAAATGGCCTAAGCTTTTATAATAGGGAGAAGCGAAAAGTATTTGAAAATTACTGTTCTAAACGGGTCAAATGGGGGTTGAAAGTCTCTAATTTTGACATTAAGAATATTAAAATCGATGTTTATGTTAATTGTAAAGAGTTTTTTTTTCTCTTTATAGTATTTTAAATTAATCAACAATAACTGGCGAATTGATAATATGAATAAAGAGAGAAGATATGTGCGAAGTGCGAACTCGTATTTTTTTATAAAGACAATATTATACATTTTATAGGCTTTATTTTGGCATGCTCAATGCGAGTTACATAAGAAGTAATATTATTTTATGTTAAAAAAGTAAATTGTTATTATCTGTGAAATCTATACCTGCTAATAAATGGAGAGCCGATTTTTTTGTTCGTTTATACTGCGATAACTACTGAACCGATCGGAATAATACACCATATGATGCAGCGTGTTTCAGAGAAGGTTTTAGTATATGATATGTTGGTGATTAATGTACTATGCGGGCGGAGCCGCAGGAAAACGCTAGTGAATATTAATCCCTCCACGACCGCGGACACGCCGGCGTGTCAGTTAACAAAAGATTTCTTAGAAATTTAATTAATTTCTTAGAAAATTACCTGGAGGTGTTAATAAAATAACAAATACTTCTTTATTTGAGTCTCGACCTAGATTTACTGAATTAATTATGCACATAGCTAATCAATTTTTTTTAATCTAGATCGGTTCTGGGAATGGTACAGCATTGCAGTTGTATGGGCCTTCCATCCAGGCACGTCATTGCGTGGTCGCAACGGCGGACGGCGGCGGGTACACTGTTACACCGATACATGCAGACGCACATGTTTACGTTAACGGGTGCAGGATAATGCATTCACAGAGGTTGCAGGTACGAAAATGGCCCAAAAACTAATTACTATATTAATTATACTTTTTTTTTGTATTTATAGGCATAATAACGTGTCTTAGTAAATCTATTTAATATTTATATCGATCATTTAAGTATATATATTATACATATATATTTCATATAGGGTTAAAATTATATAAACGTAGAAAAGAGATTGTTATCATTAAAGCTCCATGAAAATTTATAAATATCAATTTTGTTAACATCGTCTTTCTTCAGGTCTCAAACATTTATTTGCACAATGTTTTATGTTTGATGCTATCTTCTTGTTTGACCGTATTAAAATTCAACATGACCTTTTCATGATGATTTGTTTCATATTTCATAATCTGAGGATCCTTTTGAATATAAAATTATATGTTTCTAAATAACTTATTTATTAATGCTCAATTTTTAATAATTAAAACATCATCATTCACAATGGCTTTGTTTTGACTAATCCACGTGCAGTTAGTTATGCACTTGTTATTATTTAGCTCTGGTAGAACTGAAAATATTGAACAGTTAAATTTTGTGATTATTACGTATTTCTTACCGTTCAATCTAATAACCTCAATTGGAGAATTTCATTTAATATCTTATGTGAGTCTAACCACGCTAAAGTTCTAGCTGTCTGATGAAATATTAACGAGACATGCGCACCGCAGGCTCCCGTGGCTTGTAAACATTTACACAGGCTTCACGTTCCTTTTTGTCGCCTTTTCAATGCGAACCAATTTCCTTTAGCTATTCAACTTATCATGAGCATTTTCTTTCTTAAAAAATTTACCGATATAGTGAATTGCGCATCTAAAATATAGTATTAACTGTACTAACTGATATTAATTAACATTTATCACTTTTTTTGTCTTATTAAAAATGTGTAGGTAATATAATATTTAGATTATATAACATGAAAATTTATTAAGACATTCTTTATTTTTGTTCATATTATATCTACCATGTTCCCGTAAGCCAGCCAGCGCTAAGTAATGATATTTTTATGTCAGAAATTTAGTTTTCAGTTCTTTCGGGATGCCTATAGTATATATGGGATACCATAGTTTCATTTGGGATACCATAGTTTCATTTGGGATAGCATTGAATATAAACAATTATTTTTTTATCACAGCACGGTTGTTTGTTAAAATTCGGCCGAGTATCAACTTTCCGCTTCGTGGATCCTGCGCAAGAAAACCTTATGAACCGGAATCTTTCACAGTCCCAACACTTTGGCTCGGGCTCCATCTACGACAGGTGAACAAAATTATATGCCTTTATGATAAATATATGCTGTGAATAGATCTTCAATATTCCTTAATTAGAAATATATAGCTATTTTTTTTAATATGTAGCTTTTTCTCTATACTTAGAATCAAAACCTAGACTAGTCTAGATCACACAACACTCCTAGCCTTATTCTTAATTTACTTATTTTCAATTTAAACTATTACATCACTGTATCGACGCTTTCCTATTCACTTTTTAATGTTGTGTTCGATTATGTTGTTCATGTATCATCGTTGTTTTATTTTCTTTCGTTGCATGTGTGTCACTGGCTCACCGACATGCGCTTGTGTATTGCCATTGTTAGATCGCCGTCTGGTGAAAACAGCGGGGCGATGTCGCCGAATTCTATGGTCTCGCACCAGCCCGACCCGCTAGACCCGAACGCGAACGACGCAGAGTACCCTAGAACCATTAGCCCCGTATCCCACGACACTTACGGCTATAACGCGAACGACCCACCTTACAACAATAACACGCTTAAACTAGACAACGAATCGCTCATGATGTCGCAACATCTGAACGATTCGAAGGACGACTATATACGAGATGAGCACTCGAGTTCTGTATACAACGAGCAGGACCAAAGCGCGTCGGTCAATCGCACCCACAACGCTCAGTACAAAGACAACTATGAAACTACCTTCGATTTGGATGGCAACGTTGAGACAAAGAGCATATGTAGCGCTAAGAGTGGAGGATCGGGTCAAGATAACAGGTATGGATTTTTAAGTATATATTTTTTTGTATATAAATGTTTTATTCTATTATGTTGTGTTTGAAACTTGTAGATGTTGAATGTTATTGTTCATTGTTTAACTTGTTTGCTATTATCGTTGGGATCTATGTACTAAAGCTAGATACACGCCTGTATTTGCTCTTATTTAAATTACATATTTAAGAAAAAATAATATAAACATTATATATTACACTAGCATTGCCCGTGGCTCCGCCCGCGTTCAGATGACCAAAAACCAAATTCTTAGGTTTTACATACTCTTACATTGCAGTTTTTGTATTTTTTCTCAGAAATGAGACATTTTCCCGCGGTAAAAAGTATCCTATATGTTGACCCGGATAACCAGCTATCACCATACCAAATTTCATCAAAATTCCTCCAGTGGTTTTTCTGTGATGCGGTAACAGATAGACAGACAAAAATTCTAAAAACTATAGATTCGGCCTCTGTATCTATAATAATGTCTATTTCAATAAGATTCTTCAAAAAATATTTAATGTACAGATTCGGCTCAGTTACAATTTTATTATATGCTTAGATTAATTTTAGGCGCATGTTTCCGTATATGTTAAATAATATGATCTGCTGTATTTAATTTCCAAGTACGTATTTTGTGTGTGCTTAATTAAGGCATATAGTCGGTTTTTAGAATACGTAATAAATTATATAATATTTAATACTTTCTTAAATTTACGCGAATATTTGACATTTTAAATAAAACTATCTTTTCGGATTATTTCGCGGATTTATTTTGATTTTTGGTTCCCGACGTTTCGAATGCTTTACAGCATCCATGGTCACGGAAGAGACTGAGATATGGACTAAGCAGATGATAATAATCTAATTTTTGGTAGTAATATGATCTGACAAGAAATCTAACATTATCACTCCATAAATATATACATACATGATAACACAAATGTACTACATACAGTGTAATTCAATCTAAATATGGAGTAGGAACATCAGTGTCGGATCTTTCAGCTGTCACTTCAAAAGTACGATTTGCAAAGAGAAAACAATTTGTTTGAATGACGTTTTTCTTTATATTAATCAAAAATTGGTTATTTATGCAAAGAAACTTTCTATGCAATCTATAATTTTAAGTAATAGTTAACAGATGTTTGAAGAGGCATGTACAGTAATACTTTCTTATATTAATGCGAATATTTGACATTTTAAATGAATCTATTATTTTGGGTTTTTTTCGCGGATTTATTTTAATTTTTTATCCCGTCAACCAAAAATCAAATAATAATAATTCCGTGAAAATTCCAAGAAAGACCAAAAGTTTTATTTTAAATAGTATATATAATGTTAGGAGCGCGATGAGCTCTCGAGGCCAGGAGGCGATACTGCCGGCGGTGCTCGAGTTCCCCGAGGCGGGGCAGGCGCAGTTCCTGGCGGCCGTCATCACGCGCCTCGACCCGCACGCGCCCGCCTTCAAACTCGCGCCCGTCTACACGCTATATCTCTGCGCTAGGTGAGTGCTGTACAGGTACTTGTACTAACGTGACATTTTATCTAAGTTACTTTTCAAAATAAATAATATAAGACTATTTGGATGTTAGATTTGAGGTGGACTTGAATAGATCTTTTCTATAAACAAGTTCACCTTGCCCAAGTTAATCTTTGTATTGTTAGTATATTTTAATATTGTGATAGTCAATCAATAGACTCGCTATTATAATTTAAATTAAAAAAAGCACTTTTCCTCTAAAAACATAAGTTCGAAGAATTATATTTATAAACGCTTGTGTTCCAGATACCGTGCGTCTACCCACTACCGGCCGGAACTGACGCCGACGGAGCGCGCGCACAAGCTCACGGCGTTCCTGCATCACGTCGCGACACTCATACACGCAACTGTGCAGGTAAACCGGAAATTTTAAAACACTATTATTGTACTAGCATTTCTCCCGGGTGCATCCGTGGATATGAATAATTCCGTAATACATTGTTTTCACGTAACTCTATCCGTTTTACGCATGGGCTTTATTTTTTTCGACATCTTCAACAATGATTGTCATACTTCAGCCAATTTACACCAAACCTTTCTAAATTATACACTTAAAACTTCCTCATGAATGACTCCGTTAATTTGTGAAAACCGTATTAAAATCTGGTCGGTAGAGTTTGGAGTTGATCGCGTTCAGACAGACAGACGAGGCGAGGGAACTTTTGTTTTATGATATATAGTAATAATTCACATGGAATTTTAAATCTTGTACCTTTTGAAAGGAGATGGCGTCATCGAACATTTCTAATTATTACGCTGTTTTAAAAATTTGCATACGGAGCAAATTGAAACAAAATGACGCGTAGAGCTATATTTCTTTTATATACCGTCACTACGATTAATATGTTTTTTGTGTTCTTAGGAGAGGTGCACAGACTCGGCTGCGCAAGCATTTTGGATGGCTAATGCTAGTGAACTACTACATTTTTTAAAATTTGATCGACATATATCATCATTTTCGACGCAAGCACAGGATTTACTACCAAAAACCGTTCAAAACGCTTTCAGGTAAGAACTAAATAATATTTATAAATATAATCATGTTGGGAACTTTTAGTAAGATTAGACACGTAATTTTTTTTAATACATAATTATTTGTGTAGACTCAATGTATTTGCTATAGACATGACCAAACAAAGGAGTGAGCTTCTACTGCGACGTAACCAATCTATAGAGTACCCGAATTAAGCAAAATATTACTAGCTCGATTATTTATCTGCTCGAATTGTGTTCCAGCAACTTAGTGACATGCTTCCAAGAGGAGTTGTCCCGTGCGCTGGCGGAGCTGAGCAACCCGCACGCGGCGGACGCGACGGACGCGACGGCGCCCACGCTGCAGGCGCTGGCCGCCGCCATGGTGCTGCTGCGCCGCTGCCGCGTCAACGCCGCCCTCACTATACAGCTCTTCTCGCACCTCTTCCATTATATTAATGCTTGTTGTTTTAATAAGGTACCTTGCATTTTCTGTATGCTTGTGCTATTGAGTTGTTATTGCGTGATTGCAATATTTATTTTGTACTTGTTTGGTTTTGTTTTAATTGATCTTCAAAATAAATTCTTAGCTAAATTAAAAAAATATGATATTCAATTTAAACGATTATTATATTTACTATTACTTTGTATTTGATTACGATTAAAATTAAAAAAAACACTATGGGTGTCCTACTTTGTACGTAATAAGGGTAAAGTAAAAAATCATTCTCAGCTGCCACGCCTAAAAACTATAAATCTTAAAAAATAAAAACAATGAACATTGCTCTAAGACATTGATAAATTATTTAATATATTTATTTATAGATATGGTATTATCAATATATTTCCATATATATGTTGATAATACCAAAAATGAAATGAAATATATCCGACAGTTGGTAACGGAAGCGGGGTGCGTGAGCGCGCGGTGGGGCAGCGCGCTGTCGGCGCGCCTCGCGCTGCTAGCGGCGTGGGCCGAGCGCCAGGGGCTGGAGCTGGCTGCAGACTGCCATCTCGCTCGCACGCATCAGGCTGGTGAGTTGATGATTTTTTTACAATAGATATTGCTATCTCGCTCGCACTGGCTCTAGGAATCAGGTTCTAGGATGCACCCAAGCGAAGCGGGTTTGGGTCACTAGTAAGAATATAATCTTTGTTTGCAAATCTTACTGAATTTAATTTTTTTATATTTACATTTGCAGCGCGCCTGATCTCGGGCACGTACCGCACGGCGGAGGAGGTGTGCGGCGCGCTGGGCGCGTGCTTCAAGCTCAACTCGGTGCAGGTGCGCGCGCTGCTGGCGCCGCTGCTGCCGCCCGACCTGGTGGACGCGGCCGCCGCGCACGCGCGCGCGCGCGCTGACGAGCTGTATCGCGCCGATGGACGCGAGGTGCGCGCTATACTATTACAATATAATATGTATTATAATTTATAATAGATATTACCTGTTTAGAAGTTTTGTCGTTAGTTTGTTTCTTTAGTCCAAAGTAAGTTTTTTATGTACATATATCACACTAAATGACACTTTTAAAAAAAATATAAAGAAATCGTCACAACAGTCTAATATTTTTCGATACCTATTTGATAGTTATTTATTACTATATTAAAGCCAACTGCGAAAAAAAAGACGTGCTTAATTGCGATGTGCGTTATTTGTCTGTATGTTGTATGATATTTTCGTCAATTGAAAATATACGACCGATATTCATGATTCTTTAATAATTAAGATTTTATATTGCTATGTGTTAGTTTTATTAATATAACTTCCAGATATTCTAATTCTAATAAAGAAAAGCTAAAGTAATTTTGTGATCAATGAACTTCGACTCAGATAACACTAGAGGAGAGCGTGTGGCTGGGCGCGGCGCTGCTGATCCCGGGCGACGGGTTCAGCCCGGAGGTGGTGCGCGGCGTGCCGCCCGGCCTGGCCGAGTTCGTGGCGCCGCTGCAGCGCGGCGGCCTGTGCCGCCTGGCGCACCAGCCGCACGCGCGCGGCGAGTGGACCGTGTACATGCACGCGCACGCGCCCGCGCCCGCCGCGCCCGACGCGCACCCGCGCCTGCAGCTCGTGCAGCTGCACAAGAACTCCAACGGGATGGGACTCAGCATTGTTGCCGCTAAGGTTTGTACCCATATTGTATTTATATATAGCTAATCAGTTATAGTATAGTAGTAGTATGTTGAACTTAATCGTTAAAGATAGCGCTAAAGTGACTTATGTCATCGTGACAATAAAATTTCTGTATCTGTCACGTCATTTCGTTCAAGTGGAGTGCGCTCATAAAGAATGATAATTACAAAACTTTTTTCAAATTCAATGGTAAAACAGTCAGCTCTAAGGCCATCATGTCGATTTTTCTTTATATTGAGATTAGCCGGTCTCCCTAAGAGACTGGTATGGCATTCTGCCAGTGAAATGATAGTCTCATTCAGAGAGGATGAGAGAGTTTAGTTTTCTCCGAGATGCTTTCTACGAGGAACAACTTAACTTTGTACCGTCAAAATAATTTCGTCCTCTCTAAAATAAAAATTAGAATATGTCCAATAATGTCGACGTTCATGTATATATTATCACTATCCACACAGGGCGCAGGGCAAAGCAAGCTGGGTATATACATAAAGTCGGTGGTGCCGGGCGGCGCGGCGGCGGCGGACGGGCGCCTGGCCGCCGGCGACCAGCTGCTGTCCGTGGACGGGCACTCGCTCGTGGGCATCACGCAGGAAAAGGTCACCACTAATTGATATATATAATAATAAATAATAGTAAATGTTGTGACATTACACACAGCACCATCTAGTTCCATGCTAAGCTACGAGGCTTGTGTTATGGATACTAGGTAGTTGATACACTACACATATATAACTTTAAATACATACATAATATTATTATATAATATAAATATATACACCCGACTGGAGTACAAACATTTGTGCTCATTAAGTCATTACACGAACGAATGCCCCCAGTGGGACTCGAACCCGCGACCGCTGACACAGCACGTAGGGTCACTGCAAACTGAGCCAAACGTAACATCAAATCATTTATATCACACTCTTGAGAGTGTTGTCAAACCTCTTTCGAATATTACGATTTTATTTTACATTACCTCTGACAAAGACGAAATATCGTAATTACAAGTAGCATTTTTAAGAGAATCTAATTGACTTCCGAAAAATGTGTAAAAGTGTACTCTATCTTCATTAAGCCAGCATACAGGACAATGTCCTGATCTTTGGGATGCCAATATCTTGCATGACATTAAAAGGGCACAATAGTCGTTATTTAAGTTATTACTATTTATTATTTTTTATGATAATTATAATGGAAATATTTTTAACTTTTGAAAGAGTTAAGACCAATAAATCAAACAATAACATATGAAACTAAATACTCATTTAAGATGTTTTAAATAAAAAAATATTAATTCACAATCATTTAATTAATTACTGTTATGTTGCGTAGGCTGCAGAATACTTAGTCCGCACGGGACCGACGGTAACGCTAGAAGTGGCGAAACAAGGCGCGGTGTTGCACGGGCTGGCGACCCTCCTGCATCAGCCTACGTATAATCAACAACAAAGTAAACTTCTACTATATAATTTATATTTATGATATATTCTGATATTAATTTTATTATATAATAGAAATAGCAAAACCAATACTTAACTTCCTCGAATTTGGAGTTTTAATATACATAACATTAGATACAATTTTAGTCAATGAGAATTGTCAAATTTTCAATTAAAAATAATAAAAATATAAATATTAATAAAAAATAGTAATGATAACGAAAACGTGCCTTTAATACAATTTTCTTAGATGACGAAGTACAATACGAAGACCGCTCGCGACGTAATTCTGGAACATTCATAAATCCACATCCAGCGTTGTTGAAGCCGACGTCGCCTCTCACTGAACTCGTCACTGCAGGCAAATAATGTTGAAAAATTGTTATTGTTTATTTTTTGCGACTTTTTTATTTTCGGCGTTGATTCGTCTTCTTATTTTGTTTTATTTTTTCTTTGTTTAAAAAATTGTGGTCATCTTGATGTGGTTCTTTTCTGCTTCTTTCCTTTTATGAATCTATCTCGTGAGTGGTTTTAAAGTTTCTCTAATTGCAGGTTATGGCCGGCATTATCGAAATCGTCTCTTAAGAGATGAAACATCCGAATCTAGCACGGATGATACTGAAGACTGTCAACCTCACTATCACGGTTCCATTCCTAAACTCATTATTACTTTAGATCGAGAGAATAATCAGCTACGAGAAGATCACTCTCCGGACACGCCGGGCTGCCCGTTAGAGCTCAAATCCGGGCCACCTCAGCATCAGATACCGATTTTCACATTTACATGTGAAGATTTCGACGCTCAACAGACTAGCGATACCCTTTCACAAGATACTTACGAGATCCAAGAACCTCCCCCGTTGCCCGACCCGCCGGCCAACTACGACCAGTCCAGTGAAAGTGGTGAAACTATTTGTTTGCCACCAGAAATGAAACCGATTGACACTAAACTAACTTTGGACCTGTTCAATTCTCGATCTAAAGACGAGGAGTACAGACGCAGGTGCACGGCGGTGGACGAGTGCGTGAGTGCCTGTGAGTGTTGCCGCACGCCTCAGCCGGAAGCGCAACAAATACCTTTTATAGATGAACCTAATTCTGAACCACTGATATTCGAGAATGACTGTTTTCACAGTAAAGTGGCCACTCCTAAAATAAGAAGAATACTCCCCTCTCTTTCATTAGATTTGACGGATAACAAAAAACCGGAAACGGCTGATGCTACCTGTCAAACTCCTAACTCGCCTTTAGAACCCGATACGAAACCTCGCATTGTAGAATTTACAAAAAAAGTCGATTTAAGTCTTAACTTGAGACGAGAATCTAAAGACATTCAAAATATACAGTGTCGACTGAAAAAAACTTTGTATTCAATGTCAAAATCACTTTCGAGTAAATCAGATGATACAGATGGTCCGTCCATATCGACTTCGGATTCTTTCGATGAAGAATTCACAGACGTGGCTCCATGCAGAAAGGCCTCGCATGCAGAAGGTGAAGTTAATCAGATATTAGATAACGTGGCAAAAAAATCATGGAAATCACCAGACGAATATAGGCCTGCCTTTGGGAAAGTTAAAGCTTTAACTAAACATTTTAATCAAATTAATCTTAGATATTGTGCGAAAAGTTACAAACGCAACTGCAGGTCGAGTCCTAATCTTAGCTCTGGAGCAAATCTAGAACCCCTAATAATTAAGGAACAACTACCTGCGAGCGCTAGTTTAGCGGATATTCAGTATGAATTTGAAAAAACTGATACTGATGACGTTAAAACTGACAAAATGTCCGAAGATGAAGTGAAAAGTATTCTCATACAGCTTGAAGATTGGTCAAAGTTCGGTTCTCGCGGCAGTGAAGACACTTTGGCTCAAGGCAACGAATTCGAGCTGCCCAATCTTCCATCGGAAGATCACACCGAAACAAACGTTTCAACAACGGGCAGTTTTATATTCAATGAAATTATAGACAAAAAACCGAAAATAATTACACTGGAGAACATAAAAGTGAAATATACTCAGTCCAGCATTAACCCTGAAAAGCCTAAATGTGTAGAATCGTTAATTAAAAGCGAGAGCTTAGACGAATTGAGTGGGCTGCGATCTACGAGTAATAAGAGAATGGAGCGGAGACATGTATCTTCGACGGACGTGTGCCCGCGGCGCAGCTGCCCCGACGTGCGCGCCGCGGCGCCCCACCCCACGTGTAAGCCGACTCTCACACCGAGCATGAAATAGGTGTGTTATACACGCACGGCTTGTCGATTTTTGGTTTCGTTTATGATTTATCATTATAGGAGCATGTGTTGCAGACGTACCTTTCTTGTATGGCGAAGCCTTTATTATTGATTATGTTGGTTATCATTTTGTATATACGTTATTATTTACGTTATTGTTTCGTTATTTAAGATCGTTGCACGTTATGTTTCTACTTTTAGGTACACATCTTTATTATAATTTTGTAATCCAGCACCTTTTGTATAGGACACACAAATTATGTATAAATTTATAAGTTACTATTATATATTTTTTTTATTTTGTAAAAAAAAACTACGTAGAAATATCAAATGTATTATAGGTGTATGTAATACGTGATTTTTTTTTTACTGTTCTTATGTCTTCGCTTATTAGCTAACACATTAGAGCAGTATCACAAATGAAACAGTATTAAAAAACAAAATTATTTTTCACGTATGTACTATCAATATATGGTTGATTATTTTGTATGTATATGTGGTTTTAAAATAGTATGTCTGACGCAGGGACGGGCGCCGCGGCGGGCGAGGGCGCGGGCGCGGGCGGGGGCGCGGGCGCGCGGCGCGCGTCGGAGCGCGACCTGCCGGCGCGGCTGGCGGCCGAGCCCGTGAAGCCCAGCAAGAGCACGCCGGCGCTGCACCACGCGCACGCGCCGCCGCCCTCCCCGCACCACGCCGCCGCACTCTCGCCGCAATCCCAGACCTCTCTTATATCAAGGTAGCATTATTTTACTAATACTTACAATATTTTCTATTTACTTACTCTTCTGCGGATATTTCTTGTGCAATGCGGGCTTTTTGGGATTTGAAAGCTCGCTTACCTAATGTAAATTTTCATTTCATTGGGTTCCGTGTCACGTTTCTGTGATGTTTTGACAGTCTCGCCTTCAAATATCTTGGAAACGTGATACTTTAGGGCCATTGTCTAGCATTTATCATTTATTTAATTGCCACAAAGATTCTTATCTGCTTTTCATGTATTGTATTGAAAACGTTAGTTATTTAAAATGCGAAATCACAAATCAGACTGAATATTTTTTTTATAATGAAAACTTGTAAAAGACCTTAAATTGATACATAAATAAATAACTCTCAATGTTTTGTTTAGAGTTTTAAATAATTTAAATTAGATTAATTCCTAAGATAGCTAGCTAGAGAGCAAACACATAAAATTTAAATGAAATTTTTACAGCATGAACATGTCGAAGTTGAGGGGAGGTGCAGCCGGCATGGCGCCGAGCAAATCGCACAGCAGCCACAACCTCTCGGCGCCGAACGATCTGTTCTACCAAAACCTGTCGTCTGTGCACGCTCAACAGCACCCGTTGCAAGACAGGTGTGTACCTACAACTTATGTATACATTGATGATATATAAAGTATTATTAAGCTAAAGGAAATCAATATAGAAAAAAATAATTCATTCATTATTGCAATAGACTTTTATGAGTACTTTTAAATCGTTCCCTTTTAGTTTAAATTTGAATAATATTATATAAAAAAAATAATTATATTTCATTAAATGAAACTTAGTAGTTAGCTTTTTATTAGTTCCCAGAACAGTTATATACCATATAGTGTATATACTGTGCTAGTATTATGCGGAATTCGCATCAATGAAACCGCAATTGCATTGGTATAATTAATTTTTAAAATTTTACTATGTTTATGAACAAATTTTTATATGCAAGTTACTGCAATTTATATTTCAAAACAAACACTGTAGTAGAAATGGTTATAAAATAACTTATTCATTTTTAGATGGTCATCGCTTCGTAGCTCAACAGGAAGCGGTCGACCCCAATCTGCACACTTCTCCGCGACCTCGCCCGAACAGCTTCCGGATGGTACTAACACGTTGCCACATCAGGTAAGTCTATGGGCAATACACTTTATTTAAGACGTTATGTATTACTTGGGTTCTAAAAAAATAACCAAAATCATAAAAATTTTAGGTTAACCAAGCAAATGCCGCCAACGCTCGAGCCGCTAAATTGGCAGAGATGTCTGAAGAAGTTACTAGGCGACAACAACAACAACAGCAACAACAACAAATGTATCAACATCATCATCAGCAACAGCAACAGTTACAACAACAGCAACAAATGCAACAACATCAGTTACAACAACAACAATTACAACAGCAACAAATACAACAATACCAGCAGCAGCAACAACTTCAACAGAAGACAAACAACTACCCAAACCAGCAGATGCACGTGCATGCGAACATGCAGCCGGGCCAAGGCATGCACATGCACAGCCCGCAAAGCCAGCATGTGCACGCGCAGTACACGCCCCAGATGCCACAAATGCACGTCAACATGCACACGCAGTACTCGCCCGCGCCGCAGCATATGCAGCCACAGAACAATCAAATGTACCAGAATCACGCTCAGTCTCAAAGGTATCTAATCAGTTGCTTATATATTTTTATTTTTATTATTTACGTACTAAAATAAATTGTCATTTTGATAGGAGCTAACTTGACTCACTGAAGATTCGAGTCCTGAGTCAGCTAAAATGTTTATTGTGTTATGTTCGTTAGTTGGTAGTGCTACGCCCATATGGCGAAATACGACGTGTCACTTCGGTTACTATACTTAATCTATTTCCGATCGTATATTTCTCATTCCATCAACTATGTACGAGAGAACAGAAAATGCTTGTATTACTCATACACCTCTATTATAATAGGAATAAGCATAACACAACAGAGATACTGTTATCTCTGCTAATCTTATAAAAATTGGCCGCCGATTAAATTCTATATGTTAACAACAATAGACAATACACATATAAAATACAATAGACAACAATAGAATAAAAGGTGATTTCTGAAAATATTTAAAAACTATCCAGTAACAGTGTATGTTATAGAAAGAAAAAAAAAATAGAAATGGGATTATAGCCAATACCCATCTGTCACCTATATGTAATATACATATATTCATTTTTGTTTCATTAGTATTATTTTACATTAAAACGTATTTTTAAAAAGAAATAATTGAAATAGTAACAAATGGCACCCAACTTTTATTCTGGGAACATTTATATATTTCGATATTTTAAATTTCAATTCGTTTGATTAAATGAGTTAGTATTACAATAGATATTCATATTATAATTTTATCATTATCATAGATACGATTGGTACCCGCCCGGGCCGCCGTCACCGCAGCGCAGCCAGCCACCTGTTGCTCCTAAACCTATCTCGCAGGTACGTTATAATATTTTTATTCACAAAATTCATGCTTTTAAGTGTATTTATTCACTAAATTCATACTTTTACTAAGAGTGAGGGGTGGGGGGGGGGGGGGAGCTTTAAAAAAAGGGTTGAAAAGGAATACGGTCTTGCGATGTAATAGTATGAAGTAACTAAAACATTTGTTTACAGCCTACAAGAAAATCTGAAACAGAGGCCGAAGATCTCTACCAGCAGTCACAACAGCCGCAGCAGCAAGCTTCAACTGTACAGCCTGATGATGGTAATTGTTTTAATCGTTTTGTTATATTCATAATACAATAATAGATATAAATAAAGAAATCTAATAATTACAAATTATAAGCAAATATAATGCTATCTCTCTTTCAAGGGGAAGAGAAGTAACGTTTAAAAAATACAAAAGAATTTAAATTTAAGAAGAACTATTTTTATTCATATTTTCTCTTCAAAAAATTTATATTAACGACTAATACAAAATATCAAAATAAAACTTTAAAGAAAGTAAACGATATGTATGGCAAAATTGAGAATAGTAGCATAAACAGAGAATCACGCTACTATATTTGATTTTGACATTGTTTTGGCGTGTATATAATGGTGTCGTCTGTTAGAGCGGTACGTGGCGAGCGCGCTGGAGCCGCCGGCGGTGTCGGTGTACCCGGTGGGCGCGCCGGCCGCGCGCGCGCTCGCGCCGCACAACCCCTGGCAGCGCGAGGAGCGCGAGCGCCAGGCCGAGGCGCGCCGCCAGGCCAACCGGGCGCGCAGGTGTGTATTTGTCATATAATATAAATAAATATATATGTCGGGACATTAGCACACAGCACCATCTAGTTCTATGGTAGCTACGAGGCTTGTGCTATGGATACCAGATATATCACACACATACATATATAACTTTAAATACATTGACATTATAAATATATACACCCATAACTCGAGTACTAACATTCGTAATCATCACATAAATGAATGCCCCCAGCGGGACTCGAACCCGCGACCGCTGGCACAGCAAGTAGGGTCACTACAAACTGAGCCAAACGTGTCGTCAAATATGACTAGTGAATCACCCTCGTATCGCTCGGGTGTGCCTAGCTTGCTTCCCAATACAAACTCTTATCTCCATTTTCACCTCCTTAAGGAATGATTTCCGGGATAAAAAGTATCCTATGTCCTTCCCAGGGTCTCAAACTATCTTCATACCAATTTTCATCTAAATCAGTTCAGTAGATTCAGAGTTTACCCCCTACGAACTCACAAACTTTACCTCTTTATAATATTAGTATTAGATTATTTAGTTTTATTTTATTATTCATTTATTTAAACTTTCACGACGTTTTTTAACAAACTAATCAAAACACAAATAGTGTAACAAAAACCATGTATGATTTTCCTGTGTACTGCGGATTCATACGCGAGAGTTAATTATACATCAATTAATTATGCATCTAATTTATATATTAAAATACATTACCATTCTACGTGACATTTACGAAATAATCTGTGCTCAACCAACACATAAAATTGAATTGAATTGAAGATTGCATTGCATGCATTGTGTATATTAGGGACGCGGCCATCGCGCAGCTGGTGTCGCTGGGCGCGGCGCGCACGCCCGTGCAGAACCAGCAGCTGCGCGCGCTGCAGCTCGAGCGGGACTTCGAGCGCCGCGCCACGCAACACCAGGTGACATATTTAGTACTATAAATATTAGTATACTTGGCATTTTAAATGAACTATCTTTTCGCGTTTTTATGCTATTGTCGCGGTTTTATTTTTATTTTGAGTGAGACAAAAATTCAATTTTTGTTTGGGAGGAACAAATACTCAACATAAATCTGCGACGAAATCATAAAGGTTTGATTCATTTTGGCTTGGAGTAGTTTGGCATCTTTGTCAGAGGCGCTGCCGAGTGGGTTAAAATATTTTATCTATATACGTAATATTATAATACGTATATAAATATTTTATCTATATACGTAATATGTAATAGTGAAGAGCGTGTGTGGTTATAAGCAGAATGTAAAAATATCATTACTTGTCTTTCAGTTTTCATAACCTTATATTATATTGCATGAAAATTGTCTAAAAATTAACTCAATAAAATTGTAATAGAATACTACTATTTTAATGATAATTACTTAATACAATATTCACATAATCAACGAATCTCATCGAATACAGGACGACAACGCGGGAGCGGACGGCGGCGGAGCGGAGGAGAGCCCGTCACCGGAGCCCGAGCCGGAGCCCGAGCGCGAGCGCCAGCTGCCGCCGCCCAAGTCTATACTCAAGACCAACCAGCGCGTGGACCTCACTAACGGCTACACGCACACTTCACATACGGTATCATCATTTGCAACTATGCTTTAACAAAACTGTACTTTTTAATTTTATGTTGAACCAGTAATTTAGCTTGCTCCGCTCGTTTTCATCCCTAGTTACGTTTTAGCGTTTAGCTCAGAGATGAGATATTTTCCCGCAGTATCCTATATGTTGACCCGGATAACCAGCTATCATCATACCAAATTTCATCAAAATCTGTCCAGTGCCGACGCAGTCACAGACAGATAGGGAGACAAAAAATCAAAAAACTATAGATTCGGTCTCTGTATCAATAATATTGACTATTTCAACAAGATTTTCTAAAAAATATTAAAGTACAGATTCGACTTTGTTACAATTTTATTATATGTATGGATATAGATTATCGTATCTTCATGATATTTATCACACACTACTATTGTTTAGTGTATGGTTGTTATTTCTTCACCTCCTTCCCTGGACTGATTTGGATAACATTTTTTTGGTAACATTTGAGTTGACATCGGATTGGCTAAACAGATGCGAACGTACATACATACATAAAATTATTTAGAGTATGTTTTGAAAAAAAAAGATTATGTAAATATTAAGAGCAAATTAGTAATTTGCTCTTAATATATACATAATCTGAATTGAAATTACACTTTATAACTTTTTGTCTATATTATGTAAACAGAGCATAATGGAAGAGAGTCGCGTATCAGAACTGAGCAGCAGCATGGCGAACATATCCGTCTCGAGCGCCGGCACGAGCAACCCGCCGCCGCCGCCCGAGCGCGGCTCGTCCTTCGCGGTGATGGCCACGCGCCGCCTGGACGCGCCCGCCCCCGCGCCCCACGCTCCCCACGCGCCCCACGCCGCGCCGCACGACGCAGCGCTGCCGCCTCCGCAGTTAGTATAGCCTGTATATTCGGAAGTTATAGCTTATATTGCCTTCTGGACATCGGAACGTACGATGTTCAGAGCCGCCATTCATTACGTTTGAGTCGAACTTTATATACTTATGTTATAATACAGAAAACCATATAGTAAGCAATGAAAAAAAAAACCATTTTTCGTCGCGTAGTAGAAATGTAGGATGATAGGGTATTCCTCCACAAGGTTTGTGGGGAATCCCCGTCAAACGTGATCGGCACGAAAAGGGTTGCAAGTTCAGAAATGTAAATCGGCAAAAAAATCGGAAGTATCTTTGTATTCTAGACTCAAAAATCATTACATACCAAAAGAGTTGGTTTTTTGTTTCCTATTTTGTTCTTTTTTTTTTGGTTGGCTTAAGTGGTGTCTTATAATTTTCTTGGGCGGCAATTGAGCTCTTTAAAATATGTTGGTCTGTCTAAAGATTTACAGCCGCATTCTTTAAAGAAAAACTAAGAAATATTTTTTTGTCGAGGTGCTAAGCATGGTAATTTTTATAAGAATTTTCTCTCTTAGAGAGAAAATTAATAACTCCGTACAACAGCCCGGCGCTCTCAATTTTGCTGCCATTCATTTTTGCCGCGCTGGTCATTTGCACGGGTTGCCCTCCATAATATAAGGTTTATTATAATGTATGCTTCCACTTTGGCAGGTCGCCGGTGGGCGGCGCGCGCGACAAGCGTGTGTCGTTCCACGAGCGCGCGCCGCCGCCGCCCGCGCCGCCCGCCAGCTCGCCGCCGCCGCTGGACGCGCCCGCCGCCAGGGAGGACCCTGACGTACGTGCTTTAATAATAATGAAGCCTTTATTTCCGAACTTTCCAGTTCCTATATTTTATGACTTAAACAGTAAAATTATATTTACAATATATAAAATAAATAATAAATAAATATATTAGGACATTAACACACAGCACCACCTAGTTCAGTGGTAAGCTACGAGGCTTGTGTTGTGGATACCAGATAGTTATGCAATACACACATATAACTTTAAGTACATACATATTACAAATATAACCACCCATGACTGGAGTACAAACATTCGTGCGTTCAAACACAAATGCATGCTCCCAGTGGGACTCGAACCCGTGACCGCTGACACAGCAAGTAGAGTCACTACAAACTGAGCCAAACGTATCGTCAAATATGTCTATTTTATGTCAGTATGTCTCTTCGCTTGGTGTTCCTTACAGTATAGGTCTGATCCAATGCCTTCCACTTCTATCTGCAGCCACTCTCAGTCAAAGGGATCTAAGGTCAATTTCAGTTCATCCTTCCCTTCTCTGACTTTGTGACCTCGGCTCCTAAGGCCATCCTTTGGGCACCAAACCCACCCGTTTACTCCATTTTTCACGTACGACGTACGTATTTGTACTGTCTTAAATTATAGTGTAAAAATAGCCTATATACATCTTAACGTCACTAGCCCGTTTTGCTGGTCGTACGTAAATGTATATTTAAGTTTTTTGTTTATTAATTAAATATTTAAGTTAATTAAAAAAAAAAGAAATGGATAAAAAAAAGTAAAACATCCTTTGTTTTTATTGATGGAAAAAATATATTTGTTTTAACAAACAAAGTAAATAAAAAAAAGTGAAGAGAAAAAAAATATTTTAACCAAGTACTGTAATATCCTAAACGCTGATAATATTGGTTATAAGGATAAAACTATTTTGATTGAAATTTATTGTTTCTAGGTAGTTGCAAATATGCATTCTATGTGCATAGTAGCAAAATTAATATATTAATAGTTAGTTACTTTTAAAAATCATATATTGTAAATGATAGGTCATGAAGTTTTAAATACTTACCAGATATTCTTTTTTCAAAACATTAGTACATTTAAATATTGTTTTTACTATATATAAATATAATAATATAATTAACGATATTTTTCGAACAGCGGTTTATCGAGGAAGCGGAGAGCATGCTGGCAGGCGGCGCGTCGCCCGGCGCGGCCGCCGGCGCCGCGCCCGCGCCCGCGCACACGCCCGGCGTCATCGGCGCGCAGGAGGTCTACAGGTCACTACTTTTACATCTGTTTTCTACTATTTTGCACACGACGGATTTTGATGAAACTTTACAGCAATATAGCTAACTAGCATTGCCCGCGTTCATATGACGAAAAGCCAAATTCTTAGGTTTTACACATTAGTATACTCGTATTAGTATATTAGTTGACCCGGATAACCAGCTATCAGCATACCAAATTTCTTCAAAATCCCTCCAGTGATTTTTCTGTGATGCGGTCACAGACAGACAGACAAAAATTTTTATAACTATAGGTTTGGCCTCTGTTAGGGATAATAATGTGTATTTCAATAAGATTTTCCAATAAATATTTATAGCACAGATACGGCTTGATTAAGTTTTAATATATCTATAGATGTAACTAATTTATAAAGCCAAAAATATTGTTTTTTAATAATTTAAACACGGGCGGGGCCGCGGGTAATTTAGTAGTAATTCTAATAAAATCATAGAAAGGTCGAATTTGACCATTCAATTTTTTGGAATTAAAACTACGTATTTTAAAGACACATGGCGACATCTATTGACAAATTTAAATATCTAAAAAATGCAAAAATAAATATTTATTAAAATAACTTTTTTAATGAATAAAATAGTGCTATTGATATACTTTTTCAAGATTAGCTATTTTTAATAGTTTTTGTCATCTTTAGTAAGTTAACTGGTTAAAATGTATGTAGGTATCATCGTTTTTTATTCTAACCAGTTTTTGTATTTTTTCTCAGAAATGGGATATTTTTCTGCGGTAAAAAGTATTCTATATGTTGTGACCCTGATAAATCAGCTATGACCATACCAAATTTCATCAAACTCCGTCCAGTAGTTTGCTGTGATGCGGTAACAGACAGACAAAAATTCTAAAAATGAAAGATTCGGCCTCTGTAACGATAATAATGTCTATTTCAATAAGATTTTCCAAAAAATATCTAATGTACAGATTTGACTCGGTTAGAATTTTATTATATGTATAGATATATCAGGCTTATACATGACTATAAAGAGCACACTAGTTATCGAAAATTGTGCAACCTTATTTTAGTGTTTATGATAGGAGAAACATTTATTTCTTCAAAAACTTTCTTTTAGTTTTTGTATAATATTAATAGATGCGTATATAAAAATAATTATAAATGTACTTGGCCCATATAAGGTAGATATTGTGTGCATATTGTATATGAAACGCTTTTGAAGTACTCATACTTACAGACAAAATCGGTTGTTGTACCGGTGGTAAATTTCTCGAGAACTTAATACCGACATTTAATTTAAAGAAATGTAGAAATTTGAAAGTCTATTTCAGTTTGATTTGCGACCATAGACGTTCTATTAGGTAGGGATCCCGCCATTGCTTTTTAAGTTAATTAATTTTTCATGTTTTGTTGCTTATTATTTTAAGTTATTAACCTCCCATATTGGGGAAATTATGATTAATTTTATAAATACCAAAGTTTGTATGTGTGTGTGTAATATTTGTTACTTTAAACACTGAAACGGCTGGACGGATTTGGATGAAATTTAAAACCTAACTATGACCTGAAGTAACATAGACTATAATTAGACACCTAGGGACGCATCTCAACGAGTGTCGTATATAAATTTATGAATCAATATATTCCTCATTCACTCCCCGCAGGGACCCGCGCGCGCGGCGGCTGGCGGAGGCGCAGGCGCGCGCCGCGCCCGCGCCCGTGCCCGAGCAGCTGTCCTTCAAGGAGAAGATGAAGATGTTCGCGCTCGAGTCCGGCGAGGCCTCCACGCCCAAGGATAAGGTGCACGCCACGTTTCATAAACACGTCGACGACAAGCGAGTCATTCAATAAACTCTAAAAACCTATGCTAGTATTATAAAGAGGTAAAGTTTGTGAGGTTCAAAGTTTAGAGTTAGCTTATTATAATTAACCCAAGCTATTTTAAATGGACATATCACGCGAGCGACATTTATGAATGAAAACCAGCAAAAATAATATTACATTTAATCTAAATGGTATAACTCATAGTTTGTAAATTGTCGTACATGTCCATATAAATATACCAGTAGTGGGATGTAACAATTTTGCTTATTATTTTTCAGGTGAAAATATCACGTGCACAGCGAGACATAGACGCCGTGCATTAAGTTTGTTCACAGCAGCAAACGTCTTCCGCAACTGAGACATGTTTACAGTATATGATGTACATATGTTCACAACGCAATTCGCTACACAACGTGAACTGTGTATATATCAAAAGCCTTTTTATTATTAACTATGTAAGTTTTAGATGAATATATTAAAGAATAAAGTATTGAAACTATAGTATTGCAACGAAAACGCTGCTACGTTATACGAGTCATTTACAATTTGTTTGTTTACAAACCTTCACAATGAGGATTCGTTGAACGCGTCCGACCATCTCGTTTGGACTTTATGTCCCCCGAATAGTAAACTAATATGGACCAGAAAGAGCTTTTATATTTTGGAAGTTATTCCGCAAATATCCTTTACCAATATTGGCACCAATGTTTATGTCAATCATAGAATTAAGACATGCGTTTTTAATTAAAGGAATATATTTTTATGACAGGGATTTTGATCCGTATTTTAAATATGTCGCCTTAGCAGCTAGTGCAATGTTTTACAGTGATTATATAGCATCTACCGTATTATATAGAAATTATTTCATTATATTCGAAATTTAAATTACTATGTTTAAGAATATTTTCGATAACATTAATGGCACATTGAAAATGAATAATTTTAGAAGAATGTAGACCTAAACTCCAAATTAGCTGCGTGCCATTATTAAAATTATAATATTTAACTATTAATTATATATTATGTGTGTTGCCAGAGAGGACCAATGTTAATTACAAATTAAATCTGTGGGTGCCTTTTGTGTGTTTTAGTAATAATCAAATCATAATTTCTTGGTACAGATATATATTCTATTGTATTTTAACATTTTAACTTCGTTACATTCCAAAGAACGATTCTTATTACTATCCTTTTTGTAAGCATTCCTGTTTACATATTTCGCTGAAATTCTGTGTATGACACATTTTATCATGCCTTGCTGATGGTTTCCATACACGTAAGTATCATCAAATCTTATAATGTCTAAAATCGTAAGCAATAAATATTTTAGGCTTTCTTGTAAATACCGACAAAGGATTACATGTAAAGAATATTATTATAAGCACATTTTGTGCCAAACCAATGTTTACATCTCGTACGAGGCAGCTCCACAACGCGCGGTCACAACCACGGTAGCTCGTCGTAGCTATTTATAGTAATTATTAGTGACTACTTAGCTTTATCTTTCATGGCACCAATTTATATTGTATATGTACATATAAAAATAGCTGTTAAGATCCTACGTTATATATGATTGCGTTGAGGTTTTTACTCCCGTTGTAATTGTAAAAGTTTATTTAATAAAATTACTATTACTTATATCGAAAGTTAACATGGAGTGTAGAGTAAGGCCTATTAGAGGTAGGCGTTAGAGTAGTTACTGAGATATGTTTTGTTCTCAGTATTTCACCCAACGATAGTCAATTAGCGAGAGTAAATATTTTATAGAATGATTTCGGCTTACTTGTATATACTTATACTGTAGAAATGGGAGTAACTCCCGTATTCCACGTTAGAAGTCTCCTATAAAATGTCCCTCAATATACTGACATACTTATTACACAAATCATCGTATTGCTTCTTATAGATATTAGTGTATTACTTTAACTATTAATAGACTTTAAAATAAATAAATTAACAGATGTTGTATCTTTTATTTTTATCCTAAATGTCCACTAAGCATTGGAATTGTTATTATCACTGAATTCTGCAGCAGACGGTGACATCGTGAGACGTGAGCGAGATGTGGAATGTAATGTAGACATAAGGATTTTTTACATAATTTTTTACTATAATTTTCCAATAAGCGCAAGTGGTGAGTGATTGTTTCCCAAGGTCTCAAATTGAATATTGGTGGTAACATGAAGCAGTACAAATATACTAATTCAGAACTCGCCTAGACGTTTATAACGAATGCATATATTATTACTAGCATTGCCCGCGTTCAGATGACTAATTACCAAATTCTTAGGATTTACGTGTATTAGTATACTCTTAAATTGCAGTTTTGTATTTTTTTCTCAGAAATGAGACATTTTCCATGTCATGACATTTACAGTCTTCAGACATTTTTCTGTGATGCGGTAACAGACACAAAATTTTTAAGAACTATAGATTCGACCTCTGTATGGCTAATTATGTTTATTTCAATAAGTTTTCCAAAAAATATTTAATGTGCAGATTTGGCTTAGTTTCAATTTTATTATATGTATGGATTATAGCTTATTTATTAACTTCTTATTTATTCACTTGTACCTAATGGTTAAGGCTCACGGTAATTCAGACTATCGTATAAATTTTGTAAGGGCTCAATAAAACCTATCCAACCGTTCTAGAGTGACGCAGTTAAATATCTCTTTAGTATTGTTTTTTTTTTGGAAAAATATTTTTTGTAAATTAAAATATTCTTAAAATTTATTTTAATACGCTATTTGTACTTGAGAGATTTCTATATATACTTATGAGTCTCTGGAAACTTTTAAATTACCGTTAAAAGGACAACTTATTTTACAGGAAAATAAAGCGAGCGATAAATAAAAAACTCATAGTTTAACAGTGTTTATATTTTGTTTTTGAGGTTAATTTTATGTGTGCCATGTGGCATTAATGCATTTGTACAAAATCCACTTGTTTCGTGAACATCGATAATTATCTGCGATATAAACGTTCAAGGGACTCCTTGGTCGTTACAAAGGTTCACTAAATTATATCAATTATCATCTAAAATGAATATGAAAAACACAATATGATATTGTCAAAGAAGTTGCTGCGTTGTACAGGTACGAAACTTGCGTCTAGTTATCTTATCAGGGGCAGACTCTCGCTCGGGTGACTACCATACAATAATGTCTCTAAACTTATGTTAACACAAATCGATATCTATTGTAAGTTATGAGCTCTTCAAACTTGTTAAAATGTTATATTGAAAATATGTCACGAGTGAGGATCAGCCTCAGATAACATTTAATTGACGACTTAAAAATGATTTTATATGTAATTTTCAGGCTTTGGTGATTTTGTGCAATACGATTTACCATAAAATTACGTCTAGAAATATAAAACTCGAGTACATCGTGCAACTAAGGCTAAAAAACTTATATCACCATAGCCCTTTTATACTTGAATGATGTACATATGAATACGATACACTTAAACATTCACAAAATATTAATAGAACTGATTAACGTGAAGCTTATAACGAGTGATGCTTACTGTACAGTGTACAGTGTGCCGGGTACCGTAACGTTCATTATAAATCGTAAGACTGTTGTTGCTGCTTGCGAGTTTAGGAAGTCTAATCTCAATATAAGACTTAGCCTACAACAAATTTACAACTCGTAACAACTCACTACAATATCATAACATACTTAAAATTAAAGCTTGATTTATTTACATTTAGGAGACAGTGAAATAATTTTGATAATATAGAAAAATATTACGATTTAACAGCACTTAAAAATAAATGCCAATTGAAATATAACTGTATAAAATAAAATATCACGTAAATAAAGGCGCACGGCGCGTGAGCGCCTCGCGGCCACTATAGTTCGTATAAAAATACACATTTATAAGCGTGACTACTTGCTAACATTTAAAATATTTGACGCCGATCGCTTCGAATTAGCGTAGACTATATGAAAGGAATCATTTGAGGTTTCAGAATTTACGTTACAGATTGCGAGAAGATCAATAGAAAAATAAACAATAGTGTTTTTTGTTTATTCTATTTTAACTATAAATATACTCTTTGTTCTAAACATTTAAAATATATAATTAAATATATGACGACAGGACAGCAGTAGCCAGGGTTCAGACCCGTGAGACCGTCAGACGCGTCGTCGACGACAGTCTGTGCGAGCGCGAGCGGAAATAACAACTGTCAGACTAACTAGCTTTTAGATTTGCATTAAATTATATTATTAGAGGTGGGCGATTATAAATTAAATAAATGATCTTGTAAATATTATTATATTTAGAACATATCTTATTTAATATAGTTAAACATTTAAAAAATAGCTGTTAAAAGACCAACCACTGCCCGACTTTGTACAACAGATATCTAGTTAACTTTCAATACGTAACAGTAACGATTGGATTGTGCCGATCAGTCGCAATCGCTCACCTCACCTAATCCATAAGTAATAAAAATAACGGCCGTGTCCGAAACACGCGCAACATTTACTCTACATATATAATAAGTAATAATATAACAATAATGGAAGAATCAACGTCAGAAGCCCCTTTGTATTCACTTTACCGACGTAACTTAAATATATTAATGCGATACATTTATTTTAAATCGCACAAAGTGGCACTAATCGATTAAACCTGTCCTCGAGAGCACAGCGTCATCCTCACAGAGGAGAAAGTAACATGACCAGCCTCGCGATCATAACAACACTCGAAATATAAGATCTCTAACGAAGTGAGAAGTGACCGACTACTACAGTCTGTAGTCAGAAGTAAACCCATCTCGATCCTCGGCCATGGCCCGATCTGGCACCTCGCATTCCGAGCGCGACCACGACCGTAAGGCGACAGTCCACCCACATACAGCATGATGGCGTAGGAAATAATATATAAACATTAACATATTGTAAATAAATCGTTCGAATGGACACAAAATGCATAACATAGTGGAAGATATATCGGGAATGCATTTAGAGTCGTATCCGTTATACTTATATATTTATATTATAATATTCATTTATTTGTTTATATGAAACTTATAAAAATTGACTTAAAGAATACTTATGGAGTACATTTAATATTTCACTAACAATAGAATTTCTCTTAGTACTAATTCAACCGCGGCACGGACGATGCCGCACTAGAGTGCTTATGTTAAAGTGAAATGCTATGATGTGCTCGTAAACATTTACATTTGTAAAATATAAAAATACTATCGCCTTCGCGTCGTCGCTGCGATCGCGTGCGATCCTGATCCACCGCGGCGAACCAGACGAGGGGGTGTTACATTAGAAATCTCCATACAAAACGTCATTAGCAATGCATATGGCGGATCACTCGCGGTCGCTCGGCACGCTTCGGCTTGCGCATGCGCACTCTCGACGCCGTCACGGCAATGCTGAGGAGCGTCGCGCGGGCGCGGGGGCGGGGGCGGAGTCATTGCGGCGTGGTCCAGCGGTCGAACTCGATGCCGGAGTCGGGCGACACGCCGCAGAGCGCGCAGGGCGGCGGCGCACAGCCGCAGGCGGCGCAGGCGCGCGCGCGCACGCCCAGCTCCGCCAGCACCTGTACCGACCACACGGCACACGGTCACTCGCGTCCACGTGCCACCTACTGCACGCGAGTGGCCTGCGTGCGGTACACTGTCAGTCATACTGCCTACTGCCACAGGGCGAACAGATATTTACGTGTATATGTAAATTTCTGTTCTCATCTTCACGCAATATCCCTTGCAGGGTAGAAAGTGACTTCATGACATACAAATTCGTTTTATTTTAACGTATACTACTTATATACTAAAATTGAATTTTCGTATAAATGCTACTATACTGTAAAACGGTTCAGCTGACAATGAGGTAGAGAGGGTAATTAGTGTAATTAAATTTATATTTTTCTTTGCTGCAACAAGTTCTGTGGACGATGACTTTGACAGCGTTAAATCTAAAGATTGTACTAAATTTAGACAAATAAAACAAATTAAATTTTAAATACAACTACATTAAACTACATCACAGCAAAGAATAAATCAATCGCGACAATAACAAAGAAGAGAGAGAGAAAGAGAGACAGCAACACCTCAATAGAATGAGAACGAGCACGCACCTTGGGCAGGCTGGCGCTGCGCTCGTGCAGGCCGAGGTCGCGCTCGAAGGAGTGCAGCTGGCGCATGAAGTGGAAGTTGGGCGCGATGTCGGTCTTGCGGCTGCGCACGAGCTCGAAGGCGTCGCGCAGGCACAGGCGGTGGCGCTGCATGAGGTACGCCAGCGTCACCGTCACGGAGCGCGACACGCCCGCCACGCAGTGCACCAGCACGCCGCACCGGGCCGACATGGCCTCCTCTGTACACACAATACGCATACAATATTACACAACATTACGCAGAGAGAGAGAGAGAGAGAGAAGAATCGAAAACGATATGTACAATGCAGAAATCAAGCGCTTTGCACTAACACCAACTATCCCAAAAGAGATAAAGCGTGAACTTGAGTATGAGTGTATGTAGTATGTACTTATATTTTATTTTATGTATAAATGCATTCTGAATCGACAAATTGATAATACTATCTTATAAGTTTAGACTGTCAAATCTATAATACCTATTAATAGAGTTTATCGAACAAAGTATCCTTATTTGCGTATATTTCATACTAGTGCATAAGTACTTTAATCTTATTTTGATAATGTTTACAATGAAATAATAAGATAAAAATATATAATTTCATTGCATTAAATTATTTTATCAATCAATAATATCCTTAATAAGCCCATCAATTCTGAGAAAATTACAAAATTTAAAAATTACTGATATGATCATTTCTACAACTTATAAAAAAAACAATTCATATTCAATTCATCAAAAATATTTTATAATTTAGCAGTCCACGATAAAAGCCCAACATAGTAAGTAAAATCACATAATATGTATTTAAAATTAATAATTTGATTAACTTTCAAGAACTTATTATTGATATAACGTACTTATGCTGTGACACAACCGTAGTTCATTGCCCTACTGTGTGTTACTAAATATCTCTTGACGGAAGTAAAAGGCAAATACCAACATAAAAACAAATTGCCAACCTTCAAATCACACGTTAACAAGCAGGTTCTAATCATACACATTTCGTAAGTAATGCTTGTAACCTTACATTAAAAGTATTTTTATCGTTATCAATGGAATAAACAAAACAAGAAAATTTAAAATAGTAGTGACGCCATCAACTATATATAAATACAAAAATAGTTTTATTATTGTTTTTCACGTAACCGGAAATACAATCGAGAACACATTGAAAATTATCGTAATGCCTAACCTGACCTATGTATTACTACAGCTAACAATATGTATTGTTATACGAACCAATAAATCGTATAGCCTGCGGGAAATGAACAGCTAGGTTCTGGCTCCAGTGGTCAGCGATGGGAATCTTCAGGTAATTGATGCCGCAGCCTTCCGCCTCGAACGTATTGGGCAGATCGGGCGTTACGTTCAACACATACTGAAATTAAAAAAATATGTTTGTTTATTGTAACGGTAATTTTAATCTATACAGATAAATAAAATTGAAGTGTCTGTTTGTAATGTCAAAATAACAGCTTTTTACTAAAAGCATATGAAAGTATATAGTTATATACGGTACCTACTCATAAGAAAAAAAAACAATTTTTTATGTTTTTGTGTCTGTCTGTTTGATCTGACTAATCGCCGAAACGGCTGGACCGATGTTGACGGAACTTTAACTGGCAGATAGCTGTTTTGATTAGTAACTTAGGCTACTTTTATTATAGAAAAACAATTAGCGTACCGCGCTAAAAAAATAAAGCCCACGAAATTATGAACAAAATCCGTGTTTCTAGGACCTAAGGACGCAACCGAGCGCAGCGAGGGTAAGTCCCTACTTTAATATACATTTAATATATAGCTTTATTGTCAAAAGCTAACAACGCGATGCTTCGCTAGATCCCCCGCGCAAGTCACCTACAAGAAATGTATAGCATGGATATAAAGAAGACACTCGTACCTACGTGATAAAAAGTAGTTTATGTCATCAAATCACTAATTGCAGAGTCAAAGGATTGGATGAAGTTTACTCTATTGTCTCTACTTGGCAAGGGTTTTGGAAAATATACGCCTTAAATTCTTATAATATTAAATGTACCTTAATATTGTGCCTAGCGAGAGCCTCGCAGTCTTCGCTGTTGGTTGAATTGCCAAGGTAAAGATTTGGCAGAATTTCGATGGGAAATTCCTGCTGCACGTGAGTGTGTGCGTCCTCACACTCGGATGACGAACCGGACGACAGCGCGTCATCGCAGCCCGAGCCGGATATACGGAGCGATCTAAAAACAACGTTCAAAATAAAAATGAAATGTGTGTAATAAAAGCAATGTGCTTATAAATCTAAATTTCCATAGGTAAATAAATAGTTTAGATGTTTATAAATTATAAGTATCTTAAGACTAACATAATATGTTTTCTTACATAATATTTCACAAAAATTCTGTCGTATCTAAACTAAAACTAGTGAATGTAATTGATACAACTTATGAAAAATTATAATTTTTAGTCATCCAGACGGAACTTCGACACGGCCGCTTATCTCACCAAGACTAATCAACCTTAAGGCATATTATAGTGCAGGATGTGTTCGTAAACACAAGTGAACCTATTCCGAGTTCTTATAGATAACACTTACGGCAGTTACTTGTTGTTTCTTCCTGACTTCTCAAAAATAAACAATGAATCATGCAGTTTTTACTCGAAGTATTTGTTTTGGTAGGCTTTTATGTAATTACACATTAATAATATTGCTATATATTAAATGAAGTCTCAATGTTTTGAAGTTATTGAATTATGAGTGGGATGCGTTTAAGGTCTAAACATAGCGAGCGCGAGTCTACAGTATCTATCTTTATCTTTATATCTTTATATATATAATTCTTCTGTGAGTGTGTATGTCACTGAACTTCTCTCAAACGACTGGACCGATTTTGATGAAATTTTTTGTGTGTGTTCAAGGGGATCTGGGAATGGTTTAGATTCACAATTTGAATAATAATTTTCATCAAAAAAATTATTAAAAAAAGTTTGAAATTTTCAAATTAAAGACGTGTAGACAGGACAACGTCTGTCGGGTCCGCTAGTATAATATAATATATAAAACTCAAAAAATTTGCGTTTTATTTTCCTTATCTTGACACCTTAAAAGCTTAAGCTACGAATATTATTGACTTCGGCACTCATTAACGGTGTGAAAAGAAAATATAGTTCGTCCCTGTTTACATATATTTCCCTTAATATACATAACTGAATATAATAGATAAAAAAACTAGTAGGTAAAAACAGCGAATGGGCTCCTTGTGTATAGCAAAAAAGTAAGAACTTTTTAGAATACAACTTTCTACTAACATTTAAACTAAGCTAATACAAATCTATACCATAAATACGAATACCATATATATGAATTCCAAACGGCGAATGTTGCGATTAAATATTTTTACAGCAGCGCAAATTTCATTTTAGAACATAAATCCATCTCATGTTAATTTAATAGTAAAAAGTTTGAAATGTAATTTATCAAATTAGGTTGAAGTTTGCGCCGTCAGCAGTATGTAACCTCGTGGCCGCCACCCGCTGGCGCAGAAGCGAGGGCGGCGCGGCATCCGGGCCGTAGCGAAATCGATCGGGGTTGTTCAATGAGGGAGGAGGCTATGGCTCACCATTCACCTGCCCCCTGGATCAATGGCCGCCTACACGGCGCGTCCTTACTCCAACACCCCCTGTCCCCACGCCACCACTTAGCCCGCGCGACGCCAACGCGTCTACTCCCACGCGATTTACATTCCCGGATTCGCCCTCTCAATCGTCTCGACGCCATTCAGTTGGCTTTATTGAAAACAGTTATGCCTTAGTACACATCCGATGTTCGATTATTTTTATTAGGTAATAACTAATGTACATAATATGGAATTTAAGAAAAATATTCCACAAAATAATATATTTATGTACCTACATATATAGTAAATAAAGTACTTAGAAAAAATATATAATAACGCATTAATTTATTGCCTCTTATTCATAATTACAACTTAATAAGGCTATAATTAAAACTTAATAACCTTACTTATTACTCAATAAAATATTATTTAATTCGACCTGTGGTATGTCCGTTCGCTTATAAATACTTCCTACTTACGAGTATATGACGATTATGTAACATCTGCAGTAAAAAGGCTACATACCTAAGCAAAATAAGAACTTAGTAAAACCTCTTCCTTTGAATAACCTTTTTATTTTTATTTTTCGCACCAAACAATTGCGTATTATAATATTATGCAGAGTAGGTGTTGGGTAGTATGTAATAAGCAGTAAGCACCCATAGTAGGTAGCATATAGTAGATAGCGTCAAAGGCGCGCGCGTAGGCCGAGCGTGGGCGAGGCTCGACACATCCATTCAGGGGAGCTCGCCCACGCAACACACCATTCTAAATGATCTGTACTGACAACAGAGATATTTAGTTCGATTTTATTGTGGGCGAACGAACCAATTTTATCGCGGACTCACCTGTTTATTTATACCTATTTATTGCATAGTTAATAACATCGCCCTCGCAAATGTATTGAGCAACCGTTTAAATCATATTTTTCTGTCCGTCCAGTCTCGCTCCATTATTTCAATAGGATTTGTATAATAAAATGACAACATCAGTTTCATACGAATCTAATTTGTATTTGAATGAAGGCGAGCGCGGGGCCGCCGGAAGCCGTGACACGGCCGGTGGCGTTATTAATGAACGAGCTCTATATATGAGTCGGTGCCTCTTATAAAGCAGCCAAGTATGGAATACATGTGAAACGATCAGTGTGTGCGCAAATAGAAATCGTTACAGCGAGTCGGTTAATAGTGTGTAGAGTGTAGAGCGCGTGCGTGTGGGCGTCATGTTGCGTGCGCTGGCGCACAGGAATGCGGACCGCCGACCCGCCCGCAGCCAATGACCGCCTGCAAGGGACGCTTTTTTAATGTCTGACTTACTAGTTCTCATCCTGCCAGAACGTTAACGAGCTAAGTTGGCCGGACAAAGGACTAAACATGCTATTAGTATTTGTTGGTATATTGTCCTGAATATCATCATACGTCTGGACGGAAGACTAATGGGCATTCATAATATTTAGCAAGTATGTCGAGGCCAGAAACCGCAAGCGACATTTCTTCATAAATTGGTCTGTTAAAGATATCGTCATATCGAATAACCAAACATGTCTCGTGAACTTACTTATAGATATATGTGTATATAAAAAATATATATTTGTGGATAAATTTGAAGTGTCTAATTGTATATCTATACATTATACATATTACAGAGTAATTTAGGCGCCCTCAAGTATCTCAATAAATATTTTTTAATCCATACAACTGAACAAGTATATTTGTACTACCGAGGGTTATAATACCGGGTACTCGATATGGAAAATTTATAGTAATATTAAGTGTCGGAAAGTGGGGTAATAACTAATAAACTAAACTCTTTATTTTTCATTATTTGCTTTAGATGAATTAGATATATGTAGTTAATATTAGGTGGTCCTCAATAATTAATAATATTTGTCTTCAAACAAAGCTGACATAATTTTATTTATTTCACAAGACAAAAAAATTGGTAAGGAATATTTATAATAAATCCTATTAAAGATAGCAATAAGACATTATGAAAAATTACATAATCATAACCCTGAATTCGTAATTCATTCAGTGGAGGTTGATAAGGTACTTTATCAAGTGCAGTTGTTACTTATGAAATTGAAACAGAACAAGTTTACATCATCTATCCTTATCTTTAATTTGTTTTAATATCTTCTTCTTCTACTCCATGCCCATTTCCCAATCACTTGGAGTTGGCGCAGTACATCTTCTGTAGTACCTACTGCTGGTAAGGATTGCTAATTTGTTTTAATATAATACATATAATAAAACTGTAGAGGCCGGATGTCTGTATATAGAAAAAAATGCTACGAGTCAGGGGATGTAAGAAGAAAAATAGAACAAATCCAGATTTTTTCAATTTTTTTTATTTCTCTGTCTGTTTGTACGGGCTAATCTCCGAAACTGTTCGATCGATTTAAATGAAATTTTTCATGGTGGTATATCTTATATTCCCGGTCAACATTTAAGATACCTTTCATCCCGGAAAATTAAATAGTTCCCGTGGGATAGTTAAAAACTATAGCTGTATAGCTTAGTACACAAAAACTACCGATTGGATTTTAATGAAACTTAACAATAATATAGTTCATACATCAGAATAACAAATAGGCTATTTTTTATCCCGGAAAAATGTACGGTTCCTGTGGGATAGATTTGTTTTTGTTTGTGTAGAGGCGAAGCGAAGGTGAGCCGCTAGTTTTAATATAAGTATATTGTATAGTTGATCATCTCAAGTACGTAGTATTTATTATACACTCTACACTCTTATTGCCAAAATATGACCAATGCATTGAATGGTTAATCGATATTATACAAGTATAAGGTGTTTATAGGATTTATAAATTAGTAGGTACTTGTAAGTATTAAATAAATTACAAGCGCCTGTAGCCGTTATAAGACGTACTCATGAATGGAGACACGATAACGTCTCACACTGACGTCAAACGATTTCATGACGTAAAATTGTTATCTACCGATATATCATGATAATTGTCTCTTTTTTAAACCATTCAACTTTATATAAAAACAAATTTGTTTTTTATTTATTCAATTTAACATATAATCATAATTAATAATAATAATTACATACATATCGATCAATCAATAAGCACAGAACAAAAATGTTTTTTTTTTTTTATTAAAGGAATAATGAACACGTGACTGCGATCAAAATATGATTTATTATATAAAAAGTGGTTACAAAGATGAATGATGAATGACATTTCTTGTAACTGACGTCATTTCTCTATATATGGAACATTGGTTGCGTGACTTATAAAGTTAGGGTAATGAAAATACATAATATGCCAATTGTACAAGATTGAAAAGGTATATTTGCTTGATTAAAATAACATAGTATATATTAGCTTTTGACCGCAGGCGCGCTCGTGTTTTATTTATGTATGTATGCTTTGCTTCTGAGGGTTGTATTTTTCAAATCAGACTGGTAATCTCAGAGACTAGCGCGTTAAAACAAGCAAATAACCAAACAAACTACATATAATATTAGTTTTATAATGTTAAGTATAGCCCTCGTTTCGCCTCTGGAAAAACAAAAACAAATCTATCCCACGGGAATCGTACGTTTTCCCGAGATAAAAAGTAGCCTATGCGTTATTCTGAAGTACAAGCTATGTTATTGTAAAGTTTCATTAAAATCCATTTAGTATTTTTTGCGCAAGAAAAAGTACAAACATCCATATATCTATACATACAGACATCCATACATCCTCACAAACTTTCACATTTATAATATTAGTAGGATATTATTTTAATTAATTGAGAAATGCCTGGTAAATTACTATTTAGATATAATTTTGCTTTCAACTACCGTATTGATCAATAGAGTGTAGGCAGAATCAAAAACTACTTCGACAATTGAATGTTAACCTACTAAATGAAATGGTAATTTTATATTAACTAATTACGATTGAATACAGTACCAGTTGATTTATCAGTTGGGTATAAAACTTTAAGCTACCACTTTGAACGGCGATAGCGTAGGAGTAATAACATTTACACCATATACATTACTATTTATAGACAAGGGAATGATGTCGTGAAAGAGAAACTCGTAGGCGGAAAACGGATCTAACATACAAAACAGAATGAAATTTTCTCATTTAGTATTAATGTAAAATATAGGAACAATAAGCAATTTTACATGTGTGCAATTAACTAAATGACTTCACCGGTTAGATCATTGACTTATACGAACTTTATTATCTACGTTGTATAATCTATACATATATGTAATAAAATTATAACTGAGTCAAATCTGTACATTAAATATTTTTGGAAAATATTATTGAAATAGACATTATTATCGATACAGAGGCCAAATCTATAGTTTTTAGAATTTTTGTCTGTCTGTCTGTCTGTTACCGCATCACAGAAAAACTACTGGACGGATTTTGATGAAATTTGGTATGGTCATAGCTGATTATTCGGGTCAACATATAGAACTTTTTACCGCGGAAAAATATCTCATTTCTGAGAAAAAAATACAAAAACTGTAATGTAAGAGTATACTAATATGTAAAACCTAAGAATTTGGTTTTTGGTCATCTGAACGCGGGCGGAGCCGCGGGCAATTCTAGTTGTTAGTATATGAATGGATTACTAGCACGATTTTGCCATGAAAGGCGAAAAACTAAATAGTGAACGGTTCCACTTCCGTGTGCGCGGCCGTTGCATGAATGAAGCGGACGCCATTGAAGGCGCAACTTGCGTTTCTCTAATGCAATACGTAGGTACATAACTCAGTTGGCTAATCGCGCACACATACATACATCAATGAATCGGTGTAACGACGTCGCAGTCACGAACGAAAAATGAATGAGTTCATTAACCATTTTTTAGTTTGATTATTTGTGAATGTCTCTGCATAATGCAGTGTGTTATTTGTAAATTTATATAATACATATATTTTTGCGCATAATGTTAAAATACCTATGTTATGGATGAAAATATTGAGATTAATTTTCTTCAAATCATCATATATTTCAAATATCTATAAGAAATTGAAAAAAAAAAGTATAAAGATAAGTTAAAATTTTAAAATAAAAAAAAATCTCTACTCTCTAAATTAAATAAATGAGTAGATATTCATTTCAAATTAGAATTTGTAATAATTGAATTATCTTCTCGCCACGATGCTGTGAGCGTTAACAATTAGTGCTGAAAGGTCATCCAACAATATAATATAACAATATATAATCACATACTATACTTTAAGGAAAATAACTATAGCTGATGTTTTTTTTTTTTAATTAGCACCAATAGAAACATCGATCGAGCGGCCGTCTCGTCCACAGTTACGTTACCTAATTGAATAATCATACGAATACCATTTTTGCATTGAGTAGGTATGCCAATGAATGAAGTATTTGACATTGAGGATATTATGAATAGCGTGGTAACCTTCAACGAACATTATTATACTTATTCACTAAACTGTGTGGGACAATTAGATGGAGTAGAATAATTCAACGCTATAACCGACTAAATATAGTTCACTACCGAATACGTATACACAATGAGTAATATACCTACTTCGTATTTCTACAAAATTCTACATCAGTATTTTGCTTATTTACATTACACCCACGTTGATAAATGTTGAAAATATTCCAATACTGCGATTTCTTTATCTATACATATCATAAAATCTAACTAAGCCGAATCTGTACAATAAATATTTTTTGGAAAATCTTATTAAAATAGACATTATTTTCGATACAAAGGCCAAATCTATAGTTTTTAAAATGTTTGTCTGTCTGTCTGTTACCGCATCACGGAATATCCACTGGAGAGATTTTGAGAATAGCTCATTTCTGAGAAAAAATACGAAAACTGCGTAAATAAGAGTATACTAATATGTAAAACCTAAGACTTAGGGTTTTCTTTTTGCTCATCTGAACGCGGGCGGATCCGCGGGAAATGCTAGTCTATACATATAATAAAACAGTAACGTATTCTGTACAGGACATAAATCCCAAAACAATAGTTATTAAAATTTTCGTCTCTTTGTTTTTATACCGGAAAAATGCACGGTTCCCGTGGGATAATATTTGTTTTTGTTTTTCACAGAGCAAGGGATCGACTATCTATTCCATACTAACCGTTAAAACGCACCTAGGGACGAACACGAGCGAAGCGAGGTTGAGCCGCAAGTTTTAAATAAAACAAGTAGCTTAACAGAATATTTTTGGCGTTTCAATGAATTTCGTAGTAAACAGTCCATGCGCTTATATGAACTTCTTATTCTTGATTGGATCTTTTACCTGTTATTTCATATTTATCAAGTGCAAGTAATTCGAACATCAACATGGTCCTTTTATACTACGAGACTAACGTTAGCATCCAGTCAAGACGGAGTAGGTAAGTCAGTCCGCTCCGCGAGCAGCTTTTTCCGGATCGATTAAAAAGTGATCGGAGAAAAAGTCTCACGCGTATGAAATCGAATTCCCACGCGTGCAAGTTTTTCTTGTTCGCATAATTAGACCCCAACTCGACCGGCTGCGTAACATTAATAAGCAGGTACTAGTCTCTCCAATAAAGTCTATCCGCAAATAGCTGTTATTAATTGATCAGCAACATCATCAATAAAATAACAAGATATTTCATATCCTTGCAAGTTTTAGGACCATTTAACATAGAAAGGGTTTATGTATATTTGGCGTTGTATCTATAGACCGGTCTTACCGTAGTCCCATTAGCGGCAAATGTGGCACGTGCTGCGCACTAGCCTCACTGCACCACTCAGGGTAGGCTCGGCGGAACTCTGCGAAATCTCCTGGTGACAACAGATAATAATTTAAGTAAATATTATAATACATACACAATACAACGAAATAGTTTATGTATTGTAAATGTTACTTATTAATTTTTGATTTTTTATCAAAGTACTTTATATTTTCTGATCTATTTTTTTATATAGTAGGTATAGATAGATTTGTTTTTGTCTTTCGCTAGTATATTATAAAATTTATATTTATATTTATTACATTTAATGTGATAAATATTAATGAATGTATGTTGGTTAAAAGGTGTTATTGAAGGAGGGGGGCTATAGTAAGATGAACTGAAGAGGTAGTTTGGAGTATGAGCACGTTTGTATTAAAAACCGTTTATGTTTAGAGAACATTAATGCGCACCCAGTGCTTGGTGCCGACTGTAGCTGACATTTCCTGTGCGGGCCGCCTGTTTCCTGCCTTCAGTCGGCATTGTTATCAAAATGGCTATTCCAATACCTACATGTAGTGAAATTACAATATGTTTTCTCATTGCTTAATGACAGATTAATTTATAAAAATGTGTGTTTAATGACCGAGCGGGCAAAGCGTCTTTGCTTCAAGTCTGGCAAAATTAGCTTTCCCGTGTCAGTTTGTCGGTACAGGTAGTATTTTACAATCCATTTGGACGAAACTTGGTACATATATACAGGTTTTACGGCTTTATAGATTCTTTTTTGTCGGGGATTTTAGATTCGTGGGGAAGGTACTTCCTCCAAAGAGAGGCAAAAGGGGGGCTTCTGGATATGTCCGCCTTATGAGATCCGATTTCGATGATGCCTTTTATATTTGAAATTAGTAGTAACTTCAAGTTGGTCTCATAAAAACTTTGTGAAGATCTGATAAGGATCTTCGGTGTGATAAGCAGATGAGCTCCTCATAATGCAGTGTTCGCAATGTTTATTGTTCACAGAACTACTAGTGTACAATGTTTCATTTCAATTCCTATGACCAGAGTTGTTGTTGTTGTGCAAATGCATTACTTTAATTCATATTTAAAACATCCAAAGCCTTGGGTAAAAAAACTTGCAAAAAAACTCACATTACTAAACTTTTAAAGGTATAATAATAATATAAGGACACAATAACATTCGGATTTGTAACCGCATCAGCATAGATACAAAGAAGTATCTATATTATTTTAAACTCATTACTTAACTGTATCAAATGATTTTATTTTTGCCCTAAATTGCGTATGAATTGAAAAACAAGAAAAAAGAAAACGAAATGAAAACAATAGTTTCCATCATAAATCCAGTGCAAGTCGCTTCAGCATGAATTATGTAAAAAATTGGGCCGTGGTGGAGTTGCAGATTGGCACAGCACGCAGCCGCGCGACGTCGACGGTCCGCGGGGGGTGCAACCTGCGGGGGTGCTCGCATCGATCCGATGAGTCATCACGGCCCATTCATACGCCGCTCTCAATGAACGCCGTAAACTCCCTCTCTCTCTCGCCTCTCAGTTCCTCCACGCTGCCCACCGCCAGCCGCCCCCGCGCGCGTCCTCGCTACCAAGGACTCCATTAAATTCGTTATTCGCCCCTCGCCAACTGAATCAAATCCTTTAGCGTTACACCCACATACCGAAAACATCATCGTTTAAACAACCGAGAACTCTGCATTAGTAAACGCCTACAGCTTGTTACTTCAGTTTATTTTTCTTTAAATATCGCAAAGCAAAAAGAGAATGAATAAGTTTATGTATGTGACACACAACATATTAAAATGGTAACGTGATTAAAGTTTGACTCGTAAATTGTAAATTTTAGTTAGGTATAATTTTATGATAAATTTAGCAACGATTTGCAAATACATACTATCTTTTTAGGGTTCCGTACCCAAAGGGTAAAATGGGACCCTATTACTAAGACTCCGCTGTCCGGCCGTCTGTCACTAAGCTGTATCTCATGAACCTTGATAGTTAGACCGTCGAAATTTTCACAGATGATGTATTTCTATTGCCGCTATAACAACAAATACTAAAAAACAGAATAAAATAAATATTTAAGGGGGGCTCCCATTACAACAAATGTAATTTTTGGTCATTTTTATAGATAATGGTACGGAACCCTTCGTGCGGGAGTCCGACTCGCACTTGGCCGGTTATTTACCGTATGTACCTACTATGGGCGAGTCTCTACTCTCTCCCGTGACCATAATTGCTGTAAAGCATTTGAAACGTCGGGAACCATAAATCTAAATAAATTCGCGAAAAAATCCGAAAGGATAGTTTTATTTGAAATGTCAAATATTCGCGTAAATCTAAGAAAGTATTTTTATTTATTAGTTGAAAATGTTGACTAGCATAATTCTTTAATTTTACTTAGAGCATGAGATGTAAAGAGTGAAACTTAGGTACTATTACTTAGTTAGATAAAATATTTATACCGCTAAGTTACTACACAAATAAAAACAAAATCTAGTTTCACATTAAAAAAATCTAGTTTCATATAAAAAAATATACTAGTTTAATTTTTCAACAAATAATAAACAATGTACCAAAAACTATTTGATCACAGATGACATAACATACAGATCATTGCTATGCGGGGTGAAGGGGCGGGGGTGCACGCGACCCGACTGCGGGCGAGCGGGCGTCGGGCGAGTGCGCGTGGGAGGCAGGTGCGAGCTCCGCGCTACCGATAACCTTGCGTTAACCACTACCCACTACTAACTACCTATAACTTTGGATAATCAAACGGCGTGTTTATATTCCAGTCCGTATTAAGTGCCAACATATTGACACTTAAGAGTTAATTGGACTAGATGAAACATGTTATTAACTACTTTACGATTAATAATATAAAAGTCAATTAAATTTTAGAAAGATGTCCGATATTTACAAATCTATGTATGTCTAGCCATAGTTATCTATACTAATATTATAAAGAGGTAAAGTTTGTGCGTGTGTGACGTTGTAGGGGGTAATCTCTGGATCTACTGAACCGATTTAGATGAAATTTGGTAAGAAGATAGTTTGTGACCCTGGGGAGGACATAGGGTACTTTTTAATCTCGGAAATCATCCCTTAGGGGATAAAAATAGAGATAAGTTTGTATGGGGAATCAAGTTAGGGACGAACCAGAGCGAAACGAGGGTGAGTCGCTAGTAAATTGTAATATTATAACTAAATATGCATTTCATTATCAGATATTTCTTTCTACAATGTATTTATTTATACATTACCATGAACTCAATAGTTATGTTTCACAGAAAGTTAGATCATATATTTTCGCTTTAAATGGAGCTTAATCAAGCTAGTTGGGACAATTTGAGCCAATTTAAAGAAATGGTGGGCGAGATATTATTGCATAGGCTCCAGCTACGATTGGCTTTATGTACTCAAAGATAGGCCAATTGTATCAAGACCATGATGTCTCCAGTACGCGACTGTGTACATTAAAATTAACTATTAATAGACAGAAATCTTTAGGCAATATAAAACGGTCTTTAACCCGTGTTTGCCTTTGTGGATGCTAAGCTCTAAAGCACATACCTAATGTGTTATGACTAATTATGAAGCGGTTATATCAAAAATATATAAGTATTGTTTGTATAGCTTTTTTCTCAACATTTACATTCGTTACTTCCACATAGAAGAAATATCAATGATTCATGAAGCAGTATAATGATATTTATCAAAATTGGTAAGTACTAAATAGTGTTATTTAGTAAGTACTTACCATTTTAGTAGTTATTAATTTTTATTAAAAATACATAAAATTTTACCTTAAGTACTACTTCTTAAATTTATTTAAACTTCTAAGAATATAACAAGCACGTTTAAAAATTACTGAACGACACACGGTGCCTTTAGAAATACCGGCCGGTGACTAGTAAAATTTATACAATATGTATAAAGTTAAAATGCGTCTCAAAATTTTCCTATGTTTGTGTTTCCAGTAATATAATAATAAGATTTATAAAGTAATTCCGCTTAATAATTGGTTGTCTAATGTTTGATCGATGTTATATACAGTTTGATTCTTGGAATATACAATATGTACATCCATTGACGTCAGTGTTACAGATTGAACTTCTTAGAAACGAGGAAAGGATGATCAGAGGCATTTTGTTTACAGAACCGATAACTGTTTTTATAAAGGTGGTATACGAATTAAAATTAACAAAAATATACCTTTATGTAAAGATAACTAAGAAAACTGTCACGTTTTAAAGCTATGAACAAAAATATTAAATTGAACAATTGTAGGTACATACATACATCACAGCTGATGCCGTGTTTTTTAGTGGTAATGATGATTGATAAAGAAATTATTTGTAACATCGATTTTTCTTCCAATTTATATTTACTCGCTTGCACATATCTATTAAACATAAGTTTAAAGTGCCTACGCTACTTTATGACTAATCCGGTACTGGCAGGTACTCAAACATACTCGTATGAAAAAGTTGCTTCTCATTAAAACATAGGAATTGAGCTTTTTTTTATTAGTTTTATTAATAACTAGTTATGTACACGCTGGCCTAATTAAGAGATGACTCGATTCCAAACCGATAGTGGTTATGGCGCCGTTGAACGAGCGATAATTTGCAGATAACATATCAGGGGAACAAAGTCGCCGCACTGCGCACCGAGCGAGCCCCCAACCTCATCCTACTATCCATTACATCCTATAAACCAGACCATCTATTCTGTAATGCACTGACGAACGAACATACATATGTGCAATACTGTTTCATATTATTTTCATTGTGTCCAAATAAATAAATAATTAACTAAAAATATTTTATAGAAGAGATAGACGATTTTTAAAAAGTATATTCGCAAAATTTAACTTCACACAAAAATATAATAATCGCTGTTTACTTAAATTTTCGCTATTAATGTATACTATCTCAGAAAACTGTAGACATTTCGTTAATGTTTGAGGAATTTAACATAGATAAAAAAATCGAAGCGACTAAAACCAGCAATAAAACTATGTTATAAAAATGAAACAAGAATATTAAGTAGGATATATTTTTACACAATTATTGTTAATTCAAGATCAGCGTTGCGCAACGAGACGAAGTAAAACTAGAATACTGTGAGTATTATAAATATAAATATTTATTCTTCAAATTTAGTCACTGAACACTTGCAATAAAGAGGCAAGATTGAAGGAGTTAGTACAAAACAAAGACAGATCAATTTGAACTGGAGAAAAATAAAAACATTTGTATAAGGAATAGGTATAGAGATCATACCTGGTTGGAAGTATGAAATATAATAAACTAGCAATACCTGCCGCTTCGCTCGCGCTAAAACTACAAAAAAGCTCTAAAAAGTAAATTACCTATGTAAATACATATAAACTTACATCTAATATTTTACCCCTATGTAATGAATTTCGAAAAATGCTAAAACACGTATTTATTTTATTGTATTGAAGAGCATTAATATCAAATTTCATGTAATTCTGATCATAAATAATTACTGGGTCGTATTATAACGTGTTTTCCCGCGGGAATGAGATTATCTCCAGCGCTAAAAAATAGCCTATATCTCTCCAGCCCTCCAACTATCACCACACAAAAAACACGTCAATCAAGACAAACAATCAAACAAACAAACGCACTTTCACGTTTATAATATTATAAGAATGGATATTTAAGAATTTTATACTGTTCTGAAAAAAAAGATGTTTTTAATTTATTTTATACTTGAACTTAAAGTAAATATTAAGGTATCTACTAGAAAATCTTCTAACTATTAAAAGTTGTTTACTAGAAAGACGAGGCAATTTTTGATCCATATATGTAAGTTATTGTTTCCTTTTACTATTTAATTTTCCCCTATGAGCATATTATGCCCGGTTATGAGAACCAGATGCATGTCATTTCCTCTGTTATTAAATGAAAAGCATCTGAGATGAAATGATCTGGTGACTGGTAACCATATTGTATAATAAGTCATAAGTACTTATATGCCCGATTTCACCAACAACCCATAAAAGCTACCACCTACGTATGGGATCCCTAGCTTAAAAGTCCCCTAAACTAGCCCCTAAATTTAACTTCGTTAGAACCCGTATTTCTAGTAGGTACCTATATTTAGGTGGCATTTTAACATTTAGGTGACCCCTAACTGTCGATGAAACAGAAACTGTCCCCTAACAGCCCCCTAACTATGCTTAGGGGATCCCTTAAACTTAAGTGACGTTGGTGAAATCGGCCAATAGTCAGGTAATTTATTACAAAAAATGTTTACGTTATTCAATAAACGACACTGATAAAAGTTCGTAAAGTAAGTATGAATATCCATTTTTATCCGATTGTTACAGGAGAAGAAATGTTATTTTAAATCTTTTAAATTCGAAAATTCTCAACTTTTACGTTTATAATATGACTTGATAGAATTGGCAGGACGTGAGTGAAACAGGAACTTATTAATAAAATTGCGGCACTCTTCCGTTTGACGAAGACCGCAGCGATGCAGGCATCCGGCCGCCTTTGATCGTACGTTTATTATTAGTGTTAATGTTCCATTCAAAGTTCTTTGACTAGTATCAATAACATTAACCAGGTCGGCGGAGTCGAAATGACTTTGCGATGTTTTAAAAGCGCAGATATAATCTATTAGCGACTCATCCTCGTTTCGTTTCGGCTTCGCTACCCTAGACAAAAACAAATCTATCCCACGGGAATCGTACATTTTTACAAGATAAAAAGTAGCCTATGTGCTATTCCAGACTATAATCTATATCTGCCTGATGCTAGATGCCAGATCCGCTCAGCCGTTCTGGCGTGAAATAGTAACAAAAACAGTAAGTACTTATAATAAAATTGTAACTAAGGCGAATCTGTACATTAAATATTTTATGGAAAACCTTATTGAAATAGACATTATTATCGATACAGAGGCCGAATCTATAGTTTTTAGAACTTTTGTCGTCTGTCTGTTACCGCATCACGGAAAAACCACTGGATATTTTCATAAAATTTGGTATGGTGATAGCTGGTTATCCGGGTCAATAAATAGGATACTTTTTACCGTGTGAAAATATCTCATTTCTGAGAAAAAATACAAAAACTGCATTGTAAGAGTATACAAATATGTAGATGTACCTAAGAATTTGGTTTTTGGTCATCTGAATGCAGGCGGAGCCGCGGGCAATGCTAGTTTATAATATTAGTATAGATTTGGCATCAATTTTCCTTTTTGTAGAACGTATTTAAAGACATGGCCTCGGATCTATTCAATCAGTCACTATTGTAACTAATAGTAAACGTAACGACAACAACATAAGAAATGTGATTCATAACTGTTTGTTACACTATTCATCGAGAATGTACCTACTCAATGTTTATATAGTAGTTAAATAAAATCGTCGTCACCTTTTATTTGCATGATGTCAAGCTATTATCATAAATCATACACCTTTATTTATAATAGTATATGTAATATTCTTTTAAAAACTTTATAAGTATCGTCTATATCTTAGATGTACCTCTCACTATATATACTGTATTGTTTTAATAGCCCATAAAATATACCATAGACGGAAACACAAACGAGCGGGTTCGAGTTAGTCCGGCGATCATAATCTATCGTCTCGCATTGAGGAGCACAATAAGTAGCAGACTTCCTCTCCCACGTTTGGAAGAGCGGATGCCTCAACTTTCGGCCTCTGGCATTACTTTCAAGACATATCGTTTAGGTTATGGGGTGATGACAATTGTTTAAAGATGTTTTTTTTAATGTTATACTCCATGTCTTTACTAACAATGGTGTGGCTATGGTTCGTATTATTTTAAGGTAATTTTAAAATTCATAATGGGAGAAATGGAGTGGAATGTGGTAGAGACATTTAATCAAATGTAATTGAAAGTGAAAATTATTAACAGTAATAAATAATGAATTAAAATTAAAGTTTAGCTTCTTTTAATTAGCTAAATAAATCTAAAGATCTCACAATACTGCACCCTCATATTTTTTAGAACCTATTTAAGTAAACAAAATATGTAATTTTAACTAGGAATCGGTCACGACAAGCAGCCCATATCAATATTATAAATGCGAAAGTTTGGATGAATGTTTGTTACACAATTAAGCCAGAACGGCTGTGGATGTTTGGCACAGAGATAGCTTATAGTCTGGAATAGCACATAGTACGTCATTTTCATTCAAAAACAAAATGTAACTTAGACTAATAGTAGGGGAGCCCAAGAGGAGATTTTGCGATTTACTCAAGCGCGGCAGATTAACATGAGGGGGAATACCTTGCACTCGCACTCCGTTGAGTATCTCCAACATATAAGCCCACTGTATTAGGTCGCGGTAGGGCAGCCAATCAGAATATTTAAAAAGTTCATTACATATTTAAGTATTTCTAACTTATCAAAATATTTTTTCGGCTGCCCTTGACGCGCGATCTTCTATAGAGGACTTATATATTATGGCGGAGTTACTCAACAAAGTGTAAGAGATCCCCTCTCATGTTAATCTGCCTCACTTGAGTAAATCCCAAAATCCTCTCTTGGGCTCTCCTACTGTAAGTATCTGACACTAATGTAATTTCATTATTTTTGGTAGACAACAATTATATATTTAAAATCATATAAGAAAAGTAAAGAGCATATTGTATAAAGAATTTATAAAAGAAGATCAGTTAAAGATTTTCCTATATTCATTTTATAGTCATTCATAAGTGGAATTTCTTGCAAAATCCTTGTCATATTTAATATTCTCAATAAAATTAGATAAAACTGACAGGTTAAGTTACTGACAACAACAATGTATTTGGATATGTTAAATGTGACTTTTTCCATTTTTAAAAATTTAATACCAAAACAGAAAAATATATTTTCTTAACCAAATTGAAGTAAACTTGATATACATATGTATACAATACGTATATGTCTGTCTATGATTTAACACCTCCAGATAAATTTCTAAGAAATTAATTAAAATTCTAAGAAATCTATTGTTAACTAACACGCTGGCCTGTCGTATTGTTAACTAACACGGTCGTGGAGGGATTCAAGATTGAAGAAATATAATATCTGATTTTATGTACATATATATTATGAACAGTTAAGGAGTTCGAAGAGTCAGAATAGACTTCAAAATAAATCGTTTTCTTTTCATCGCAATATTATAACTATATAACATAGATGTTAGATTATATATAGACATCTGGTGTCATGTCCTGTGTTTTTTTAATTAGTAATCATTAATATTGTATTCAGTTAACAAGAAAATAAAATTATAATGGCTAGTATAATAAACATAATAAACTAGCCATATTAGACAACACATTTAGCTCAATTTGTTAGTTCCCTACTTGGGGTACCAGCGGTTGCGGGTTCGAGTCCCGCTGAAGGCATTCATTTGTGTGATAATCACGAATGCTTGTACTTCAGTCATGGGTGTTTATATTTAAAATATAATAATTTAAAGATAAATATGTGTAGGGTATCAACTATCTGGTATCCATAACACAAGCCTCATAGCTTACCATGGAACTAGATGGTACTGTGTTAATGTCCCAACATATTTCTTTATATATAACGTGAAATTGACTTCCATAAACAGATATTTTTATTCTTAATAAATAAACTTAAAGAAATGTTGAATATTTTAGATTAATATTTGTCGAACTATAACTACCACACAAGTGGTATTTCAAAAAGCTCAACAGTAGTAGTTTATTTTAGAGTTAAAGTTAAAAGTAGGAAAAAAAATCTATATGGTTATTGTACCTTCTAGACAGACGACCTGCACGCCATCTTGCTTGAGACGCTTCAGCAGGATGCCATGAACAGAATCTGGATCCCGCGGGGCACCATCACTATACAATACAAAAGTGCCCCGGGAACAACAGTGGGTAATCCGCGCTTTTAGCTCCTTACACTGAACAGTTGATGCCAGTTCGATTTTGCCAGCAGCTAATCTTCGCAGCATTATACTTGGTATTGAGAAATTTACTGCTGAACGTATATGAGATACAGAATACTCGTTCGATCCTCGACAATCTATTAAAATAGTATCTCTTTCATCTGATCGCAATTTGGCTAAAAGCCACTCCTTCGACACTAGGTCGCAGTCACTTTCCGAATCTGTAGGCATTTTGTGTTCACAATGTACTCCTCTGTTTACACGGGCCCTTTAAAACGCCTGTTGCACTTCTTCACTTTTGCGTATAAATCACGCATAAATTGAGTTTTTAAACACGAACATTTCTAGTATCACCAATATATAGTAGAATATGTTATTAGAAGTCTTAATTAAATGATCCCACCTATAAATAAACACTACACGGATTTCACGTCCATATCGAACAAAATACTAAGCGCTAAACGGCGCGAGGCGGAGCAGCAACAAATAAGTTGTCTTGAGTCTTCTATTTCACCTAGTGCGGGTTATAGGGATACCCACCTAAAGTTAGTCGATACAGATGAAATATTGACCATGGCAAGACTGATCTCGATTAATATCACAGATCAGAGAACAAATTAATATCTCTGTAAATATTAAAGATGTGATTAATAATACATATGTACTATAAAGGTGCGATATGTGATATCAATAATTATATTATTATTAGGAATTTATTCAATCTATAGTAAGTGCTAGTTTTTCGTATCTAATTTGCTGCAGTGGTGGTGGAACAAAATATATGCATATTTATTATTTATGTGCTATAAATACTTCTCTTCTTTATTAGGATTTTATTTAAAAAACAGACTTATAATAAATGCACGGCTAGAAATAACAAAAAGCCCTAATTCTTAAACAAGAAAACAGTACTTTACAAGCTAGAGTATTTCGTTAAAAATATTTTTAATATTTATTTTGAAACTGTCTTATTTAAAAAGACAACTAAACTAATATGTAAGTACTATTAATCATTTGACGTCATAAAATCATTAATAAAGTCGTATTAATTTGATTAAATAAATAAATGATTAAAATTCGACTTTGATTAAGGATATTTTCTTTCTAAATAAATACATATTTTTCGTCCGATGTTTTCAAATCATTAACAGATTTAAGAATTCCTTTTCATAATTTTTTGATACCTACTTAAATTAAAGATTTTAGCTAAATTGTTACCTATATTTATATCATCCATGATTTATATTTCATATTGAATTTCACGTAGGGTAACATATAAACATAAATAAAACGTCAAAAAGTGTAGTCTCCTTACTCTGTGGTCAAAAAGTAAAAACAGCTAGAAACTGTCGACTGCTTTGATAATTTGATATAAGTTATAATACAAATTTTGTAATAGCTTGTGATTAATATATTACTTTAAGTATTTCAACATTTAAGTCTTATGCTTGTGCAGTTAAATTTATTTATTTATTATCATGGAGGATATATATGAGAATTTGGAAAATTATGAAGATGTATATGACGTTAATGAGGTATCGTGTTTTAGCGCCAAATGTTATAGAATGTTAAATACACAATTATTTTAGTGTTATAGGCCTTATAGCATATTTATTTTATAAGTGGAAATAGCTAATTCTAATGTGGGTAAAATATTATACAATAATATTTTTTTAGCTCAAGAATGAAAACAAGGAACTTAAACTAAAACTTGAAGAATATTCTAGGGCTATGAATCGTTTACAAAAAGTATGTATTACAAAATTTAGATAAATTTTTCTAAACTTTAGCATTGCTTTGATTGTCATCTTGCTAGTAGGTACTACTAGCATTTTTGTTATTTTAGTATGTTTATTGTTTATCACCTCACTGTAGAATGGATGTGCATTGATAGTGTAGAATATTTTGCAGGATTTTGACAAACTGAACTCTGAATACAAAAAGTTGGAAATAAACTATTCCTCACTTTTAAAAACTGCTCGAGCCGAAATTGAAAGAAAAGGTGAAATTATAAAGAATTTAAATTTAGAGTAAGTACAATTTTCTTTGCAATATTAGATTTTATACATTCTTGCATGAATAGTTATATATTATTGTATTGTTTCAGGAAAGATAAGTTAATAATAGGTTCCCTACAAAAAAATGGAGTAAATATGTTAAGAAAGAGAAGTAACTTTCATGTATCACAGAAATCAACTAGTAGTCAAGATAAACTAGCTGATTCAGAGAAAAGCAGAACAAAAGAAAGTGTTGAGTCAAAAGATAATTTTTCTGGGAATAAAAGTAACAGGTACAATATATTTATTTATTTTTTTCAAGTTCAATTAAGGAGGAGGTCATAAGTTTGGTGCCTTTTTTATATCACAATTACTCTAGAAGATTAAAAGACAAAAATCTTTGAATAAAAGTATTTTGATTCAAAATATTTGATACTAGCGACTCACCCTCACTCTGCTCGGGCTCGTCCCTAGCTTGCTTCCCAATACAAATTTTCATCCCCATTTTCACCTACTTAAGGGATAATTTGCGGGATAAATTGTATCCTATGTCCTTCCCAGGGTGTCAAACTATCTTCTTACCAAATTTCATCTAAATCGGTTCAGTAGATCCAGAGATTACCCCTACAATGTCACAAACTCATAAACGTACAATTCACAAACTCACAAACTTTACCATAATAACTTTACTATATATAATATTAGTATAGATCGGTAGTTGTTTATTTGTGAAAGTTGTAAACCAGAATAGTTTCTGGAAGCAATCAATGGAATATTTTACATATTTTTAAATATGAACACCGACTATGCGGATAGATATTTACTGATCATGTGATTATTTTTTGTTTTAAAAGTATATTAAATTAAATCTAACCAAGTAATGGAGTTAAAATAGATCAATATTTTTTGTATGGCTTTTCCTGTCGTAGGCTGTAGTTATTTTATCAATGTGTTTTATTCTTTTCATTCTTGGATATACTAGAGATCATCAGGTTGCTGGTAGTCTTAAAAATTTTGAGCTGATAAATACCAAGGCCAAATATATCTGTATGTAGTTCTTCAAGCTATTTGCAATTTCAAATAGAGTGTGCTGTTGTTTTGATGTTTGCCAGAATTGTTGGTTGGTAATGGTTTGTTTGTTTGGAAATAATGTGAAATTTATATTTATTTCAATTAAATATATATTAGTAGAAGTATAGCTATAGTATGTTTTAACATTTAACGTTAAGGCTATTAGGATATTACTATAATTATTGAAAAAGTTAAAGGAAAATGGAAATATATTCAATTTTTTAGATTAGATCCAGTCGTGGCACCATCACTCAATACAATTTCAAGTTTGAACAATGAAAACAGGTCAACTTTTAGCGAAGAGAAATTGTTAAATGTTGACAAACATAAAATAAATAATAAAGAAATGAAAGAAAACATTACCCGAAATTGTCATAAGGATAGTACACAGACTAATGCACTAAGTAAGAGAATTATGAACAGGAGAAAGTCTACACCAGCAACAAGGTTAGTTTAGGTTTATATCATTTTGGAAAAGTGTTACAAGCAATAATGTTAATAAATATATATATGTATTTAGCTTCCAGGAATCAAAATTTAGTTCTGATGAAGAAGTAGAAAGACTAAATGTTAAAAATGTAAGAAGATCACCACCAAGAAGTATAAGATACGATAACAGAGATTATAGGCTAGACTCATGTAATTATTATGGATCGTCTGACTCAAATAGAAGTAGAAATAGTAATCACATGGACTCCAATACATACAGACATGCAGACAACTCTGACATGAAACGATCTCAGAGATATGTCAGTCCTGAGAGGCATCAACATAGACATAGTAATGACTATAGCAGACATAGGCTATTGAAAAGTCCACCACCAGACAAGTATAACCATTCTAAGAGTAGAGATAGGAGGTACAACCATGATAGAGAAAGAGAAAATTACAATGATAGGCATCGATATTATGAACATTCGAGTCTGAAACATAAAATGAGAAATGATTTTGATGAACCTAGCAGCAAACGGCAGAAGACTGAGCAATACAGTAAATGTCCATCACAAGATAGTAATTACATCAGTGACAGAGAAAAAGAATTTGGACAATTTTCTTGCCAGTCCCCTGACTATGTTCATAGTGAGAATCATGTTTCCCAACATTTTATTAAAGGTAAAAAGTAAGCATTTTGATATGAGGAATGAAAATGTATTCAAATCTTATATTAATATAGTCTTTAATATTAAATTCTGTCTGATCTTTTCTAGAAATTAGAAACACAGCTGCACTCGACTCAACTTCACTCGAAGATCCAAGGATTTCAAGTAAAAAATACATTTTGCAAAACCATAATGACCAAACCTTCCTTTCTATACCCTCAAATCGTGATATTTACATTCAATGTGTGGATAAAACAATATGGGGTATAGAAAAAGTGGAAATACCAGAAGCTTTGAAAAATAAGCCATCTTCTGTGCGAGAAACTGAAGATTATTTAAATCAAATATACAGTAATATGGAGGGAAATGAATCTTTGGAATCAGGAGATATTCAAAGCATAGAAGATGTTGTAATTTTAAATTCGAAAGAACTAAAGAAAGATGTAAATAAAAAAAAGCACAATATTACCAAAGAAAGTGAAAATGAAAATATGATCGACACGGCACAACAAATAATTGATTTAAAAGTGTCACAGAAATCAAATAGCAGTGAATATAGAATACCAAAAAAGTCACAAAAAAGCGTTAAAAAGCTAGACACGAGTTCAAAGGATAATGACAAAAAGACCATAACATACAAAGGAGACTTTAAAATAAGTATTGAAAGCAAAAGACTTAGTGCTAAGTTGAAAGATAAAGAACATGACTTAAATCTACAAACTAGTAGTAGTTTTAACAGCAAACAAACTACAGATGATAATAAAAAAGATCATAACAAAAAGAATAGTAATAAGTCCAGTGATGATAAGACATTGCAAGATAAAATTAAGACTGTTAAGGGAGACCTGGAACTAAGTGATGAAGAAAGTGACCCAATGGAATTTCAGAAAGAAATTGAAGATAAACTAGCAAATAATCAAGAATCTTGTGCCATATCATCTATTACTAAAACTGAAACAAAAACTAATGCTTTAAAAAAGATAGAACAAAATGTATCTGTCAATAAAGCAGACAAAATTAATACTGAAGCTACTATCTTAAAGGAATCTTCAAATTCGAGGGGTTCTTCAAAAGAATCCTGTCGGGAAAGCGGCAAAAAGCGTAGAGGTAAAAAGAAGTCAGAGTCTAAAGAAACTACTTCCATCAAAGATCCCGTTAAAGATGTAAAAGATAAAAAGAAAGGCAGTGAAAAAGACAACAAGAAAAGCAGTTCCGAGCAGACAGTCAATAAATTTAGCGATTTATTCGGCGACAGCAGTAGTCTTATAACGCCTGATGATTTAGGAATCGAAGATACTGATACACAAGTCCAGAACAACGTTAAATATACATCCATATTTGAAAACACTCAAGATGCGATTTATTTAAGTGTTGAAGATATCAAGAAAGCACAAGTGAGTACAACTGAAGTAAACACTTTCGATAATGTTGTTGAAAATTTGCCTACAGAAGAAATTGCTAACAAAACGAATTATTCTAACGTTATTTCAAATCTTACTTGTGAAAATGATAAAAAAGAAGAAAATTCAGAATCAAGTGAAAAGTACGAAAATACAAAAGGCGAAACATTGATGGAGAGTTCTAATGTTGTAAAAACAGTGATTATATCAACAGGAGTTCAGCCTCCGAGCATACCAGATAATAACTTAACAGAAATTAATACTTTGGCTGATGATAAAAGTGACAGTAATCATTTAATTATTAAAAAATGCTCTCTTAGTAATATAAAGGCTGTAGCAACTTCTACGCCGCAAAAATTTGTCGATCCACATGATACAAATTTAACAACACAAGATTCTGACTCAAACACGATTAATGCTACAGTAGAAATAAATTTGTCGTCTGTAAATAATTCATCTAGTGTAAATGCAAATGAACATGAAACTGAAGATGTACCAGATGTCAGAATATTTGTTAGGAGACGAAGGAAAGTTGTTAGGAAGGCTACTACATAGTTTATTTTCTTATTTTTTTATAATTTTTAAAGATTGCTAAACATCAATATTACATTAAGGTATTTGTTATTTTTTGTGTTTAAGTAAAGATGTACATAATCTTGTCGAACAGACTGAACTTTAGATTTGTATAGAAATAAAAGAAAATTTATTCCCATAGCAGTCTTTATTTTCCTTACAATAGTCCATACATTATCCCTAAGCTTTATATTTACATACTTTAAATACATCTATTCATTCACAATCACTTATATGTATATATGATATATGTCATATTTTTTATTTACACAAACGAAACATTGATACTAAATAGGACCTATTATATTATATAGTGTGAGTTTAACTCTTGATAATAAAAAATAATAAAAATATTACAACGCCATCAGCCGCCAGCGGCTTAACTTCCACCATTGGGCTTACCCACCAATTGAAGAAAACAATGTTGCAAACAACAGAAAAATTGCATTAACATACTTAAAAGTAGGCGGCATAGTTCAAAAATGGCTTGTCGAGCATGGAATTTTCAAAGATAGTTATAAAAAAATCTTATGGATTCCAAACAAAAAATATTGTATCTTGAGTCCTTTGTGTAATAGAAACATTCATTCAAAACAAGACAAAAAGAATGTTGGGTCTATAATACCTATATAGATTAATTTATATAAACTTTAAAAAAGTTTTATACATTTTAATTAAATTGTTCATATTAATTATATAAATAAATAATTTTACATTAATTTACAAAAAAGATCATATTGCTTATGTATGATGAGTTATTTATACAAACCAATATACTGTTAGAAATGGGTTGAACAAAATAAATTCTCAGCACGAGTGTCCTAAGAAAATGTTTACAACAATATTGAATGTTTGTAAGTCAGGCCATTTATAGCCGACTGCATTATTAATTTTGTGAGTCTATAATGGGTGACATTTTATAGGGTATAATATTTATAGTCGGGAATTAGGAAGCATTGAATTGCCTACGAAATATTTTAAGCAATTACGAAGCGTAATGTAGTTTTCAGTTTAAGAATTTGAGAATATGATGCGATTTATTTTCTAAAATATGAAATGTGGCGTATACTCCCTCGCTTCGCTCTTATTCGTCCATAGATACGTTTTAACAGTATAGATATCCCACGGGAATCGTACATTTTTCTGGGATAAAAGTAATTTATGTGTTATTCCAGACTATATGCCACTCTCTCTCATTCTCTGTGCCAAATTTCCCGTTTTAACTCGACCAACTTGTAAGTCAACCGTTCTGGCGTGATTGAGTTACAAGCATCCATCGATTCAAACTTTCGCATAATGGACTGAATATTAATTATATGTAAGAAAGTAGTTTACATTTTTTAATTATTTCTTGAGAAATGAAATATTAAAACCTATTTTTTTTTCAAATGAATTCCTTGATAAAATAATTAATAACTTAATTAGTTTCGAAAATAATATATAAATATATAAAATGTACTCTAGCTCTATAAATTATATAATTAATGTAAGAAAATGCGTATTCATCTTAATTATACATTTAAATATGGCAGGCACAGTAGGTACATTAATAGTTGTAACAACATTTTTTTATTATAATGGCCTCTACTACCGAATGTGTTAATAATTTATGTTACTATTATGAAAATTTTAAGAAACAAAACTGTCGATGTTTATTTTAATACTATGCGAATTAGTAAAGGCCGTTACAATGAAAATATAGTATCGATGGAAAATATGGAGCCATAATATAAGAAGGCCTTGCCCTAATCAGCGAGCATTACGAACAGCTTGTAACAAACTTGACAATGCTAATCCCTTTCATGGCTGTTATGTAAAATAAAAAGTAATAATAATGAGATTTCTTTGACTCAAGAAAAATGAAGTAACAATATCATAAGACATTGTTTAAAATTTAATTGAATGTACATCAATGATTAGGGCCGGCTGTAACATTGATAGGGTTGTCACTATCAGGGTTGCCAGTTGAGCCAACTTATTTTATACCGCTGGGTGATTCAAATTATACCAAATTAAATTTTGTTATACAAGTTAAAAAAACCGTAGGGAAATAGTCTGTGAAGAATAAAAAAATTCAATAAAAATCCGTAATTACTTAAAAATGAAATATACATAAAATAACTATATTTTACAATTTTCGTATCCAATTATACGATCTGGCAGCCCTGACCGTAACATTAATAGGGTTGTCACTATACTAATTATCACAGTGGGAGTTAGTGCTATAAATGTCTTTGGGCGTTAGATATTGTGTTTATAATGTTGGCGGCCATGGGGACGTCGTTGAGAAGGGGCGGGTTGGAGGTGGAGGGGGTCGGGACGGGCGGGACGGGGCGCGCGAGACTGTCTGCGTCCATACAAGGCGCTATGTGCTGGTAGCAGACTGCAGAGGCGTGTCCCGAGCGCACGGACGTGAGGGGAGTCCCGGGCTTCCACGTGTTGGTCGCCGGATCGTATATCTCCACCACGTCTAGGAAGGCCGTGCCGTCGTATCCACCTGTGTAATTGAGATAAATTTTATTAGGTTTTAATGCATAGTTAAAAATTACAGCTATAATTTTAAGAAATATACAAAAGCTAACATTTTGATTAATGAATAAAGATAATTTTTTTTTATGTGTATCGTCATGTTATCTTTATAATAAAATGTATTACAATTAGATTTATTTTAGATTGTCACAATGTGAAGATTACAAACTGTAGGTTTACAACATACATTACTATTCAATATTTGAAATATCAAACTCATTGTATTTAAATAGACCCGTCAATGAATTGTTAATCTTTACATTCATTTGGGTAAAGATAAGAGAAAGCAAGTTGCTTTCTAGACCCACTTCAAAAGGGAAGAAGGTACTCAATTTCGGATGTATAGTTCTATGTATATATGTTATACGCTATTTTTTAATGAATAGGTCATACATCAAGGTCTATATTTAGTATATACGTATGGTATGGCAATAATTACATTCAAAGGGATTGTCATAACACACAACACTATTAAGTTCCATGGTAAGCTACGAGGCTGTGTTATGGATACCAGATAGCCGATATATATATATATAACTTTAAAACATAGATAATATTATATATATACACCCATGACTGGAGTACAAACATTCGTGCTCATCACACAAATGAATTCCCCCCGCGGGACTCGAATTCGCGACTGCTGGCACAGCAAGTATGGTCACTACAAAGTACAAACTAAGCCAAACGTGAAATGAGTCAAACACATACATACATCTATACTAATATTAGAAAGAGGTAAAGTTTGTGACGTTGTAGGGGGTAATGTCTGGATCTATTGAACCGATTTAGATGAAATTTGGTAAGAAGATAATTTGAGATCCTGGGATGGACATAGGGTACTTTGTATCCCGGAAATCATCATTTAAGAGGATGAAAATGGGAATGAAAGTTTGCATAGGGAATCAAGCCAGGGACGAAGGGTGAGTCGCTAGTACATACATAATTAGATAGGCCACTAACCCATAGCATACAGCTTGTTGTCGAGCACGGCGAGCGAGAGCGCGGAGCGTGCGGCGCGCATGGGCGCCACCTCCTCCCACGCGTCGCGCTCCGTGTCGTAGCGCTCCACGGACGCCAGCTGCGCCGCGCCGTCGTACCCGCCCACCACGTAGATGTATTGGTTCCATGCTACTACGCCTGGGGATTTGTTTTGTTTAAAATTTAAGTTTTTTCATTTTATTTGCAATTAATATTGTCAATGATAAAATTTGTTTGTTACGTCTAAAATTTTGGGATAAATTTTCATTAATATTGTTTTGTCGCATAAATAAAACTTAAAGGTAGACAGAGTTTGAGTGTTGAATCAGAATTTGTCAAATTCAAGCGTGGGACGGCTCGAGAGTGACATAGGACATACTTTTGTTTAATTAGGGTAGAACACGAGGGAAGAGAATATACGTCAGTTTAGGTTTTAATGATAGTTTAAGAGATCTGGCGTTTCAGCATTTTATGATATTTCCAATAACATTCAGAACAACATTTCACATACTATCTTGACTGCCAAAGTTACTGAGATACCGTGCCTCAGGGCCAATTTATATGATATCATAACGCGACACGCGCTTATTACGTGATTATATTAATACGAACGTAATTAGTCAGCATTTTTTAAGATTTTCAGAGCAGAAGAATGTGCAACCGACGTACATTCATGATTTGCACATACCGACGTATTCGTAAACTCTTTTAAGTTTAGTTTATCATCCACAACACGCGAGTCGTCAGCACGTTTACAAAATGTAATGCTGCAATGTGCATTAGGTAGGTACACGGCAACGCGGTGGCGGGAAATTCCCTCCGCTCTGGCATTGTGCGTCAACTGACACTCGTGACGGTAAAATGTGTGACGTAACGGGGATAAAATATCTTAAGATGGTCAGTGTCATATCACGTGATATTAAAGAGTCACTTGTGTGGTCAAATACTTATTTAAAAAAATAAAGACTGCGTGTGAAGAGTGTGTACGCGCGCAAGAAGTAAAAGTTCTGTAGTTTATCGGTACTATTTATGAAATTCAATTTTTGTTTTAAATAATTAGGATAGGTGAGATACTAAAAATAACGCATACTTATTAGTCATATTATAATCATATATTTATAGAATCATTTAAGGAAAGAATATAATATTATATATCATTTGTGAGACAATAACAACGGTTACCATGGCAACACACGTACGTACATTTTTTCGTCACGCATTCATCAACTTACCCCCCAAGTCAAGCGTGCATAAAGAAGTTTTACTTCAAATAATAGAATAGAATAAGAAGTTGCTAGTACATAATATAGGTAAAATATCAGAAATCGATCTTGTAAGAAGTGTTCTGAGCTGGTTCTCAATATATTTTTGGGTTAGTTCTTTGTATTTTAACTTTACTGAATTGATGTAAAGAAATTATATAATACCAAATGAATCGTAAATTACCACTCGGCGGAGACGGTGTTAGGCTTCCGAGATATATTGAGGTAAATAACGTTTAGATGAGAACTAAGGAAACTGTTAGTTGAATACACCTAAAGGTTGAGTTTATTTGTAATGATTGTCATTATTTTAATATTTACTTTTAAATGTTTACGTTTAAATATTTCGGAAACGTGACACCTTAGGGCATAATATTGCTAACACTTTGTCATTTGTTTAAGTGTCTTCTATCCATACAAACTCATTCAATACTGCGCCGCAAGTTTAAAAAAAAATGGCGAAATGCCCTATCTCATTTACATAGATTGACCGATAAATGCATACATATATTTTAAAAATAAAAAACCCGACTGCATAAAAGCGAACTAAAAAAAAGAAAACAAGTTCACGAAGGAGTATAGTATTATGCAGTCGGAGACATACACATTTCATCCTTGCCGCGAGATGTACACTCTTATACATACATATCTAAGTTGATAAACACATTACCCTCCTTTGCGTCGCGCAGTCGGTTAAAAATAACGGAATATTCTCGACGAATGCACTCACCCGCGCCACTCCTCGCATAATGCATGGAGGCGACCTCGGTCCAGCGGTTGTTCTCCGGGTGGTAGCACTCGACGGAGACGGAGCGGCGCGCGCCGTCGAAGCCGCCGGCGGCGTACAGCAGGCGGTTGACCACGGCCACGCCCACGCCCAGCCGCGCGCGCCCCATCGACGCCACGTACGTCCACGCGTCCTTCTCGGGGTCGTAGCTGGATAGGTATACGAATGTATACGGTACTAGCGAGTAGCGACTCGGGTTCGTCGGTAGTAGGTAGGTTTTAATTCTTTTGAGCGGAACCCTAATTCTTTTTCTAAAATAAAATTAGCCTATGTTACTCCCTATAACATCAGCTATCTTCCAGTGAAAGTCCCGTCAAAATCAGTCCAGCCGTTTCAGACATTATCCGGAACAAACAGACAGAGAGGCAGACAGACAAAATTAAAAAAAATGTATTTTTCTTATAAGTACCGTATATAATTTCATATGCATTTAGTAAAACGCTGTTATTTTGACATTACAAACAGATACTTATTTTATTAATATGTACAGATATATAGATTAGTCAAATATCCCTAAACATTTTTATAAAATTGATTACTATCGATGATATAACGTGAGTAGCTCCGTTTTAATGGGAAGTAAACGAAACTTTTTGAAATTTAAAAGTACTCAAAAGCATTTAAATATAGGCTTCAGGCTTTGTTAAAATTGATACAGTAGTTTTTGCGTTATCTAAACATATAATAAAATTTTAACTGAATCGAATCTATACAATAAATATTTTAAGGAAAATCTTACTGAAATAGTCATTATTATAGATGCAGAGGCCGAATTAACAGTTTTTAGAATTTTTGTCTGTCTGTTTCTATCTGGGAACGCATCACGAGAAATCCACTGGACAGATTTTGATGAGATTTCTTTTTACTTAGTAAACGTTAAAACGTAACTGAGACGAAACCCGAGCGGAGCGATAATTTTGGACATCTAAAGATATTCATAGTGTAGATACTGAAACGCCACACACTAGGCATTCCTACGAGCCGAGCAGTTAAATTTTATTCAAATCTATCAGTTCAGCATAAAAGAGTAACAAACAAACATTGTTTCGTTTATGTAAACATAGTACGAAAAAATTTAAAAATAAAAATGTAAATAATATAGCTGTAAAATTCTTCTTAATGAAGATTGATATATTATGTTAAAGTATCAGTAACATTTATACAACAAAGTACGTAGTTTGAATCATTTAAATTTTAAATAATATCCGACAAAATCACCCTTAGGCTTAGGTTTCACAAAAAGGAAAAGCTATTTTTAGTGTAAATGAACCCTTACTTACCATTCAACAGTTTTATGATACTCTGAGCCCGCAGATCCACCCACTGCGTACAGCAAGCCATCCATCACCGCGACACCCACCTGTTAAATCAGCAATTAATTATGTTAAACATTAATTTATCTAATATATAAATATCTCGTATCATTCAATACATATACCGTATCTCGGGGTTTGTGGTCGCAGTTCGAAACGGCTCGACCGATTTTAATGATTATTTTATGTATATTTGGTAGGTATGAAAACATAGTGTAAAATACGAATGTAATGTAAAGTATTTTTACCCTCCTACCCTCACTTTTTTTTAGTAACTAGGAGTGTACTCCCTAGTCTTCTAATATATAAAATACTCGTGTCACAATGTTTGTAACAAAACTCCACCGAAACGGCTTGACCGATTTTTATGAAATTTTGTGTGTATATTCAGTAGGTTTGAGAATAGGAGGTAAACTATTTTTCATATCCCTTAGTGATAAGGGTGGTCCACCCCAAAAAATTTTTTTTACTTTTTGGACAAAAACAATTTTTTTTTATCATTCGGTATTAAAGAATACATACAAACCTAAATTTTAGTATTAGTATAAATATTTGAGAAAAAAACGATTACAAGGACATTTAAAACACTGGTGTCTATAAATATGTTGGGAGAGACTGCTCATTATTATCAAAAAAACAGCTTGGCAATAACATTTGTTATAATGTGAGCACTGTATGTAAAAAAGTAAAACATCACCTTAACGAAAAAGCAGGACTGACAGAGAAAAAGCATATGTATAGGAAAGAGAGGGAAATAGTAACTAACAGTTAGCTTCAAATCAGTACCACTGCTATATTGAAATGAAAAAAAAAATGTCTTAATAAATCATCTATCACTATTAAAGAACTAGATACACAATCCCATGCAAAAGTTCTCTTAAAAATGTCACCAATTGTGTTTAGATAATTCTAGTTGACATAAATATACAATACACAATGTAAATTTAACCTTAAATGCAACGCTTAAAGTTGTTTTCACAAAGCTATGCACAAAAAGAAATATTTTTTTATGACCGAGACTTGCTGGTCAACATAGATCAAAACAAATTCAACCTTACACGCATGTCGAAAGTCAGAATTACGAAGTGCCAAAGAAAGCAATAATGTTATTACTACTTAATTTAAAAACTATTTTTACGATGATTTCTTGACAAAATAACATTATTTATAATACAGCGATAACAATTATGCATACAATGATAATATTAATACTTACCGAAAATATGAAACTCCATCCTTTTTTAGCGTCCTAGATTTTTGCAATTTTTGAACGCGCACTGAGACATGTCGGAGCGTTCGAATGCTACTAAATTCACACACACACACAAATGTTCAACTGGGCGTTCATTCGGTAAGGACATTTATTGTCGCTGATTATGTATCTAGTTCTTTATTAATGATCGATGTACTAAATCTTTATATATATAATTCTTCTGTGAGTGTGTATGTCACTGAACTTCTCTCAAACGACTGGACCGATTTTGATGAAATTTTTTGTGTGTGTTCAAGGGGATCTGGGAATGGATTAGATTTACAATTTGAATAATAATTTTCATCAAAAAAAATATTAAAAAAAGTTTGAAATTTTCAAATTAAAGACGTGTAGACAGGACAACGTCTGTCGGGTCCGCTAGTATATGTATATGAAAGTGTGTGAGAAAGACATACAAGAGAGAAAGAGACATACCCTGTGTCGAGGCGTGGACATAGGGCTGCAGGGGCGCCAGTGCTCCGCGGCGGGGCTGTAGACGTCGACCCAGTCGCTGTCGTACGACGAGCCCGGCGACGTGTTGCGCCCGCCCACCGCGTAAAATAGACCCTGCGAGTGATATACTTTATTATGTTACTTTCTTTTTAATCACTAACGATTTTATCTTCGCTTCTATCGGATGCGTCTTTAGACGCCTAAAAGTAGCCTACATATATGTTACTTCAGGTCAAGGTGTATCTATGTATTGAACTTCATCCAAATTCGTCCAGCCCCTTGACCGTAACAGAAGTAACAACGAAACACACAAACATTATCACGTATATAATAATAGCCCGATGTGTTCAAATATAACTAACTATACATTTTGAAATCCATAATTTAAAAGGCTACATATAACTTGGCTCCGAAATAAATGAATGAATATGAAAAAAATATAATTAAGTTTCCTTTATTGACCTAAACTTAAAAATTACAGTACAAAATCATACCTTGAGAAAAGCTGCTCCTAATCCAGATCTTGGCACAGTCAGTCTAGGCAGTGTAGTCCAGCAATTATCATCTATGTTATAAGCTTCAAATACGTCAATAGAATGCCTAAAGTATCCACCCGCAACGTAGATAATTCGCGGCGTGTTGGGTCTCCGTTCTTTTACAACTGGTTTTTTGTGAAGCGTCAGATCCTGTGTGTAATATTATTTATTTACGCAAACTAATGAATCATTATTTAATATCAAGTCAGTTTTAGCATTGTATATCCAATTCATTAAAATATTGGAATTATTAATAAGTAGATACTTTAAACAGTATAAAAGCACCTACGATTACAAATTTTCCTCAAATATCTTTACTAGGTACCGTCTAATCGGAGATAAAGAATTGAAATGGAAATGGCAACTCATTGTGATTGCCAATATACTGTTTAAATGTACTTACTCGTTATTTAGATAACAGCATTATAAAAATGTATTGAAAATAGTAAAGTTTGAAAATTTTTAATGTTAAATATTATATATAACTAAGATAATATTTTCGTGGCTTGATTAAAAGCTCAAGCTTTTCCTCGAGGAAAACGTAAAAGGTTAATATTATTAGAAATACCATTTTGTCTAGTCTATACCGGCAGGTGTGAGTAAAGACGGCGATATATTTCAAATGAGAAATTAATAGAGGCGTCGCCATTTATAATCACATTCTATATCTGCACGAGTTATACACAACACACTATTTGTTTCAAGTATTTTTTTTTAAATTTCTAAATATAAATTGACCAATGTGTAGTGTATAAAGTAATTCAACATAATGTGTTTTATATTTAATTTGCCATACGTAGGTATTTAGTTAAAAATTTATTACCTTAAATATTTTAGCGAGATACTCTCTACAAGCAGGAACTTTTTTCAGTACAGAACACGTGCTCATTTGTTCTTTGAGGAAGCTAGGTGTCAAGTATTGACAGCGAACTGCTTGCAATATGTGTTCCATTAAGGGATACCTTCGGTCTTCGTCAAATTTTACCTGTTCAATAGAAAAAAATATCTTTAAACACTTACATTCATGAAAAGAAATTATAAACAAACTGAACTTTTTTTTATTAAAAAAAAAACAAAAATAATATCTTAGATATATATTATATATGCCTCTTAGGCCGATTTTACTGGTAGGTGAAAATACTAAAGGCAAAACACTTGCATGTGTTATAATTGCGCAAAAGAGACCTAAAATATGTCATGAATGGGTTTATTTAGCTTTTAGATTTTGGATGCTTGTAAAAGGTAACATTTTGACAATAATTTTTTTATTGATTTTTTTACACAAGGATGATAACATATTGTAATAAAAGCCTTGGTTTAACTTTTCGAAGACGAAATCTCTAGAAAAATATCGCTTAATATACTGTCTCACACAGGGAATATACCTGTGGTGCGACTTGCTAACAAATAAAGGTGATAATATGATATTGTCAAAAAATCTCACCACGACATTTATAATACGTCTTTATTAAGACAATGGTTAAAATAAAATTTTGCTCGGAAAATAATTAAGGCGTGCGAGTCCAATAATAATAAATGATATTGTATACATAGTACATACATACATATCCATAGCACTGGATGAATATTTTTTTTTTATTTTTAAACTGCGAGAAACATTTTTTATAAGTTAAATGTAATTTCAAGGTAGTTTAAGGAAATGATGCAGATAATACGTATTAAATATTTCTCGTTTTCCTTAAGGGATGAGTAGTAAAAATAAGCTGCATACTAATTATTAAAAGTCATGATTACTTACGATTTATCCTCTATAACAATAAAATTAATTAAATGTTACGTTTTACAAACATTAAATGAAAAAAAAAACTATTAATGAATGATATGAAATTGTGTAATCAAGTAAAAAATAATAAGACTCACCCAACTCAAAACTGCATTGTAAACTTCCCTTTCTTCCCGAACGTTAAGTTCATCTTTTCGTATTAAACATATTAGTTCTTGGGCTGTTAACTGTAAAAATTCTTCTTCTTTGCATACCTTAAAAAAAACCAAAAACTTTATTATTTCAAGAAATAAAATATATATAACATTTTTGTAATTGTAAGACATTAATTTTGATATAGTGTCCAAATATTTTTTCTGATTTTTTATCAACCGGAAGATGTATTTATCATTATTTTAATGTTAACTTAATTACTTTTTTATGATATAAATAAAAATAAAATGAATAAATAATAAGTGCAAAATGTACGTAGTGCTGTCCTTAGCCAGCAAAAAATGCCAAAGTCGTAGTCATATTTTGTTCATAGTACCATACTCGATTTTACGCCGAAAAACGCGCAAGCATACTGTGCATTTTGGTCCCTTAGATCAAGGATCAAAATACGTAGACTTTTATGTAATTGCTACTCTAATTGTATGGAATATATTACTTTCGATAATCGATTAGGAATGTTAAAAAAATGATTTTTGTATTTTTATTTTTTTATTTATTATTTCTTGTTATAGCGGCAATAGAAATAAATGTATGTATTCAGTCCTTTTTAAAGTCCCACTGCTGGGCACGGGCCTCCCTTCAGTACGAGGGGGATCAGGCCATAATCCACCACGCTGGCCATGTGCGGGTTGGCGGACAATAGAAATACATACTGTGTGAAAATTTCAACTCTCTACCTATTACAGTTCATGAGTTACAGTCCTCTGACAGACAGACGGACGGACAGCGGAGGCATATTAAAAGCTTTTACTTTGGCACCCTTCGGATACGAAACCCTAAAAATTATATGGCATTTTCAATCGGTAGGTACTGTTAATGATAAAACACCACAAGCAAAATTATTTGCATTACTATTTATTATTAAAAAACAGACTCATTATAATCTAATAGATTGTAAAGAGGGAAAAAACGAGCTCCAAGTACGCGTGGAATTTAACCTGTTGTACTCGTTTAGATTGTTTAATAAAAAGAATTAATTATGATTAAAATTTGCTGTGAATTTTATCAGACGGTATGACGTATTAAAACAAATATAGGTATGTACTATGTACATATTTAGTTCTGAATAAAATATTTCATCTACTACTTAGATAATATGTTTAAACATATCAATAGATGATAAGCAAATCAAAATAATTGAAAAAATTGTAACCACTATCATGTATTGTAAGACCACACTCATCGCGATAGTTTTCCGGCGATAAAACTTAGGCCTACGGCGAATGTGCGTAGCCACAATGCATCGATGTAACGTAAATCGCGATGAACAAACGCGAAAAACAAAATAGACGCCACGGTCGCTCTTTATTTTATGGCAGCAAACTCAAGCGTCATAACATATGAGATTGTTTCTCTTGTAGCCGACTTCTTTCGGGTTCCATAATATAGGCTCAGACTCGTAATTATTCATAAATTCTAAAGTTTTCTCGTTACTCCAATCTATGTCGAAAATTGGTCGCAAACTCTTAATTTACTCCAACGCGTACGCAACGCAAGATGTCTGTGGGCCGAATGAAGTGAGGCCGCGCAAGCGAAGTTCGTCGCGATAAAACGCTTTGATTTGCGATAGTTTACCAACAGCGGAGCAATATGCTTGCGACATCACCCGAAGTATAATTCTAGAATATTTGGCTACATAATGTACATCGCCATAGCCCAATGTTGCTGCCTAGATATTAGATAAATTCTCATTGGTAACAACAATCAGGATTCGTTGAGATATTATAACATCTATTTACTATATAAAAAGTATTTTGGAGACAGACTGTTGTTATTATGTACTATGTTAACAATTCATTTGTATTTTTCTTATGTTATCGTACAATAAACCCATTTAAGCTAGTTAAGTTCAAGTTTCGACCTACATACATTATCATAACATTGATTCATTTCCATTTGATTCATTTTCATTGATTGATTTCATATCCATACTAATATTATAAATGTTAATGTGTGTTTGTTTGTAATTTACCTATATGTACATATAATATTATATTATATGTATAGTCTATCCTATCCTATTTCATACTTACCTTCAAAATGTGCCTAGCGACGAAGTAGTGAGCCACTAGTATTTTATATATATGCACAATCGCCAATTTGAAACAAAACTATACAATTTACCAATATTATAAAATGCAGATTTATTTAATCTAAAATTAATATTGTGGTTAAGACATCTTTGTTTACTACTGTAATTTCAATGTAGCACCCTATACATTAACGCATACCACCTGCATACACCAGGTGGTTATGTGGGCCCCCCCAACGTGCGTTCACCTTGTCGTGGTGGGGGGGCTCAGTAGCAGTAGCGAAGCTAAGAAACGCACAGGGAGGTTGCCCACTTCGGTGGGCGGTGGGAGGTGGCCCTCTTCGGAGGGCGGTGTACCATGCGGGTTGCTCCTGGTACTTCTCTGATAGCAGAGTGGACTGTGGAGCAACCCCATGGTTGTGATGGTCTGCTTCGGCGGACCTGCCGTCGGGGCGTCGTAGTTGAATGCGTAAGCGATCCTGCGACGCCCCATTAAGACGGGGGAAGGTTTTGTTGGGTTTTAGTGGGTAGTACTGGCTGTATTACGCCGGTGAGTCCCACACGTCGTGCGTAAATGCATTTCCCAACGTTAAAAAAAAAAAAAAAAGGTGGTTATGTGGGACTCATTGGAAGACTCATAGAGAAGTCAGTACTATTCACTAAAACCTAACAGACTTAATGGGGCGTCGCAGGATCGCTTACGCACTTAAACTCTACAACGCCCTGACGACATGCCTGCCGAAGCAGACGGCAGACCATACAACCAAGGGGTTGCTCCCATGGCCCACTCTACTGTCAGAGAAGAAACAGGAGCAACCCGCATGATACGCCGCCCAACGCAGTAGCTTGGCTTCGCACCCGGCTTGATTGCCGGACGCTAATGAGAGTCTTCACCTCGACAAGAGAGGCGGGAGCATCCTATTTTACAACCAAAAATATAAAGAAATAATGTAACTGACTTCCAAAATTAGACGTATTCGTAAAAAAGACATACTTACTTGTGTGAAATGTCTCTCTATAAACTGGTTGGCTTTCTGTTTGAGTTCCACGCAGCCGTGTTGTTCTGCAAAGTTAGCGATTCCGATAGCGTTCGAGGGGTCCAGCTGCCTTTCGAGAAACGCACAGCATGCGTCTATAACGTTTGATATCTGAAGCACACAACTACAATATATGTCCTTTCACACTCTAGCAAACTTTATTCTATCTATACATATAAATAATTATTTTTTTCAAATAACAATTGCAAATTTAAGACATAGGTATGGTTATTTGTACGATACCAAAACCCAACCAACCATGTAATAAATCTGTCCGTCTGTTAACTCATTAATATCTGTAACGGATAAATCAATTTTAAAACGATTTTTTTTCATAGGTCAATAGTGCAATTCTGTAAGAACTTTTATGAAGCTCGACAGCTAAATCCACGAACATACCTACTTCAGATTATTTGTGTGCAAATGTCTATTACTATCGTAAACGCTTGTTAATTAAAAATTCGTATAGAATAGCGCTGACAGGATTCAGACCTATGAGATTGTTCTAGAGCTCTCTTATTGGTAGATGAGTTGGCTTAAGTAGTTATAAAATTGTAAATGGTTACTAATTAAGTTTGTAAAAAGTTAAAAATTATATGTAAAAATTATATATAAAAAAAGATATGATAATATCCTTCGGAAATTTTTTAACATTACAGATGATACATTATTATTTATTATACAACCATAAATACTCCATCTCATACAAAGAATTTGGACAGCTTTAATTTGGGCTATTTTTATTTTCTTAAATAGACGGATTATGGCGTCAATCTGCAAACCGTCGAATTACTTATTTTATAAATATCTTAGAGTAGAATAACTTATAAAATGTTAACAGCGCCATCTATGAATACGTAGTACAAAATCATTTTATGATTTTTTGGCTCATTTTGCAAAAAATCATTAAAATTACGGAAATCAGATTTAAGAAAGCATTGTTTTATTTTCCTTTACTTGGAGTACCTACATTTTAAATCTGAATATATATATATATGTATATGTATATATATATATATATATACATACACGACTGACGACACGTTTGGCTCATATATATATATAAACGAAATTCGTGTTAGTTACACCATTTATAACTCAAGAACGGCTGGACCAATTTTTAATTTTTATATTTGATTTTTTGGATTTCTCTTAGTCCGGAATAAGATAATAAGCATTAAAACATCAGAAAAATTAACGAAAAAAAATTATATCTCTAACGCTAGTTATTAACTATTTATATCTATTTAAAGTGTACCTAGCGACGAACCCAAGCGAAGCGAGGGTGAGCCGCTAGTATCTAATATATTTAAACGAGCAATTCTTGTATATTTATTAATACCGGCGATCTCGGAAACGGCTACACATCTAGGTATAACAAATCGATACGTATAACGTCATGTTTTGGCATTTATTTGAACGAATATTTCTTTTGTTCCTGATCAGATGGTAATACAAGTTTCCAAGAGACCCACATAATATATTAGCATAAAAAGTAGTCCATGTAAATCGTCCAGCCCGTAACAACTACTTTTGTGCACAAAAAAAACACATATATACAGCTATCGATAGACATTAAATCAAATATTCGTGAAGATGACAAGTACAAATTAAATAAATAAAGGAAAAGTGGTTTTACTTCATTCTCGTAACTTAGCGAGCGTTTTATGTTTATTAATGTAATATCTCTGAGAATATCGTGATTGTGCGAAGAATTTTGCAGAGTCATGTTCACATAAAAACATAATGTACTTTTTATTTATTTTATTTAACTTTATACAATTACTAAAATAAGCTTACGCTTACATTTAAGCGAACGGAAAAAAATAAATATTTTAAATGCGTGTTGTTTTAAAGAAGGTATAACAACGTAGATCTAATAGCATTCTGCGCTTATTCTAATTTCTTTGGTAACCCAGCAAAGGATAAAATCACATTATCTAAACGCGTATATATTATGAGCGTTACAGTACACATTTTAGTTTCCACACATAACTGTTATGAACTACGTTTTATCTAGAGGACGAATGTATTGAATATTTACTTACATTAAACCAAAACACTTTTCGCTTTTAACTAGCCATAACCATAAGCCAGAGCACCAGATTTGGGCATTGTTGTTTCATCACGAAGTATATATATAAGTATGTATATAGATAGATGTATCGCAAGTTTGAATCGAAATAATTTATGCCTACTTAGTTATTAGAATTAGACTAGAAGCAGACAAAATTGAAGGATACAGTTAGGCCATTAGTATTATCGCAGTTCATTGTTTGATACACGAACAGTTACTGATTACTGTTATGTACAAATGAGATATATAGTAATTTATTTTAAGAGATAACGATATTACGTATTCTTCAAAGACAACAATATTGATTTTGGACATTTTAGGGCAGTGATTAAGCAATACATAAAAAAAATTTACACTTGGGGATATCCATAGTTTACAAAGGCAAATGAGTAAGCAACCAAATAAGGGCTAAAACTATTAGATAGTAATCTCAAACATAAATTTTAATTCTTCGCAGCAATAGCAGGTTCAAGCAAAAAAAAAACATTTTATTTCAATTTACAATACAGTATTTTTAAAATAAGTAGGATTAAAAATGTAAAGTCACATGTTATGTTCCTCGTCGGGTGGATGGATTATTATTCATGACGTATGTTCGTAAAAATATATGATAATTCCTTTATAAATATTATTCATGATTTATTGTACCATTAAATAAAAACAAAAAAGTGTCTAGCGTGTACTTATAGATGTGGAATTTTATGAGTTCTTTACCACGATATCGATTATTGAAATGAAATGAAACTTTATTCGAATAGACTTACTCGTATTACGAGAACTTTTGAATCGTCAATTTAATTTAAAGAGCGTCAGTGTTGTCAGTCCGTAAAGCTACCACCGGCTCGGAAAGCAGTTCTGCTGAAAAGAGCCATCGAGAAACTCAACAGTTGCTCTTTTAAATATCGAAGTTACATTTATAAATATAATATTATAGAAAGCCTGCACAATTATGAGTCAATTCGCTGAAAAATCGCTATCTTTAGTCATTTACACATTATTAAAAATGAAATAGTTTCACATCGACAGCGGCACCCCCATTTATAGGGACGACTTTTTGTATGGAATGAGATCTGCACTATAGTCCATTGGCGTTAAGAAAATAGTGAGTCATCAAGTGCAACGGCAGGTAAAGGTGTATACATAGTGGGAGTAAAAATTCAATATTTCAAAAGATTAAGTTTAATGTATACTTAACAAGATTTGGGATGATAATGACTTTATTTTGATTTGAGATAATTAATCAACTTAATTAACTTAAATCAAAATAAAGTCATCATATAATGCTAATGCCGAGCGAAGCCGCGGGTTCTACTAGTAATAATATAATTACATTGCTATGAATTGTATAATAGTAACTCGGGCTTTGATATCGTGCAAATAATACAAGCGACCAAATAATTTTGACATATATTCTTAAATTAACATAATTTTATCAAATGGCACTTTAATATTTCAGTATAAACATAATACCTGGAACATCGTAGCAGCCGGGAGCAGTTGGCACACGGTGACTTCCGTTATGCGAACTTTACCGGTGTACATAAAGTATACAAGCCACGCCATCGCGGACGGACAGACTCCCTGTAAACGCACGCGCGACATTTCACTCTCTTTAAGCCCGCTTGTAAACATAGCCTGTAGAAAAAAAGTAACTTATAAATAACAATAAAAGCATTTTGCCTTACATACCATTAAATTCTGTATCATTTAAATTCATTCAAATGTTCAAAAATCTGAGTAAATTAAACTGCGCACAAAATCACAATAAGGTATTTTCATACCTTAAAATATGGGCTTCCAGCGGCCAAGACAACTTTGTGGACGTGAAACAACTCTTTTCCGACTTCTAAAACTACATCTGTAAGCATGTGATGCGATCGCATTGTAAATAACATCTGGAACAAGTAAGTATACTGGATTATTTTTTTACAGCGATTTAAGTTTAAAGTCTCCGGTGATCCGACTGGCATTTTTTTTCAGTGCTCAAGTGAGGTTCAGTGAGTTTAGATATATTCTTCTATTCTAATATTATACAGAGGAATATTTTGTTTTTTTTTTGTTTGTTTGTATCGAATACGCTCCGAATCAAACGCGTTTATATATGCCTACATATTTTGCTAAATAACTAAAGATAAGATTATTTATGTATAATTTTGATTTAGTTAATTTTATTAAAACTTCATTGACAGATTTTAATTATCGCATAACTTTACAAGGCAAATACTTTTTAGGGTTCCGTATTGAAAAGGAAAAAACGGAGCCTTTATGTTGTCTGTCAGTATGTCACAGTCATTTTACGGTGTGATCATTTTATTGTATCTACATCTGAAAGAGAGCGTCCGAAAGAATTTTAAACTCTTTGGACATTTTGGAATTTTTGGTAAGTATAATACACTTACCTACCTATTGAGTAGTTCTTGAGTTATGGGACATTTTCACCCTTTTTTTATTTAGCAGTCGCAGCAAAGTTGTTTTTCCTAGTATATTTAAACGTCGTTATTTTATTTTATATTTATAACCTAACAAATTACGTAAGTTAATACACAATCTTATTATAATATGATTCAACGGAACCCTCAGTGCTCGAGTCAAATCACACTTGTTATATTTTATTCATTTTTCTATAGTTTAGACTTTATACCTAGTCAACTCGTGTGACTTTTGGAAACCGCGCCGTCACGTCGGAAACAAAAGTAACTGTTCAATTAAATATAGTAATATTTACATTATAGCACTCTTGTGATATGCTTTATCAACAAAAACTATTATTTGACGCTAATAATATGCCCGCTAAATATATTTTTTCAAATTCATATTCATATTTTTTGTCTTATAGGTCTCTTATAGATACTTGTAGATTGTAATAAAAACAACGATGTTAATGTAAAAATATAAAATTTTTAACATTATAACGAAACTATTTTATGTATATTAATACACAGATACAGCGTATTACAGTGAATAATATTTGCCGAGTCATGGCGGCTTGCGTTATTTCAACATTGAGCGATAAAGAGATAACTTTGAAACGAAAGTAATATTTTATTTTTTTTCAATGTCATGAATTAAGTATTATTTTTTTTAAAACGTTCAGAAGCATTTAATATTATAACTGCATTTTAGTTAAGTTAAAATATAAATATGTTTATTTTTCCCCCAATTATTATTATTTATTTTTATAAAGTTGTACGCTTCTTTTAAAAGAACAACTATCATATGAAATTTCACCATACATCGGGTATAGGTTTTTAGCGCAATCCTGTCTCACGTACAGACCTGGACAAATGATTTGATACCATAGTGTTAAGCTGCAATTTTCAACGCAATAGGCGCTTTATACACAAACTGCCTCTCGCCAGCATGTTACTATGATAAAACTTATCGCCTTTATTCACTATCCGTTAAATTCTCGTTAAGCATCGTAATAACATTTTTTTATTAGACGGAGTGTAATTCCCCCGTTAATAATGCAATATTTCGCTTTGATGACGAAATTGATATTTACCTTTTGATTTCTAGCTATTGTCGTATTGTAACACTGCGGAGATAAACCATAGACACGATAATGTTATGCATACATTACCGTGCCATAGACAACAGCGTAAAATCCGTTAAATGTCTAACGTCGATGATTCCCTGACCCGACTGAATTTGGCGGCCCAATTTTTTAATGTTAAATATTATTAATTCAATGTTTCTAAACTTTCATGAATAAAAAAAATATATTTATATCTTTCCAAGTAATTCAAATTTTGTTTTAAATGTTGGGCTTAATAATAACGTTTTAAACATTATCTGCAAACCTATGAAGCCTTAAAATCTCTTTAGCCTTTTCGGAGATTAACGGCTATAAGTTAACAAAAGACGCATTTTTTTTTAATAGTTGTTTCTACCTTGGTTTAGTGCACACGCACACGCTCATTATGGACAAGCTATTAGAAATGACGGACCGATACTTTATTATTATAAAAAGTACCTGGGCTACCAAGCTTCGCTCGCAGTTTTTGACCTGAAGTACAATTTTCTTTTTTTTTTAAACTAAAAACTTGAATGAATATAAAAAAAACTGCTTGCACCTTGGCCGCTTGACCACGATGCTTATGCCCAAACGTGCAAATTACCGACCACATTTCGCGTGGAATAATGCAAAAGAAAACTGCATGAAAACTCGAAAACACACGTTTTCTCAGACATAAGACTAATCTAGATCAATTTATCGCCTCCAAAACCCCCTGCATGCTAAATTTCATGAAAATCGTTGGAGCCGTTTCCGAGATTCAGATTTTATATATACAAGAATTGTTCGTTTAAATATATAAGATATAGATAGACACAAAGTACACAAGAAAACGTGTTTTTATTAATTTATATAGATAAAAATCTCGCTCATTCATTAGCAATACTTGCGCAAACGCGTATTATAAGATACATAAACAGCAATAAGTGTACCACATTTTAAAGGAATTTAAAAAGAACATTCCACACTGGTGATAATGGCTTAAATTTTTACATTCATATTTATATGCACGGGGCACGGACATATTAACTGCTATTATATAAACTATAAAGAGAAACCGAGTGAAGCGGGTTCAAATCCCGGGCCTCGTACCTCTGACATTTTCGTCTACGCATCATTTCTACATGATTGCTGCCTTACGGTGAAGGAAAACATAGCATGTTTTCGTAAGACACGCAAAGTCCGCCAACCCGCCCTGAGCTGAATACATACATACATACATACAACCAATAAATTCTAGATAGTTTTTGAATAATTTGCCAAAACCAAGACCTCATTTTTTGAATATTTACTTGTTTATAAGTATGGAATAATGGAAGGTGGGTGGACCATGAAATCTCTAGAACTAATGGACCTATCTACTTGATAAATTAGTGCGACTTACCATCTACGACTGCGTTACCACTTACCATCAGGTGGAACGTAGTCAAGCACTAATTCGGAATAGTATAAAAAAAAAAAAAAAAAAATGTGTCAGGAACTATGTTCACATGAAGCGATAATGGCGAATTATGATATAAAGAAATAAAGCTATTTAATCAAATTGAGAGATAATAATTCTATGTAACCTCCCGCAACAATATATTTATATCCTCATCATGAACATCTATCTTATTTTCTAAGAAGATAGACTTAAGCTATTGCGGACTTTTTTGTAGGTCTTTTTAAGACTTACAATTTTCTACTACATTGCTTCGATATATCTCTTAACGTTTATTATCCAACGATAGCCATATAAATTTCTAAGGACGACAAGTTAGAATCAGTTATTGTGTTTTACCGTGAGAATGAAATATTTTCCTGTAGTAAAAGGTATCCAAAACGTTGACCCGAATAATAAGTTATTGACTCATATGCGGGCTATCTATATATTGTTATGTTAATAAAATAAATTTAACTTCGATATTTAAAAGAGCAACTGTTGCGTTTCTTTTTGGCTTTTCTCAGCAGAACTGCTTTACGAACCAGTGGTAGTTTCCTCACGGACTGACTACACTGACGCTTACATAAATTGAATATTCAAAAGCACTTGTAATAAGTATAATTGAATAAAGTTTATTTCATTTCATCACTACACAGAATTTAATTAAAATTGGTTTAGTACATTTTACGTGAAACGCACACACCCAAACAGACATACTTAAAGACAAAAAAATTAATAATTATTGTTTTGGGGTCTATATTCTGTACACAATACGTTAAACTTTTATAAATATTTCATGTAGAGATTTCGCTAAGTTACTGTTTTATTATATGTATAGATTATTATTCATTATATGTATAAAGATTTTTTTTGTTTGTTTGTAAGATTTTTTGGAGAAGGTTATCTAATATCACGCTACTGTACTAAACTACCCCTACCCCCTAGGAGTGGAGCGTTTACACAAAAATTTACGCGGGGTGAACCCACGAGCATGCCTGCTGTATAATCAAGGGTGCCGACTGCCGACAGAATTATATTCATTACTTTATTATAAATAATTCTTTATTGCACTTAAAAATAAATATTAATTAATTATATTAAGAAATTTTTAAATGGTTAACTTTTTCGTTTTAATTTATAAATGTAATAATTTTTATATAAAAAACAAGTATTTTTGTCTTTTTTAGGGTTCCGTAACACAAAAAGAAAAAAGGTCCGTCTGTCTGTCAAGACCATTTTTCTCACGAAATTAATAAATTTACTCATGTACATATATGCCGCATATTTTGACACTCGTAAGGGAATCAAAATTCAAAACCTAATACTTTTACCTAGAATCATGAAATCAAGAAGCAATGTCATATAGCAAAAGTAAAGGCACAAATCTCACAAAGAATTCTTTTTGCTATTTTAAACTTATTTTAATGTTTCATGCTACGGAACCCGGTGTCAGACTAGCACTTGTCCGATTTTTTAAACGGTGATGCCTCTACTCCTTTCCGGCGCCGCGGCGTTAGGTATAATTAAAAAAGGCACATAAATATGTTATGACCCATTTTACTTAGAATCCAATTACTAAGTTTACATTGTCAGTGTGTTTGTCCGTCCGACTATTTATTCTACCTTTATCCTGTGCTCATTGTTGATAGACAAAGATAAACTATAACTTTTTTTTAAGTGCATTTATTTAATTATATATAGGCCCTACAATTGTCGGCGTGAAAATTTTGCCGGTGCATGTACGCTCCGTGCCTGGCACACGTCGTGGCGGTACCGGTGCGCGCAGGCCGCGCAATGGTGAGCATACGCAGTACTAAAACCGTTATGTACGGGTATGATACGCTGTTGATACGGTCTAGTGGACATACTAGTCCGTACCATGCTCGTTTCCGTGCCTGATACGTTCATAGCACGGTCATGGTATGAGACGGTGTAGTGGGCAGACACCTTAATTCGTCGGAATCTTTTTTTATGTATGTTTACCGATTTCTCGAAGATGCCTGAAATGATTTGGAAAATTCTTTTTTGTTTCAAAGGTAATACTTTCCAGGTGGTCACATATAAATTTAATCGAAATCGGAAGAGCGGTTTTTTAAAAAATCAACTTGATAAAGAATATGTTATTAAAAAAGTTTCTTCTTACAAATATATATTTATTATAAATAAGCAAGTAATTATTACGTCTACGAGTACACTAAAAATCGAAAAATAAAAACTAAAAAAAACCGTCTTCCAGACGGTAATCATACAGTAACCAGACCTAATCAGATATTTTCGAAGTCAGTGCGCTTTGATTTGCATTGGCTGGTATCTATTCTAAATGAAAACTCCCGTTTCGTTATTTTTTACTTTTTAGTGACTGGAAGACGGTTTTTTTTTAGGTTTTTATAAAAAGTCACAGTTGTTAAGTAATCCCTCCACGAACGCGGACACGCCGGCGTGTCAATTAACAATAGATTTCTTAGAATTTTAATTAATTTCTTAGAAATTTACCTGGAGGTGTTCATCAAATTCTTTGCATTGTTAAATGTAGAAACCTACGCCTAATTCAAAAGCTAATCAGTGACACAGTTTAACAATGTTAGTTCTAATCGCAATGAGCAAACATTATTAGCTTATAATAGATTGTTTAATATCGTGACGCTTATTTATATTGTTATGACCAAATATTGGAATAGCCAAAGTCGTCATTAACATCTACGAAGTATGTATATAAGTACCTATCATATTTCTACGAAATATCATACATTTGAGCTTGCGACTTTGTTATATAATTACAATAAACAGACCATTTCAAATATTATTACGTTTCATGCAGACAGTACATTATAACGAATTCAATAGAATTAAATAAACATCATAACAGTAATAATTGGTAACCTACCTACATGTTTTCTTTTTACGGTGAGCAGTATAAAAGAAAAATCACAATTTTATGGAATTTAAGGATATTTTATCAATAGAAACTTGATAATTGTTTAATTTTCTTTCCTTATTAAGTAATCATAAGTCAGAGCGAAGTATACACGATTATTACCCACTGTGATTAAAATTTCAACAAATTCAAATTCCCCGCATATCGGATATTTTTCATAGTTTAATTACTCTTAGTTAAAGAAAAAATGTCATTTACTTTGACGAACAAAGTGAACTACTTTATCGTGACAAAAATACCGAGTTACGACTGCGTCCCTTATCCGTTCGTCAAATCCGTGAATTCATGGTAATTTTAAAGAATTATTATATTATTATAGATTAGATTGAGAATTAATATATTTACCATTTTTTTATATGTTAGTGTGATTTCACAAACAAAATTCAAATAAACTAGCGGCTCACCCTCTCTTCGCTCGGGTTCACCTGTTTGGTCGGAAAACAAAAACAAACCTATCCCACGGGAACCGTACATTTTTCCAGGATAAAAAGTAGCCTATGTGTTATTCCAGACTGTAATCTATCTCTGTGCCAACTTTCGCATTTATAATATTAATGGGATAAATAATAAATAATAACACAGATAATTTAGGCGAAATATGATTAAATCTATATGTAGCAATGAGTTTATGTACCTTCATAAAGTCAGGTACATAATTTCCTAGGCAGAAGGTTATATCACCAATGTCATTACTCCCAACATATGGCCCTTCGAAGAGATCACAGTTGATGGGCGGCATATCGTCTAATAAATTACGCCCAATATCATCTTCTTTCTCCATTTTTCCTGTAAGCAAAATTTAGCTTTTTAATACTTGGTATAAATTTAAAAGTATTACCAAGTGTGGTTGTAAAGTCTAGAAATCGTGTAATCTAAAGCAGAACTGTGTGAATTCTTGCAACTGGACTAGACCAAAGAGTGGATAAGTTGCATATCATGATAATTTAATTAGTTTCTGTGAGGTATGAGAAAAATATTATAGAGAGAGTGGGGAGTACAGATAGTCCGAATAAACTCAGAAGGATCACTAAAATATTACAACTTAGCAAAGTAATATCGCTTTTCCTAATGATGCTTTTATTTGACAGTATTATATTCAAATAAATATACAATTACTTTGTTTAAATGATAGAATTGTCTATTGATACTAATGAATTATTAATTAATGAATTATTAGAAATAAATAGATACCATTTTTAAATGTAAGGTGATGATGATATATTTTATAAAATACAAAATGTTTATTTTTATAATATAAAATAGTCTCAAAAATCTACTTCTATTCTATATTAAATATAAATGATTTTAAATTACCCATACTTTTTCAAAGTGCAACCTTTTAGGGCAGAATGTAATATGGTTTGTTGAGTTGAGGATTTTTTTTTAACATAAACTGTCTAATTAAAAATAAAATAAATAGGCAATATTGAAGCAAGATACTATGTTTTATAACATTAACTAATGTACAAATCCTTCTAGAACAATACAAACAAATTAGATTTACTGTGATATTAAAACTAACTATTGTTTGATCTCTTTACTTGTGCCTAAACACTACTTTCAATCCGGTAGTTAGTTGATTTTTTTTGGATAGTTAGGAATTCAAGATTATATAACAATTTAAGAGTCCTGTAATAGAGTTCAGGCATAAGTTATTATTAAACTTTAAAATTATCATACACAAGTGACAACTGTGACTAGTTCATACTAGACATCACACACACATAAAACATATCTATACTCTATACTAATATTATAAAGAGGTAATCTCTAGATCTACTGAACCGATTTAGATGAAAATTGGTTAGAAGATATTTTGAGACCTTGGGAAGGACACAGAATACTTTTATCCAAGAAATCATCCCTAAAGGAGGTGAAAATAGGGATGAAAGTTTGTATTGGGAAGCAAGCTAGGGACGAACCCCGAGCAAAGCAATATGTAATAGAAGAATCTGAATTTATTGTTGTTTTACATAGACTGCGATCTGGACATTATCCATCAAATAAATTTGCATACCTTATGAAAAAGGTAAATTCACCGTTATGTAGTAGTTGTAACATGATAGACGATGTTCAACACATCCTTGTGGAATGTGTTAAACATCAAAGGGAGAGGGAATCAATAATACAAAAACTTAATATTAATAGATATGATATTGGATCATACTTAAGTATATTAGCGAACCCGTTAAGTATTGATGTTGTTAAAATTTTGGTGGATATGGTTTTGCAACATTGAATCTATTTCTCTTTTTCCATAATATATATGTGATGCTGTACTTAGGTTAAGATACGATGGGAAAAATAAGAACCTGAATTTGAATCATATCATATAATTATTTATTGTACAGGTAGATAACAGCCTGAAAAAAGATCATAGCTATATTGTATATTACCAATATCAGATAATGAAAGTAGATTTACTAATAAAAGTATAAAAAAACTTTTAAGACAAATCCATCAAAGAAACATAAATTTATACATAGCAAAGGTACTCAATATAATAATTATAATTATATATATTGGATTGTGTGCTATATATTGGACAAATCTACAAATACACTTTTGCATTTATGTTATCAGTAGGTAAATTAGTAAGCAACACATACATTCAATGCACAATGGGCAAAAAAGATAGAAGGAAAGGTAAAAGAGAATCTTGTAAGCACCAGTGATATATGGTAAAAATTTACAAGTAAGAATCGACTAAGCATATTACTTATTTACATTTAACATCAAATATTATAAGTAATGCAATTATAAGTAAACGAATAATAAACTCAAGCAAATACATTAATGATTAAAGATAAGATAATTTTGAAAAAGTTAAAAAGTATATAATAAAATATGTTTATTTTGAATAAATTACCATAATTCGTCGCCTAACAATTTTATGAGTAGTTATTATTTATCAAACTACTATTTATAAAATACTCAATTTTGAATATATGGATAGTGTTATTTTAATGATAGTAAAGATTTGTTTTTTAAAATTATATATTACCTTATTTTTTATGAATGCAATGTTAACACCACACTTTTACACGGTATTAATATTTCTAACATCCTTCGAACACTAACAATTTTTTTATCACTAGCACAATACACTGCACTAAAAAAAAACTTTAAAAAACTGTTGATAATTATTAACTACGATAAGTTTGGAATGTCTGATTATAACATAAAATTTGTATTCTTATAGCACGCAAATTATTATAAAAATTGCGAGTTTTCTCTTTGAATTCCTATTTCCATGACCCATGACTAAGATTGATGACATTTGCCAACTGACAATTGATAACAAGTCATGAGCTAATGAGTAATGACATATTGATCACAGACTATAGCATAGAGCTTCTCTATTTTTATCATAGAGAAAATGTTTAAATGGATTTATTGCTTTTTTAAAGGCTGACCACACACACGTGTTTTATTTTCTCTTATAAAATTCATCATTTCGTCATGGCATTCTATAACAAAGTTTCTTCTTGCCACCGGGATGTTCATGTGCAAGCGCTACCACAGCGTGCCAATAGCGTGGTGCTGGGATTGCAGTGTGGGCTTTATTGAGTAAGAGTCAAATTCAAATATAGGTCTTGTTCTGTCATTTTGATGGAACAAACAGAGATGAAAACATCTTTGTATATTATATTTGAAGCCTGTGCACTTATTTCTGCATTGTTTTTGGTAATTTTCACATTATTCAATTACTACAACGTGAGATTTATAATATTTTTTTTGCTTGCCTTCCAAACGTTTGTTGCAATAATTTCATCAAAAACTTTTAAATTCTAATCAGAGCCAACTTATTTTTAGTTTTTCAAGAAGACCAAAGTTGTTAAGAAAGAGACAGACAGTTATATTCATATATTGAGGTCGAAGATAAAAAATTAAATGATAACACGGATTGCATTTACGCATACCACCTGCATGCAAACAGGGTTTATGTGTGATTCACTGGCTAGAGGCGCCAGTATTACCCATTAAAACTCAACAGTACCTCCCCTGTCTTAATGGAGTATCGCAGGATCCCTTATGCACTCAACCATGACACCCGTACGGCAGGCCTGCCGAAATAGACCACAATAACCGAGGGACTGCCCTATCAGAGAAGTACCTGAAGCAACTCGCATTGCACACTCCCAACCTACAATAATTGAACGCACATTGGGGTGGCAGCTCAACAACCTGCGATGAGAATGTCAACTTTATATGTAATGAAATTGCTTTGCTTTGTGAATATGCAAGAGTACAGCAAAATCTTATATAATAGTGGAATTTTTTTTTTTTTGTTAAGGGATATTGACACGGTAATATTACATTACTGTGATATTGATATGTTTGATTAGTTGTTCATTTGTAGAATGTAGTGTAATAAATGGTTAATGTTCTATTTGTGTGAGTCTGGCGACACAGGTGCCGAAACAAACGTGGTTAAATCACATGTTTCCTTTGTTTTTTTTCTTCTGTGACCTTGACCTTAAATAATTTAACCTATCTTCAGTATGTGATTAGCAATACAGTAGATAGATGTACTGTTTTATAAACAATATTAAATAATAATAATTTGTCATTAAAACAAGTTATTACAATTTTACACATCAGCCGTTCCCATAATATACAGTGTTTGTCGTTGACATAATCTTTATTGTCTATTAACTATTTTATATATACATAAATTGACTGCATTAGTCTGTGCATGAAAGCATTCTGAAACTGTTGTGTTAATCTATGTCATCTTAAATCCGTGAATATTCGACAATGGCAGATGCTAAGCAAGGTAAATTTAATATTTCATTAGTACAGTTTATATTCGGTAGAACAACATAATTACAACACTATTCATATTATGGTCACCTTCATCGGTATATTTAATAGAGTTATGAGAGCTACACTATGCACACGAGTCGTAAATAACCATACCTTACTGCATCAGCAATTTTTGTCTAAATCTTACTTAATATTTAGACTCAGAATATGCTTCTGAAGCTTCTTCAACCCTCTAAAGTAAATATGATACCTATTTGAAGTTTGTGTTTGTTATTTCCGAATATTAGTGTCGTAACAGGAAACAACACAAAAAGGTTTTCGCAAACTTACTGATCTTGTTGTTTGTTCAGAATCTATGTTTTTATTTTTTGCTTCATTAGTTTTAGAAATAAAAAATAAAAATTAAAAATTTGAAATAAACACATTCACTGTCAAGGAAATGTGGACTATTATTTGTTTCGATTATACTAAAAAAAATTATTGTTCTTGCTTTATGAGCTATATGATAAATATTGTTCTATATGTTTGTGTTTTATTATATTTTAGGTAAAACACCAGAAGATTTTTATAATGGGTCGTCACAATCACGAGTGGTTCTTGCAAAACCTCGGCTTGGAGGCTTTGGAACCTCAACTTTTGCTTCAAGTTCAAGTAAAAATTGCAACCCATTTGGTAACTGTTTACTTTTTATCATTCCTGTTACAATTAGTATTAATGATAGTGGTGAGAAAATGCAGTACAGAGTAATAATACTAATATTCCATTATACAAAATTATTTTTGGCATAGTTGATTTTTGTTATGAGTAATGTGTTGCTTTGTTGCTGCTATTGCTTATGAATATGTAAATGAGCAGAAATGAGATCTTAATTCGAAAATTCAGAAATGTGCTAAATTCATTTTATGTTTATTACATAGTTGATGAAACATTTTATAGTTCATTATATATTTTTTTTGTAAGTGATTGTTATTTTTTTAATTACCTTTGCAGGATCTGTATTACGTCCACCACAATTAAAACCAGGAAATAATCCGTTTCTTAAAATTTCGGATGCAGATGAAGCTAAAGCAGAAAAAGAAAAAGGGACAGAGGGTGTAGACAATAGGTTAAAAGAAACAAAAGAGCCTGAGCCACCAAAATTTGTACCACTTGGTTCCAGTAGTGTTGCTCCAAGGACCAATACAACAGTACCGGCTCCAGTCCAACCAGCAACAACCACATCTTCATCAGGTTTTGTTTTTGGCCAAAATTTAAGTGAGAGGGTTGTAATAAAAGAAAATGTTAACAATGGAGAGGCATCAGTAGACCACAGTTCGTCAAATGGAGCATCTGAATTGCTATTTACAAGTGCTGCAGCTTCTGTTAAGGAAAATAGTAGCCAAGTAAGTTGGGAATTCCATATTCTCATCTATGTCCTATGCACTTTCTTATAAAAAGTAAGAAAATTTGTACATGGATTGTCAAAATAAGTTCTATTTTTAACCGACTTCCAATTCCAAAAAGGAGGAGGATCTCAATTCGTGGGAATCATTTTTTTTATGTATGTTCACCGATTACTCGAAGACGCCTGAACCGATTTGGAATTTTTTTTTAGTTTCAAAGGGTATATATATAAGGGTATATACTTTCCAGGTGGTCCCATATAAATTTTATCGAAATCGGTCAAGCGGTTTTAAAAAAATCTATAATAAATATTTTTTTTAAATAAATTGTTTAATTGAATATGTTATTAAAAACTTTCTTCTTACAAATCACCTGCTTATTACGTCTACACTAAAAATGTAAAATAAAAACTTTTTAACAAAAAATAAAAACCGACTTCCAGACACTAAAATGTAAAAAATAACTACACTGCTTTTACCGCGGGAGATTGTCTCTTTCCCATGGAAAAACAAATTATTTAATACAATCCAATAAAATATTTATGATCAGAATTACTTGAAACATGGTATAAATGCTCTTCAATACAATTAATTAAATACATGTTTTAGCATTTTTCCAAATTTCCCTCCCATAAGGAGGTAAAATAGCGGATAAGAATTTGTATGAAACCTACCATTTTAGAGTTTTATTTGTAGTTTTAGCGCGAACGAAGTCGCGGGTTCTGCTAGTAACTATATAATTTTATTGCCGAAGAGCAATCCTGTCAGACTGCTGCTTTGATCAAAGATCCAGCTAAACTAGTCATCTTGTGCAGTCGACGTATATGGTTAATATAGAACAAGTTTGTATAACAAATTTGCGTAATTTTACTGATTGTTAAAAAAACAGCAATTACGTAATGGATTTGTAATACATGTTCACAGATGGCTGACATTTTTATCATTTGTTTACCACAGTTAAAAAGTGTTGAAAGTTACCGAAATTTGTTTAATTAATTTCAATATGATTTATTTATTGATTTGAAATATTGTTTATTTTTTAGTGTACACATATTTAAAAAATAAATCAACCAGACAATTTGCGACATCTGTTAACTATTTTAGCAAACAAAAATAGCCCAAAGAATAGCCCAAATTAGCGCTGTTCAATTTATGTATGGGATGGGGCATCTGTACAAGTACAAGTATTATGTCATCTGTGTTGTATTATTAACATACAAAATAGATTAATTGCCGATGAGTAATCCTTTTAAAATGCTTGTCTTAAAACATAAGAGTAACTTATAAACATAAGAGTACGTCCTTCACCAGGCACAAGATGAAGCAAACGAAGGTGGTGAGGGGCTGGCAGCGGCAGCCGCGGAGTACGAACGCTCGCACGCGCGCCCGCCGCCTCCCGCCGCCTACTGCACGATGACCGGCGAGGAGGACGAGATAAACGTTCTACAGGTACAAGCATGTTGTTTTGTTAGTCCAATATTATTATTTTTCAAATAAAAATATACACTGACTTACTCGATAACGTACACTATCATTTTAAATGGATAATTTCATTATACATAACAGGAGTCGAGCATTTTTTTTTTTAAAATTAGCATGTCTTTCTGGCTGACTTTAATGCAGTACGTGTTGAAATAATTGTGTTAGTGTAGATTAGATATTATTATTATTATTTTGTTGGGTGTGGTGCCGAGGTCGGCCCTAGCTACGTCGACCAGTTTTGGTCCATTGTAGCTAAGATTAGATATACAGTAGAAGTGGTAGTGATATAGTAACGAGTTCGCTTGGAATACTCAAGTTCTTGTAGCGGGTTCAAATCCCAGAAGTCATATTCTCATGTGCCAAACATGCCTACCACTAGCTTAAAACATTGAACTTGTTTTTCTATAACATATGCAGTCTGTCAACCGTCACTTGGCCAGTGTAGTGGACTATGGTTTATACCCCTCGCATTTCACAATACGAGGCCCATGCCCAGCAGTGGGAATTATCATCATGTGATGATAATGTCTTCTTGACCGATTTCCCAACTGCGCAGGAGATATTATAGTGCACAAGTGTACGTGCAGACACAAGTGCACTCTCTCATATAATATGTTTTTTGCATAGATATCATGTCGTCTATTCGCGTGGGAGAGCGGCAGTTGGCGTGAGCGTGGGCGTGGCGTGTTGCGGCTCAATGATGGTGCGGGTTCAGGGTCAGGGGCAGGGGCGCGTCTGGTGGCTCGCGTGGCGGGCTCGCTCCGTGTAGTGCTCAACACCAAGCTGTGGCCAGAGATGGTGGTGGAGAGGGCAGGCAACAAGTCACTGAGGATCACTGCTGCTGATGCACAGCAACAGGTCAAGCTGTTCTTGATTATGGTGAGTTATGGGTTTACTGTGTGCTAATAGGAGGCGGCAGGCCAAAGCAAATAATTATTAGCTGTATTCAACTAGACTTATAAGCTCTTTTGAATTGTAAACTTCAAGAGTCATTGTTTTCTGTCCAATTAGTTAATTCTCGATTATCAAAATATTACTTGTTATTATTTTTTCATTTGCCATGCACTTTTATCTTCTATCTTTCTAATATATAAAATTATTGTGTCACAGTGTTAGTAACAAAACTCCTCCGAAACGGCTTGACCGATTCTTATGAAATTTTGTGTGTATATTTATTAGGTCTGAGAGTAGGACTTAAATAACTTTTCATACCCTTAAGTAATAAGGGTGGCACACCCCAAAAAAACATTTTTTTTTAATTTTTGGACAATTTTTTTTTTTATTTTTTTATGATTCGGCGTTAAAAAATACATTTGAACCTAAATTTTCACTAGAGACGAACCCGAGCGGAGCGAGGGTGGATCGCTAGTATTTCTATATGAAGGAGACAGCAAAAACATTGTAAATCTTCAGTGTGTTTTGTACAAACTGACAGTAATGATATATATACTTCATTGAAATAGTGATACATAAATATTTAATTTCAGGGTGCTCCAGGAGACATTTCACAACTGCATCGAGCGCTAATGTCTCGCATCTCACTCAGTAAACGGAACTCACTAAGTACAAAAGAAGACGAAAACTCTCAGAGGTCTGCTGAAAGACTTGAAGCGGCTACTGACGAAAATGACTATTTGGAAAATGAAAAATCAGTAGATGACTCTAACCAGGAGGAAGATGACATACAAACTAGCGGTGAAACTACGAATAGACATAATATTGAAGACGATAGACTAGACACTTCTGTAGACAAGACTGATGATGCATCTAACATGAGCGAAGACCTAACCGATAAAGAAACAAAAGCATTAAAACGAAAAGAGCCAGTACAAGATGAGACGTCAACTAAGAGACAGTGCCAAGAAGTTTAGTGTGAATGCGGATGTCTCAGTGAATGTGTTAACCTGAAATATGAACTTTGTTTAATCAATTCCTTGCTAAAAGCTAAAAATAAATTTATTGAAAAGAGTAGGGATATTTATGATTAAATTAATATAACATAATGCAGTTGGTTTGTAGTTAGTTCCCATGGAGATTCACTTTTCCTCCATACTTCCATTTGGTAAATTGTTTGGCTACATATATAATATGGTGAAAATGTTAACTTTTGGCTATTGTCACACATTCCAATAAGTAACGCGAGCGAAATAAATAATGATTCGGCCGGAGCTGAATACCAAATAAATAATATACATGTGATTTATTTTCTGACATAATAACAATAAAGAGTATTACTTTTATCTAGTTTTTATTTTTCCACTATGAGACATGTAGTTTTTAAATGCGTAAGTAATTAAAAAAAACGCGTATGTAGAATTATTTAGTGAGAGATACGATAAAACGCTGAGTCTAGTTTTCCTTTAGATCGATAAAAAAAAAGTATACAAATTAAATGGTTAAGTTGAGCTGGCGCGCTCGGCGCCCTGTATAACCTGGCGCCCCGGGCAGCCGCCCCGGTCGCCCCCCCTAAAGCCGTCACTGTGCGTAATCAAGACAAAAAGTGATCGTGGGGGTGTTTTTCCCTCCAACTAAGTCCCCATCATTACGTACCCATGCGCAGATATGCCCTCCACATTTTGTTCACCGCTACACTTCCATGCCGGGGCCTATATGTACATACAGGATAAACACAGCCCTCGTTTAGACTTCGTCGCAGTCGAGTAAAAAACAGGTCGTTGAATTGCAATTGTTTATTGGCGTGTCATGCTGCTTATTAGGTTTGAAATAAAGCAATAAAATTATAGTAAAAAGAAGGAAGAAAACAGTGAAGCAAAAAACTACGCCGATCGACTTTAAAATCACAGAACGTAAATCCAAACCTTTAAATTTTGATTACTTATCATACATACCTAATTAAATATTTTCGAAGTCGATGCCAGCCGATACAAAGCAAAGCACACCGACTTCGAAAATATTTAATTAGGTATGTATAGTAAATGAAAACTACCAATCAGTTATTTTTTACTTTTTAGTGCTTTTCTTGAAGTCGGTTTTTATTTTTTTGTTAAAAAGTTTTTATTTTAAATTGTGAATTCAAGTATATAGGTATAGATAGGTATACCTACATTATCTATCCGAATAATGAAGTAATATTCGCTATAAGTTAGTACCTAATTAGTTTACCTGAATTTCGTAGAGTCAATAATTATAGAAATATTTAACGTGCAACAAATCAACAAGCAAAATTTATAACACATTCTGTGATCTAGAGTGCTTATTATATTAACGATTTAATTAGCGTTAAATTAAAACTGTTTTAAGCTGATAATTATCTACTCGCTTCTCAAAATAAACACTACGTTCTTGTTAATAGTAGGTAAATGACAGTACAGGCTGTTGTTATTTTTATTATATTTTTATAGTTATTTAAGTACGTGATCGTGTGTTAATTTGTTTGGCTATACCTTAATAATGAGTGGCAATTTTCTGACGTCGCCTTTTTTTCTTAGGAATTTACCTGGAGGTGTTAATCTATTAATTGTTGGTAATCACGTAATCTTGGTCAAAGAAATATAAAACAATTTAAAATATGATATTAGTGAATAAAATACCCCTAGGACACCACCGGGCTCTATTATTATCAGGCCCTCGTTAATAAGTGTAATGTATGTACATATATATTCAAACTCAAAACTTACTAAATATCCACTAGCGACTCTCCTAACGACGTTACGACATAATCTCTAGGTAATTCTTTAAATTGACATAACTTTTTTATTTTTGAAACGATTGAAATAAAACAAATACTAAATGTTAAATGACCTGCTTGCTTACCACAATATATTAGTGAAAACCTCACCCAAATCGGTTAAATCTTTTCTGAGATCAGTAGTGCCCGGCAATACAGCCGGGCGCGAAGCCAAGAAACGCATAGGGAGGTGGCCCGCTTCGGTGGGCGGTGCGAGGCGGCCCGCTTCGGAGGGCGGTGTACCATGCGGGTTGCTCCTGGTACTTCTCTGATAGCAGAGTGAACCTTGGAGCAACCCCGTGGTTGTTGTGGTCTGCTTCGGCAGACCTGCCGTCGGGGCGTCGTAGTTGAATGCGTAAGCGATCCTGCGACGCCCTATTAAGACGGGGGAAGGTTTTGTTTGGTTTTAGTGGGTAGTACTGCCTTCGCCGGTGAGTGCCACATTTCGTGCGTAAATGCATTTCCCAACGTTAAAAAGAAAAGAAAAAAAAGGTGGGTCACATTTAAATTTTATCGAAATCGGTGAAGCGGTTTTTAAAAAAATCAACAATAAATTATTTTTAAATAAATGGCTAATCGAATATGTTATCAAAAAACTTTCTTCTTACAAATTATCTGCTTATTAGTACATCTACACTAAAAATGGGAAAATAAAAACTTAAAAAAATCCACAGATCTTGTGTCTGCCACGACCTTAGAGTACATTGAAAATGAATCTGCCAAATGAACTGAATTAAATTTTTAACATATTAATTACTAGCAGAACAACCGATTTTGCCCGCCTTCAGACTAATAAAAAGTATTTGGATGCATCTATACATATTATAATAAAACTGTAGAGGTCGAATGTCTGTATATAGAAAAAATATGCTAACCGAGTCCGGGGGATGTAAGAAGAGAAATAGAACAAGTCCAGATTTATTTCAATTTTTTTGTTTCTCTATCTGCTTCTTGTCTGACAAATGATATATAATATCATATTCTTTCCTTCTTTTCTTTCCATTGCGGCCACTTCTACATAGGTGAAAGGTATTTTATCATGCACAGAAAAAAAATAGCTTTAATTTGATATATAAATGATGAATATACGCCGTGAACGTATAAATGTACAAAAACATCTTTAATGAATGACTCGCAACCACTTTTGCAGCCACTTTTACATAGGCAGACGTAGTTTATCAGGTACAGAAAAAAATTGCTTTAATTTGATATATAAATGATGAATATATGCGATTAACGTATAAACGTACTTACCAAAATATGACCCGCTTATACCTGGCTGCGAAGAGGTTGCGGCCAAATGCGCAACGGCAGCTATCATCATCAGCATACACCATTTTCAAGATCTCTACGTATAGTTCTGTGGAGTATAATTCACTGTAATAACAAATGCATCGTTTTTGTTACAAAAAGTCAACTATTATTTAGTTAATTAAACATACTAGCGGGCACATTTGAATTGGCACCTCGGTCAAAACATATTGCCCCTTTTATTATTGTATATAAAAAATTTATTTCGATTAGCAACCTTGCAGGATCTCGATCCATTAAAAAAATAATTTATTGTTGATTTTTTTAAAAACCGCTCGACCCATTTTGTTTAAATTCATATGGGACCACCTGGGAAGTATACCCTTCAAAACAAAAAAATCCAAAGCGGTTCAATTGTCTTCAAGTAATCGGTGAACATACATAAAAAAAGATTCCGACGAATTGAGAACCTCTTTCTTTTTGGAACTCGGTTAAAATATTTCATGTACAGATTTCACTTTGTTTTATTATTTTATTAAATATATACATTTTGTTTAAATTACAACTGAAGCGCGAACAATCAAACCGTGGTAAAATAACTTTTTACGTCACACAAATAGGTGTTGAGCAGAGAAGAATTTTTAGTAAAATTTCGTTGTGGTCGAAATAAATAATTTTTGGAATGGAGTCCATGATCTATCGTCCCGTTTCCACTTTTATCAATCTATGATGACTATTTTTATTATCATTTTCATAAGAGATACCTGCATTGACCTTATCTATACTACATTTTTATATCACACTAACCAAACTATTAGACCAAACTAGACCAAAACCAAATGCTTAGGTTTTACATATTAGTATAAGTACTCTTCCAATGTAGTTTTCGTATTTTTTCTCAAAAATGAGACATTTTTCCGCGCTAAAAAGTATCCTAAATGTTGACCCGGATAACCAGCTATCATCATACCAAAATTTCATCAAAATCCTTCCAGTTGGTTTTCCGTGATGCGGTAACAGACAGACAGACAGATAGACAGACAAAAATTCTAAAAACTAAAGATTCGGCCTCTGTATCGATAATAAAGTCTATTTCAATAAGATTTTTCCAAAAAATATTCAATGTACAGATTCGACTTAGTTACGATTTTATTATATGTATAGATAAGTATATAAGAAATAGAAATTTAAAAATGTTTTCATTAATTACCTTGAAATGTGCTAATTTTTAACGATAGATAGGTACTTGTGTTATGTAACGATTTAAAAACGTTTAGCAATTTTAAACATCCTGTATTCTTTATCCTATATGTTTATAACGAACTAACCTAACGATTAATTTAATTATTAGCTGAAGCTAATATAAAAGAAATCAGTTGACGGTATCGCTCAGAAATATTTCATAAGTTCATAAATTTTGTTAATAAAATCTAATAACAAAATAAAATCTACTTACTAAGATGTACGACCCTTTACTAGCGTTTCGGCCTCATTTTAACGCTCTAGCCAGAGTTGGTTATTTTAAACTTGTTTTTAGTCCAAAAACGAAATGGAAACGCCAATTGCATTATTATTACCGAGTGTTTATTTGGATTGGAGTTATTACCTATAATTTACAACATGTCATACGTGCGATTCAGGCAAGTCAATATTAACGTGCCAATTTATGCATCTCAGTAGGAAATTTAAAAAATAGTAATAAATGGTGGTTACCTATAGTATCTAGACATAGTAGAACTTTTGTCCTGTAGTTTATCTTCTTTACAAGTCATTTGGCTTATTTTTATTTAAAATTTGCAGATAAATTAGTCCCATTGAAATTCCTGAGTATGTATATGTGTATGTAGTTTGTACGCAGACCGGTAGGTAGATATTTTAATACACAGGCTGCTTTTTACCGACAACTGCGTACAAGCCGCGGTTAAAAAGTATTATTCCATAAAAGTAACTTATGTATCAAAGAGGGCCCCATAGGCATAGATTGTTGGGTTGTTTGGAATATGGTGGGTGGTGGGTGATTGTCAACGGTCTATGTGAACACCGTATTTAGGGGATAACTTTATTATCGACGACAGTATGATTGTCCTATTGATGATTAATTCAAATGATTACCACTGCAATGATTAATTATTTTAATTTTAAATAAGCCTAGACAACATTCAAGCGGTCTGAGCTATTAGGCCATAGTCTATATGAAGACAGCTTAGTTCTTCGCTCTTATAGATATTACATAAAGATAGCGCCAGCTTTTGGCAAATTTAATAGCTAATAGTAGTTTATCTGTGTACTAAATTTTATGCAAAATCGTCCAGCCGTTTCATCATGAAGGAGCTCGAGATTGATACACATACATAAAAAATTACATTTATATTAAATAGTATTTTACATTTATAATAGTAGTGTGATTCGAAATATAAAAATTGTTTTATTAGGTGAGACACTACACGGATCACCTTGTTGGAACTCTATTCATTTTGTTGACAACTTTAAACACGCTTGGGAAGCAGCTGTCCTTTAATATGCGGGTTCAGCGCATCGACAAAATTATTGATACAATAAATGGTATGTATATATCATTATAAGGATTTAATATTACGTAATTTTATTAAAACTAATATACTTTGAAAATTCAAATTTACATGTTACAGATCCGCTGTTAGCGCCTAAAAATTGTCATCACGAGGATCTTATGAAAATCAACGCAAAATCTATGCTAAAACTTTTAACTTTTTATCATATATCTATTTACTTTTGTTCTGTACTTTTCATTTTCACGCCTTTAATAGAGAACGCTTTAGGCAATAAAATTTATCTTACAGGATATTTTCCTTTCGATTATAGTACATCACCAGCGTAAGTTATTAATTAATAATATTATTAAAATTAATAATATTGAATCCGTGTAATAGTGGTACCTATTAATTTGTAGAGTATGTAGTATTATAGTTATCTTGTTTTCGTGTTTTTTTTTTAAAACGGACATAATTGAATAGTAAATATAAAAAATCCTGTGACGACACAAAACATTTGTTGTTGACTTATGTTTGTCTTACTTATACTTACTAGAAATTTCAGGGAAATAATTTTTTATATTTTTAGTACTATACATATTTTCAATTTATTTGTGCTAGTTTATGTTTCTTCTGGGTATTCTTCCAGTTTTGAAATAGCAGCTCTATTTGAAGGCATCCTTATATCACTACAAGGATATGGTCATGTTACTATGGACTGCACCATCGTATCATTTTACGCTTACGTCAAAACTCAGTTACAAATCTTTAGGTATAACCTAGAACACTTTTTGGACGAGTTTGGAGTAAGAAATTCTAACTTAAAATATATTGATGAAGACGAAAACTTAAACGAACTGTTACACCACAAATTCGTAACTTGTGTTAAACATTACGATAAAATTATTTGGTAATTATTTTTTATCTGTGTATTTATTTTATTAATTTGATGATGTTTTTATTACAATTATATACCTAAGTAATGGATTTTATACTTTTATCATATTTAAGGTTTGCCCGAGAAATAGAACTTATGTTCAACGAAGCGATGATTATACAATTCTTTGTGATGGCCTGGGTAATTTGTATGACTGCTTACAAAATAGTTGGGGTAAATAATTTTTTTTTTAAATATCTTTTAGTTATATATTTTTTTAATAAATAAACTTTTGATTTTCAGCTTGCTTTGTTTACAGCAGAATTTTTTTCTATGGCCATGTATCTTTGTTGTATGTTGGCGCAATTGTTTATTTACTGTTATTTTGGAACACTTCTAAAAGATGAGGTATATTGTCTTCTTTAAGCAACTGTTTCTAAAAGTGGCACAGTGGCACTCCACCATAATAAAACACAAACTGCGAGTATTTTTGTTAAATAATGTTAAATCTCAATTTTGGATAATATTATAATATAAACTATCTAATGGCTGTAGCATTACTAAATTAGACCTATTTAGCTCGTAGAAGGTAGAATTCAAAATGTAAACGTTGGGCAGTAAAAAAAAATGTGTATCATTTATCCAAACATTTTAAAGCAATTTGCGATTAAATAAAGAAATAGCTATTTTATAAATATAATAAATAATTCAACTAATAAATTAATTACATTTGGCAAAAAATGCAGAGTGAATTAGTGAACGAGTCAATCTATCGATCTGAATGGTTATCATTGTCCCCGGTGTTCCGGCGTCGTCTACTGATCGTAATGGAGAGATGCAAGCGTGCGATAGAGCCACGTACAGCCTATATCATTCCAATGTCTATTGACACATATATTTCTGTAAGTAAAACATTTAAGCTTTTTATTAAGTAAAATACATTGTTATATTAATCCTTTATTTAATTATAAATTGCTATTTCGTAATTGATCTTTTTCATTTGATATCTATCATCTATACATATAATAAAATTGTAACTAAGCCGTATCTGCACATTAGAAATTTTTTGGAAAATATTATTGAAATAAACATTATTATCGATACAGAGGCCGAATCTATAGTTTTTAGAATTTTTGTCTGTCTGTCTTCTGTCTTATACCGCATCACAGAAAAACCAATGGAGGGATTTTGATGGAATTTGGTATGGTGATAGCTGGTTATCCCAGTCAACATATAGGATACTTTTTACCGCGGGAAAATGTCTCATTTCTGAGAAAAATACAAAACTGCAATGTAAGAGTTTACTAATATGTAAAACCTAAGAATTTGGTTTTTGGTCATCTGAACGCGGGCGCAGCCGCGGGAAATACTAGTATTTCATATATTAATAATGTTTTTTGACAAAAGACAACCAATAAAGTTTTATAAATTTTTATTTACCTCCGCATCATTGATCTCTAAAAAAAAACAATACTTTAAATCAATTGTAGCAGTTCGCTTATATTTTCAATTCTTTGTTATTATGATGTACAATATCTTTTTTCAGGTGCTGCGATCGTCTTATGCACTGTTTACAATAATAGATAAACGTAAATAATAATATGCGAAGTTTTAAAATTATACCTTATTAACAATAAAGAAGATTTTGTTTAACTAATATATAGAAACTTTATGTATGTTAATACTCAATAAATATAACGATAATAGAATAAATATATACCTAAGCAAGTAATATTATCTTTTACACTTCCTGAACATAATGAATACTGGCAAAATAGTAGAATATGTTTATATTAAAATAAAAGCAAAATTTGAGAAAACAGATTCAAACAGTAATTTGTGCTCGGTAGGTTAGCCTTCGGGGCGACGTTAGATTGCGATTCTGCGAAGCCCCATTAAGATAGGGAATATTTCGTTAGGTGAGAAGTACTGCCTCCATATATACCCGTGGTAACTTTAAAAAACAGGAGTATATTATATATCTTAATATAATTAAACAATCTTTGGGCCTAAAACGCATCATAATATACTAATTACTATTAAAATTACTATTTACATACAAATTCATTAATAAGTCATTGTATTTTTACGCACTTTACCTTGTGAAGTGGACTGGACAACATCGTTAATAGCCTTTCTTTGTATTACGCAAACCGCAGACGTTTCTTAGGTAATATGTGTTAATTTCGGGCTATACCATTATGGTTAGGTATACGTCAATATAAAACTAAGCCTGGTATGAAAGTTGAATATGTCTGACATCGGTTTCTCTTTTGTTGTAGCAGTACCAGGATCATCATTATAAAAATATTATTTTTATTTTTTAACCGATATCAAAGAAAGAGGATTTCAATTCTGTGTAATTTTTTTGTGAATATGTTAGCCATAATTTGACGATTGTGAACTGCCTGTTAAATGTTTTTTTTTCCATAAAAAGGATAAATTCTCAAGGATAGTCCCATTTTTAGATGAAAATAAAACTTTCGTTAAGGAAATAATAATTTAGATATATCTAATACTTAAGTTTGATTCAACATTGATTTAATTTACATAATAGTCATCAATAATTTTTAAATTTAAATCTAAATACATTAAACTACCAACTTAAAATTTTCTTTATTTTGATCGTAGAAGTGCAGAAATGTAAAATGAAATTTTAACAGTTGCCATTACCTTTATAGTTTATAAGTATTTATTTTGCATCCTTTACTACGCGCTACTTTTGTAACGTTATCCTCTTCAATAGAGACGTACAGCAAATCCCAACAAAGGTGTCTCGTCGCCCATAATCTGTCTGGAATGAAGAAACATTTAAAAACATGCGGGTCGTACTATAAATAATCTCTATCATTTATACGCCCCAAGATTTTCGTAACGTGTAATTATTTCGAGAGTCGCATTTTTGTATCTGAAAACCGTTGAGCGAGGGCGGTTGACTCACGGTATCGGTAGACAATCCAGGAACTTCAGTGCTCCGTACGTCGTAAGTGCCGAAAGTCGTGTAAAAAGTTGTATCCGGCCGCGAATAGCGCGTGGAATTTCGTTTATAAATACTCGAGTGTAGTGTGGTACTGTGGTAGTGTGAGGCGGGTATGCGCGCGCGCCGATGATATTCACCGGCGGGGGGGCGCGTCGACGCACCTCGCCCGCGCCGCGCTCGCGCCCTCCCGCTTACCAGCGTTTACATGCTGAAAATGTAAGTAGCTTTTCCCATTCCCATTAGAAACATATCACGATTGTGACACATAATCTTACTTCAATTATTGATTTGTGGTATGCACCTACAATGTCGTAATCTGCGTGTTATGAAAGGCGTATTGCGAAACTAAAATATTTGTAGCTGTTTTACTTTAGTTATAGAAGTTGAAATCTGTGAATGGTTATGCAAGATAAATTTATATTTATACGAGTACTTACAAGTATATTCATGTTGTTATATTCTATTGTTTTATTCGAATCGTTAAAACAAATGATGCACGCAAATCCATGCCATGTGTTCTGACGCGGTAGTGCAGGCTTAAAAGCTTTCGTCCTGGTTTACTTTCATTAATCTAAAACGTTTCCAGTCTTCCGTATTTTATTTGTTTACGTTCTCTGTGCAGCTAAGTATCTCGTAAAAGTAACGAAGTAATTGGATGGTAATAATAAATAATTATTATTATTTATTACCTTTCGTTAGTTTACGTCTTTGTAAAATAAAAATTTAGATTTTTTAAATCTCTCAGTCTATTATAAATAAATAATGTTAATTAATTATGAGCCTAATAATATATTGAGCTTGTTTTTGTTTACTCATCAATCTTTCGTAGGTACCTTTTAATATTTTTATGGGCTGTTTGGTGGTTGTTTTAGAACGCTACAAATAATATATTGAGGAATTAGGAATTTTACACGTTGATTAACTTATTTACTAATAATTGTTTTTTTTAACGCTTTGTTTTGCTTGGACAAGTTTTCAATTTTTTTTTTAAACATTCTATCAACCTCATCTGTATAACATCTGAAAACTGAAACTTTTAGAATGAATGAAACAAATATGTAATGCTCATTTTTTGATCGATTGCAATAAGAAAATACTCTGTTCGAGTAATTTTTTTACCTAACAATGGCTAAGCCAATAGGAAGGGAATATTATAGTTCAGCAGCGAAAAGTTAATACTATGAGTACCTAAGTAAGCATAAAACAAAATACATTCTGTTATAATCTGTAATAATTATTTCCGTAATAAGTCCCAAAACGTGTGCCCAATATTTACAATAGATGCACAATGATTACAAATATCGTAGTAGGTATCTGGTAAACTGGAATGGTAGGGAATTGAGTAAGAATCAAGGTTGAGTGGCGTATCGCACAGTAAATGCATGGATATAAATAGAGGGAACTAACGTTAAACGTTTGATGGAATCATTATACCTACGTATTGTGAGTTCTAGTAGAAAAATCTCCCTTTGAATATTCAAATCTCCCTAACAATATCAGATAATATGTCAATTATAGATGTTATTTAGTGCTTAGTGAAATACAATATCAGTTTGATTGACAAAGTATATGGTATGATTTAAGGCACTAGGAGGCGGAACTGTCAAAAAGTAAGGATGATTAATTTAAATAAAAGCTATTCAATCGCTCAGTCGAAAAATGGCATTTCTGAGGCAATGCGTGTACTGAAAAACAGCTCGACCGTTTACATGCCAAATAAAGGTAGGTATATTTTATATGCTAGGATAAATAAAACACAGCCAAGTGCTGAGACCACGATTGCAATATCTCAACATTAGGCGTAGGCAGTAGGGAGTATCTACGTAGTAGTTTTAATCCTTATTTAATTAAGTAACTAATAATTTACTAGTTATAGTGGTAACTAAAGAGTTTGGTCATATTGTACTATAGAAATCTTAATCACTGAAACATAAAAGCTCTTTTCTTAAAACAGTGCTTTAGATATCCTCGCATGTAATGTGCAGAATTGAAGACTAAGGCAGACAGACAGTATAATAAGTAAACACTATATTTTGTCAAGGATTGACGCAATCATCTATACATATAATAAAATTCTGAGTCGAATCTGTACATTAAATATGTTTTGGAAAATCTTATTGAAATAGTTGTTATTATCGATACAGAGGTCCGTCCAATCTACAGTTTTAAGAATTTTTGTCTGTCTGTCTGTGATCGCATCATAAAAAACCCACTGGACAGATTTTGATGAAATTCGGTATAATGATAGCTGGTTATCCGGGTTAAGATATAGGATACTTTTTACTGCGGGAAAATGTCTTATCTCTGAGAAATCTAAACTGAGAAATTAAAACGTAACTAGGGACGAATCGAGCGGAGCAAGGGTGAGATGCTACTAGTATATATATATATATATATATTCTAATATATATATACAATATCATGTCTATATATATAGACATGATGTTATCGATCCATTTGTATCGATATTATCAATGGTAGTAGCCGTTAAAGATAACTTTCATATAAATGAGTGCCTACACGTCTTGTGAATGAGTCATACATAGAAACGCGACCTCGTCAGACATGTCAAGTAAATTCACAATATTATCCGCACTCACTAACTATTGCAGTTGCAATCGGATTCATGCCAGAGAATTCATAAAAGAGACCTTGAAGTGCGACATCTTCTTACCGGAAACCGACGCTAGTAGCGTCCCTTCGACTGCAGGGGCGCCACATTAGTAAACAAAATGTAAATAAACAAAGTTCAAATAACAACCCACTTTGTAATTTTGGCGATGTGTCGAGACAACGTTTCGACAGACGAGCAATGTCTACTTGGTTACGGGTATGTTTATAGATATTCTTATTCTGTTGACGGTACCTAACATGTATCAGGGTGTGTACCTATAAAAAGTGATCAAAATATATTAATTGATCACAATATAAAAATTTAAGCTGTGTAAATGACATTTTATTACTTCAGTATCTAAAGGAAAACAAAGCAGGAAAATAATATTATTTTCCGTATTTGATTATAGACATGTATATTATAAAAGGTTTATCTCTATGTGTAGATAAAGACACTTATGAATAATTATGGTTGATTAAAATATTGTGATTGTACATAAATGACGTTGTTAATGCAAGGTCTTGGCATCTTCACTCTTTTTCACACTTACGTAGATTTTGTGATGAGAACAAATTGAATTTTAACCATCTGTAGTACTAGCTAGGTATATTTTATTTTATTACAGTAAAATCTAGACAATACTGCAGATTTTAATGGTAAAGTTCCAAAAACATAAAAAAAACAAAATATTTTCGAATAAATTTAGAAATAATTTCAATAACAAAAAATATGAGAGAAAATTGTGACTCTTATTATCATAATGCTGTTAATTGTTACTGTTGTGAAGTTCTGTTATAGCTTACAGTATAAACGTGTTGTAGGCTAAGCGCTGTACGACGTATGCACGTACTAGAATATATGAATGGACGCCGAGAAGGGGTTCAAAGGGATGCACTCGCACCCAAAAAAAACGTAGGAAATGAAATGTTATTATTAAATCACAGTTCAAATAACAACATCTAGTCCAAGTGTCTATAGGCTCTGAATATGCATAGGCCATTAAGCCTTGCTCGCATCAACGTTGGCTTTTACTTTCAACTCTTATTGTGTTAGATATTTTAGGAATTCTTTGTAAATTATTCAGATTTATTATGTTTATAACAACGTAGATCGCGAAATCCAATCGATATTTGCCCTGTACTACTAATACCAGCTGTCTCATCAGCGATCTGTGAAAAATTTAGTACGATGGGTATGTATATACCAGAAGTTAGATATACATATATTCTCGAAATAATTTTTGGAAATTTCGCGTCCAGAGTCAACTCAAAAAGGTAGAGAGTATGGGAAAACAGAACCCTCGTTGACTTTCCCTCATAGATCAAAAGAACGAGGAGGAAAGAGAAGGAATATCTATAATTTTGTAATTTGTTGATACAATTTATTTAGTTTTATGAGATTTTCTTCAAGTTTGTTGTGATAATATTTGATGATTTATGAATTCCGAGTCCACTTTTACTAATGATCTTTATAAAATGTTTTCAACCAACCCAGGGTTTCACAATGCAAATATAATATTATTATCATGCCTCGTGACCACGATGCTCTGGGCAGCAACATAAAAAACATCCGAAAATACCTTTCAAATATAAAAGAACCATCGAAATCGGATTTCATAAGGTGGAGATATCCAGTAGCTCCCTTTTTGCCCCTTTTTGGGGGAAGTACCTCTACAATCTAAAATTCCTAACAAAAAAAAAAACGATCTATAGAGTCGTAAAACTTGTGTACCAACCGGTATCGATCGATTGTACCCGACCCATAGAGAAGTACCAACAAACTGACAGAGCAAAACAAATTTTGCCAGACTTGAAGCAGTGACGCTTCGCTCGCTCGGTCAAAGATGGAACTTGTAGTTGATGGTTGATATTTAATTATATGCTTTTAAAAAAAAATAAAGAATCTAACTAACTACAAAAGCAACAGGAACTTGATAAAAAATAAGAATAAAACCATGCTTAAGAAGGAATTCGAAAAAAATATTTAAGAGAGTATTTACCCTGAATTGTACCCAAATGTAGTGTGACAATGGATTGAACATATAAGAGATGATAAGTACGATTATCCCTATCGCTGGAGCCTGGATCCTATTTACATAATGCATGTTACGAAGAAGTTTTGTGTAATTTCGCCATTAAAATCATTAAAATACCTAATTATGTTTCTTTAAATAAATATATTTGTATAGGGCTTAAAAAGATTCATATCAAAAGTTGCTAGTAATAATAAAGTAAACAGGTTATTATGCAATCAATGATTTTGTAGAAATCAATACACTTTGGGAATGATGTGACGGCATCCAGATTATTTCAAAGTTGTTTAATTATTGTAATATATAATTTTGTTTACAAAAGTATAATTTCCAATAATTAAATTTTTGAAGAAAAATAAAAAGATAATTTTAGTCCCGACGAGTTTCTTTCACCAGTTCTACTCAGGACTGGGGCTTTTTCTTTCTGAATGGGCGTAGACTCACGACGCAATGTCCTCTAAAATATTGTAATAATTTTATGCTGATAATTTTTTTGTATTTGTATGTAAAAAAACCAATATCTCTTGCGATACGAAGAATAATTAAGTTTTTTTTTTAATTGATAATGTAATCTAATAAATAAGAAATTTTATCATTCCTGGCAACACAAAAGAATAATTAATTCAATGAAAAAATAAATTTACATTAATATCTTCTAACGCTTTCAGTGGCTGCCGGGCGTGGGTGGCGGGCGCGGACGCGAACGAGGCGACGGCGAGCCTGAGGTGCGACGCTCCCGCGCCAAGCGCATTACTCAGCGAAGAGGCGCTATCAAACAACATAAGTACGCTAACTATTAATTATTATAAACATTAAATGTCAAATTATAACAAAGGGTCAAGACAAGATGTCATTCGACATCATCCAAGAATGGAAATTATAAAAATTGTATTAAAATTACTTTGTATGTAATAGAATCATAATAATATGTACTTAGTTCCATTTTTTTTAGATTTCTAATTTTCAACGATTGTAGAGTGACATCTTGTGTAAGCCCCAAGATTTAATTTATAAAAATATTTGCGTTGTCGTGGAGTTTCCATGGTCATCTTCCTCTTTCCGGCTTCTTGATATACTATGCATCAATTTATAATTTTATTATCACCTGAAAGCCGACCAGCTGAAATGTCGATTTTCAAACAGAAACTTGTTACCGTTCCGGTGTCTGAATAATTGATTAGTAATTTTTGATCGGAAAGAGAGACACACAGATAAATAATACCATGACGGTTAGAATGCGTTGCTGTGTACCCAATATTTGTTATTCGTTTACAGTACATATATATACAACTCGTATGACACAGAATTAAATGAATTCAACTTGCGTACTCCGATAGATTCTAGACTACATCTCAAAGGTAGACTAGACGTAGTCCAGACATACTCGTTTTGAATATTTTATAGCTATTTTAAAAGTTTATATATATTTAAATTCATACATATTATAAATATAATACATTACTGGAGTACAAACATTCGTGCTTATCACACATATGCATCCCCCAAAATCGAACCAGCTACCGCTGGCACAGCAAGTAGGATTACTACAAACTGAGCCAAACATGTCGTCATAATTCAATATATGTGTATACATTCTCTTATTTAAATATGATCTTAATGAAAAAAAAATGCATACAATTTTTAGGGGTTTTTCTTTAAAAAGATGCGGGTGGATGTTTAAGATATGGACTGGAGAAGGAAGTAAATAACGAACATTTTAAGTAAATTAATAGTTGTTCCAAAACTGTTGGAAAATGACGTGGTCTTACAATGTCTATTAACATTTATACAAAACATAAATTTAAATTTTACGACGACTCTATGCTGATAGCTGAGTAACATTTTGTTTAACAGTATATGTTTATCGTTTGTCTGTCATTTAGCGTAGCTTTTTGTTTATAAAGGAGTTATTATGTCAGACATATTTTGTGGCAGAACGAGCGCATTAATTAGAATGTGTGCTATGTTGGCCATTTGTTTAAATTTTAATCTATAATGTAAATGTTTACCTACCAGTCTTAATGATGATGAACACTCGACTTCATAAACAGCTTCCTTGTCGCTGTTTACACGTGAACTTGCTTTTATGTATTTTACGTTGAGCTCATCCACTCTATGATTATAGAAAGTAGACAAATAAAAGAAATATTATACATACACTAAATATAATTAATTATACATTATATATAATTAATTACATTTTATATATTAAACAAATCTTATGTGCGCTGTTGTTGTGAATTATAAGTGCGCATCATCTGTCAGTTATTAAAGAGCCCAAGAGGGGATTTTCGCAGTTACTCAAGCGCGGCAGATTAACATAAGGGGGGATACCTTGTACTCTGTTGAGTACCTCCTCCATAATATAAGTCCTCTATATAAGGGCGCGCGTCTAGGGCAGCCGATCAAAATATTTAAAAAATATTTTGATAAGGTAGAAATACTTGAAACCGTCAGATTAAAGTAAAAGTAAAAGTGTGCAATTCAATCATGTGCCGAATTGCAGTTTATGTTGATTTTTGCCTCTTCGGCTTGTGTTTTTTATTTTTGTAAATTATTTTTTTATGTACAGCTTTTTAGTTTTGGGAAGTCAGACATCTTTAGTTTTATTTAATAATTTCTCATCCTAAATTATATTTAAACATACAAGTTGTAAAATGTAAATATTTTATAATTGCCTTGTAAAACAGTCTCCTTAAAAACTTTTATTTTGATACCCCACTTGATTGATTAGAACGAAAAATGTTTTTTCAAGACACTAATTGGCACCTAAGATCCGCCATTTTCTTTTTTAATGATATCTATATACCTAATGATATATATATATATATATATATATATATATATATATATATATATATATATATATATATATATCCCTATGACACTCGCGTTATCGAGACAAATATATCGACGTAAGAATAATTAAAATTGTTTATGACGTATACTTATAGGTATAGTACCTAATTACGAGGGAACATAGAGTCGGACATACATACATATATATCTGGTCAAACACATAACCCTCCTTTGGGCTTAGCTGCAGTCGGGTATTAAAAAGGCAGCCGTGAGCCATTTGCACTTTTACTTAATTATTTTTCAGTAGATTTTTTAAGTGGGAGTTAAATTCAAATAAATGAAATATCATATTACGACTTATATTCATTTAATTAAATGATTACGGTATTTGATGCTAGAATGCTAAGTGCATTCCTGTAAGTATTTTACGATTGAGTATCATAAAACTCATTTTGCCTTAGTTCGTTGCTCGTGTATTATATCTTGTTACTTGTATATCTACATTAACATTTCTTATAAGTTTTTAAAGTCACGAAATTCATTTACGCGTACCACATGCATAAATGCAGGTGGTTATGTGGGACTCACTGGCTAGCAAGGCCAGCACTGCTCACTACAACCTAACAGAACCTCCCCCGTCTTAAGAGGGGTGTCGCAGGATCGCTTACGCACTCACCCACGACGCCCCGACGGCAGGCCTGCCGAAGCAGACCATACAACCAAGAGGTTACTCCCTCGGACCACTCTGCACAGTTCAGACCACCCACCGAAGTGGACCACCACATTTTGAGACAACGCCATCATGCTTATTGTTACTAAGATTTATACAAACGCTTGGAACAATTTAGATCAAAAGAAATTTAAAAAAGTAATGATTTTGTAAGCTTTTAATAATTTTGGCACAAATAGATATAGCGTACCAAAACAGTAATTTCGGGTGACCTGTCATGTAGTATATTTAAAATGTGTTTTCAAAATAAACAAGATATTTGACTTTCTTCTGGCGTTACATTATTGTGCCTTACAATACATTCCACAATTACTGTGTAACTCATTCTCAAATTCTTGGCTACTCGACGCTAAAACTTTGAAGTTTGAATACTGATCTAAAAGCGTTATCTACGTTTTTATATGAAAAGGATTTAAAAGTGATTATTTCTCCATAATATCTTTCGAAACAACAAACATAATATGTAGAATGATTTCCAACAGAGCTGTTTACTAAACGAATTCGTAGAGCTGCTATTTTAAAGTATTTAAGAATAAAAACTGAATTGCATTTAGAATATGTTTATTTTAGTTTCAGAGAACGTACTTTGAGAACAATCTTTAACAGCGTTTGAATTTTATGTAAGTTCTAACTATATTTTTATTTTATTAATTATATTTTTTGTTAAATTACAGGATTCATGAAGTTAATGGACATCGCTTCGTAGCAAAATTTTTTCGGCAGCCGACATTTTGTGCCTTCTGTAAGGAGTTCTTATGGGGTTTTGGAAAGCAAGGCTACCGATGCGTCGTTTGTCAAACGGCGGTTCATAAAAGATGTCATAGCAAGTTGTTGGGAAAATGTCCTGGTTCCACCGCATATTCGGATGCCACTGAGGTAAACATAAATAATAATATAAGTTATTGCTTGCTATTTAGTCTGAAAACCTAAATTCGAAATAGAAATCCTTTCTCTGTTGTTGTTTATTGCTCTTAAATAATGCTTATAAGGAGACTTTAGATTGTCTGTAACCTAAACTTCAGGCAATGCAAAAAAGGACTTTTTAAATCGGATTCCAAACAATACAAACTCTTCAGCTATGCTGGTATTATTTTGTTGACTGAAATCATTTTCAAAAGATAATGTTTATATTTTTTGCTGTGATCTTTAAAAAAAAAGCTAAGTAGCCTGACTCGCGCATCGAGGATTCCGTATAACCAAATTATGTATATGTTGTTTTTACGTAGATATTTTAAAAACTAAAAAAATATTGTATGAAAACCGGCATGCTTTAGAGAACCTAACTAGTTAAGTGAGACTAAAAATTGTCGTTTATAAATCGTTAATCTGCGAAAACTATTGAATGGATTGTTATAAATATGAATAACCCCGGTTATTCATTTCTCAATTCTGAATTCAAATATTAAAAAAGAATAATAGGGATAAAAGTTTGAACTTAAAGTTTGTTAGCTTACGGCGTTACTGTATGTAATATAGTCAGTAAGGTAGTCAAGTACATAAAGCTACGCGTTAAGCCGCGGTAACAGCTAGTTTCAAAAATGAAAGTTTTTTGCAGTACCTTCGAGAACGGTTCAAAGTTGACGTTCCGCATCGCTTTCGTCCACATCAGTTTATGTCTCCAACATTTTGCGACCACTGCGGAGGACTCTTATACGGTTTCTTCAAGCAAGGATTAAAATGTGAAGGTATTAAATGTTATTATTCATACATTTATATAAATCTGTAAAAGCGTCAATAAAAACTAGTTAATATATGGAGGGTCTCTACCAGTCTAGAAATACTGGCTTTTCTAGCCGGCCAGTCTCACATAACCACCTGTATCTATGTAGGTGGTATGCGTAAATGCATTTCTTAACATTAAAAAAAATGAAGTGTCTCTACCATTTATTTAGCAAACGTCAAATTGTTTTAATTAGCTAATGGAGAGTACCTTCGTAATAATAATTTTCCCCCTCCATAAGGTAATGAATAGAAAAAAATCCATTGAAGAAATTGATGTTTACCAAATATATTTAAAACACTTAAATAAATTGAGAATTAGGTGGACGTACATTTTATTAAATATTTTGAAAAGAAAGATCTCTATCTGCGTAGGTATATTAATAGATAGATATCTTTCTCTTTCTACTAATATTATGTATTGATTTGTTTTATTTGTTTTTGAGTGGTTTTATAAATATTAGAACAATGCTTTAGAACACGGTTTTATTTGTATCATTTAACATTTATAATTAAAGCTATAAATATTTGTACATTTTATATATTAGATATCTACGTGCTTAATATATAAATATATCACAAAGTTGTAATAGAGTCAAGTTGTAATTTCTTTTTTTTATTGAACAATGAATATTCAAAATAACAATATAATAATAATGAAAGTTTATTAAATATCTATAGCTTTATTAAATATGTTGTCTGCGATGTTTTGGTTTTGCTGTATTGGTTATTTGGTTTGCTGTTGTGTGTTTACATTTTGTGATAATGAAAAAATAATAAATTGCCTTTTAACGCTTGATTTTGATCAGTGATGCTAAATTAACCTAAGTTTTATGTAAATATTTTCAAATAATTATTTATTTGTTTTCAGACTAAATATAAAATTAATTTAATTTTTTAAGAAGTTAATTTTTTATAAAATGAATTTAGGTATTATTATTACAATTAAATGAAATTATAAATCGGCGAGTGGTGGAACATCATGTTTACAAAGACGGTTCATTTTAATAAAAATACTTATTTATAAAATACATAGGTATGTACTATGCATAGGAGCCCTTTCAGACCTGGCATCCACAATTCAGGACATAAGATATACTATAATTAAAATATGTAATAAGTATTAATTTCGTAACATTTGCACTTGTAAACGGTTGTATTCATTTGTTCACTTAATAAACTACTCAAAACAGTACTACTAGTGCCATCTCTTAGCGTATTTTAATATTAATTTTTCAAGATCTCACCTGTAACCGAACATGATATTTTGAACATTGCACGTAATCAATATTATATTATTTTTTATATTAGTTTTTTGTTTTATCTTTATACCACATACCTCGATTTTCATATTAGTCCTCAAACTCTCGCATCGGTGGTCAACTAAGTACCTATTTCCATGATGTTCAAACGTGTTAACCGTTTTTTAAAAATTCAATTATTATTTTTTTTAAATATTCTTATGTGAGGAATTATGATATGCTATTAATTAACATTTTGATATAAGATAATCGCCAATATTTTCTCACTGGAGACCTTGGAGGCACTAGATGATAGAAATCTTTCTGATTTGGAATTATCTTCTGATGATGAAGAAAAATTTGGAGATGCGTTTGTCATAAACCAAGGGTCGTTGCAGTTGTCATAAATCAAAACCAAAAATAGTAATTTCCACCTGACTCTGATGATGATGAAGGCCTAGTTACGTGTCATGGAGACCTTGATGCGGAGTTAGAATTGGCCGTAACAATTCCAGTTTTAGTTGTATTCAAAAGTAGAGGGTTAACTGGAAGTACTTTGCTCAAATGAGGACTGCTTTGCAGAAAATATTAAATAGCCAAAGCAGAGATTTAGGTAAATACACCAAAAATGAGGCAACTTACGTTGTTTTACTTTCGTCGCTGATTTCGAGCGAGAGAAGGGCCAAATGGCAGTAGCCCAACGCTACATATTATACCAGTAAGACAGATATTTTCAAAGTCGGTGCCAGCCTATAATATATTTAGATATGAATATCTATAGGTAAATCGAAATATATTTGATTTGCTTTACATCGGCTGGCACCGACTTCGAAAATATCTCATTAGGTATCTATTCTAAATGAAAACCTCCGTTTACTTAGTTATTTTTTACATTTTAGTGCCTCGAAGTCGTTTTTATTATTTTCAAGTTTTTATTCATTATTCATTACATTAAGTGACTAGCCAATATTGCCTTAATATTAAACGGTACGTATTTTTGAATTTTTTTGTTTTTATTCAATTTTTAAGAATAAATCTCAAGGTAAGGGTAGCTATATAAATTAAAAAAAAATAAAAGTCCCATGTAAATGATGGCTCTAAATGATGGCTGAGTGGCGAATATGAAGCTTCTAAAGTTTGCAGCACCTTAAAGTATAACTTAAAAATACTACTTTATCATGGCTTTATTACGCATGATATTTATGTTGAACTGTAAATCAGCCATTAAACCAACAAACTGGCAACTACTAAATTCTTAGGTAAAGTTTACATATTTTTGTTAATATTTTTCCATAATACCTATGTTATATATAACTGGAGTATATTTAAAAATTAGGCAATTTTAAAAAATCTGAATTTTTTCAATAAAAAATATTACATTTCTCACTATTACATAATTTAAAATATCATTCCTGGTAACCAACCCGAGCTTTTTCGACACAAATTAGCGAATCTGGAAAGTTATGACACTTTCCACGCCCACTTAATAAAAATGTTTGTAAACTATAAAAATATTATACTTATACTAAACACGTAAACACCCTTAATTGTCATATATCTATATTAATATTATAAAGAGGTAAAGTTTGTGATCTTGTGAGTTTGTGAGTTTGTGACGTTGTAGGGGGTAATCTCTGGATCTACTGAACCGATTTTCAAAATTCTTTTACCGATAAAAAGCCACGTTCTTTGCGAGTGTCATAGGCTATATATTAACCCGAAGAATAAAAAAGGCTTTTTCATGGTAGTCGGATTTGCAAAGTAAGTCGGAGAAAAAACGGTCGAACGAAAACGTTTCTTACGAACGCTGCCTTAACGATGAGAGATATATGATTATGTTCTAGAAAAAAGTTGTAGAGCTTAATAATGCCTACAAAAAAGTCAGCGACAGCATATGTCTAACTTTTATATTTAAGTCACAAAAAGTACTTTTTTATATTAAAAAAATAATTTAAATCGGTAGGTCATGTTTATTGGTCATATTAACGACAATTATGAATTCTTATCAAAATAAGTAAATTTATCGTCTAAAATGTTTAAAACAAAAGACTTTTCTCTTTTACTGCATATAATTTGGACAAATGGTTAAAGAGATAATACAACATATTCGTAGGTATGGACGAACCCGAGCGAGCTGTTTGTCTGTTTTTCTGTTTGTACGGGCTAATCTCCGAATCTATTACACCGATTTAAATGAAATTTTGCATGGTGGTACCTTATATCCCCGGGCAACATCTTAGATACTTTTCATCCCGGAAAATTAAAGAGTTCTCGTGGGATAGTTAAAAAACTATAACAACTTATACAGCTTAGTACACAAAAACTACTGATTGGATTTTAATGAAACTTTACGATAATATAGTTCATACATGACAAAAACAAATCAGCTACTTTTCATCCCGGAAAATGAAAGAGTATCCGTGGGATAGTTAAAAAACTATAGTAACTTATACAGCTTAGTACACAACAACTTATGCACCTAATTTAGTAAAACTTGGCATGCTGATACCTTATATTGCCGGTCAAACAACAGGTTACTTTTCATCCCGGAAAAATGAACGGTTCCCGTGGGATAGATCTGTTTGTGCTTTTCTAGAGGTGAAGCCGAGCGAAACGAGGGTGAGCCGCTAGTCTAGATATAAGTATATAAACATTAGTGTTTATTACAAAAATGAGGGGAATGTAATTAGATTTTTTATTTAATAATAAAAATATGAAATTTTGACAAATTAAAATAATAATACAATATATATTTTTGAATGGTTCGCTCATTTTTGTTTAAGTGTAAACGGCAAATTTATTTTTAAATTATTGTAAAAGAATTATATTATCCTTCGAAATATAACATAAATGGGTCGGATTTGTTACATTACAGACAATATTTCGTCAGTTCTTATCAGTTCTGTAGAATTTGGTTACGCGGCGTAGCATTAAGCTACGAAGTTATAGTTTATTATCTTGCACTTGTAGTTTAGTCAACAAGTTCCTTTTAGGTCAACTTTTTTCAGCAGTCTCGGAAAAATATGAACAAGGTGTCATTCGTATCGGTAAGGCACGTAAATGATTATTGAAAAAAAAAACAAGTTCCGCTTGCAAAAATAGCAAAAGTTATATCCAATGAACTAAAAATAAAAAAGGAGGTTTAAGTTTTCTGCAAATATCTCAAAAACTAATTTAGATTTGTTAAATCGTTATATATTATAACTGTTACAATGAATGAGTTCTGGGTACGGAAATTAAAATACATCTTTTGCACTATACCTAGATATTACCATTAGTATAAATATAAATCTTATTTTAGGTTCCCAAATTCATCTGTACTCTCGACAAACCTGCGCCCTATTTATATGTATAAACAAAGAACATTCTAAATTTTCGAACATAAATACGTTTATTAAATTCGTTTTACGAGTAAGTTCCGTTAGCTACAGTCGGAAGGTCGAAGAAAAAACCAAAAACTAATTTAAACTAATCTATTTTAAAATTACAAATTAAACTTATTATCTAAAACTAATGTCCAACCTACTCGATGTAGATTTATGGAATGTCACTAAACAATATGTAAAAATTAAAATATCCGAAAACTGCAACTCTGCATTTACGTCCCGGTGTCGACATGTTTATTATTTTAATCGTGGGAATTTAATGTATAAGCGATTCTCTTGGGACACCTGTATGTAACTAGTATGTAAATTGTGTCACCCTACGTAGGTTAGGTATTTTAAAATAATATTTAAAAAACAAAAAAATACGCTTTAATTATGAACCTAACTAAAAAGTAACAAATATTTTTTTAAATTAATAATAATAAAGTGATTAACAAGAAAATTAATGTTATTGTGAAAAAAGACTGCGATAGTACTTAACATGAGGATTTTATATATGACTAGCGACTCACCCTCGCCCCGCTCGGTTTCGTCCCTAGTTACGTTTTAACGTTTAGTATAGATTTCTCAGAGATGAGATATTTTCGTGCAGTAAAAAGTATCCTATACATATGTAGACCCGTATAACCAGTGTGGTATTCTCGTAATGTGTTCGCAGACAGACAGAAAAAAAATCTAAAAACTATAAATATTTTGGCCTCTGTGTCGATAATAATGACTACGAGTATATCAATAAGATTTTCCAAAAAATATTTAATGTATAGATTCGACTCATTATTTTTTAAGTTATTTTTGCATATATTATTTATGTCTATTATTTAAAAAAAATAATAGTCTTCATAATTATTAATAAACATTAATAATTTACTATTATATATATTTTGAATCACGGCATGTGACATATTTTTAGATTAAGCTACTTCTAAATATAATGATTTCGTATGATTTATTTTTGTATCTCGGAGCAAAATCGCGCCAACAAATAGCATTAAGTTCTTTCGTGAAAAAATCGATTTTAATAAATGTTATATGAAAGGCAAAAAATTCAAAATGACCCTTTCCTTATGAAAGCATTTGTAAAAACTATAATTGTCAATGGGCGTCATCAATCAATCAAGCGGGTGGGTTAGTGGGCGGAGTGAACACCTGCGCGAGCGCGCGCCCTCCACTCAGTCTGCGTCGCGCGTCCGCTTGATATCGTCGCGGCGTCAATGTAGCGCTGTCGAGTAACCATGCCGCTGTTTTCGGAACATATTTCGAATATGTATTATAGTGGAACTCCTTCTTATAGTGCGCCGTATAGTTATAGCAGTTCAGTGTCTCCATATGGATCATCTTACAGTGCATCTTATTTAAGCCCGGGTGGTAATTACAGTTCCCACTCGTCTATTGGCGCCTACTCTCGAACACCCCTGCCATCACGATGGATAAGTAGTAGCCGAATTTATTCACCTATCTTAAGTACTATATCTGAAAAAGGAACTTCTAGTCCAGTAAGAATAAATAGTCCTAGGAGGACCCCAATAACTAATAGGACTTATATTTCATCGGCGTATACAGCCCGTCCCATCAATATAAATACAGCTGATATTGATGTATCGAGGGACAAATATCGCAATAGAGTATCAAACTCAAATCCTATAACAACTCCCCCTAGGCGACCAAGTCCGTCAACTCAGAATGATAATGGTCACGATAAACCAAACACTGGTATTGATTCTTCACCCGGGCCACAGCGTACCACGATTAAACGAGACCGAACGGTAGTACGACTTCATACAATAAAACGGAAAGAGAGAGATTCTCCACGGAAACCCGTAGAGCTTTCACAAAATAATATCAATAGCGTTGAAGTGCCTCTACATTCAGAAGTTCAAGAAAAACAAGCACAACCAGTTAAATGGAGAGAAAAATTAGCCGATGACTTAACATTTAAAGTTCAAAAAGAAAAAAAATCAATAGGGACCAAGTTAGTTGAAAAGTTTACGCTTAAAGATAAAGATGATAATAACACAGTTAATATTACAAAACAATCTCCTTCAAGTAAAAAAGAAGAAAAAATATTTTTAATCCAACCAACTAATGATACAAGTTCCCAAAATAAATCTTTAGGCAGACGTTGTTCTATGGAACTCTTAGCTGAACAAGCTTGTTTATTAGATTCATTGATAAGGAGAGAGAATTTAAGCACTGCACCATTAGACTTAAGCAAAATTGGTACTGAAGAAGTATCTGTCATTAATGAAAAGGAAGAAAAAAATATCAAAAAGAGAAGGTTATCTGATCATGAAAACCCATTAACTACTACAAAATCGGACCATTCTTTACATGATCATTTCTTATCTAAAGATATCAAAGATCAAAAAAGTTCTAAAAGACAAAGCCTAAGAAAATGTTCCTCTGGTGGTAGTATTTGCAAATTGGACTGCATTTCAGAAGTCCCCAAAAGTTCAACGCAAGTAGATTTGTCTACAATAAAGGAAAATAAAGTTTTAAATAAGAAATCTAATAAGAATCTTAAACCTAAAGTCAAAACTAAAATTACATCTACAGTTGAAGTAACGCCACCTAGCACTCCCTTAAAATTGATTGTAGAGCAGGTGACTGTGGAAGTAAAACCACGACAGTGTAAAAAAGAAATAATATTTAGTAGTACGATTGAAGATGATATAGAAGATAAAAAGTTAGTCAAAGTTTTAGAAGGACATAGAAAAAGTGTTAAACCAAAAACTAATAACAATCAACAGATAACTTGCTCCTCTGTTGAACCCGAATTAAAAATTCATAACAAGAAGAAGGAACAAAATTCAAAAACATCATTAGGTCATAGGAAAAGTGTAAAAATTAAGCCATGCTTAGAAAGTCCTGAACCAGAAGATGGAAATTTTTGGGATAAAATAGGTAAAAGAGAAACAATATATTTGATTAAAAGGAAACAAGACATAGAAGAAAACAAGGAGAAAAATAAACGTTCTTTATTTTGGTTTCCCGAAGATGAGGAGTCTACAACCGAAAACTTGGTTGTGAATGTTCAAGAAACTTCGACTGGGAAAGAAGTTACTAATATGATTTCTAGTGATTCAGAAAAATTGTCGCAATCTGTTCCACCCATCACAGCTCAAATTTCAGACAGTAAAATTCATCATAGGAATGAAATAATTCAAGAGAGTGAAGAATCAAATCTCACAAAGCTAATATGTGATAGCAAATTAAATAATAATAAACAAAGTATTCAATGTAAAGAAAACATTTGTAATAGTAGCAATGTTAGCATTGCTAAAATAAATGTAAGTGATGATAGTGAAAAGACTGAAACCCAGACTGTGCTTACTAATAACAATATTTCTGAGACAGAAAGAAGTGCAAAAATAATTGAAGACGATTCATCATTGAAAACTAAACCATCGGACCCATCAAAAAGTACTTTAGGAAGCAAGGAATCAAACGAAATTGAAAACATAATACCAAGCGAATTTAAGGAAAAAGTTGGAATTTCTAAAGAATCTGATGGTAAACAATTAAGTAAGAGCTTAGAGTCAAGTGACATTGGGCATTTATCACAATCAAAAATTACATCCTCCCTCGTTGACATGTGCAATAAAACAGAAGATTCAAAGGCAGTGGAAGTTAAATCTGATAAAATAAAAACAGAATTAAACTCCACTCAAATAAATATGAAAAAGTTACCACAAAATAAACCAAAAGATATAATTGATAAATTAAGCAATTCAAAACAAGACCTTAAATTTAAAGATAAGGATAATCTTTCAGAGGTGAAAACAGTTCCCTGTGATGATTCAAAAGAAATTAGAAAATCAATTATTTATACTGATACTGAATCTAATTCAGATGTTCAGTTAGGTGAAAACAGTGTGGCTGTTCCCACTACCAATACTGCCAATGCTGAGTTAGGAAATTTATGCAAGTATAAACCTGAAAAAGTGTCCACAGTAGATTCTGATTCAAATCAAGAGGAAAAAATGATCGATAATATTAGTCATATAATCACGGATACAGATATTGTGAAAGAATCAACATTAGTCGAAAGTAATGAACCAGAAGTATCATTGGCTACTTCGATTCCTTCAACGAGTTACGATAAATCAGAAAACTTATTAGTGAGTGATAATACAAATATACCTGACAGAGAAAGCACTCAAGACGGTGATGTCCAAAAAGAGTCTTCAATTCGGAAAAACGTAGAAACAGTTGAAGCATCAAAAGATACTCCAGTGACAATTATAAAAGATGAAAATTCAGCTACACCTGCACCTTCAGGGCTTATCGCACAGTTTGCACCTAAAAAACCAGTAAAAGAAGAAAGAGCACCAAAAGTTTTAATAGCTACACCTAGACCTCTTCAAAAGAGGAAACCACAAGTGATTCACTCCTCATCTTCATCATCATCTTCAACATCCGATGATTCGACGGATGAAGAAGATGATGCTTCTGAAGAATCAGAATCAAGTGAAACTTCTGCCGAATTTTGCGAATGTGAAAACAATCCCGATGGACGAACTTCGACGGGTTCTAATGATTCAGGATTCGATTCATCGGCACCGACATCTCCTTCGTTCATTTATGCAAAGAAAGGTAAACTAAATATGTTGATTTTTAAATGTTTCATTGAAAGTAAAATGCATGTCACAGCACGAACGCTTTGCACGGCTTAAGCACAAGAACGTAAGTATAGGTGAAAACAAAATCTATCTTTAGTGTCTAGGAAAATGTCTTCTATAATTGTTATAGACTGCGATGTGAACTGTCATCGAAAATGTGAAAAACTTACTGCAAATTTATGCGGAGTAAATCAACGGCTATTGGTTGAAGCTTTAGCAACTCGAACAACGTCGAAAGGAGGTACGTGACAAAGTAGAAAACATAACCATCTGTTAATAAGATTAACGTTTTGATCAATTCTTTTTGTAAAAAGAGAATGATAACAGTAAAATTACACTATTTTGAATTTTCGTTCATATTTTTACTGAGATATATTTTATTACATATAAAATATTGTTATGTTTATCCGCGTGGGAGCACTATGCGGCTGCTACTGGCTGGATAGAAGCCAGTTACTCGCAACTCACCTGTAGAGGATTAATAGCAATTATCACTTTTCAAATTAACAAAGAAATTTCTATTCTTACTATGTGTTCTTTTATTCTTGTAATATTTAAATCATAAAATTAAAAACATTGTGAATATTTGTATAGGATTATACATAACATCTTGTTTGATTTTAATATCTAGTAGCACATTGATATTTTTTGTATTATTTTCTTCTTCCTGTAAAATATAAAGTTGGCGTTTTACTGAAAAACAGACATTAATTTTATTACCGTGTAGAGCCAATGCCAGTCATAAGGTTCCCGTGACCAAAGCAAACGAAAGTTACGATGATTGTCGATTTATTTGGCGAGACTTCAACATATTTTTATCCATCTAGACCCCGCCTCTTGTTGGCATTGCTTATGAGGCGTTTTTTTTAAAACGTATAGACCGATTATAAAATGCTATATAAACAAAAATACAAAGAATCATTATATTTTTATTATTAGTTACATATTTTGAAAAATTAAAATTAATTCGTCATTAAAATTATTTCTTCGTTACTAAATCAGTACAAATTTCGTTGTCTTCAACTCTACATAACACTTGCGTATTTTGAAGATAGAATATTGAGGTGGGTCCATCAATTATCTATGTAGGCCTTTAAGAGAATTTCAAGCTCTATAAAATGCGTCACATAGAAATATCATTTACCAATCTTTAAACAAATATTTTATCTCTCCACATTATATCATATTGTAAATAAAACATTATTTGTAAATGTAAATATTTTATAGAATCATCATAAGCTTTAGGGCAGTTTGGTTTATCGTATTTATCTGCAGGTGGAGACCCCAGCACCTCAACAGCTTCTGCACCAACACATACATATACCCATGACGTCTTAGAACAAGAGTTGGGTAAGAAAATATTTATAGTCTGAAATTCAACTTTCATTTATTACTCTTAAGGCGACTTTATCTTATAGTGTCTGTTTTGCTTCGCCTGCTGCCTGTTCAATTAAATATTCATTATAGTGCTATTAAATTGAATGTAAAAAATATCTGCGAGAGGTAAGTCAGTTTTATTTATTACAGCGAATGGTCAGATTTATTTCAGTCGATACAAACAAGCTATTGAATAAACTCTATTTCGAGAAGATCTTTTAGTTGGTGGGCAATAAATTTATACTTCCTGACACAATTGGCAAAAACCAAATTGTATTTCGAAACCTTCTAAAAATACCCGTGTTTAAACAGAATCAGGACTTTCTCTTTAGATACTGCAGCACTTCAGTTTTATTTCCGCGTTCCAAATGTGTTACCGGTAGCGTTTCATATGAAATATACAACGAATCGAAATTATGAAATATCACGTAGTAAGAAATATTTTTTCAAAATATTTTAAATTAAAACTAAATACAAAAAGTTATTAATTATACTTTACAAAACCTAAGGTTTTCTAAGTATTGCCATTGTGAGACAAAAATAATAATATGATTTAATTTAAATAATAGGAAATACTCAATAAAAATAATAAGAATAAAATGTCCATTTTGTCCAAAAATAACAATTGAAATTAGATAAAATTTCGATATACGTATGTGACCGATATATTTATAACTCTAATAGTGTTTATAAATATACATATACATATCTTAAAATAATAAATTAATTAATTTTATATAAAAGTTTATAAATAAATAAATAGTGTTAAAAATAAAGTTTGACTACTATTGGTAGGTACTAAAATCCATTTAAACTGTTATCTCTGTTGAAGAACACATGCACTCAAGAGTAGATTGCATATAAATTTATTAGTTACTAAGTACTAACTGACCAAGTGTTGCTTGCTCAATTTAGTTAAATCTAGTAGCAAGTTACAGCAACATGGCTAGCATTTATAAAATACCTTTTTTATTTAAATAACCTTATGAGTGAAAATTTGAAAACAATCAATAAAGAACTTTCAGATATTTGCGATTTTCGTCAGCTTCTGGTTACGTTTTGTTTTTTAAAATCTCCTAATAACATTAAACCTACTATTAAAGTACAAAAACAAAAAAACTAACCAGCGTAAAAAGTGAACCAAAAAAAAACAAATTACAAAAATAAAAAAAGGTTTGCCTGCGTAAAAAAGCAAACAAAAACGACGGAAACAAGTTGACGAACGAATATAATAGTGTGCAATCAGAGACATATAAACACGTAGAAGGACATAAGAACATAGTATGGTGCAGTCAATAGGCAGCAGACGTAAGACCAACATTTTAGGGTCCCGTACCTAAAGAAAAAAGAAACCCTTATAGGATCATTCGTTTTCCGTTTGTCTGTTTGTCTGTCTCGTTGTCTATCGGTAGACATGATTTTGATGTAGCAAAACTCGCAGCAAGTATAAATAATTAAACTTTACCTGTGCCGTAAGATATTGCTTCTTGCCAAATTTCATGATTCTTGGTCAACGGGAAGTACCCTATAATAGGTTTTAATTCCTTTGCGAGTGTCAAAATACGCGGCATATATTTTACAAATCCCTTTCATTAATATATATCTAAATATATATCTGAAGAACTTTTTTCACTTTGCTCGCACGTTTGTTTATCTTGGACGTAAAAGTCGTAACCGTAAACTCTGTCAACATAAACTTTTCATTTGCTTTGAATAGCGCGGATGTGGCGAAATTCACTTTGTAATATTACATAAAGTTTATTTTTGTAAAATTTAAGTCAATTATACGTGTAATATAAAAATTCCTTGTTTTTAAAATAGATACGTACGTGTGGACGCGATTTCATAGAGGTGGCTCTATTTCGTTTTGGTTTGTTGTCTAGTTGCAGGATAGATTATTATTCCCCTTAAGTTTATAATCATTTATTTCTGCTATACCTACATAGTATATATTCCTACTAATATTATAAATGCAAAAGTTTTTAAGGATGTATGGATGTATAAATGTTCGGATGTTTATTAGGTATTCTTTCGCGTAAAAACTACCGAATGGATTTTAATAAAACTTTATATTTTTCTTTACTTTTTCAGATTAACACACAAGCTATATAGGCTTTTTATCCCGGTTACGGTTTCCGTGGGATAATTTGTTTTTGTTTTTCTAGAGAGGAACCCATAGCGAAGCAAGGGCTAGCCGCTAGTACATGTATTATATATGTATTATTTTGTTAAATATTATACATATTTAATTAATTCTATAATTAGTTAAAATATTTTGCTGTAGGATAGGAGATAGGAATATGTTTAACATTTTTTATCTTTGAGAGGAAAAGATTGTGGTAATATTTTTTTTAATTAAACTACTGTATCCGCGATCTTGAATTAATTTTTATTATTATATTCGCTGATTTAAATAAGTTTAAGTTCTGAAAAAGACAATATATAACTTTCTTTAATTATGTCTTTGAATTCTTTATCTTCATATCGCCTTTTGTTTATTAAACAAAAGGTGGGTTGATTACAGAGCATAAAGAAAACATTAAAAGCCAGATATGTATCTGTCAGTCGTGAAGAATCAAGCTTGGCATTTTCCTTATAATCGTGTCCAAAACATATGTAGAAACGATAAACAATGTTATTCAACTTCTTGGTAGCATTGTTCTAATGAAATAAATCTTCCGATAACTTGTATGTACTTTCAGAAAACAAATTTCATAGAAATCGATAGAGTCAGTTAAAGATATTATAACATGTTTTACCCCTGCAAACGATGACTACTACGACTCAAATATAACACAATATTATAGTATTTAAGTATTTAGAAAAAAAAATATTATTTAAAAAAAATGATGTGAGGGACCGGATTGTCATATTGAATAATTTGCTTTAATTTTTGTTAGAAGTAACAAAAAAATGTCTATCTTTACGAAACAATTGCCAAACGATAAACTAGTTCTACGAAATATTTTTCTGACTTGAACAATAGTTAAGTTAATTTCCGATATAAAGCAGTCAGACTTAGTGAAAATAGGAACCTGTGGAAAGCCGCAAGCTAGAGCAGCAAAGCTACTTTATATATGAAACTAACGACATACTCTCGCTTCGTTTGGGTGCGTCTCTACGTAACAGTAAACTTAGATATCACTACTGGTCCATAGTCAATATGTGTACTAAATTCCATCAAAATCGGTCCAGTCATTAACGTGTGGGAGTAACAAACATACATACATACACACTATCGCATTTATAATAGAAGTCCGATGCGTATCAGTGTCTAATTTGTGAATATTATTAAATGACAGGATTCACGTGGTAGCCAAACAGTGCTAAAGCCACTAATTGTAATGATTATTTACAACAACGTTAGCTGTAGTAAAATAATTATCACGTCCACATTTAGTATTAAATGATCTATCCCATTAATTAGGATAGATCTACGAATATTCTTGTGTCATTAATATAGCTTCGATCAATTTAGTTTCTAGTGAAGAGATTAAGAAGATATTTAGATTTTGATTGCAATAGCAAGTGTATTTTTTTTAAATGAATCATACTGTGTTTCTTCGTCAACTTGTTCTCGTCTTTTTAATTCGCTTTTTACGCAGTCAGGTCTTTTATTTTTGTAAATAATATTTTTTTTAAGTACTGTAACAGTATTTCATTTTTTGGTCATGCTCATCTGTCCATATGTCACAGCCATTTAATTCACAGACTATTAGAGCTGTACCTGTTATTTTGTAAATATCTTCTGTAAACTTCAAAACAATTCTGTAGCCAAATCACGAAAATTAAAAATATGTGGTTCGTTCCATACACGTAACTGAGGTGGATATTTCTAAGTGATTATTCTATTCAAGCTAACAGTTACAGAGTGATACCTATATGCTTCTAAATTAGTAAACATTGTGCACTCTTTCCAATTTCTAAATTATACTATGGAAAAGACAAAAAAAAAAAACTGCTTTCAAAATTCTTTCAACGAAATTTTTCTTGATAAATAAGTATATTTATCTTAAAGTATTGAGTAGGTAGTTTTCGAGATACAAAGTTATTTATGCTGTCAATTTTATAAATATCGAATATGGGTAAATATTTTATTTTACCTTTAACATAACAAATTAGTACTCGTAACCTGTTTCATGTGTCACAAACAGAACCCTACCTGTGCTAGTCAGTCACGCACGGCACGGCGCACTTGTTAGATTTTCAACCGACTTCAAAAAGGAGGAGGTTCTCAATTCGACTGTATTTTTTTTTATGTTTGTTACCTCAGAACTCCGTCATTTATTAACCGATTTGGACATTTTTTGTGTTGTTTGAAAGTGTATACTTCCAGATTGGTCCCATTTAAATTTCAAAAAAAATACCACCCCTAAGGGTGGAAAAATAGCTAATAATGCATTTAACCTACTTCTAATTGTCATATTGACTTGAAACTTTGCAAGTGTTTCTATTTCCGTTGATAGTACAGTGGTTCGGTATTTTTGACCTGATCTGATGGTAAGGCCAGAAGGTGGATAGGTGGAACTCTTCAACGGCTAATAGTAGATACTTCGAGTTTGGGCTTATTTTGTTTGATTTGACAAGCCTAACACGTTAGAATTCTTACTTCGCTACTACTGTCTTCACTAAAAAGGGAAAAATAAAAACTTTTTAACATAAAAATAAAAACCGACTTCAAACAAAAGCACTAAAAAGTAAAAAATAACTGATTGGTAGTTTTCATTTACTATACATACCTAATCAAATATTTTCGAAGTCGGTGTGCTTTGGCTAAATAAGTAAAGCCTACCTATTAAATACGTACGTAATCAAATATTTTCGAAATCGGTGCCAGCCCATACAAAGCAAAGCACACCGACTTCGAAAATATTGGATTAGGTATGTATAGTAAATGAAAACTACCAATCAGTTATTTTTGCTTTTTAGTGCTTTTGTTTGAAGTCGGTTTTTATTTTCTTGTTAAAAAGTTTTTATCATTCTTATAGATACATTAAGTATTATAATATGTAACCAAAGAGTTTCAATAAGTATAAAAAAAATTATATTGTTAATAAAGTTATATGACTACTTACATACATTATATAATAATATGACAATAAACTTACCTATAGGATAAAAATTCTTATGAAATTATTTTTAAAATAAAAGTTTTGATTAAAAATTTTCAATATTTACTGAGACGACCTTGATATTGCTGCCTGAGCTGGGTATTTTTAGAGGGCACGTGAGTTTTTCTAGAACCATCAAACTATTTTGTCTTACCTATTTGTATTGTGCTACAATGACTTAATGGCTGCCCATTATTTATCTAAACGCTACTATTATGAGATGCCTAATTCTTACATTTTATGATGAAAAAAGCTAATTTTATTTATAAATTATTATTTTATTTGTCTCGTTTAATCATCACTTTTGGAATCAATGAAAGCTTACATTTCTTTACACAAAAATATAACTTTTCTAAAAATATTTCTTTGGCCAGATACTATTAGATATTTACATTCCTGAAATTATTATTACAATATAAATGGTTAACGAAAGATGTACATAAAATAAAATGAATAAAACACAAATAACGACTGCTCAAATAAATATTTTAAGCTTTGATAATGCTCAATGCACTTTCAGTGAGGTAGCTTACCAATATAATAAAAATATAATTTAGTGTTTCCAAATTTAAAAATTCCCGGATGACATGAAACGTCAAAACAACTATTCATTTTTCCTGTTGAAACTTTAAAGGCAGGTGGATTAAAATGCATTTTCTCATTTCAAGCATGCCTGTAAAGAATTCTAAACACATAATACTTTATTTAATAAAATTAATTCATTATTAAAACAATTTAAAATTTCTGCTATTTATTATTTTATGCTGATAAAATATTGTATTCATTTTTAACATTTGAATAAAGGAAATTTGAAGTATAATTAATAACTTAAAAAAAATATTTTCAAAAATTGAATGTGGAATAATTTGAAAGAATCACTGATGATATATTTAAATATTCTAATTTTCACAGAACATTCGACGGCGTACGAACTATTCAGAAAAACTGGTCGGTTTACGCCACCAGCCAGGTCCATCCCGAGGTTCAGAAAGTACACAATCGAAGATTTTCAATTTATTAAAGTACTAGGCAAAGGAAGCTTTGGAAAGGTAAAAATATTTTATCTACCTTTTAAAAGACATTTAAAAAAAAACAAGGATCTTATTTAAAAAAAAAAGAATTTTCTTGTTGTTTTTAGCTACTCTCACCGCTAGAAAAAGCTTTCTAATTTAAATCAATTCTATAAATAAATTTAATATGACGCAGATCAGTACGTAGTTAGTAGATTAGGTGCTTTATCGTCGGCATACAGGTGACGTAGATACTGCATGATCAAGTCGGGGCAGACATTAAGTGCAAGGACTGGCATATTGGCAATGATATTCTGAATTACAAGAGCGCGTTGAAATAATTTGTCTTTTATATAAATTTATTATAACAACGTGAAACATTTATTTGGTACCTTTCCTAATTAAAGAGAAATATGCAAATATCATCATACATAAACAAATAAATTCAAAATAAACAATTAATAATTGTAATTAATTTCATACTTATTCTTAATACTTAATTTTTAGCGCGTAGGCATAGGTAAATATCTAGATATAATTGTATTTTCAATACGTATTGTTTTCTGCCGTTGACCCACTTGTCAATAGAGTCGAGTGCCAGAGTCGACGTGACGGCTAGAGTTAATTTTGGCTTGCCCTCTTCATACCAAATGCACTATTTGTTTGGTTAATAATATTTATATAACTTTTTGCCTTTACATAAACTATTAATTATAATTTGATAACCTACATTCTAATTTTAATGGTTTATAGAATATATTGCATTTACAAGTATAAATTGTCGCCAATATGCCCTACGTTATCATAATGACGTAGAGCGTAGACGCGATATAGAAACTCTGGCGAAAATTCCAAATTCTATTTGTGTCAATACAATCGTTTAATGGAATAACTTTTACATGAAAATACTAGTGCGTGCTTCTAAAAATTAATTGGCATTTATTATGTTATGTAAGCCTTGATAGTATATAATAATAGACACTCACAATGTATAGTATTGCGACGTGTCAAACTCATACTTAACCTACGCACCCTCGTACAATGTACTGGTAAACGCTCATCTCCAATATTAGTCAAAACAGCTACGAGTACTTTTAAATATATTGTTGTAGAACGTAGGCGAAAGCCAGATTTATTCTTGGCATTTTCTCTTGTTGTAATTTTTATTTTGAGTACGGAAATTTCAGTCTTACAAATTAACTGTGTATTTTCAAGGTACCTAACTATTAAAAACAAATAAATGAATGGTACATATAAGAACATGCGAGATTTGTTTCAACAAAGACGACGATCCAATTAGGTTTATAGGCAAGATAAAATATTTTCCGTCGCTTTTTTCATTGAAGTCATATAATTCAAGCATTTAGGTTAATCATGTCTCGTTCAATGAATACAAGACGTTATCACACTTAATATTTTGAAGTCACCAAATTTCAACAGCCCTTGTCTGAAATGTCATGAATTTCAAAATATTTAAAAATTAACATATCTGCGCTAAAACAAAAATACATAATTCAAAGTAGGTCGCTGGAAATATTTTGTTCACCTTTCAGAATTCCAGTAACTACATTAGTAAACTGTTTTTAGAATACCAGTTACTTTAGATATTCCTGTTAGTTCTTATTGAAGTTTAATATTATGAAAAGAAAATGAAACAAATTTTATAATTCTTTGCTGGCTGGATTAATAAGCTGCCGAGGTTTTTAGCACTGCCTCCCATCCCACTTTAGAAAAAAAAACAATCCATTCAAACAAAACGCAGTATCGCCATTAAAATGCATAGGTATATGGGCTTAATTTACAGCTTATAATATTGTATTCAGCCCTTTCTTAACGTCCCACTACTGGGCATGGGCCTCCCTTTAATACGAGGGGAATCAGGCCATATAGTCCACCATGCTGGCCAAGTGCGGGTTGGGCCTATAATATTATTTATGAATATTTGTTTACGTAGAAGAGAGAAGCGACAGGGGATTTCAGACTATATAAACTGCAATAATAAACAAGTAGAAGTTAATTTCCATATTTTTAATTAAAAAAAGGGCTAACTTCAATATAAAATTTTATCCCCTATTTAGACTCTAAAGGGGTTTTTAGTATCAAGCCTAACGGTTGAGATTCTGCGTTGTCTGACTCACAAAATAAATGAAGATTTTAAGATTTTTAATAAGTACCTAGATGTTTTCATAGCGGAAGTAGTTGTATCTTAAATCTTAATATACAAACACATTTTTCATGCTCGAATAATTCACAATATGATAAACATAAATAATTTGTTACAAGCAAGTTTTAAATTGCGTGTGAACTATTTCGTAATGGCGATGACAATATTATCTACACTAGACGCGAGTTTGTCTTGGAGAATCAAAAACATATTATAAATATGTTCGTACCTCTTCAGAAATAACATTTTTATCGGTAACAAAACGAATACATTAAAAGTAACAAAATGGACAAGTTTCAATAGATAATGAGTCGAATTTGCGGGCGGCACGAATGGGCGGATGACAAATATATCGTTAACGTACGCCGCTTGTTGTCGGTATCTCGACGGCATGGAAATGTCAAATTATATTTATATCAACAGATATAACCGAGTACGATGAACTTCTCAAAGAAATTACTGTAGCTACTTTGGCAGCGTTATTAAAATATTGCTATGAGACATATTATCATACGTTTTACGGTCAATAAAATGTGGTTCTCGATAGTAGTAGGTAATTAGAGTTCATTAGCTTTGAACATGTGATACGGTCGTTGAGTCTTTTGTTCTTTGTGCACCATCTACCTTATTTATCTGGAGTGCAATCTGGCAGAACGTAATGGCAGCTTGCCACCTGCATTTCTCCTTTACCTGCCCTGCAAATATTACTACATAGACGGTCTATTCTCGGTTTTGACATCACTCGTTCGCCAAAGACCACGTGTTATCGGCCTCAGCCTCGTGTCCATTTGTAATTGATACAATGCTTTACAAATTAATTTTTTATCTCTAAAAGTTTTCTTTTACATGCTTTTCAAAAAAGACCTTTCAAAAAATTACAGTAGATATAATATATTTTTAGAATTTTCATATAGAGAATATGATTATCTTTTATTTTATAAGCGTTTTTTCGCGTGTTATACGGTAAGTTCTCGCAATATAAGCATATCGTACGGGAACAATTTGAGCTATCAGGATATAATGATCTATCTCGGCACTATCTTAGTTTGTTGCGCCTCGAAAGACAAACTGAAACAATAAGGCAAACTATAAACTAGCAAACACTTTATTATACTTATTTTCAATATTCATCACAAAATATTTCAAGCCACAAGCAACTTCCTTGTATCAGAGACCGATATTTTGGCTACAAGGTTTATCACTCCACACATATTCTTTAAAACTATGTACCTATTTAAATTTTTGAAGCCATAAGCGAAATCCTGGGTGTACGTATAATTAAACACATATTTAGATTGCCGTTACAACTTCCCTATTGCTCAGCGTTTGGCCGGAATACCTTTGACACTGGGCCAGAATGCAGAGAAAGCGCTATTTATTAAGATTTAAATGTAAACGAACATGTCGCGCGGTAAGCTTGTCAACTTGTGTGCTCTATTTATCAAGTATTAAAGTGAACATGATGATAGAGTTTTATGTACATTAAAGTCTCAAATGATCATTTCAATGTTGTATATATTTACTGTTGAAAAATTAATAAATTGGTGTCGGCTGATAACTTAGCTAATTAAATAATAAGACGATTTAATGATTTTCGATAATAATATTTTCATAAGAAGAGACTTTATAACGTTTAAACGCTTCGCCAAGAATATTTTATGTCAGTAACTTTATTTGAATTTAAAACATTCGTTAACAATATAATATCAGAAGATTTTTTTTATATTTTTACATAGATTAATATTTATTAAGACACTTAATGTATTTCCAGCACAATAAAAAAAATACCTACAAGTGCACTGTACGTACCTAGTAAGGCCAATTCTCATGCAGGTGACAGCATCGTGATAAACGGGCACAAAAGACTATTTTGGTACTATTGATTTATTTTAAAGTCGTGATTCAATGCAAAGCAAGCAAATGTACTTGAACCATAGCTATAATAAATATCTTTCAATGTTTACGTTCGTCTATTCGCTTAATTATTGTAAAATCAGTAATATTGGTTAGAGCTTCATGTAAATAATCGATGGCCAAAATGTTTTAGTACTTCTATCACGGTGGTCATTAAAGAGTGGCCAATGAAAGGCTTCACATAATTATTTATTATTATTTTTTTTATAAAAATATATTCGGTCCTTCTGGTGTATCGATTAACTATTTTTAAAAATATATATTTATTTATGTTTGATATATAGGGTTGTCAAAATTTTAATTAATGAAAAACGCGTTCAGACCGTATCTATACATCTCCTTGTTGCCATAAAACGTTTAACCATACCTTCTATCATTGTACCTTCAATTTGGCGTTTTCATCCGTATAGAATAATTATAATTATTGTTTATTTACTAGGTTACAAAAAAATCAATCTTAAGCTATTTCTTTTCGCAGGTCATGTTAGCTGAGCTGCGTGATACTGAATATTATTATGCAGTTAAATGTTTGAAAAAAGACGTTGTATTAGAAGACGATGACGTAGAATGCACGCTTATTGAAAGGAAAGTTCTTGCTCTTGGTACAAACCACCCCTACTTGTGTCACCTGTTCGCTACTTTCCAGACAGATGTGAGTGTTTAATTTTAAATTACGAAGCATACAAATTCATCACAATTTCACATCACAACATCATGGTTCAAAAATTAGATTTCTTTTGTTTAAATGGATGGAACAAACAAATCGAATTTTCAGCTATACAATTTTCATTGACGTAAAGGCCATTTGTATCTGATGAATGCGGTTGAAATAGAACTTTCTATACCACCGATGCCATAAGCAGAAGCTAGTATAGACTAAACAAATATTTATTACAACTTCGCCCGCCAAAGCTATTAAGATAAAATCTCAATAAAATTTAAAACTATTGAATTAAAATAAATGTATTGCGTGGGTGAATGAATATAATTACGGTTTTTCAGTCTCATCTATTTTTCGTAATGGAGTACCTGAACGGTGGTGATTTAATGTTCCACATTCAACAAAGCGGACGGTTTCCGGAAGCGAGGGCGCGGTTTTACGCGGCTGAAATCGTGTCGGGGCTTAAGTTCCTTCATAAAAGAGGAATTGTTTACAGGTATACAATAAGGAAACGTCTTTTTAATTTCATCCCATTATACGAATTTATTTTTACAAGCACTTCTTTAACCTAAATCGTTCATATATGTCTGTCTTTCTGTGTATGCGGCTCAAATGCAGTAAATACATTTTTGTGCACTTGGTGGTATTAGATTACACTGTCTATATTATCTATATAGGTATGTAACTGCAGTGACAATAAAATGATAATACCAGAGGCGTGACTTTTTAATTGCACTATTCTAGTTTATTAATAAATAGCTTGATTTGTTTAAAAGCTTCTTTTTGATTCCTATTTTAAGTATCTCGATTCCAATAAACGGGAGTTTTTGATTGAAAATAATTAAAAGGAAAACGAAAAAAAGTAATATTTGTGTAATGTTAGACTACTTTGCAAGTTATAAATTAATAAATTTTTAACTTACATATTACCTATTTATCAAAAAAGAAAATAAAACACATTTTTTTTTAATATAGGGATTTGAAACTGGATAACATACTATTAGACTTTGACGGACACGTGCGGATAGCAGACTTCGGCATGTGCAAGTTGCAGATATACCTCGAAAAGACTGCGGACACGTTCTGCGGCACTCCAGACTATATGGCTCCTGAAGTAATTATCTTACAACATTACTCGTATATTTTATATTGAAATAGCCATAAAATGAAAATTGAATTACATTGACTTTGATTAAGTATATAAGATTCGGCTCGAAGGACCAAACCTAGAATAATATATTTTAGCCATCTTTACATTCTATATTAGATAAAACAGAAAAAGGTACTGTTTTTCTCCTGTGCTCGCAAACCGATTTTCCTTTTGTTTAGTAGCTATCGAGCTTTAAAGTTATCAACAAAAAAATCTTTTTTAAATACATACTCGTATATATAGAAATTCTATTCAAAAATGCTTTCTTCTAATTTTCAATAATGGTTATGGCCCAATTTCGACCACTGGGCGAACACTAGTATAAATAAATAGCCGAATATTTTTAACGTGGAATTTGTTCGCACGTAGGTAATTTTTTGGAACACTTTTCTAATGGCGTATTTTTTTTAGATAATCAAAGGCCTTAAATACAATCAAACAGTTGATTGGTGGTCATTTGGCGTATTATTATACGAGATGTTGATCGGTCAGAGTCCGTTCAGCGGTTGCGATGAGGACGAGCTATTCTGGTCCATTTGCAATGAAATGCCGTCTTACCCGCGCTTCTTGTCAAAAGACTCTCTCAGCATATTAACTAGGGTATGTGGTTCTTATATTGAAATATGTATTTTGAATTGCTTACATGCCTGTATATGGACCTATTTTTATAGATGTATTGTGTTAAATTGATTAATATTAGGTAGGCCGTAGGTACATACAATATCAAATAGCAAATTAGTAAAATTTAGATAATATTATATCGAAGACATTTAAAAATTAAAATAAATATAACTGAAAGCAAAGAAATAACACAAAAGTTTCTTTTTATTTCTCTATTATGTTGAATCGTGAACACATTACTTTAATTTCACAATAACAAGTGTATAATGCACAACAACCTTTTATAATACATAAAACTTTTATAGCTCTTTCCAATCAAAATTATGTAATTTCTATAAATCAAAACTATTCCAGCTCTTGGACAAAGATGCGCGAACACGTCTCGGCGGCGCGGAGTGTATGCACGGCGACATTCGTGACCAGGAATTCTTCCAGCCGATACATTGGGAGCGGCTCGAGCGGCGCGAATTAGACGCGCCCTTCAAACCACGAGTGGTATGATTAACTACTGTGTAATGTATACTAATATTATAAAGAGGTAAAGTTTGTGATCTTGTGAGTTTGTGAGTTTGTGACGTTGTAGGGGGTAATCTCTGGATCTACTGAACCGATTTTCAAAATTCTTTTACCAATAGAAAGCCACGTTCTTTCTGAGTGTCATAGGCTATATATTAATCCGAAAAATGAAAAGGCTTTTTCGTGGTAGTCAGATTTGCAAAGTAAGTCGGAGAAAAAACGGTCGAACGAAAACGTTTCTCACGAACGCTGCCTTAACGATGAGAGATATATGATTATGTTCTAGAGAAAAGTTGTAGAGCTTAATAATGCCTACAAAAAAGTCAGCGACAGCATATGTCTAAATTTTATATTTAAGTCACAAAAAGTAGTTTTTTATATTAAAAAAATAATTTAAATCGGTAGGTCACGTTTATTGGTCATATTATCAACAATTATGAATTCTTATCAAAATGAGTAAATTTATCGTCTAAAATGCTTAAAATAATAGACTTTTCCCTTTTACTGCATATAATTTGGACAAATGGTTAAAGAGATAATACAACATATTCGTATGTATAGACGAACCCGAGCGAGCTGTTTATCTGTTTTTCTCTTTGTACGGGCTAATCTCCGGATCTATTGGACCTATTTAAATGAAATTTTGCATAGTGGTACCTTATATCCCCGGGCAACATCTTAGATACTTTTCATCCCGGAAAATTAAAGAGTTCCCGTGGGATAGTTAAAAAACTATAACAACTTATACAGCTTAGTACACAAAAACTACTGATTGGATTTTAATGAAACTTTACAATAATATAGTTCATACATGACAAAAACAAATCAGCTACTTCTAATTCCGGAAAATTAAATAGTTTCCGTGAGATAGTCAAAAACTATAGTAACTTATACAGCTTAGTACACAAAAACTACTGATTGGATTTTGATGAAACTTTACAATAATATAGTTCATACATCAGAATAACAAATAGGTAACTTTTTATCCCGGAAACATGTATTATCTCCGAAACTATTGAACCGATTTAAATGAAATTTGATACTTTTCATGCCGGAAAATTAAAAACTATAGTTACTTATACAGCTCAGTACACAACAACTTATGCACCTAATTTAGTAAAATTTGGCATGCTGATACCTTATATTGCAGGTATAACAACAGGTTACTTTTTATCCCGGCAAAATAAAAGGTTCCCGTAGGATAGATCTGTTTCCCGGGGGAGAAGCCAACTCCTACCGGGCGCGTCCCCAGGTGGCGGATAGGGGAATGCCACCCGCTTAGGGCGGCGGGTGGTACCGGAGAAATCCGGCGCGGACCAAATGGCTTGGGTGGGGCCGCTCGTCTAGGACTCGAGCCGAAGACGTTGCGGCCACCGGTGGTGGGACCGCTTGGTCCCACAACCGGATGATGGGTGCCGGTTGCGGGACTGTGGTCGCAGGCCCGCATCCGGCGGAGGAGTAGGCCGCGGCGAGAGAGGAGTGCCGGTATTTCGGTGCGCCGTTCTCCCTACCTTCCGCGGCCTAGACGGGGCCGCCACCGTTTGATGGCGGACGCGGTGGGGCTGCAGGGGAAGAGGAGTGTCGGTGTTTCGTTGCCGCTCTCCCTGTCCTCTGCAGCCGATTGGAGGTGGCCCACTTCGGTGGGCGGTGGTTAGGTTTAATGGGGCTGCTCCGGGTACCTCTCTGGCGTAGCAGAGTTGACTGTGGAGCAGCCCCATTGGTTTGGTGGTCTGCCTAGCGCTTAGGCAGACCTGCCGCCGGGGCGCCGTAGTAGTTATGCGCAAGCGATCCTGCGGCGTCCCATTAAGGCGGAGGGGAGGGGAATGTCGGGTTTTAGTGGGTAGTACCGGCTCTTCTAGCCGGTGAGCCCCACATCACCACCTGGGGGATCAGGTGGTATGCGTAAATGCATTTCCCGACATAAAAAAAAAAGGATAGATCTGTTTGTGCTTTTCTAGAGGTGAACCCGAGCGAAGCGAGGGTGAGCCGCTAGTGTATATATAAAATCGATTCTGCATTCGGTTCCTTTTAATATAGCATTGAACTTTCACCCCCATTTAGTTAACATTCTTAGGCAACGCCATCTATTAACAAGTTCAGAACTTATTTATTATTAATATAAAATTAGTTTTAAAGTTAAACTATTCTTTGACGAAACCAGATTGCCGGAGTAAGTCTTATTTGTTAGTCCAGGACTTAAGACTATGTGAATGCTAAGGCAATAAAATCCATTCAATATTTGGTAATAGTATTTTGTATGAGGTTGGAGGTCCCTTAGAGATTTCTGACTTTATTTTACAGGTTTCTTGGATGTTTAGCTGCTAGTAGAATGTGTCATAATATGTATTTTTTATATATCATCTCTAATACTCTTACAGAGACATCCAATGGACACACAATACTTCGACCGCGCGTTCACCGGCGAGCGCCCGCGCCTCACCGCGGTAGAACCACAAGTCCTTCGTTCTATGGATCAAGAACCGTTTAGAGGTTTCTCATACACTAATCCAAACGCTACTGATCGCTAAAGTTGATTTAATGACTTTAGAAAAATGGTTCAAATTTCAAATGATTACTTCACTTCAATGTGAATGTCGTCGTAGTGTTGGCCGATGTACGTCAAGATGGCGCGCTACAAATGACAGATAACTGTCAATGGTTCAATTTTTAGAAATTTTCGCGCCAAAACTAAGATGGAGTGAAATAAAAACAGGACTTGATTTATGTATCATTTATTTTAAATGACCCGTAAAAATGTTTATAATATAATATACAAATGTACATACATATCAATTAGGCAATGTGTCTGGAACACATTATTTTATAACGTTTGAGCAAAAAAATATCACAATGTGTTGTTTTCTATTTAATATATATAGTGCTTAACATCGTAATGGTTTTGTTTTAGATTTCAAAGATATAAGGTGATTGTATCTTTATGTAGAAAATAAACGATAGTAAAATGAGCTGTATTTTATTTTTAGTATTAATAATTACAGTAAATATTTAACTAGCCTTTGACTTTAGTACGCTTTTGTATTTACTATTTATATGGCGATAGGTTGAACGATGCATATGTTGAAGCGTTGCAAATTTCAATGCCATCTAGTGCCGAATTTCAGAAAACCTCCGTGTTAAAACATTTGTATTAATAGGCCTTGTTTTGTACAAAAACTATAACCCATTTACATTTTTATTTCTATGGATAATAACTGAAGCCTTTTATAAATAGATTTTAAATAATATAAAAAAAAAATTATTTAAAGTACAGAAAATACTTATTTGAGTTAATTAACTTAAACTTTTTAGTTTAACTTATAAGAAATTCGTGTACATCAGTGTCTGTTACAACAAACAAATGGTGACCTTCTATACTTTCATAAATGTCTAAAGCTTTTACTTTACTTTCTAATTGTGATTCTTGTAAATAAGTTGCCAAATCAATGCAAAGTTCTGGTTTCGATATGTTTTTCAGCAGATTCTTAGTGAGATATATTTCAATCTGAAAAAAATATTTTGATGCTATTAGAATTAGTTATTTATTATACGCATATTAAATAAGTAGTAAAAAAGTATCTAAATGGCATTCTGCTATACATTTTTTTTTTAAATATATAAATGTAAAATTATTACATTTTTTTATTATATGCTGTTTGGGCGTTAAAAACTAACCTTCATATTATCATAAGCCATAATTAATACTGGGCCATGTTCCAAAGCACATGTTAGTCCTGGACAGACCATAGCTATTTGATCCTGCTTATTTTGGGGATACATTTGCATTCTTGCTTCACTTGATACTGAAAATTGTTTACAACAAAGCATGATAAAAATGTAATATTTTGTTTAGATTTTTTTTTACTTTTTACACACTTACAAAATCAATTAAACATTATAAAACTCTTTAGAAAGTTGCTTTATAAATAGAGTCTTAGGCTAACAAATAAAACAAATCCAGTAACATGATTTTACTCTTTATAATACTATTCCCGCTACAAAAAACTTCACCAAAATTGTACAATGATAACATTATGCAGAAGCCTATTACTATCTTTGTTAAAAATCTGCTTATATAGACACTCGCCACCCTCCTAGATCATATCCAAATGCTACTTTTGTTTTAGAGTGTGAGATTTGCGTAAAAAGTGGATCTCTTTTTAATGTTTTCTAAGATTGTACTTAGGTATTTTTGAAGTCATACTTCATTTGGGACATTTGAAAAAAATGATATTTGTCGCCATGGTAACCATTGTTATTGTCTCACAAATGATATAGTATATTATTATAATATTATATTTTTTCCTTAGATGATATTCTATAAATATATGATTGTTCTATGCCTAATATGCCTTATTTAATTATTTTACTAATTTATCATTCCTTTTACAAACAGAGAGTTGTGACATATGGGATGAAATCTTTAGCTTTTTTGTTCTGTTACCCCAAATTAAATCTTACATGCATTCATAAGTACACACGCACAATTATTTTTTAATATAATTATACCCTTCAGTTACTTTTCTCTCTTTTTACAATGACATCTAGATAATTTTCAGCTTCACCATCATCCATATGAATATTATAAATGCGAAACTTTGTGAAGATGGATGGATGGATATTTGTTACTCTTTCATGCGAGAATAGCTGAATGAATCTGGATGAAATTTAGCACAGAGATAGATCATAATCTGGAATAAAACTTAGGTTACTTTTTATCCCGGAACAATGTATGGTCCCGTGGAATACTATATACTACTCACACACCTGACAGTTTTGTTGACTTGATGTTTTATTCTATAGAACTAATTTTTATTGTTTAAAGTCTGAGTAGACTGCAATATAATATGATCTTACCTGATAAAAGTATACTAAAAGCATTGAATGTGAATAAATTTGTAGCCATACTCAATAAAGATGTGTTAAATTGATATGTTTTTTCAAACTTTCTGCATTCTTTATCTACATATAAAATATCCCCACTTTTAAGTAGTACATATATGTCATTTTTATGTATGCTTATGTCTAAAATAGAACCCACCACACCATAGTGTCTGGCAAGAACATTTTCATGCCATTGGCAGTAGTCTGCTCTAAAAACTCTGAGTGCATTTTTATTATCAATCACATAACATTCATTTAAATGTAATCTGAAAAAAGAGATGACATATTTAATGGTTATTCTATAATCTTACCTAAGTATAACCTGAAGAACTAAGATATACAAAATATATATAAAAATATTATCTATGTGACTAATTATTGAAAAGGGTATTTAAATTTTGATTCCATATATTGATATATCTCTTTAGAGACTTTTAAAAAGGTATAAAGTAATTTTAAACAATTTAATTTATAAATTTTACTATATAGTAGCTTTAAAATATTTCTTACTTTATTAAATATGTTCTGCATAGAACCATTTTCTTTCCTTTGGTACAAACACAATTATTTTTGTGTAATTTATTAATAAGTACCAATAAATTACCCACATCCAGCCTTCCTACCGGTATGGCCACTTCTGCACTGAAAGCATAACTTTCTTCATATTTTAGACCTAAAATTATTCTAAGCTTTTATTACTATATGATTAAAAGGAATCATTGTGAGTTACATGTTATTAAAATGATATTTCAAATTTACATAATAAATACAACAATAACTAAAAATTACATTTAAGCTGCCCTTTGGAATTTAATTGTTATTACAAAAATATACTTACATTCTGAAGGAATTGTTCTTATTAAGGTATGACTATTTATATTATAATATTTCACTGTCTTATCACTTACTAGTATAAAATTATCTGAAAAAGTAATATTACTTAATACAGTACTAAGTACATATAGTGCTTTTTATGTCTAAAATATTCAATATATTTACCCTTATAGATACAAATATTCTTGACATATCCTGATTTGTAATTAAAGTGGTATGAAATAACTGCATTTTTTATATAAGTCCATTGTTGAACACATATAAAAAGGTCTTGAAAGTCCAATGTCGATTTTTCCCTAATTTTTGAACCAGAATTGTCTACAATTTCTTCTATCACTTTTTCCCATAAGTTAAAATGCTGTAAAAATCCAAACGCAAAACAGCTTGGTATAAAGAAAGTATACGTCTCATGGGAAATTAAGTTTATTTCATTTACTACTTAAAACTATTGACTAATATTTATTATAAGCTTGCCTGGCAACAATACTCGGCAATTTCTCGCCATTGGTGATTTACTTGCATGCAATTTAATAAAGATTTTATATCCAGTTTACAAAAGATCATTATTAATATATCATCAGGCCAACATGTCAAAATATAATCTTCCTTTGAATACTGTATTAGCGACATTTTATTAAGTAAATAATAATAAATCTCAACATAACTTTTATTTTTTTAAAACATATGTAAATATTATTTAGAGTTTTGACTAATGTCATCTGTCGACTGTCACTCACTTCATTTATCAAGACTACAGATTATACATAGGAATACCAATACCTGTAATGATTGCAGAACTAGTTTGTGATCAGAACCTTTATTATTCATCTCATGGATAGCCAGATCATAAATTAAGGTATACAGGTTCCGCAATAAACAACCATACTATAATGTGCTTATTAAATAAATGTATTTCCGTAAAAGTTTATCATAATTACCGCAGTCATTAAATGATACTATATGTAGAAGTAGAGTATAATGTTTTTTATTATTCATCTATGATTTGTTGACTCTGTTATCAATTGTCAACTGTCAAAAGTCCATGGTCGAAACTCGAAACTTGAAAGTTTTCTGTTTATAATTTTTATAAATCACAACAAGTTTTAAAGAAAGCATTTGTCGTTTGATTAAAAGTGATGGTATATTTAATGATATATTGAAATATATTTTTTTATTTTCTCTAAAACGTAGAGTGTAATTTAAATAATATGGTAAGTGCACTGCAACTCATATTCCACTTTCATTAGTTATAGAATATAGATGCATTAGAAATTATTAAATAATTAAATTATACTAAAACAATATATTAAACACCTTTTCTATCGGTATTAATATCAACAGGTCATTTATTTTAAATGATTTAAACAAATATATAAATTGTTTTAGTATCATTTATAACCTATTTGTTAAATATATTTTGAGATGTTATTTAAAATATAACATACCTGTACAAATAAAATGGTACACATATGAATGGTATGATAAATACAAAACAGCAGTCGATAATATGTATAGTATTAAATAATAGTTATTTTAATGATATTTGTATAATAATGGATTGACGTAAAAGTAATTGTATTATTTTCAGGCTAGAAATGCAGAAAAAGCTATGTAAGTTAAATATTAATGTATATTTATATTATTTACCTACTGTTTTTTTACAGAGATACATTTAAAGTAATCTGGTATAGTACTAAAATTAAAAGTAAAGTAAGCTACTCCCCAGTCTCATTCCCATAAACTATAACTATGTTGCTAAAAAAAAGACAAGAATGAATGACTTTTTGAAGCCTTAATTCTCAGTACAATTTTAATTATATTTGCTAATTACTTAAACATTTCCCACACTGCATACATTGTTGATCTAGAGTCAAGCAGAAACATGCAGCGAACAAAAAAAAGTGAACTCAAACAAACACCCTGTACAATTTATTTACCTGTTAAAGTAATAAACATTTAAAATAATAATTAAGTTATTATTATAAGTGGGTTAGAAATAGTTAATATAAATATTAATTATCAATTATAATATTTTTAATATTATATCCAAATTTAAATGATTAAACATGACAACAAACTACTATGCTAACAGCTAGGTATGTGAGTAAGCACTTTTTACAAGCATCTATGCCCGCATTCAGATGACCAAAAACCAAACTCTAGATTTTACATATTAGTATACTCTTACATTGCAGTTTTTGTATTTTTTCGCAGAAATGAGATATTTTCCCATGGTTGAAAGTACCCTATATGTTGACCTGGATAACCAACTATCACCATACCAAATTTCATCAAAATCCCTCCAGTGGTTTTTCTGTGATGCGGTAACAAACAGACACAAAAATTCTAAAAACTATAGATTCGGCTTCTGTATCAAAAATAATGTTTATTTCAATAAGATTTAAAAAAAAAATTATGTACAGATTTGGCTTGGTTATAATTTTATTATAATTGTATAGATTTCTTATATTCATTATGAGTGCTAACAATGTATAGCATTTAATATGTATAAAAATATAGGACCACATTGGCGCGTTGGCGTGCAGCACAAGTTCAAGAAGCAGGTGGCCAGCGAGAACGCAGGCCATACCTTGCATCAGAATGTAATAACTTGCAGCAGGCAGAAAGATGGAGACTGCAAATAGTAAGAGAAATTGCGAAGAAAGTTGCTCAGATTCAAAATGGTAAGTCATTATAAAATTTGTCAAAACAATACAGGCACAAATATTCAAGTATTTCAAAATAAAATATTTTCAAATTCAAGAAGGCCATGTGTCTATAACACCTAAATTTAACACCTATCTAAATTATGTAGTGTACATTTTTTTTGTTAAGTTATTAACAAGACAAACCGAGAAGATGGATGAAAATCAAACTGCAGTATATAATTCACCACTTATAGCATCCCCAAAGGAACTCAGTATAAGATCGCAAAACGGTACTGAATTGACTGCTTCAGCTGTCGCATCTATTCAAAACAAAGTACCGATAACACCGATACAGTCTCCGAAACAAAAATCGTCTGTAAGTGGTTCTACAAGGGTCTCACCACAAGCTACTTACCCGTCGTCGCCTACTAAAAGCTCTCTTCAATTATCAATTAAAAGCCATACGAGATCCAAAAGTCAATCAGTGCGACCAGGTCAAGAGGAACGAAAAAGTATTAGAAGTACTGACCTCGGCAGAGAAATTATCGATAGAAGCTCACGTAAGTCAGATCAAACGTCTGAACTCGCAAAAAAAATATCCTTAAATGGTGAAGAAAATGTTAAGAAACGTTCACAAGATCCGGCATTAGATCAAGAAAATTCTAACAACCCTGTTTTGCATAGAAATATAGATAAAATAAAAAGTATGAGTAAAACGCTTACGAATGAAGCTAACGCATTGAGAGATTCTATAAGAACCTTAACAGAGAATATTGTTCGCACTAAAGAAGAAATGAATATTGTTCAAGAAGAAGATGTCAATTTTCCGTATCATCTATTTCTGATTGAAATCATAATAAACAAAATCCATATGAAATGTGATTGCTTTGAACTAGACTGTAATAATCTTGTCATAGCGGCCACGTTTTTAGGAAAACAACCGATAATTTTGTACGACTCGTCCTACGGAAAGATTGATGACTTCACTCACTTAAATGTAGGAAAATCAGCACTATTTGCAATGACGTACGACAGAATATGTACTATTAAAGATTTTATTATAGATATTAATATAACGAAACAACCGCCATGCTCCAGTTGCGTATCAAAAATAGCCGAATCTAAAGTCGATTATTCAAAAGAATTCATAGAACTTCGAGAGGAACTTTGTAAGAAATGGATAAAAGAGCAACCTAATGATAATATTATATGTACTACATCAACACCACTGAAACGAAAGATGTTTTACTTGTCGTGCGGCGACACTGCACATAGTGATTCCATTGGTATTATCGAATTGACTACAAGAATGTCATTTCTTGGCAAAGAAATCACTACAGCGTTTTCTGCTTCTTCTAAATCAAAATGCACCTCTCTACTAACAAAGGAAGATAACGGCATGTCCATATATGCCTGTCACAATGTCGAAATGGATGGACAGGGCAAGATAATATTGGACGAAAATACTCTTAATAAAAAAGAATTTCCAAGAAGTACCTACACAATGTCGCCAAGGAGCTTTGAAAGTCCTATGTCGCAACTTTCAAGTAAGCAAGGTTCAGTTAAACAATATATGAACTGTAATAACATAATTCAGAAATATCAACAAGGTATGGTAAACATTTTGCTTCATTTTATTCTTATTATTGTATCATGAAATAAAGCCAAGAGTGTTAATAAAAAATTTTTTTCAGATAACTTATCAAGGTATGATGAAATTTTTACCAAAATGAATACAAATGAGTTAAAAATTAGAGTTCCAAAAACAACTAAAATAGAACGAATGGGTAAATACGATAGGATACAAGAGTTATGTTCTTGTGAAGACACTCCCTACAACACGGGCGATCAGATACAATTCGAATTACCGAATGATGTGTGTTATCCTGATAAATCTCACAATACATATTCATCAAATTTAAAATATACATATAAAAATTGCAATAGAACATGTGATAATAACGATAGAAAAATAATAAACATCACACCTTCAAACTGCCCGGTACCTGTTAATATGGAAAAGAAAGTTCATCCTCAAAATGATGTATTTATTCTGAAAATAGGAAAGAAACTTGAAACAAGAGACAAGAAAACAGATCTAGAAATAGAACTCGTAACACCAAAAGCTCCTCGCGAAAAGCCAAACGAAAACAATCATATATCGCAACAGTGCAGTGCTAGTGTGTTGAAAGATAACCAAAATAAACTATCGGCATCTCATGACAAGAAAGAGAAAAAGAAAGCAAAGAAAAGCAAATCTAAATTATCAAATAAAAAAAGTCAAGTCAAAAATGCTAAGTCGAAAAAAAAGTAAAAAATAAACGCAAAATTTAATGTTGATTCATGTTTGTTTCTTTAATATTAACAGTCTGTTCGTTTCATAAAGAGCATCAATATATAATCACTTATATTTTTAGAAATGTTCAGTAATTTTGTTCTTTTCCTTTATAGGTACAATAAAGAATACCTAATATTTGTATACGTATTTGTATCTTTTTAGATTTCATAGGCCTGCCTTTTTCTTTGAAAGGCTTGCGTTGAACTTGAAACCGGTCGAACACGCAGTGGCCACTTAAGGAATTTTAATTTGTTTAATGTGACACATTAATCGGCATCTATTTCTATGACGATAGATATTTTTTTTTGCATTTTGTATAAACTAACTAAACGAAGGTGGTTACCAGCTAATGCGTAGAGACAATGAAAAAATTGAAAACTACTTAGAACTATGGAATAGTCTGGATAGGTTAAAAAAATTGAGCTGTGGGTTGAGACGACCGGACGGATACCTTCTTAATATTGTCATTTTGAACATCTAGAGGGCGAAGACTTGCTTCCAACAGATGGACCTCCACAAATCAGTGTAACGCCTTGGAAGCATCGTTAGCATTATTTACTATGGTTGCCCATGAAGAAAACCTGTACAATGTTGATATTTTTCTAAGAAACATTATTTTAGTGTTCCTTGTGTTTTGTTGTAAGATGTGTGCTAGAAATTGTTCTTAGCAATGAAATCGCCTTTGTCTAGTTTTGAATTATTATTAATCTAAATAAAGTATTAAGGTCAACTGGTATATTTTAATAATTGTTATAATAAATATAAATTAATACGTTATTATAAAATTTCAGCTGGTCTTGGTGAATTTCGAATTAGGGACTTGAATGATGAAATCAACAAACTTATGCGAGAAAAGCGTCACTGGGAGGTACAAATAAAAGCGCTAGGTGGACCTGATCATGCTCGAGTTGGGCCTAAGATGTTAGACCAAGATGGCAAAGAAGTACCAGGAAATAGGGGCTATAAATATTTTGGAGCTGCTAAAGATTTACCAGGTAAGTTTATTTTGTTGGTTTTTAAATGTTCTTCTATATATCATTTATTAAAATATTAATCCTTATGGAAATAAAATATCAACGACGTATTTTCATATTCACTAGATTATTTTTAACATTTTGAACTTGATACTATTACTTATTTTAAATGCGTTAATAACTCTTGGAGATTTTATACGTTTTAAGAATATGGAATGTGCAACATGCATAATATATTATATATACTTTGTTTTTTTTTATTTCAATAAAAATATGATAAATAAAGCTACATTAACCAATGTTGTCATTCACACAAGTCTATGACGCTAAGTTTTGAAAGGCAGAAAATTTTACATTTTAAGGCGACACTTTCAGTTCCTAAAATTATCGATACCTACCTACCATATACCTAAAAAACAGATACAAATTCGTAAATTCGCCACTCGTTGTAATTATATATTGCCTTGTTTATAACGTCACTCCATGGGCGCACGAAAACTGCACAACATATCATGCTCTGTTTTAAATATTAAGAAAAATTGAAGCTTTTCCAAAAGTATTTATATTTTTCCATACAAATTATAATTGAAGATAAATAATTTTTATCGATATAAAACACGTGTTGTGTATGTAGAAATACCGGAATAATTATCTTGAATATAAACATCACACTATACTAAAGGGAGATTTAACGACTAACTTCATACTGTAGTCTAAATCTGGCGTATCGTACAAAAATCACTCTCATAATTTTTTCCCTAATGCGCCATAAAACTTTAAAAAATGAATCAAAAATTGATTTTCTATATGGTTTTCGGCAGGTGTGCGAGAGTTATTCGAACAAGAGCCGCCGGCAGCGCCGAGGAGGACGCGGGCAGACCTCATGCGAGATGTGGACGCGGACTACTATGGATATAGAGACGATGATGATGGGTTATTGTTGCCATTAGAGCAGGAAGCTGAAAAAGAAGGTAATTTAATATTTACAATACATGATAATAATGATGATGATGATAATGAAGCTGTATATTGTATAACTTTTATTTGGATATTGTAATTTTAAATAATCCTTTCGGATTTTTTCGCAATTATTGTATCTGGATTTAATTCTATTTTTAAATTATATTATCAACTAGCGTCTCACCCTCGCTCCGCTCGGATTCGTCCCTACTTATGATTTAACTTGCTACTGAGCCCCAACCACGACAAGGTGAACACACGTTGGGGGGAGGGGGGGCCTAAATGTATATATTTATTATTTCATAACATTTAAATAATCCACTACTTTGTGTTGGTTTCAGCTATTGTAAGGGCAGTTGACGAATGGAAAAGAAATAAAGAACATGATAATGATCAAGATATGCCCGAGGAAGAAAATATTTACCCAGAAGATGTATGTGTTGTTGTTATATTTAAAATAATTCACTTTTTATAATCTGCTTTTTTATTGTGTATATATTCTATTTCGCTATAGTTTGTATGATATGTTTGTTTAATATTTATAAAATTGTTTATAAAACGTGTTATAAAACTTTGAAGGAAATGGGTAAAATTATTGAAAAATAATGCCACTTTTTTAACAGTAGACTGATTAGAAGATACTTATTTTAGGATGTATTTTATTCTGTTATTAATTTTGCATAAACTATAATATGGTGAATTGCACGAAAATTATATATATATATATATATATATATATATATATATATATATATATATATATATATTTTCAAGTTTTGGATCATTTGTGAACATAGAAATAGGAAATGTTGGCAGTTGCAAGGTGGGGGTTGAAAGGTTCTTATGAGCCCCCGTTGTGCTGACTCACTGTATAGAAATGAACCACGCACACTAACGAATCGATACTCTACATACATTTATTTAAGTATATTTAAAAAAAATCTTTGTCTCTACAATCGCGAAGACTACAATAAATATATGTAAGTTAGTGTAAATATAACATGATCATGATTTTTTCAGCCCGAAGATAAGAGATTAGAAGAGGACGAGGAAGAAGAAGTGACGTCACACGTCGCGGTCCCCTCACAGCAAGATATACAGGAAGCATTATTAAGAAGGAAAAAACAGGAACTTCTAGAAAGATATGGTTGTCTAGACGTAAAAATAGAAGAAAGCTAACAATAAAGATCTTTGTAGAAAAGAACGTGTTATTTTTTTATCAAAACCTGTCTACAAAATATAATCCAATTATTTTATAAATATAATCCTTATATTTTGTTAAAGTCGTTTTTTATAAAAGCTTTTGTATGAGTGTACTTTATATTATTCTATGACAAGTTCAAGCCCGACGCGAAAATATTGCACGTTGATATTATTTTATTAGCAGCAAAGTAAGATTTTATTTCAAAATATTTCTCATAAAAAACAAATTCCTTATAATATTGTGCAAAAATAACTGTTGTGCATTTTTTGTGCCGATATAGTGAGATATTTTCATGTATAAAACATTTTCGCACTTAAAGTGTGTACCTTAAAAGCTTTTAGTGTGATATCACTTTTGTAAGTAGATTATCAGGAAATTATGGCGAAAAATATAATTTAAAATTGTGTCATAGTTATAGGGAAAGTCGGCCAAAATTGAAGCCCTACTTAGATGTTTGGATAATGGATAAGGACTATAAAATTGTTTAAACTTTTTATTTATCTTTCTGCAGATGTGTCTTGTTAAAATATAAGTATCTGGGCGACCGAGCTTCGCTTGGAGTTCTTTTTTGTTATATCGTATTTTTAAGATGACAATCTAGTTTTTGGCCAGAAGTAAAATTGGACTTTTTAATTTGGCTTAAAAACAAAAACAAACAAAAAATTCTAATACAAAAAAAAGTAAAACTTTGTATGCGACCGGGATTCGAACCCAGACACCTGTGATTGTCAATCTTGCGCCTTGGCCGCTTGACCATAATGCCCGAGCGTGCGAAATAAGCAAGCATATTTTGCGTTAAATAATGCGAAAGATAACCGCGTGAAAACTCAAAAACACGGGTTTTCCCAGACATAAGATTAATCTAGATCGATTTTTTGCCCCCCCGAAAAGTCCTACACTCCAAATTTAAGCTAAATCATTAGAGCCATTCCTGAGATCGCCGGTATAAATAAATAAATATACAAGAATTGCTCGTTTAAAAGTATTAGATAGATGTATATAAATAATTTATTTTCGTGATTAAAATGAATATGTATGCAATGTACGGGAAGGAAAATAAAATTATTTTATACGTATTATGCCATATTTATTTTTTCCTTGAACAATTTTGTTACTGACCAGAACAATATAATTCACAATAATAATAAGCAAAATATACAAAATAAAAAAAATGTAAATTAACGGGATTAATAGGTACTTCAATTCTAGGCCCTAGCAAGCAACTATAAAAATATCTAGGAACAATTGCAACGGCTAAACATATGTTTAGAGAAAACAATGTATTTTTATAGTTCTTTTAACCAATGAATTTAAATATATAATAAAGCTTAAATGAAAAATATAGGTACTCCATATTTAAAATATTCAATTACTCGAACCCAGTGTAAGGAATGTACAAACTTAACACCAAAAAGCTCAATAAAAGAGTTAATCTGACAAACGACAAATATTTCACAATTGTATTGAAAAATGAGTGGTAATGAGAATTTATGTACTCCACTTTAGAGTGTTAATTCCTAATATACTTCTAATCACCTAACTAAATATTAAAGCCTTAACAAATGAACTTTACTAATTGGATAAGTACTCACTCAGACTTTGTCTGTAAACAATTTGTAAGTAAGCATTGAAAACAATTATTAATATTTTGAAATGAATATATCCAAATTTATTTTACGTTAATAATTCTATTATCTTTGAAAATAAATTTAAATTCATGAATAATTTTAGATGTTCAAGACTCTTATTTCAAACCTAAAAAAAATATATAATATTATATAATTATGTAGAATATTCATCTTTAAAACGTATAATACAAATAAGCTTATTACTTTAAACCAAATAGCGCCATTCTAATAGAGAAAGTTTTCAACATATCGCACAGACACATAATAATTAAGATATTACATTTAAAATGCTTAAATTCGAAGTATCTATGGAAGGTCGACCGTATAGTAGAAACACTAATAAAACATCAAACCAAAATCCAGGCACCCATTCGATTAAAACAACTACATGTGCACCATTTATGCTAATATTAATGCCGTCACATGAGAGTAACAAATCTATTCATATGTCGATTTTACTACTTATTAAAAAGTATCTATATTTTATTGTTGTATCGAGATAATCCAAAAATGAACGGTGGAAGGGCTTTACTTCATAGTAATCGCCAAAATATGAAATAACAAGTTAATATTTCTCCTCTTGTTTAACATCAAATCAATATCAAAACTCAAATGAAATGTTTTATCTTATATGTATAACATTACTTTCACAAATTCATGTTTAAAGAAACACTTTGAATTAATAAAAAAGTGACATTCTGAGAGCTTTTCTATAGGACATAGCACTTTTGTTTTCAATTGTTAAGCTCAGTTCTTTAAAAATAAACTTTCGAATTTGAATGCAAATTTATCCAAACTATATATAATAAGTGATAAATGTCTGTATTTTAACAATTTCATTGATATAGTCTAATGGAACCATCCAAAGAAGAAGTCATTTACCTATTCTGAGATACCACATCATAAGCGTGCTTACGTTAAACACTGTTCACCGCATATATATAACGTAAATCAACATTTTACTGTTTACATTTAAATATTCTCTTAATAAATATAACATATTATAACAAAAATAGTTCTGACAGATTAATACTGGTATTCATCAGTATTTATTGCCAATAATTGGCAATAAATTACAATTATTGTATATATACTAATATAATCAAATATTATAATAGCTGATCTACTTAATAAGTACTATTACATACAGTTTATTCTGAAATATACATATCACATTACGAATAATAAAATTTCTTAATGATATAAAGTTATTTATCAAAAAATAAAAAATATATTTATATAACAAATGATAAACAATGAAAGATAAAGATTCATACTTAATGAAAGATTAAGTATGACGAAAGATTGTCAGATCTATTTCTATTATAAGAAGTAGGCAAAACAATATGAAGCTGTAAAGTCGAGACATTGGGGCTATCTATTTAAATCCTTTTATGCGATTTCGTGTCAGGTCGGACATTAAGACTGGAACAAGTTCTGCTGCTGCTTGTCGTTCTCGAAGTCGCTCCACGCGTTGTTTAGTTCCATGAATATCATTTTAGCTAAGTTCTCGTTTGGAGTTCCCATTTGCTGCAAAATATTATATATTAATGTATCGGCAGTGAGTTATAAGATGTAGAGTCTAATTCAATTTAATAGGGAATATGCGTGTTTTTGTTACAATAGCTTACATCGTTATATAATTGGGAAAAAAATATCCAGCTCCAAAAAAGTAATGTTTAGTAAAAAAAATATTCAAAAATATTATACAGACATGGATACTTTAAACGCCCGCCATTTTGGCGCGCTTGGCATGACGACATTGTTTATGTCAACATTGCGATTAATAAATGAACAGATCTAGATTGTTAGTACCAACCAATACCAATCGGGAACACCAAACAACAGCGCTCTGTTATAATAGACCAAAGTCTAAAACGTCAAATTTTGTCTAACTAATGGCGTTGAGCCAACTACTTTGAATTTTCCACCTAGTTTTGCACTTTTTAATAATAAATTATTTTCTTAATCAAAAAGAAATTACAATAAAAAGTATTAATATAGGATTAATTCGAAAGCAATAAAGATTATATAATATATATTTAATCTTTATTTAAATCACACGCATATTCCCTATTTAGACTGTCGTACACAACAGTTATTAGTTTTAGATTAATCTGTTATTAGTGATTACATAATTGAGGTTAACTATGATGTTCAGTCGCTCAGTGATTATCGACTATCAATTATTATTTATTATCAATTATTTATTATTATTATATATAATAAATAAACGAACGGGACGAACCCGAGCGAAGGGAGGGTTTGTTGCTACATAACACTAAGCCAAAGAGTTTTTTTTAGATTGAATGCGGGCGAACCCATGGGTTTTACTAGTGTATCTATAAACCAGTAACACAACGTGACTATAACATAACATGTCGTACCTTATCGGGATGCACCGCGAGGCACGCCTTGCGGTAGTGGCGCTTGACGTCGGCGGGCGACACCAGCTGCGCCATGTCCACGCGCGCCCAGCGGCACTCCGCCCACACCACGCCGTGCAGCGAGCACAGCAGCGCGCGTATGTTGGCCTTCTTGCCTTCCGTCTGGTACACATGAGAAAAAATATTTTAAGCAAGTCATTCCGAGTAAGGGGCTATTCAAGTACTACGTAAGCAGAATTTTAGTAATTATTAACCCCTCCCTACCCCTTGTCAGCAAAAGTAAGCAAAGCTCTAACTCCCCCCTCCTATGTTTACGTAAACATTGGTACATATATTTTTTAATCTGTTCAGAGTTATCATCAAGTCTAGAAATAAATTATTTATAGGTTATAGGGGAATTTAATATACATTAATTTATTTTGATTGGACGAATCAAAATTACTAAATTTGCAGAAAATCCAAAAATTTATATAAGTAAATATTGCTAACGTAATGACCCCCCAGAACAGCCTCGTCTCTCGCGTCATCAAAAATAAGCAAAGAAAAGACCCCCAACTCCCTCCTCCCCCCTGGTGCTTACGTAATACTTGAATGGTCCCTAATAAAAAAATGAAAGCCATGAAGAAGGCACTTACGCAATGCAAAATGTCCAATATTACCAATTAACTTATCCAATATACGTTACCGTGACCTAAGAAACTGAATGAATCATCAAATATGTTAGCAACTTAAATCAGTGCATATTGGAAAAAAAGAAAGTTTCCTTCTACTACAGTAAGAAAAAACAAATGTCACTGTCACAGCACAAAAGGAATCATTAGGGTAATAATATTACATTAAATTTTTGCTTATCAAAATGGAAGATTTCCGTTGGATTCTAGTGGGTAGTACTGGCTTCTCTAACCAATGAGCCCCACATAACCATCTGTATGTATGCATAAATGCATTTTCCAACGTTAAAAAGTGGTATTATTGGGAGTTCACAGTTGTGACCAAAATATAATATACCCATTCTTGTATCTTCAGTTTATCCGGATCCATCTCCTTGACCATTTCTTCTTTGCGCATCGCGTTTATAGTCCTGGGGCCGGTTTCACGTTTGGCGAAGTCGTAGCCCTGGCTGCCCAATAGGTCACCGAACACATCTGTGGATTTCTTTGTTTTCCCTTCGGCTGGGGGCTTTGCTGTTTCAAAGTGAGTGCGGCTGTGAAAAGTAGAACGATTTATAATTAAAAACCATGATTGAAGCATTATGTGAAGATGAGTAATCTATATAATGTATTTAGTATTGTAATAAAAAGTAAATATTTTAAAACATTTTAGTGGAAAATTACAAATTATTTTTGGCGTTCCAGTAATACTTGGAATGTAGAAAAAAAATTGAGTCTATATTTTTGTAAGTTCTTTTTTGTAAGTCATTTATGAGGACTTGAGAAAATTTTAGATAAGGTGATATTCAATATTTGCATATATGTATTATACACACGAGTTAAGATGAAGGTCATTCTTCGTGTACATAAGGCCTTAATGTTTATAATAATGGGGCTTCACTGGCAATCAGGCTGGTGCGCGGACGACTGCGAGATTCACCGTTAGTGTAACTAAATAAGGGCTGCCACCTACATGTCATCTCAAGGCTTATTTGTCCAAACTACCAATTTACCAAACAATTTTTATTACAGAATAATTGACTTTTAAATGTCAATTCTATTTATATAAAATACACATTTTGTTTTAATAAAGCCGAAAAGACAAAAAAGACTTTCATTTTTATCTTAGAAATAAAGCCTTATTTTTTAAAAAAAAGGGTACACTGTCTACTGTACATGTCCTAAAAATGTATTGGTTATTTAGACAAATAAAATTAAGGCGACGTACAGTCAGGCTGGAGCGCAGTCGAGCGCACCACCGTGTGCGGTGTGTATAGATTCATCATTCGTGAAATAGGGGTATCACCTGCAGTGCGGGTAAGCGCGAGATTCACCGTCAGTATAAGCAAGTTAGGGCTGTCACCTATAATCGGGTTGGTGCGCGGGCGAGCGCGTGGGCGTGTGCGGCGCGTGCGGCGTGTGCGCGGGCGAGGCGCGCGGCGTGGGCTGCGGCGTGGCGCGCGGCGTGGCGGCGGCGCTGGCGGCCGGCACGTGCGCGCCCAGCAGCCCTATGTCGGCGAACGGGTCGCGCTTCGATTGCGCTGCTTGTGCTGCATCTGGGACTTGTTGACGGCCTGGAAATGTATGTTTTATGAAAATCCCTAGGTACGTTTTTACGGTTTTAGTATGAAATACAAATCTTTGAATTTCTCGGCTTTTCTGTACTATAATATGTATGTATTATACATATAAACCTTCACCTTGAATCACTCTATCTATTAAAAAACCGCATTAAAATCCATTGCGTAGTTTTAAAGACATAAGCATACTTAAGGACAGACAGACAGCGGGAAGCGACTTTGTTTTATACTATGTAGTGATGTAGATTTAAATCTTACAATTTATTTATTAGGCAGTTGTGGTTATTTAGTATTTTTCAAAACAATGTATGTATTATGAGAATACGTTGATTTAAATCTTAGAATTTATTTATCCAAGAAGTAATAAACTGTAATATCTAAAACTAAAAAAAAAATCCCTTTGCATTGTTAGTAATCAAGTGAAAGTCTTCTAATCACATAATAAAACGAAAAACAAAGTCCACAACTTACTATCATCTTTGACGGGTTTAGGAGTCAACAACGACTCTTGCTTGGGCAAAGGATCGTTCAGACCGAACGGATCAAAGTTAATGTCGCTCGAGTTGGCATTCCCCGCTGTAGCGGCGGGCGGGGGAGGCAGGTCCCCGAACAAAGACTCCGATGCGAATGGCTGAGGTGAAAATAATCATAATAATTTTAAAAAATATATGCAAAAGCTGGTGAGTGTTTGTTAGCTCAAAAGATTTGAAAGAAATTCGGATTGGAGATATCTTTAATTTTGGATTAGCTGCCACATTTACTGACATATAATGTATGTATATTTTTAGTAAGCTTATTTAACAATTTAATGTAAATATCGCTTGATAGTAATTATTGCAGATGTAACAACTAACAATAATAACAATAATAAAAATGGTTATTTCTTTAATGTAATCAATTGATTATGATACAAATTATTTTTTTTAAACAGACAATTTAAAAAAAAGTATATGTTGTTTTCTGAGATTTGTAATCATTTCAAAATTAATTTTCCAACTATCACAACAAATTCCAACCAACTAACCTGTTGCTCCGTTTTGGAACTGAGGAAATCGCCAAACGACTCATCACTGGGTTTCTCCATCATGCCAAAGAAGTCGAAGGAGTCTTCGTTTTTCAATTTAGTTTTGGTTTCAGTTGGTTCTTGAGTTTGGGGTGTGGGGGTTAGGTTGAGGAAGTCTGCCGTGTTCTGTGTGCTAGTTAGTGGCGCGGGCGGAGGCGGGCGTTGCGGGACGGGCGAGGGCGCGGGCGGCGCGGGGCGCGGGGGGCGTCGGTCCGGCTCCCGGGGCGGGTACTCCGCTGTCACTGTATAATAATTAAGTTGTAAATAATTCGTGTAGGTAATAATAAACACATGTGGGAGCTATAAGTTTAATAGTTTAATTCGTTTTAACTATTTTCATTATATAGCATGATGCGTGTGACATTAGACAAACTGTTCTTTATATATCTAAAACTAAATATTATAAGCAGAGTACGGCACTAAATCTTATTGATTGATTTTCATTGATTTTGAAAATCGCGCGCCAGTCACTCGTATTTCATGAGCGTACGTCAATCTGCGCATATTCTGTGCGCATAAATGAAAAAAAAGGGTGATTGCTTGCTTGCAGATTGCTATGGTATTGATCTATCTATACATATAATAAAATAGTAACTAAGCCGAATATGTACATTAAATATTTTTTCTTATTGAAATAGACTTTATTATCGATACAGAGGCCGAATTTGTAGTTTTTAGAATTTTTGTCTGTCAGTCTGTCTGTTACCACATCACGGGAAAACCACTGGAGGGATTTTGATGAACATTGGTATGATAATAGCTGGTTATCCGGGTCAACATATAGGATACTTTTTACCGGGGGAAAATATCTCATTTCTGAGAAAAAATACAAAAATTGCAATGTATATTATATAATATATGTATATATAATGTGCTAGTATTTGATAAAAACACGTGACAAGCGCGCGTTAGAAAGTCATCATGTGCAGAGTTTGTTTATCCATTTTCTTTTATGAGAGATATATACATCACGTATGTATATATCATAACATGTCATAGACAAGAAAATTAAGTGTAATAAATTTTAATGCAATGAGTACACTATTTTAAAATGTAGTTTTTAAAATGTATGCCTAATTACATTGCATACATCCGTGATTATTCTTAAATATACCTGTAAGGAAAAACGGCTAAGAGAACTTTCTTTCAAATCTTAACTACGCTAAGTATAGCCTTTTATTAGTAAAGAAAAATAAAATAAAAATAATAAACATGCATATATGTAAATAAATGCACACAAAAATCTCTTTTTAATTAATTTTCAATCATTTTTATTACATTGTTGATAAACATTGAATATAATAATAAATATGAACAGTGATTTGTAAAATCGTAAAACGGTGAGAAGACTAAAGCAGTGTATTAAAAACAACTAAAAAATAATATTATGATAAGATAAGTGAGTAGTGTTACATCTACACATCTATACATATAACATACTTGTCGGAGGCAAAGCCGTCGGGTTTCTCCGGAGATTAGCTGTATGAAGATATATATATTATATAAAAGGACATTACAATAAATCTGTAATGTTGTATAAAATTACATAAATATTTAAATACCATACTTATTACTAAATAATTGTATATAATTTACTTAACAGTTTTTTTTTTCATTATAATATAGTGTAATTCATTTAACTTGGATCATCCCTTTACAGCTAACCCATGAGTTTAGAACACCAAGGTAATATTATAATATATGAAATTTTAAAACAAGTTAAATGGAAATCATTTGTTAATTAATTATTTATAACAGAATTACACATTAATACACATCATACATAAATTTAATACTTTTAGTAAATTCTTTAAAATATAAATTTATAATGCACTTGACACCACATACAATTACCATCATACCTTCTGTACCTCTAAATATTCTACTATTCCAAAATGAATGTAAGAAGAATAATATAGGTAGCCAATTAAATATGAATCTCAAAAATATTATAAATGCGAAAGTTCGAGAACCTATCGAAATATGGATGGATGTTTGTTACTATTTCACGCCAGAACGGTTTAACGAATCTGGATGAAATTTGGCACAGAGATAAATTATAGTCTGGAATAGCACATAGGTAATTTTTTATCACGGAAAAATTTACAGTTCCCGTGGGATATTCATACTAACCGTTAAAACGTACCTAGTATTCTGTAATAAAATATCAAAATAACACTCACCAAAGTTATCAATAGTCTCATCTCTCTCCAGGTTGGTAGAGAACAGTACATCTGGTGTTCTTATGGGGAATGAGTGATCCTCCTCCCACAGATCGCTTCTGGGCTTGCGTCTCTCCCCATTCTGCACCACAAGACTGATCACTACCGACACGTTCGACGAGAAGTGCTCGTTCACTGGACTGCTTTCGTCTATACCATCTATTTCCGACCTGATCAAATAAATGGTAAAATGTGATTAAAGTACTGTTTAATAATATAGCGTAAAGGTTAGTAATTGTTTTTAAATGCAATTACATATTTTTTTTCTTCAATCTCATATTCACTGACGTACACAGTACAACATATTACGATTAATCCATCCCATTGAAATTATGTCAGTCTGTGTCAAGATAAAACACGTGCTATCTTTGGATATAAATTCATCTCTTGTGCGTATAAAATATGTATACAATTTGAAACATTCATTTTCTAACTTCCCGTTTTATATGTAATTATATGGAATAACTCGATATTAATGCATTGCTTAAACTAAAAGAAGCAAAATGTGTGTTATCGCCGCAAATGATGTCAAGATAAAGTGGGATGGACCGGAAGAGATCTATTTTAGAAATAACTCTACCTTTTTTTAATTTCTCCTAATGTAAAAATATTAGTCTAGTCAATAAGTGCCTTTTTGGTCAACTTTATTTCAATAGTCTCGGAAAAATATGAACGAGGTGTCATTCGATTCGGGATGGCATGTAGATGATTTTTCACAATCTAAAAAACTAATTGAGATTTTTCAAATCGAAAAAAAGATTCAATAACAAGAGGAAATCTTCTAAAAAAAAGTCTCGACTCCCGGAACTATAGGACCAATATTTATAATTTTCCCAGAGGGATGAAAATACGGCCGAAAACGGCTTCTCTCGTTTGCGCAAGCCACGCCTACTCCGGACACTTTATCAATAAAAAATATTTTAACATAATAAATATAAAATTTAAAAATGAAAAAGAATCAGGGGCTTACTGGATAGATAAATGAACAATAATCCGCCAAAAAAATTTTTCATCACAATTTTTCAATTAGTTATTCTGCTTGAACATGAACATTGCAAGTGTGATAATTGTTAAACTATAGATTAGAGATTTTTTTTCCCCGAATGACACCTCGTTCATATTTTTCCGAGACTGCTGAAAAAAGTTGATCAAAAAGGTACTTACTTGTTGACTAGAAAATATAATATTTATAATATACCTAGTAAACTTAATAACATGCTGGTCATAGTCCAGGAAGCCGGTGTGGAAGGCGACGGCGAGCATGGGCACGCGCTGCAGGCGGCCGAGCTGCTGGCGCAGGTGGTACGCCGCCACCGTCACGTCGCCCACCACCGTGCTGTCCAGCGGCAGCGTCACCTGGACACGACTATATATTATTAACCGACTTTAAAAAATGCCAGGCATTCCTACTTATTAGGGTGTTTTTTGTAGTTATATTTATAAGTGCAGATTTTACAAGGAATAGATCATTCAACAAACATTGTCTTTATACGCTGAACTGACAGAATTTAATTAAATTTGAGTTCGTTGATTTGATTTGATCTCCCTAAAAACCCGCCTATTCATACGACGCACTTACGATCAAGCAGTATTTCACTTTAATTTACGAGGTTTTCTCTATCCTGTGTAAGATTGCATGCGCACTAAAAAGATTTTAAATAGTAGAATTGAGTTTTAAATCATTAGATTAACTAGACCTATAAACCCACGACGTACTATAGAAGAATACATCGTTGTTAGATAAAACGAAAAACAGAAATCCCATGTAAGAAAGTCAATATAAATCACTGTAAGCTGAGCCTCGGACTATTCATATTTTAACTCTGTCTTTCGAAAACTTGCTAAGTTCTCTCAGACATGCAAGTTTCCTTACGATGTTTTCCTTCACCTTTAGACAATTGGTAATTATGTTGGAAATGATACGCACATGAAAATACCAGAGGTGCGAGACCCGGGATTTGAACCTGCAACACTCGGTTTCCCAAGCGAATGCGTTACCACCTAACATTCCTCGGCGTCACGTTGCGGTTTGTAACTTGATTGGAGCAATTTTCTTATATATCAGAATATAATTATAATTTAATTTCAGTTTATAATAAATCTAAATGTTCATAATACCTTCCCCTCCGCCATCATGTAGAGATGCATACTTTCATAATTTCTAAGCGGAGGCGATATCAATCGATCTTCATTGTAAATTTCTAGGAATGGGCGACATCCATCCCTGAAATTAAAAAAAATAAAGCTAGTTTATTACAATTTGTCATTTGACGATACTAAACTACATCTACATGGTTACGCCCACAGTAATTTACAAGTAACCATCGCCATTTTGGATTAATTTACAGTTTATTTTTATTTATTTATTTATACTTAAACATCTTTTATAGCGCATAGCTATGTATAGGTGGAGCGCTGACTTAACAGTGCGCTTGCGTTATAATTTGTTTGTTCAAGTTTAATACTAAAATTATTTTTTAAGAATTTATTCTGATTATAACATTGAGTAACATTAGACATATTAACTGTAATTTTAAATAAATATTTTGAGTAAATTTTTTTTGGTCTTCTGGCTGTGTTGCTCTTAACTAGTACTTAAGTAACATTAGAAATTTATAACAAGGAACCTTTAGCAAGCTTTACAATGGGAAATGAACACTAAGGTCAAGCTAAAAAAATTCGATGGCACACTGCCCTCACATATGATTCACTTATAGACTGAGAAATATCAACTTGACTACACGAATTAAATAGAAATACTTAACCTATTTTTAAACGTAACTAGTTAAGAGGTTTTATAACAAACAGGTTAGTTGTTACCAGTGGCGTAGCTGTGCCATTGCAATCAATACGATCGCATGGGCCCCTGATTCAAGGGGGCCTCAGCAGGCCACAAACGACTTCTCGTTCAACGCCCGGCAGTCCACATTCGTTTTCATAATAGGCATAGGGACACACTTCCATTTTTGTACATTGGGGCCCAAAAAAAGCTAGTTACGCCACTGGTAAATTAATTAAAGATTGTACACACCTGGCTTTAGTGAACAGCGGCACTGGTTGTATAGTAATTGAAACCAGCGACACGGGCCTGAAATGCGGCAACACTGGTTCTGGTCTGTAATATGAAAATTTAAATATTACCATAATTCAATTCTCTTGTTAATGGCTTCAGAACATGCCAGTTGAACAAAGGTTAAATATTACCACTATGTATGTAAATACCATTTCACAGGATATCAACATCTAATATCATCTTTGTTTTCTCACATACTTAATTCCTATGAATTTATTGCATTATAAGAAAGTCCTATGGTTTTACTAATAAAGACCTAAAAATGAGCCATGGTATTCTTGTATATTAATTATTGACCGATCGAGCAAAGCGGTCAAAAAATTTGCTTTCCTTTGTCAGTTTGGTGGTACTTCTCTACAGGGCGTATTTTACAACCGATCTAGACGAAACTTGTTATATACAGGTTTTACGGCTTTGTAGATTTTTGTCGTCGGGGATTTTAGATTGGAGAGGCACTTCCTTCAAAAAGTGGCAAAAAGGGGGCTATTGGATATCTCCACCTTATGAGATCCGATTTCGATGGTTCTTTTTTTATTTGAAAGGTTTAACGAAAAGTTGTTCTCATAAAAATTTGGTGAAGATCTGATAAGGATATTCGGTGTGATGAGCAGAATAACTCCTCAAAATGCAGTAAATTGCTCACTTTTAGATTTCTACCGATGGAATCGGATTGATGGAGCACCTGGGACCACTTTCTCGTCACAACACTAGAGAAAATAATTTTGAGAATTCTCTAAAACGAGGCTTTAAAATCAATCTTAATGTTAGGACTTTAGTGGTATATTATTCGGTGTAAAAAAGTTTATGCTCGCCAAGTTTACGGTTCGCGGAACTACAAGTATTATAGAAATAAGATTTATAGATTGTTTTGATATTTTGTAAGGAAAGCTGCAAGGAAGCTCGAGCAAAGGAAGGGTAATCCTACTTTATAAATACATAAAAAAAGATGTAATATATCATAAAAAGTTTAGAAGTCTTCAAAAAATAATTATACAAAATAAATTAAACAAACCTTATTAATTTGCTGAGGTAGTATAGATATCTGAGCTGACTAGGCGGCAGATTGATTGGAGTACGTTTAACGGCGAATATCTGCAAAGCATCTTCAGGTACTGTCACCAGCTTTGCATATAACAATAACCCACAGAGAAGTATGCAGGATCGAGATTTACCATCCTGAAATACATGATCTTAATAAAAATCTTAAATTCATTCACTGACTCACAACACACATTCTAAGCCGTTAGATCTAGACATGAAAGGCACCAGTTTGAATTTTCAGGTTTTACAATAACGAAGGGGATTTTAGTAAATTCTTTCCCGAAAGAGGATAAATAGGAACTAAAGATTATTCCAGTGTATGATGTAATTTCTGTGACATAGTATTATAGAACCTACGAGTATATTTCGAAGACTAAACTACTGACATCACATAGCGTCGCCTTAGTGCTTATTTGTTCAAACAACTAATACTTGTTGTACTTTACAGAATGGAGGTTTTTTTCTCTATTTTAAAAACAAAAGCTTTTTAAAAATAAAATCTAATTGACATTCAAAAATCAATAATTCCGTATTAAAAACTCTTTCGGTAAATAGGTCCTTTGAACAAATGAGCACTGAAACTACAACAGATTAAACCTACAGCCAAAAAGAAGGCACCTTACTAGTTTCAAACCAACAAAAGAACAACACATACCGGGCAAGCTATAACCAACGCGGATTTGTCATCTTTCCCTAGATACTGGTACATGTGTTGTAGCAACGCGTAGTAGGGCGCGAGTAGCGGCGTTCGATGTTCGTCGGTCGGGAACACCGACGCGTCGGTGACGAGCTGGCGGCGCGGGAAGCGCGCGCGCGCGTCGTGCACCGTGTACACGCAGTACTTACCGCCGGGGTGATGGCTTTCTAAGTACAACTGTTGAATAATAATATACATTTTATAATTGACTAGCAACTCACCCTCGCTTCGCTCGCGTTCGTTCCTAGTTCGATTCCCTATACGAACTTTCATCCCCATTTTCACACCCCCCCCCCCAGGGAAGATTTCCGGGATAAAAAGTATCCTTTGTCCTTCCCAGGGTCTCAAACTATCTTCCTACCAAATTTCATACAAATCGGTTCAGTAGATCCAGAGATTTACTCCCTACAACGTCACAAACTCACAAACTTACAAACTTTACCTCTTTATAATATTAGTATAGAAGTATAGATAGTAAAGATAATTCTAATTTAGTTTAAATGTTATTATTCTAAATTCTTTATATGCAGGTTATACTCTTGGGGGTTCACTCATTTGGATATTTGGTAAGTAATTGACAAAGTTATACATAACATATTATACAAAAAACGCACCTGAATGAATTGCCTCCTTCTTTTTGAAGTGGGTAAATAAAAATATATTTATAGTCATGCAAATAAAGAATAACATTACAAATTGTTTCGTCTATAATCACTTTTAGCTTAATAACTATTACAGTTCGAACAACAATTAAATTTATCATTTGATCTGGAATAATTTAAAATATATTGGAAATATAATAAAATTTAGAAATTTATTTACATAGCTAGTTTCTTTTTTATAAAATAATGTTAAATCTTGAACGTTATACATACAAAATATATGTATATAAAAATATCCACACAACGTTAAAGTGTAGTGTGTCTGTCGTGTGCACTGTCAGTTGGTTCGAATTAGCGGCTAACTGAATCTGTAGATTGAATTAGCTGCTAATTCTAACCTCATTCTTTATCTGAACGGGTTTGATTATATATATTTTTATGGTAACTGATTTTACATACAATGCTTTAAACATATGAAAAAATAAATAAAATAAACTCATTACTTACTCTTACATCTTCAATGTGATTCGTTTTATATGCACTTTCCAATAATTCTGATGGATACGACATCACTATAACTCGACTAGTAATATAACTAATATCCAGATCAGCGCGCGCTATCGACCTGAAAGATAAAAAAAATAACAATTAATTATATATATAAACGTTTATTTTTATAAGTAAAAAAATAAAACAAATAAGTCAAGCTAATAAATCTGATAAAAGTGATTGCCCGAAATATATCTTAAAGGCATTATTAACTTTATAGCGAAAAGATCTTACTGTTGAACTGTCTGCATAACTTTCGATGAGGTATCTTTCAAGTTTTTCAAAAAGCTGCCAGCACCATCTTTGATAGATGAAAATAGTCCCCCCGAGGCGGGAGGTGCTTGCGGTAGGGGTGTGTGGTGTGGGACGGGCGGCGGCCGCGCGGGGGGAGGGGGCCTGCTCGGTTCCGGCGGGCGTGGGGTCACTGGCTCTGGAATGTTCGGCGTTGGTTCTTTGGGCGCTGAAAAAAAAATTACGTTTTGGCGGGAAATCGGTAATGTCAATGTCAAATTTTTAATAATTTATAAATTTTAGTTATCCCTACTTTGTCATTAAATAAAATTAAATTTTAAAGTTGAACATTTTTAGCAACATACTTTATTAATTACAAATCTTTTATTTTTACTTTAAGATCTGTTTAAATCCAATTAGTTTGGTCGAAACATGTGAGTACAAAAACAACTTAATTTGTCTTTAATTTAGTCTTTATTTCTAAATTTAAATATATCTTTACACTTTCACAAGTCATTGCTTATAGCCTAGTAGTAACAAAAATATTGCTTGCATATAAGTTATATAAAACAATGGTTTTTAATAATTAAATTTTCTACATTTCAAAAATGTGATGTTATATTGAAAATACAATATTTATTCATTATTTAGCTCTTCAAATACCTGTTAAACGTTTCTTCATAAACTTTCGTTAAAAATGCAAACTCTAAATATTATCCTTTATAATTTGAAATACTGATGTATTATATAATGATTAACAGTGACAAGACACTTTGTTACAATTCCATTTAAATTCCAGAAAATATTTTAAATAATACAGTCCATGCTATCATCGAATACATAACGATAGAATCAATCTAAGGAATGTGCGAATTACTAAGGAAAACATTTTTGGAAATGCAAATTAGTATTATGATGAATAAACATAATTGTTCGAAAAAAAAAATATAACCATTTTTCCTTAAAAACTAACATTCTTTATTGCGAGGAATACTTTCGAAGACGTAATCTTAAAATTAGATTTCAACTGAAAACAGTGAAAATATTATTTTTTTTAGTATTAAACCTGACGTTCATTTATTTTCTTTAAGTCTATTTTTATGTTTTAACATTGCACCAAATTTTCTTTCTTTCTTTCTATCTCTCTCTATCTATTAATAATTTGTAATTGAAGTTACTTCTATAAATTCAAATGTAATAAATAATTGAAAAAAATAATTATTTACCATGATAATTAGTAACAGTTTTTTAAATTATAAATACTGCTGCAGTAATCGAAACAATACAAAAAATATGTTTTACATAATATATAACTTAAATAATAGCGGTAACTAAAATTATCATATCTATCGATTCTCAGATTGATTTACTAGAGTTTGTACACATGCGTTGTTATACTTAATGCTGGAAATTTTCGATTTTTTTTTATATTTTTTTTTTGGTAGGTACAATTAATTTTAAATGGTAACATTTATCATTTTTATCGCGTCCAACTTTATAACCATAGTTAAATATTTTTCAATGTTGTCACAAAATAATTGTGTGTAACTTATAATATGACGGAAAGATAAGAAAACAGAGTTCGTAAAAGAACGTACTTATGTCATTTTTTACATTTTTCCTTCAATTGGAATGTTTAAAAATAATAAATAATACATATAGTCACATCGTATTAGCCTTATTTTCTTAATTTAGCTATTATTGTCTAAGATCTACTTCTAAATAATTTGGAAATTTTATTACCGATAAAATACAAGTTTGTAACAGTAAAAGATTTTCGCTATTTAATAAATAGGGCATAGTTTAACTATTATTTTTATAAAATATCACAACAAATAAGAACATAAAACGAAGGAAAAATATTTAAGTAAAAACTAAAATAATACGCAATGGCGCCGCTCCGCAACTAAGCAAGATTGAATTTGTTCCAAAAATAGCAACACAATTGGATGATTCGACCTTTATTCGTAATATGAACTTGCAATTAAAATTATTAACTGCTGTATATTTTTATGGTACGTGTACGATGTATGCCATGACAGTTTCGCAGTAACACTAAATTTCCTTAGAATAATTATAATTTTTGAGCTTCAATTCTAAAATTACAAAACATAAGGTTGACTTAAAAAACCGTGAATTTTTTATGGATTATAAATTAATCCACATTAACAATTTTAATATGGATAATTTCCACTTCCATACTTAATAAATTGTTTAGAACAATACTATAGAGACTATGTCATTTAGTTTTATTATAGTGTTATCGTTGACTTACAAAACGTATAGAAGGATCATGCAGTATATAAGTTAGATGATTAGTAGTTGTTTTTGGCACATTGTGGGGGACAGCAGCGCGGCGCAATAGCGTAATTACTAATAAATAAAAACAATACTCATCATTGCGAGCATATCCATTATCTCTAGCAAGCTTTCAAGATGGAGTCCAAGGGTTCATGCGCCACGGGTCATTTAAACGAGAAAACAATCGGGCACCCGAAAAAGTTGAAAACACCTAAAATGAAAAAGAAAACGTGATATGCATGGACACAGAACAACATGCCGCAAGTCACATGCCTTTTGTTTAACAGCGGGAGCTTTAGTTCTTACGAACAATTTAACAATTGTAACATGAATTATAATTAGAGAATAAAGGTGGCTATACGAATATTATTTCTTCTTTGATTAAGATCGTTATATAAAACTGGTAAAACTCTTGAACGTTCCATAAACAAAAGACAAAGGCATGAGACTTTATTTTTGGACTATAGACACGAACATGCAATGATTTAGCTCATTCTAACAGAAACAGAGACAAGCTTCGACTAGTTACATGCAAATTATATAGAAAAAAATATTAGCCAGATGGAAATTGAAATCGATCCGCTGCAACGACGAAAATCTTGTGTCTATCTACGTACCTACACTTATGTATCTACCTTATAAACCCTAGTTCGAAATCTGAGTCTAATTGGTAATAAGTGTGCAAGAGAACCACTTCAATACTACACATAAAGTATATTATGAATTATCATCAATTACCTATTCCTCAAATTGTGCCAAATCTAACTACAATGCCAAGTTAGTATTATCTTAATGATATTGAAGCGAAAAGTGTATGTATCCAACACCATTTATATACAGCGTTATATGTATTTTGTTCAGTTTACTGCTACCGTATTTATCTACAGTTGTGTTACATAATTACTTATTATATAATGCAATCAACAATGGCCTGCAGTTGTTGATAAATCAATATATTATGTATAATGAAACCATGTTTTTGAACTATCCCGACTATAGTTAAGACGAAATATAAGTCTCAACTATACGCTTCTTAACACCTCCAGGTAAATTTCTAAGAAATTAATTAGATTTCTGAGAAATCTATTGTTAACTGTAACGCCGGCGTGTCCGCGGTTGTGGAGCGATTAAAGTTTACGATCGAGTAGTAAACGAGAGGGCTTTTAATATTTGTTCATTTATTTCTATTAATTTTATAGACTGTTGTAAAATTAAACGTTTGATGTAAGTTATTTAGGAAACATATTCTGAAAGCATCTTACTGTAATAGTTTCAAATATTGAATGTTTTAGAATTTAGAGTTTAAAATATTCAATATTTAGTACCAATAAAATCATTATTAGTAGTATAGAGTAAATGGAAAGACAGAAAACAAAGAAAGACTCAATAATTACGTTGTATAGGAGACTCCCTTGCGATAATACATGTCCACGATTCCTATACTAGGTATGACATCCTACAAAATTAATAAAAATATTGTTATTATAACTATTTTAATTACCTTGCCTTTAGCAAACAACATTCAAACGTTTCGTTAAACTATTATTCGTTTGCAAAAGCTTAAATATAAATCGTATGATTAAATATATATCGTTATTAGTACCAGAACAAAATTTAAATATTTTTCTCCAATTAGTAAAAAATGTGCAAAGTTACTATATATCAAGCGTTAATATAACAATTAATGGTTAGTGTAGCGATAGCTTAAAGTTTTAAGTTAAATTACCCTTTTATCCGTGATATCCGTTCGAAAGTATTCCTCCTTTATACTGCATGAACTGTTTATAAATAAAAACAAACCAATAATGATGATAGTATATCTTTTTATTTCCCTCCAACTGACATATTATATAGATAAACAAAAAATAAAGATGAATTATGAAGCATTTTGGCGAACATGTTTTAGAACAAGAGATTGCCAAGTGATCACTTATCGTATTAGTGAAAAAACTTATGTATGAATATTACATATATGCTTCCCATATACATATAATTTCCTATATCATCACTGTAATTCTAGTTTCATATTGTCTCCAAAGTTCATAAATCTATGATTTATGCAACGTTTTTGTACAATGGTTTTACTTAGAATTATGTATTTTTTCATCATACTTCGACTAGCAATACACCAATAAAAAGTGAGAAAAAATTTGATTAATATACAATTTATGTGCTAGTTCCCAAGCAACCGAGAATGTTAGTACTGAAATATAAATGAACATCTCTTGGCTTCCCACATGTTAGTTGCAAATTATGAAACATCTTAAACATTAATAATGTAAATAGTAAATACCACAGAAGTCGATCATTATTATAAATGAAAGTAGATTTCATTACTACAGGAATGTTTAAATGATGTCATTAAGATTATTAACATTTGCAAATATTGAAATTTCAAATATAAATATTACCTATTCATTTAAAATATCTTACGCTTGTAAAAATATACTATGAGAATATTACTACGGGGTCTCGTTATTGGCGATAAAGAACATTAAGCCTATAGGAATGTTACATGACTTCATCAATAATAAAATGGTGCATGTATCATGATACAACCTAAATCTAAAGATAATAATCCACACACTTTACAAATGTGTGCTGTCTTTTTGGTAATAGAATAGAAATATTTTCTTAAATAACTTAATAATTTAACTAATGTTTTTTTTTTTCGCATTAATACCTAATTATAACCACAGAGACTTGTACCAATCAACAATAAATATCAAATTGTATGGTTTAAAATAAGACCATATATATTTACTATTCTGTAATTGAGACTAGTGAGCTTCATTGTGACGAAGCCTTATTATTTAGACCATTAACGTTCGTAGCAACAAGCAATATCATTGAACAATTTACTGAAAACAGCATCCGCATTATAAATACAATATAAGTAAAACATGAAAAGTCAAATAAATGCTATACTACCTTCGATGAGCCGTGAATAAATCCAATACAATTCTTACCTTTGGCGACGTTTAGGCGATATCGGAATGTAAATACACAATATTGCTCTCAAATTAACTAATAAACTCAATTGGAAATAAAATAAAATAAAAAATTTGAGTGTAAAAAGTCAAAAAATACTTGACCATTGTTAGCTCGATAATGCAACATAACATAAATGTACCGGGGGGTCGAAGTACGAACGCAACGCTTCGTTAGTCTTCGGAGACGCGGGTCTTAGGATATGGTAGTGTAATATTTACTTGACTTCTTATTACCTGGCGAGCTAGTGGCCACAGATTGTTCAACTTTTTTACGCTCAAATTTGAGTGGTTGCTTGAGATTGACGTTGTTGGACTCCGCTATGGCCGCCAGCCGCTCCAGCACGCTGCTTATCGGTAGACGCTCTTCGGGGTTCACTGTTAGGCAACCACCTGCAATAACACAACAATTCTATATATTAGATGTTTATATTTAAACTCGCCTTTCTTAACTTCACTTGCAAATAGTCAACTATGTAGTCATGGCTTTAAGATTTGATACAAGTCGATTTCAATATACTTCTAATAGTAGCGTCAATTTAGAACTTTGTAAAGGAACTCGGAATTGCTATACAATAGATACAATCGACTCGATTCTTATGATAGAATCCTAGAACATCATTGGATCGTTTTTACGAAATACGTATTCTAGTTGGTGATCTTATAATCACCATTTTTTAGTTTTTTTAAATATATTTTTTTGATTATTTCTACTAAAGTAAACATGAGAGAGATATTGGACCATTCAACCAAAAACAGATGAGAGTTATAATATCCAGTTCAAAAGTGTTCCTGTGCATATATTATATTTAACTATCTTTTATTACAATTGTACTATTAATTATCTAATATACATATAACAAGTAAAAAAATATACACCCAAGTGTGTTAATAGATAAATTAGCTGGAAGTACTTATTCTTATCTATACATTATAAATAATAAATATTTAATGCCCATCATTTAAAATGAATTTATTCTTTTTTTTAACCATGCTATTCAATAGTTTTTGCATAAATTATGAACAAATCAATGTAATATTACTTATGAACATTATAACATGAATAAATTTATTATTAAAAGTTCTTGATGTTTATATTGCTACTATGCCATAAAAAATTTAAAAAATATATTATAAATTATAAAAAAAATATTATAAGTTAATGTAACTGCACTATCCAATATAATATTTTTTTTTATTTACTTGTTATTAATACACCTAGACTTCTTTGTTTAATTGAAATTAAATGTAAAATAAATGAATTTTCTATTATGATATTATGTTTAACATAACATTATGACAAAAGTACTTAACAACACTACTATTTAATGACTTTTAATATATAAGCCGTTATGTACATAATTTTTTGTCAACCTTGTCTTTGCAATAATGTATGAAGAAGTTATTAGGCCTACAAAAGGAGTACTGGACACTTACTTATAATTTCATGAAAACATTTGTATCGTTGATCATTGGGGTTCAAGTTATAATTTCCATTTAATATAGCTAACTTTGCAGAATCCTCAAATGGATGTTGCATATAGCATAATGTATATAAAATACATCCTAAAGCCCATACATCCACTGCATGATCAATTTTACGATTATCCCAGGTGTCAAGCATTTCTGGGGCTCTGTACATTGGTGTAGTGAACTGTGCCAACTGAAAATTGTACAAACTTTAAAAATCTTTTATCTTCAATATGATAAATAAGAAATACATATGATACTTTCCTAGATTTACGCGAATATTTGACATTTTAAATAAAACTATCTATGTATTTTAGTAAATTCAAAAATGCCACCAAAGTACCTTACAATATTTTTGTTGATTTTAATTCCAAACATTTTAATTTTTTAATATGTATTATAGTTAAATATAGCAATATTATTTATTTAATTTTAGCTGGTATTATTATAAATAATATATTTTTTTATAAATCCGCCAAATAATCCCAAAAATATAGTTTTAAGTAATACATAATTATAAAAAAAATATAACAGTTAAATTGAATTGTGATTATTATAAGTACTTTTTTACAACTGTAAACAATATTACATAACAGCAGATTGTATAGTGATTAAAATAAAACAATTGCAGTCAACAGTCATAGATAAACTTATATTTACAAATGAGTATCTAATTAGGTCAATCATAGCTGTAAATATTTGGATAAAACCTTTAGAAACTGCAAAATCTTATTTATCCCTAAAGGAAAGTATACCAAAATTTAAACTCTAATCATTACTCGGGAACAACTATTTCAGGAATCTTTCTAAAATTTATATTTGAAATTAATATAAAAAAATAGATGGACATTATATAATATACTAGCAAAACCGGTCACGCGTTGCTGTGGAACTCTAACCAACTGAATGTACATGGCTACAAAGAAAGGAAAAATTCGGGATAAAAACTATCTTATCTTTTAAATTGGAACAAATCACACATTAAAAAAAATTTAAGGCCTGATTACATATAAGTTTCGGATTTCATCACAGACCAACATTGTGGACAAGGGGATTTTATATATTAATAGATCTAATTCAATTCTTTTGTTTTGTTGTTTATTAATAATTTAAATAAGTAGCAAAAAAATATATTAATAAATATATTATAAAAATGCTGTATTACCTAAAAAATATTTCCCTAGAATTAAGGGTATAGGTAAATAGACTCTATGTGTGTATGTGTTTTTTTTTATAAGATCTGTGTGATGCTGAAAGCATTCACTTATAATAGTTATACTTAATTTACTTAAATCTAAAGTTAGAAACCACAAGAGTGTAAACTATAGGGGTTCTAATTGCTCTTCTTAGCTTGGCTTAGGAATGGTAATAATTATTTGTGTAGTTGTCTCGTTTACATATTTTATATAAATATTTCTAACTTAAACATATGTCTAAAAGACCATATTTTCACAACACTTCATATTTTATGTAGTCTATAAAAGAAATTGTAATTGACAATGTGTTTTTGATATTATTTGTAAAAAAGGGCTTTTAAAATAAGTTTAACCTTAGAAAATAATTATATTCAAAAATAATTTGCAATTGTTATAACTGAATGACATCCACTTGAGAAAAATCAAAGACAACACCTAGTTACATAATTATTTTAGAATGTTTTTACTTACATTTTCTTCTAACATATTTCTTTGATTTGCACTCCAAGAAGGATTGGGGGTATAGACATCAGTAGTAGCAGACCCAAAGTCACATAACTTAATTGTACCTGGAACCATGAATGTTGTATTATATTTATTGAAAATCTTCATCTACACTTTAATATGACTGTGTAATTCTTACCCTCACTAGATATTAAGAAATTTTCTAGCTTGAGATCACGATGTGCAATTGGGGGTACTTGAGCATGCATATGTTGCACAGCTTTACAAGTTTGGTAAAAAACTCTTAATATTGTTGGTAGTGGAAATGCCTGACCTCTATTTTGTAAGGCCTCCATTAAGCTTCCACCACTACAAAGATCTGTTAATAATAAATATTCACCCATTCCATGGCTTGTTTTAGCTTTATCAATAAAAGAAGCTGCTATATATTTAATAACGTTGGGATGCCCAGACAGTTTTTTTAATATACTAATTTCTTGGATAATATTTTTATTCGCCTGTTCATCAGCTGCCATAAGCCTTTTTAAAGCATATTCTGTACCTGAAGATACATCTTGAGCAACAAATACAAATGCAAATCCACCTGCAAAAATATTTCATGTACTATGTAAAGTACTAAGTAATGATAACTATAGGATTATTTCTTATACATTTACAAGCAGTTTGAAATTAAACCTTTTATATTTTTGGACAGCAGTCAATACATATATAGTTATATCATCTACAAAAAAATCGATTTTATCATTAGATCTAAATTTTACTACTAACCAGTATTATAGTTAAATAAACAAAGTTTTGAGATATCTTGCAAGCAAATTGGTAACTATAGGATAACTAGTCCAGTAGTATGAATATAAATATTTATTTAAAACAATCTGAATTCTAATAATGTTCAATAATAGAATAAAAAATAAAATATTATATTGATCATATTATTTACCATTTTAAAAATATATATGGTAATTAACAATTATGGTTAAATTCATTATCATTAAAGGGGAATTATATATGTCGAACAATGAGTTCCAACGCCCCCAATTTGCTTTTAAAGCGTACACTGACCCAGACCATTGACAATCAAAAATTTGTGTTATAAAGTCATCTTAAATAGTATTATTATATTTATAAACTTACCTTCTGCAATAACTTTTTTCACTCTTAATTTCATATTCCCTATTTCCACAAATTGCCCAACAAAATCATTATCACTGCCCCCGTTGGCACCTCCAGAGCTGAAGTACCCCATTGCGGATTTAAAAACACTCATGTTTATTAACCTTTCTTCTTAACATTAATTGAAAAATTACAAGATAAATAAACACATATTAATTGATTCCTAGTTTTTGATCCATAATATAATCGTTAGAGCTGATGAGAATACACTAGAAAAAAAGAAATTTGCAGAATGGCAGATTGGATTGGTTTCGTAAAAAGTGGCAGCTTACAAAAATGTTGCCAGAGTTGGATACGACGTGCACAAACTCACAGTTTAAGGAATAAGGATATTACACACAAACTATATAGAAATGCTAGTTCGTGATTAAGCATATAGATGCTATATACTATCACAAATAATAATAATAAAAACAAAATGAGTTAGTTAATGGTGATTGAAATAAATGCCTAATAATATTAATAAAATAGAAAGGTGGCTAATGGCAAACTGTCGGTAAGTATAGCGATAACAATTAACATGAATCTGATTGTGATCTTTAAAAAGATGTTTGGATTGCCTTTATTGACTCTTTAAAATACAGAACAAGAGCTAAGTACTTGAAAGGGTAGAAGTGATAAGAATAACTGCATCTGCACAGCAGAGAAATCCGCTCACGATCTTATGTGATGGTGAAACTGGTGAACACTTCTCGACACCTTTAACCAAAGGCACGAGAAGGCAAAGATCAAAATATATACAAAGATATTAGTTTTATGTATATTGATGATGGTACCTATTATACGAGAACTGAGGGAAATAAAATGTTAGTTATGTTTGTATAACTTCTTTCTAACATTAGAATTACTGCCTCGGTTGTATAGTAGCTAGCATGTCATGCGGCCCAATCAGATGTTTAGTAGACAGCTTACAAGAACCGTTGAACAGTTGGTGAGAAATTTTGTTTTTACATTGAATACAACATGTTTTTAATAAGAAACCATAATATTTAAGAAATACAATATCTAATCCCGATCGACGTTTTAATTCACCAGTCTTAGTTTTGGTTTCATATAAAATATGATACAAATAATTTTTTAAATATTTGTGAGTTCTATCAAATACCAAAGATGAAATAAAAATTAAATAATACGTTAAAAGTTATTAAGTATGTAGTTAAAATATACATAAATTTCGAAATGAATATTTTAATGCATTATTATCATGGATGACAAATAAAAATTATTATTGTATTTTGTTGCCACTATCAAAATAAATTGTTTGACATGACATTTCACATTAGTGATTAGACAATAGTCAACACAACACTCCAATTTTGTTCTGTTTAAACTGTGGTGCTTCTTTATGCCTTGTATATTAATTTATGTTGTCTCGTTTTTTGTTGTTGATATTTCGTATTATTCATTTAGACTTGGGTGACACAAATCTATTAGCTGAATGGACTACTCTACTGCAATATATACAACTTATTAATTTATTTATCATCATCAATTGAGAAATTTGATTTGACTGAGCTAATGTTTATCTTCTTTAAAATTAAGAATGGGCTTTGAAATCAAAAGGTTTCAAGGTGACGTCGACGAAGAGCTTATTTGTCCCATTTGTTCGGGAGTGTTAGAGGATCCTTTACAGGTAGATGTGACAAGTTGATTTGTACAGCAAGACGTAAATAGGATATCTATAATTTTTATATCAATTTCTAGGCACCAGCTTGCGAGCATGCATTCTGTCGTGCCTGCATAACAGAGTGGATTAGTCTACAACCGACTTGTCCAGTTGATCGGCAGGCGGTGACCGCAAGCCAACTAAGACCTGTTCCAAGAATACTACGTAATTTGTTATCCAGGTTTGTTATAACATCATGTTCTTATCTGGTTTCTATATTTCAGGTTATATTTTTATATTTGTACATTATATTTTTACACTGGTTTTAAATGCATCGTTCTTTTTGTATTTTTTGGCAATTTTGTTATAATATTAACTAAAAAACATTTTCCTGTTTTAATATTTTCCTTTTCAAATGATCAGTTGAATTATTAAAATTATTTATTGCAATTAGACTATGCTCAATTGTATTTTATTTTTTGGTATAAAAAATGGATTGTTTTATATTATTATTATTAGTTTCTTTTTTTCCAGACTATGCACAAGCTGTGATAATGCTCCTCATGGATGTAATACTGTTTTAAAATTAGACTCTCTGGCATCACATTTAGTTGAATGTATGTATTTTTCAACTTCGTTTCATTGACAAACATTTTATTCTTCAGAATGAAATTTTAAAATGATTTAAGTAAGAGAAAAAATACGCCGATATCCTAATGATACATTGGTAAAGTATAAGCCAAGCAGATATTAAAATAGTTTTTGTATGTAGTTGTTTATATTAAAATGAAAATCTCTTCTTAAGATATAAGTATTTATTGATCATATTTTATCTTGTTGGCATTTACAGTACCTCTTAGCAGAAGCCATGTTCTAAACTTAATTTTTAATTACCATTGTAAAATTTGTAGAAAACATGAAAATGTAGAACAAATTCAGAGCTTTGCATGGTTTTTTGAAATTTTTATAATGTAAAGGAAAGTATGGAGTTGTATATAACATATTTACAATATTATGACACACATTGTCTTTGTAATATGATATCAGTAAGATATTGATATCAACATGTCATGTAATTGGATAGAAGTTCAGTGAAAGGTTAATAATTTACATGTAATACTTTTCAAATGCAATGACATTCTTTTAACCTGTAAAAAGATGGCTTATTAATATATTATTTGAATACATTTAAATAAAATATGCATAAAAGATTAATTTTTAAATAAGTAGTATGTGTCTAGGAGCAAAATAGATATATACTATGGTCTATATTTTAGCATTATAATTTTAAATAGATATTATTCAATTACTTAATTGGTGAAGTTTTATTTGCTAAGACTATTGAAGTGTGTGGGAGATATTGTATTGCACAAATTTGTGTTTAGTCCCTTACACAATTGTATGGGAAAACTTTGCAATATAATCAAAGAGAAATCAAGTGTCATAAAACAAGCCAAGAGTTTAGAGTTTAATAGCACTAACTTATTTTCACACTACAGAATTTCTTCACATCGAAACTTTAATAATTACCCATGTCCATATAGATAAAAATATAATCTGGTTAGAAAACCTAAGGCAAATCTAATAAATATAGCTTAATAAAGAGGTGTAAAAACATGTGTGTGTAAAATGTAAAGTTATTTTAACATTTTTCTAATTGTATTTTTTTAATATTAACAGTAATTATAAGGTATATTGCAGCGTGCTATTAAGATTTATAATAACAATTTGGTTATTTGTTGTGTGTATATATATACAGTACGAAAAATACTTACATATGATGTATTTAAAAAAAATCTATTATTTCAGGCGAATTTAACCCTAAAAGGCCGATGCCGTGCGAGGCGGGCTGCGGTCTAGTTATACCAAAGGACGAACTAGCGGAACACAATTGCGTGCGAGAATTGCGCGCTCTGATCACCACGCAACAAGGCAAGCTCACAGACTTCCAGCAGGAGTTGACTGAACAGAGGCTGGTCATAAATGAGCATAAACGAGAATTGGCGCTACTTAAGGTTTATATTTAACTTTATGTGAATTATTATTATTATCTGGGCTTATAAATATATATAAAAATATTAAGATCAGTAAGATAATTATATGAACCAAGAAGTCGAATTTTGATTAAGAAAAAGGATCTTTAAGGAAAGGTTAAGTCCCATGTTATTTTGTATTATTACAAGCAACTTACCTAATCTAGGTGCTTAACCTTCATCTCAGTCTATGAGTGTACTTGAAGTCTGATTGATGTCTATTTGTAGCAAATCCATTCAGCCATTTTACTATGGAGGAGTACCTAACACGCACACATGCAAATATGCATACAAAAAACTTTCACATGTCTAAATATAATGTCCGATTTACAATTTATTTCAAAACAATATTACAATAGAACATTATACATGAACAGGAGTTCATGCGGGCGATGCGGGTGTCCAATCCAACGATGCGCGCGCTGGCCGACCAGATGGAGCGCGAGGAGGTGGTCCGCTGGGCGGGGTCGCTGGCGCGCGCGCGCGTCACGCGCTGGGGCGGCATGATCTCCACGCCGGATGACGCCCTGCAGGTGGTAATTAGTGACCATTGTTTCTGGTTCATGCGGATGGTGTTTGGTTATTTTTTTATTATTATTATTAATTGCTTTTTCTTGTTGTTGGTTTCGTTTATTAGTGCTGTTTAAATGTAGGTATTTTTATTCGTTGGTTACTGTTTGATTTGTTTTGTTTGTGTGTATTTGCAACATTTTAAAATTTTAAAGTATTTTTATATAATTAATTATTGCTTTTTTTTTAAAGTTCAGTTGTTTGTTGTTATAAAGAATATGTGGTTTAAATCGTTTCTAATTCGGTTATAGATGATGATCAAGCGAAGTTTATCGGAGTCAGGCTGTCCACCGCACATCATAGATGACCTTATGGAAAACTGCCACGAAAGACGGTGGCCCCCTGGTCTATCTTCCTTAGAAACAAGACAAAATAATAGAAGGTAATATCCATATTATGAATTTTCATGCTGCTATAATGTTATTGAGTCTATAACATATTTGTATTGTCTATACACACTATGTCATGTTATGTTATGATCTATATAAAAAATAAGGCAATTATACTTTTTTGTCATCTTGAAGATGGATATAAAATATATCTTAATTAAACTTGAGAAAATCTATTGCTCTATAATATACATTACATCTTAAAAATATTAAACAGGTGATGTTTTTACCTACAGGTTATATGAAAAATATGTGTGTAAGAGAGTTCCAGGAAAACAAGCAGTGCTCGTCTTGCAATGCGATAACACACATGTGGATGAACACATGATGGTGGAACCAGGACTTGTTATGATATTTGCTCACGGTATCGAATAGCATAAAGTTATTTATGTATATAAACTGATTTATTTCAAAATGTGGTTATTTTGTGATTCGTGACAAAACATGTTTTAATATAATACGAGGGAGAAATTACTTATCAAATAACTCTTCGTACAATTTAAACAAAGCGAAAAAACTACAAAAGCTACATATTTTTAAAGAGTAAAAACTGCCATTATGTATTGCTAATAGAAATATCTTACCAATAGTATGCTATTGTATAATAAAATGTAACGAAATGTGAGGTTGTATTGGAGTGATGTGTTGTTTTGAAATGTATAAAAACATTCCTAAAGTACTAGATATAAAGGGGCTTCATTTAATAATATGTTTGAATGTAGTTGACCTTTGTTGAACTAACAGATGTTCAAATGTGAATAGTTGAACATTTAAAATCTTTCAATGTTTACAAAAAGAAAAATGACATTGGAAGTCTTCAAATAAATTTACTGGTCTGAAAGTCTGAATAGTGTATACATAATAAAATAAATATATGCATAAAAAAAGTGTTAAACTTTGGTCTACTATATTAAAATACATTATTTTGTAAGTCTATTTTTTATACTATTCTAGATTAGTAATATTGAGTGCTGTGTTATGTTAGAAAAATATATAATTGCAACGCTCTTTCTTATATTTGCTACTAGAAATCAATTATTTTGCTGTAGAATTAATTTTTATTTTAATGTTAATGACCTATTTGGTATTGTTGTTAAAAATAATAAAAATATGTATGATGTGATATTATTAGAAACTATTTACTCAGTTTCCTTTCTCACTTTTTTAATTGCTAAAATTTAATATATTTTACGTGGATTTACAATAAATTTTTAAGTTGATTGGTTGTCTTTGTTTTATTTTACTGTGAAAATAAATACAAATATTTACCTTTGACATGACTAGTCCTTTATTTGAAAACCCTGCCTGCGGGTGTACATTTTCAGGAAAATGTATGATGATGATGCTCTGACCGATTCCGGCCACGGCGGCCAATCTCATTGAGCCGAGCTAACTGCGCAGGAGATATTATAGTGTACAAGTGTACGCGCAGACACAAGTGTACTCTAGTGTAGTGTCTCTATTCCTGTCACTCTCATACTCCGGTGGGACGACTACTCGACACGACCGGTGAGAGTTAAGGCACAGGATCGACGGCTTTACGTGCTCTCCGAGGCACGGGGGTGAAACACCGCCAACTTCCCAACTCCGGGCTGTTACTGAGGCTTACTATATACATAAAGACTCAATAACTAAACTTGGCTCGACCCGAGACTCGAACCCAGGATCTCCGGGTGTGCAGCCGTACATGCTAGCCACTACACCACCGAGGCAGTAAAATGTATAAAAGATATAATTAAATCTATACATATAATAAAATTCTAACTCAGCCGAATCTGTACATTAAATATTTTTTGGAAAATCTTATTGAATTAGTCATAATTATCAACACAGAGGCACACAGTTTTTAGAATTTTTGTCCGGCTGTCTGTCTGTTACCGCATCATGAGAAAAGCACTGGACAGATTTTGATGAAATTTGGTATGATGATCCGGGTCAACATATAGGATGCTTTTTACCACGGGAAAATGTCTCATTTCTAAGAAAAAATATAAAAGCTGCAATGTAAGAGTATACAAATATGTAAAACCTAAGAATTTGGTTTTTGGTCATCTGAACGCGGGCGGAGTCGCGGGCAATGCTAGTACTAACTAAAGAGGTACTCCAAATTCCAATGTCAAAATCACTGAAAAGTTTTGTTTTTAACACCTCCACGTAAATTTCTAAGAAATTAATTGAATTTCTAAGAAAGCTATTATTAACTGTAACGCCGGCGTGTCGGCGGTCGTGGAGGGATTAATAATTGTGAGGATGACCAGAGGCGGATTTTATTTGTAACTAGCATTGCCTGCGACCACAGAAATCTTAATAATATTACCTTATTATTAAGATTTCTGTGCCTGCGACTCACCATCGCTCCGCTCGGGTTCGTCCCTACTTACGTTTTAAATTTTAATGTTTAGTATAGATTTCTCAAAGATGAGATATTTTCTCGTAGGATACCCGGATAACCAGGCACTAGCTATCATCATAAATTTCATCAGAATCCTTTCAGTTGTTTTTTCGTGATGCGGTCACAAACACAGAGACAATAAAATCTTACAATTATAGATTCGGCCTATGTTTCGATAATAATGTCTATTTAAATAAGATTTTCCAAAAAATATTTAATGTACAGACTTCGGCTTACTTACAATTTTATTATATGTATGGATTACTCAATAATAAGGCAGGTAGTATTAATCTGTGCTTAAAGTCAATGTCTCAAAACGTCAAACGATATTTTGTCTGTCATTCTGTGTTTGCAGTGGTGTTGTTTAAAATCATCAATCCACAATATTTCATTGAAAAGTGATATTGCAAATGATAAAAGATGTCTGAAATGGAAGTGTCTGAGAGCAGTAATGATTGCTCAAACGATTCACGTAAGAATGTGACTAATACTTAAAATTGTGTCACTTAGCTCTGAATATCCTTTTTATTCCTGCCGACTGTTTTTACAGTTCTTCTGGATCGTGTGTTTCTTCGACTTGGAAATGCTAACACGGATGATCAGCTGGAAAGCTGTTTAAATAGATTCTTGCCTCCAGTTATTTTAAAACTATCTTCTCCTCATGAGCAGGTTAGCATACCATATTTGTATTTGAATATATTACCTTAATATAATGTATATTTTTTTAATGTTAATAGTCAATAATTTATGTTTAAGTTATTAGTCTTAACTTTTCATATTATTAATTTTGTTTATCACAAGATAAATTAAATTATGTATAAATAAATTGTAGGCAGTGGTAGCTCAGTGGTAACACACTTGCTTGAAACACCAAGTGAAGCCAGTTCAAATCCTAGGCCTCATGTCTCTGATATTTTCATGTATGAATAATTTTCAACATGATTACCACTGGCCTTACGGTAAAGGAAATGGTGAAATTATGTGGGAAAACCTGCATACCTGAGAGAACCTAGCAAGTTCTCAAAAAATATGTGAAGTCCACCAACCTGCATTTGGCCAGCATGGTGGTTATGGCCTGATCTCCCTCACTTTGAGAGGAGGTCTGTGCTCAGCAGTGGGATGTTAAAAAGAGTTGTATACATACAATTAAATTGTGTTTATAGATACGTACTAAAGTGATGGAGCTATTGATCCATGTGAATAAACGAGTAAAATGTAGAAATGAAGTCCAACTACCTGTTGAAACTCTACTCCAACTTTATAGAGATCCTACATCGAATAGTTTTATTATTGTAAGTATTTTTGTTGTTATTTTAAATACGAAATTGTACCATCCAAATTAGTTATATGAGTAATTATATATTTTGTTTTAGAATTTCTCTATTATTTACATAACTATGGGTTTCCCAAGACTCCCCAGAGAAAAGCAATTGAGTTTGGCCCCTACATTGCTTGAAGCGATTGAGAATAAACCTCCTCAGCATCAGGATGGGTTTGTACTTTTAGGAAAATAAATATTTTTTGCTTAAAGTACTTTTATGCTACATAATATTTATTAATTAAAAACTTCCATTTTAGAATTTTAATGCTGGTTATGCCTTTACTCGGGGATATTAAGGAAACGGACCTTAATTTAAAAGACAAGCCAAAGGCTTCTAACCTGATTTTAAAATTTGCAACTGATGTTCTTTTGTTGCCTTATAGGTAAGAATGTAATAAAAATAATATTTTCTTTCATTTCTATGGAGTATTATATCTGTGAAGTCTCAAATTAAGTTTATAATTGAGGAAATTATTTATACTTTTAGAGCTTTGCCTAATGCTGGTGAAAGTGACTTCCAAGTACCTCCAGGAATGAGTCTTAAATCATATAAGCGCCTTGTGGAAAAAAATCAAATTAATCCTAATCAACTTGAAGAGGTATGAAAACTGAAATAAAATGTATTCAAAATTTGAATTGATAGTAATGAATTTTTTTTTCAGATGAAACTTTCAATAGTGAACTTCATAAGTAAAGATATTTTCAATACAAATGATATTCTGGTTCCGTTAATTGTAGCGGCAGCGGATTCTCGCTTTAGCGTGGCAAATCACGCCAATAGCCCTCTCATTAGAGTAAATAGGTATGTTTTGTTTAGTTACATTGAATTTTTTTTTAACAATGTGTTTGGCACAATTTGTAGTGTACTTGCTATGCCAGCGTTCATGGGTTCGACTCCCTCTGGGGGCATTAATTTTTGTGATGAGCATGAATGTGTGTATTCATGGGTGTTTATATTTATAATATGTATGTATTTAAAGTTATATATGTGTAGTATATCAACTATCTGGTTTCCATAAGTATAACACAAGCCTTGTAGCTTACCATGGAATTAGATGGTGCTCTGTGTTAATGTTTTTATTTAATTTTAAAATAATAATTGATCCTTGAATATATTTCTTTGAGCAAGTGCGCATCATATTTGTAGTTACTTTGTGATTAATTATTAAATCACATAATAACCGTCATAACTTTCGTCATAATTATGTTAGAGAATAAACTAATTAGGTGCCATGTAATAATATTTAAATATTTATGTATGTGTATTTTTTGTTTATCATTTGCAGTTCTGTAGACTGGTCTCTACCATCAGTTTTGGCTCCTTTGTATTCTTTGTACTTAGGTACTTGGGGTGGCATGAAGGTTCCTCCAGATGACCACAAGGTAAAAGTGCTATTTACTAATTATTTACTGTATTATGTGTATATAACAATATTTATTATTTTTGTACATTTTAATGAATTGTAATGTTTTTACAGACACATTAATCATTTTAGTATTAGTTCTAAAATAATATTTTACAATTTTGATGACATTTATTGATGAAAAGTATCTTCTATTAAAATTGAGTTATGAATAAATATTACTGATGCCTTGCCTAATATTATATGTTTAATGCTATCATAATAATAATCTATAATATTAATCTTTTCTTTACATAGTTTATTACAACGTCGCTTCCCGCGTCTGTCTATATCCCTATGTATGCTTAGATCTTCTGAACTACGCAACGGATTTCGATGCGGTTTTTATTATCATTCCGATAATTTTTCTTGGATGGCTTACATGTATTATACATGCATGTTATAATTACAGAAAATATAAAAAAGTGACTGATTCGTAAAAATATAGCATTTTGGTCGCTTTCATTGCTAATGCTGACTAAACTTTACGAGATATATAAAAGTGATGTACGTACTACAAAATTGTGTATTTTAAACATATCTATAAAAAAGTCCGCGGTACCATATTATTTAGGTTTAATATTTTTTTGTGGCTTATACTTTCGAAGTTATTTTGACCAATATAATTTAATCCTTCTTTAAATAAATAAGTTCGTTACGTTGGGCATTTAATGTAGATAAAATTTGCTCTTTACAACAAATCATTATCTATACTAATATTATAAAGAGGTAAAGTTTGTGAGTTTGTGACGTCGGGGGTAATCTCTGGATCTACTGAACCGATTTAGATGAAATTTGGTAAGAAGATAGTCTGAGACCCTGGAAAGGACATAGGATACATTTTATCCGAAAATCATTCCTTAAGGGGGTGAAAATAGGGATGAAAGTTTGTGTGGGATAATCAAGGGACGAACCTTTATGTTATTATCTTGCTTTAATAATAATAATATTTTAATGTTTCTTGTTTAATGTTTCTCATAATACGATGAGGCAAACTGAAAAATGAAATTTAATTCAGGTTCAAAGCCTATATTTTGGATATTATGAAGATAAGCAACTTATCAATAAAATAAAATTTAAATCGTCATGGGGCCAGCAATGGATTGTGTATATTAAAATAAAAGTAAATCTTCTATATAAATAAAATAATGTTTGTATGTTTGACCTCTATACGTTTCTAAACTATTAATCCGATTGTGCTGAAACTTTGGTGGTTATTCTGTATGCGCCTGCGACGGTTAAAAAAAAGAATTTTTATTTGGACGTTTGTTTTTTATGCTTTTTTAAACCATTTACATTTAACGTATGAAGCGAGAGTAACTCGCTCGTTAATATATATTTTTAAACTTTCAGGTGCCAGCATGTACACGACTTCGTTTAAAACTAATACAATATTTGAATAAGGCAACCGGACCAGGTGTTATGTTTCCACATTGTGTTCAAGTAAGTACTTTAAGTTTTTGTATCTACAAATTTGATTCAATTCTGAAATCAAATATCTATTTGATTTCAAAATTGAATCAAATGTATGTGTATAATGAAAAATTTTCGACACAAAAAATAACACACAGATTTGGTTATAAAGGAGTGGTATTTTTTTTTATCTTCAATACCACCTGTGAGGTACCTACTCTCTAATAACCACAAATTATTTATCAATTTTAATTATTTATTATTAATTTTATTGATATATGTTTTATTATTATTAATAAAATTAATATATATTTCTTAATTATTAATGAATTTTAATTAATTATTACTTTACAGGTTGTTTTTTCATCATTATTTGAAGCTAACACAAATTCTCGACTTCGCAATATGGCGCTTATGTTCCTGCTCAATGTGATTAACAAGTTAGTTTTATATTAGGTATTTTTTGATTAAAAAAAACCTCTTTAGACTTTCGAAAAATTATTAAAAATAGTCTATTTACAGTATATAAACAAGCAGATACACTTCACGAGTATATGTACATGTTATTTCAGCGGTGACGAAGCTAAGTTAAAGAGAGTAGCAACCGTATTTCTCCACGGATTACTGAAGCTTATAAGATCTGAAGTACTCGTAGAACATCAGCCTAAGGCCTGTATGTGCTTAGGTAAGTACATTTTCTCCATGACGTACTAAGCTTTCGATGGGTGCTGCTACGGGTGTAGCACCCGTTCGTTTGCGATATGTAAAATCCATTGTTTTCTTTGGCTGCTGTACTTGTACAGAATGATACCCGATTATACAAATTACTGGATGTTTTTCACATTCATTTTAGAGGTTCTATGATGGAGATTTTTTTAAGAGGTGGTGGTACCTATTGATACCTACTATCCATAAGGACCCCGCGTGTTACACATGCTAACTTCGCCATTGCCGTTTGTCATTGTCATATATACAAAACTATTTACAGCGTGTGATTCTGCTTGCAATATTAAATCCGTTTTAAAATTATTCTAAAAATTCAAATTTTCAAATTCTTCTTTAGTTTAGTTGAAAATTTATTTTATTGTTATTTCATAGGTCGGTTAGCAGTAAAGTCTCCGACTACTTTCAACAACCAGTTCGCATTGCTCGAAGAACTCGTCAAGAAGATACCGGAGGCGGTGCCTGAAATGAAAACTGCTTTGAGAGATGCCCTGCTTGAGATGGCTGTGGCGTACAAAATAAATCCTGACGGTTAGTTACTCTTTTCATTCTATTTACAGGTATCTTATATGGATGAAGATTCGTAAAGTTCAAATCCCGGATCGGATGAAGAATTTTTCTTTTATATAGATACCTTTTATTCAAAATGGGTAAATCGATGTTCGCTATACTTATATTATAAAGAGGCAGAGTTTGTTTGTTTGTTTGAACGCGATAATCTCGGGAACTACTAATCCGATCTAAATTTTTTTTTTAATTAAATAGCCCGTTTATTGAGGAAGGCTATAGGCTATATATCATCCCGGAAAAATGTACGGTTCCCGTGGGACAGATTTTTTTTGTCTAGGGATGAACCCGAAGCAAAGCGAGGGTGAGTCGATAGTATATATATATATATCTTATCGTTATACTTTCTTAGTTTTACGTGAATTTTTGACGTTTTAAATAAAACTATCTTTTATTTCTCTCTGTGAGTCTCTTCGGTCACCATGATTAATGTAAAGCATTCGAAACATCGGGAACCAAAAATCAAAATAAATCCGCGAAAAAGTCCGAAAAGATAGTTTTATTTAAAATACATATTAAATACTTAAAATATGCTGTTAATATAAAACTAATCGATATTTTTTTATAGATAATGTAGAACCAATGGATACTTCGGAGGTGGCGGGAACCTCTAAAAGTGATACGATGGACGTGGACGAGAGTGAGAGTAAGAAGTCGAAACCTAGTCCCTTCGATGAACCTCAGGCACTAGCACTCTTTGCTTTGTTAGACCAGTAAGTGCTGTATATATTACGTTGCCATTCCTTTCTTAATTTAATTCATTTTGAAGATATTATATTTAAAAAAATAAAGGCTTCATATATATGAGTTTGGATAAATTGGCATACCAAGTTATATTAACTTTTAAGTATACTAGTGTTCACCCAGTGTTCTAAATTATCACAAGCCATTTTTAACGTCCCACTGCTGGGCACAGGCCCCCGTTTAATACGAGGGGGATCAGGACATAGTCCACCACGCTGGCCAAGTGCGGGATGGCCGAAATCACATGTCTTTTGAAAACTTGCTAGGTTCTCACTTCTCTCAGACATGCAGGTTTCCTCACGATGTTTTCCTTCACCGTAAGACAAGTGGTAATCATGTGGGAAATGATTCCCATATGGAAATATCAGAGGTGCGAGACCCGGGACTCCCAAGCGAGCGCGTGACCACTTGGCTGGTACTGCCTATGCATACATTTACATTGTATTAATATGGTTTATTACAGCTACATGCTCAGCGATGAGCCCATGATACGTTACATCGCCATGAGGTACTCCGCCACCGTCTTTCCTCAAGATTACGTCCCTTCCAGATATCTACTGTTATTGGCCAGTGGAGATAGGTAGGTAGCGAAAGATTTTGTTCGTCGCTCTCAGAATATTGTGGTTTTAAACATAACAAAAGAATTATTGAAATTATAACTATATATATATATATATATATATATATATATATATGTATATATATATATATATATATATATATATATATATATATATATATATATATATTATTTTCGATGACATTTATTTTTTATTTGCATACAATATTTGAAATTAGTAACTATGTAGTAGATAATGACGAATGATGACTGCGACGAACGAGTGAATAATACACGCGTTTCATTCTATTGTGTTTGTATATATACGTATATTGTTATTTTTGTAGTCAAGACGATGTTTCAACTGAGGCATTGAAATGCTTGTATGGAACATCTCGAACGAATGAAATAGAAGACGTAGTTAACAATGTGTCAGTGAAAGAGACAACTACAGTCAGCTTAGACGATGATGCCTCCAAGAGAGACAAGGACAAAATATCGGAAGAACAATTCAAAGCACCCAAGTTTAAAGATATAGTAAATTATGTGTGGGATCAAATGCAAAAGAGGAAGAAAGGGTCGAACGTGAAGCATAGATTTGTTATAAGCAACCAAGTCTTACAGTTTCACCCGCAAACTTATCAAGAAGTGAGTGTTGATAATTGTTTTTGGGAACAAATTGCTAACTTTTTATAAAATAAAATTCCAATAATGCCTCAAAGTAGTCATATTATTATTTATCTGCCTTTTAATATTTTCATTTATTTGTAAGAGCTATGTTTTGAACTATATTAGTCAAGTAAATGTACTTATTACTTAAGTAAAGCGTATTGTATGCGACTTAAATATCAAAATATGCATGAAAATGGCTTAAAGCATTCATTTATGAGAAGCACTAAAAATATTTAAAACTATTTTATTAATTTGAATCGCTAAAATGAGAACTTCAAAAACTACAAAACAATGATTCACTAGGTAAAATATTGTAAATGTAGCGAGAATATGCAAGATCATTAAACCCTTAGGACAAAATATGCGTATGCATTTAATATGTTTATTATCTTTTTGTTTTCAGATACTGAGATATCTAAGAATGTGCCTGAATCGAGACGCAAACCTGAGAGACTGTTCAAACCACCCGAACGCCACATCGCCGATTTTGGCTAAATACTTTTATGATAATCTTCTAGAAACTGAAGCTCTAGACAGATATCTCACTATGATTACGTCGCTTCTTAGCGCTAGTCCGGGTAAGGATTTCATCAATATTGGACTTTTGTTTTAGTAAAAAAAAAACACATTTTATATTCATAATTTTATGACTAACTAGCAACTTACCGTCGTTTGCTCGGATGCGTCCCTAGGTATTTTTTTTTGAGCGGAACCCTAATTCTTTTTCTAAAATAAAAGTAGCCTAATAACATCAGCTATCTGCCAGTGATAATCAGTTTAGCCGTTTCGGAAATTAGCCTTAACAAACAGACAGATGGACAAATAATTGTATTTTTCTTAAAAGTACCGGATATAATTTCATAGGACATTACAAACAGACACTTCAATTTTATTTATTTGTGTAGATTTTATTTTTGCCTATCGATAAATTAGTGAAACATATTTTAACTATATTGATTATTTCAGGTGTTATGCCCTTAACTTGCTTTTTGGATATCGTCGGGTGTGTACCTGAAAAAATGGCTGAGAAATACACAAATCTGCTGCCGTTTTTGAAAAATCTATTCACAACTAGTACTAAGGAGGATATTCGAGAAACTTCTGCAGCAATATACGCCATTATCACCGTTCATACAAGTAATAAGGCGACCATTGATAAGGAAATTAAAGAGTTTGTGTCTCAAACACAAAATAATAAGAACTTAGAGGCACAGTGTGGTTATTTAATAGCATACACGTATTTATGTGAAAGATGCATAGTTTTGTCAAAGAAAGGAAAGTTTGGTGGCAAAGGATTTAGTCCTAGCAACTGGGAGCCTTATAAAGAAGGTGTATTGTGCTTGGGTGAGTCCAAATACAATATTAAATTTTTTTTAGTTGTTTAATAAAAATAAAAAGAATGTAGTTTTTTGTTGTATGTATAGATTTCTTTGGTAGTTATTATTAAATATTTGACCGACGTCAAAAAAGGAAGTACTCATTTCGAGTGACTTTTTTGGTGTATGTAAATCAAATATAATTATTCATGCCAGCCGACAATATTTTAAAATATAAATATCTAATAGATAAATATGATTAGGTATGAACTCTTATATTATAGTTAAAATATTATACATTAATTTGTGATGTATTTTGCGTATCGAAATATGTTAGATTTGCTTTGCATTGCCTGGCACCGACTTCAAAAATATCTATTCTAAATAAAAAACCCCGTTTAGTTCTTTTTTACATTTTAACCAATGAAAGTCGTTTTTTTTAATAGTTTTTATAGTAATTAATTATAGTAGTAATAAATTATAGCATTTAACAATATGTTTCAGCTAATTTACTCTCTTGTCCACAAATACTGTTGAACAGTATATCATGTACTGCGATATCTATACTAGTGCGATGTACCGCCTTGCCTTTGCCGAATATATCGTCAAAGCAAGAATCTCTCGTACAAACAGAAAACCCTTTTAAAATAAATCAAAGTGACAACACAAATGTGGATGATGAGATAACCAAGTTCTCTGTAGCCGATAAATTGTTTAAAATTGTGGGAAATGCGAAAATTCCCTCAAAAGTGAAAGAGAGATCACTCTTTACATTAGGTTTGATGTGTTGCGGTGAAAGATTGTCGTTTGCTAAAGAAATCGTCAAAGGTTTTCTACAAATGGCCAAAGATGTAAGTGTTTTATGTATTTTATATTTATAGAAACTATTTTTCGACATTCGGTCGTAATCGTTATTGAAAATATGAGGAAAACATATATGAATAGCATTTACTTATTATATGTCCAATTTACTTAGTTTCTATAGAAAAAACTTACTATTTAAAAAAAAATTGATAACGCAAAAGCTCGTTAATAACTACTAAACAAAAAAAAGAAAAGAAAATCGTTTTTTTTTTGGAAAAATTTTCTTGGTATTGAACTGTTTTGTTTTTGCCTATTAGTAGGTATATAGATATTATATTTTTCATCTCTTTATATATAAGTAATAATAAGCTTTTGTTATAATTTTAAGAATGTTTCCAGCATTTAATATTATTGTTTTTATTTACAGAGTAAAGAATTTGAAATTCATTTACAAATTGGCGAGTCTCTAGTACTTTGTGTAGAAGGTGTCAATTCCAACGAGAACAGAGATCTGTGGACTGAACTACCTAAAGAGGTTTTTATTTTTATATTTCGATAAATAAAAATATATATATCATCTGTACTAAATTCAATATAAAAAACTGTATCATGCTATTTGTTTATTTAATATTATATTTTTCAACTTTTAATAACTTAGTTATATTATCAATTATAAATAATAAATTATATTCTAAAATACAAATATTAAATGTAAAATTGTTTTTTCTTTTGCTTAGTTTGTAGTCGGTAAAATTTTGTTTAAAATTAAGTCGGCTAAATTGATAACAATAAAAATCGTAAAGTAAATGCTAACTTTTAAACAGGGCAAAGAGAAGGTGAGAGATCTAGAAGCGCTGAAACAAAACGACGAGTTACTGAAGTGGTTGCTGTTAGAATTGTTCAAGATGGGAAAACACCCTCATCCACACTCTAGACAGGTGATTTTAGTTTTGCCTTCGATCAACAATACTACTGGATATCGGGTCGGCGTAAGAAATCCGTCTCGGTAAATATCAGCTCACTTGCAAAGTGAGTGTATATTTCGATTAGTTCTATTGAAACACTGTCAATGTAAACACGCTCACAATGCCGCAATGTGTATTCAAAAGTTGCAAAAATAATGCGTGAAGAAGAAATTTTCAGACGGAATGTCTTATTTTCGGAAAATACATGTAAATTAACCTACGAAATAATATATATAAATATAAAATAATAATATAAAAATGAAATTTTGAACAATTTTGAATCCGCTTAGAATACCAAGAAGCAAACAGAAATAAAACAACGATTTAAGTCACAAAGCAACAATGGGAAAAAGTGCTTTATGTTTTTTGATATAAGGTTAATTTTACAATAAAGATTATAAAACATACGAAATGATCGTAAGTGTATGATGATAATTCGAAGATTTGTGACTTTATTACAAGGTGCTATGGTGTTTATTAGGTTGAAAATAAAACTATTATAAGACTTTGTCTAGGTTCGTTAGTATACAAATGAAGCCGTATAAGTCCATATTCGCGCGGACGGAATTTAGCTTTGATTTTGTATGTGACACGTTATCTAGTAGTATTGTTGATCGAAGAGTTTTGGCTTCACTTACTTATATGGCCAATATAAATGTTTAATTCTTTATACTTTGGCATTCAAAAGGTTACTCAGACAGCTACAAACTGACAGAGTTATTCAGTATATTATTATTAATTGTTAGTTTTTGCTCGCGAGTCAGTACGTGTGATGGGTACGCTGATAATAAGTCTGTGTTAGTCCAGGATATATTCTGATTTTCACTCAAGTGTATTGAGTCTAAGTAACAAATATGCTTACTCAGTCATAAAGTACTTTCTTAGATTTACACGAATATTTGACATTTTGAATAAAAAGAATTTTTCGGTTTTGTTCGCGGATATTTTGATTTTTGGTCCAGTTATAAACTTTCTAATGTGATTTGTTATAATACAATTTCTTTAATTGTAATTATCTTGCAGGCCACAAGTATCTGGTTGTTGGCGCTACTGAAGAATTGTCCGGAGCGAGAGCCCATAAACAACTCGTTGCAACAATTGCAAGATATGTTTATGGATTTCCTTTCTGAGAACAGCGGTAGGATATCTTTAGTAGTATACAAAACGTATTATTATGAACTAGTTTTTATCGGCGGCTCTGCTTGCCTAGTTTATATATTTCCTCCGTTTCTATAGGTCATAGCGTGATGCTGATAGCCTTTGACCTTCCTCAATAAATGATTTAAACAACGCTAAATTGGATTTTTGAAATTGGCTCGGTAGTTCCAGAGTTTAGAAAAGAAAATTAAAAACAAAACCTACAGCTTTATATATTAGTATAGATATGAGTTACACGGCTTGTGTATTTTAATTTTAGTAAACTGTAAATTGATATGAAGTGTTTCCTTTCAGTTTTAACACAAACAATAACTCGGTAAAATAGAAATATAAATTTAATTGTACGTATATAATTACAGATATAGTCCAAGACGTCGCCAGTAAAGGCTTGAGTTTGGTGTATCAGAACTCTGATGAAAATCAAAAGCAAGCCCTCGTCGCGCAGATCATAGAGCAGCTGACCAGCGGCAAGCGCTCCGTCGCGCAGGTCACTGACGATACCAAGATATTTGAGGAGGGACAGTTGGGGAAAGCCCCTACTGGGTGAGGGTTTAATTTATTTATTTACCAAGATGTCTTTCGAAAACTTGCTAACTTCTCTCAGATACGCAGGTTTCGTTCACCGTAAGATAGTGGTAATAATGTTAAAAATGATTCCCACTGGGAAGGCAATGATAGCCCAGCGCGTTACCACTGGGCTACCATTGTGTTGATAAGTAAAACTGACCTCAATTCACTGTCTTGGACTTGGACTCACATTTGTCCACTGTCTAGATGACTTCGTTGGAGAATTATAGATTATTAGACTTTATAATTAACTAATTATTTATTATTTAGCTAAGAAAGTATTATAATTGAATAATTATAATTTATTATATATTTATCAACAAAGCAATTAAAAAAAATATTTTACAGTGAAAAATTTTCAAATTTTTTTTAGAGAGTTGTGTCTTGAATTTATTGGTTGTCAAATGATTATATTAACAGTAAATAGGTATTGTATTAGTGAACTCCGCCCAGTTAATGATTTTCCATTGGATTTTTGCTTTTAGAGGGAATCTCTCCACCTATAAGGAGCTGTGTTCGTTGGCGTCGGATTTGAATCAGCCTGATTTATTATACAAGTTCATGCATTTGGCTCACCATAATTCTCTATGGAATTCTAAGCGAGGTATGTAATTTTTGTATCTTTATTGAATGCTAGTGGAGCATACTTGCGTCACAAGTTATGATATTACTGAAATAACTTATAACTTTTCGATAATGTAGCTTTAAATAGATAGATATAAATTAAATAGATAGATAGAGTTTAGATGTACTTTATTGTACACCACAAAAGAAGAAATAAACAAATACATAGATAATGCACAGGAGGTGGTTTATCGCTATAAGTGATCTCTTCCAGACAACCTTTGGGCGTAGTCGTAATTATATGAAATGGTGTACTTGCTACACAAATAAATATCCTAAATATATATATAAATACATACATATGTGCATAAATAATTACAGCTTATATACAAATAAATTTTATTTATTGTAATTTTTGTGTAGATATAAATTAAGTAACAGTAAACTTAAGTGTAGTATACGATTTTGTCCACGTGTTTAGACTATCAAGTTTACAATCATATGAGATATGTACATGCTATATGAGAGACTTCCCGTCATCGGGCCATTAGACTGGGACAAGGATCATGAACAAAAGTTATTAACTAAACTTGGCCCGCCCCGGGACTCGAACCGGACCGAAGCCAGATCTGCAATCGTACATACTAGTCACTAGACCACCGAGGCAGTTGCATATATACAGTGTGTATATATCCGTCTCTCTCCCCCACTTGCATATATACAGGGGGTGCGTTCCACTAAGCGTTAACAATTATCAGAATATTCTTTCAGCCGTTCCACATGACGACCACGGTCGTTATGGTCGTAGTGAAAACGTTACTAATGACGTCATTAATTTCGCTCACGAAGAGGACGTTGAGGATGCGTTTCACTCGAGTTTTCGATTGTAACGCTCCGAAGCAAGTGGAATGGGAAAAACCGCGGTCGTAGGCGTGATCATTGTGAGCGCTTTGTGGAACGCACCCACAATGCTTATACGTCTCTCTCTCTCCCCCACTTGCACAAACATATCGCCGTCTCCGTCCCGCAGGCGCGGCGTTCGGCTTTCAGTCGATCGCGCTGCAGGCGGGCGCGCAGCTGGGCGCGCACCTGCCGCGCATCGTGCCGCGCCTGTACCGCTACCGCTTCGACCCCACGCCGCGCATACAGAACTCCATGGCGAGCATCTGGCACGCGATCGTGCCCAATACGCAGCAGACTGTGAGTGGGCTCCCATTATATAAATATGTTGGGACATTAACACACAGCACCACCTATGTGGTTCCATGTTAAGCTACGAGGCTTGTGTTATGTATACCAGATAGTTGATACACTACATATATATAACTTTAAATACATACATATAGTTATTATAAATATAAACACCCATGACTGGAGTACAAACATTCATGCTCATCATACAAATAAATGCCTCCAACGGGACTCGAACTCGCGATCGCTGGTACACAGCAAGTAGGGTCACTACAAACCGAGCCAAATGTTTCGTCGAATATATATAGATATATAATAATTAATAATACAAGTGTCACAGTGATACTTTTTGGATTTGTGTGCATTTGATATTTTGAATTAACTTTTTCTTTTGGATTTAATCGCGGTTTTGTTTTGATTTTTTGTTTGTGATGTTTCGAATGCGAGAGACAAGATTTTTGATGTTTCAAAAGATGTAGTTACTACAGACGGCCTATTCACACAAATAACAAATTATAAAATAATATGGAAGATTTTTTTCTTCCATATTATTGTATAATTTGTGTCATTTCTTTTGAAATGGCATCGAAACACAAAAATTCTCTTCAGTGGCCATTTTTGTTGTAAAGGGTAAAATAATTTGCTATAATAATATTTTCTATATAACTATATTTTTTTATATACATATATGTCTAACTGTAGTTTATTAGTAAGTTCTAACCTAAATAAAATTTGTTGTAGGTTCACAAATATCACAAAGAAATCTTAAACGATCTCGTCTCAAACTTAACGTCCAACCAATGGCGCGTGAGGATGTCGTGCTGCAACGCGCTCTCGGATCTATTGCGGTAAGTTTTATTTTGACCGACTTCAAAAAAGGAAGAGCTACTAATTTTGGATGTATGTTGATTTGTATGTTATGCGATTTATTAGTCAATTTTGTAACAAGAATCTTGAAAATACATTTATATTTCTAGAGTATACGTGTAATATCCAAATATATAAAAAAATATATAGGGACTTTGTTTTCAAACCTGTCAAAATATATAAATATTCATTGAAAAAAGGTATTATTTCATGGACAAAAACATTATATATTATGTAAGTAAAGCTTTATTTAAATTCGATGTTACAACTTTAGCTCTAGAAATCATTTAACAAATTCAAACAAAATCAAAATATATTGAAATATATGTTAGGATGTTCGTAATTTAATATGGTATTTGTTTACATAATTTTAACTTTCAAGTGGGGCTCAAAACTTACACCAGTCTCTAGAACATTTGCCGACTATTTGGACGCAACTGTTCCGTGTGATGGACGACGTGCACGAGGGCACGAGGCAGGCAGCCACCAGTACTGCGAATGTACTGTCTAAAGTAAGTATTGACATTATTAATATCAATAATATATCTTATAGAAGATGTGCACGTTGTTAAAAATTATCGATAAAGTAAGATTTAAACCAGGATATGAGCTATCTTCATTTTGAATTACACTAAAATGAATTAAGCGATTATGCATCCTTTATGTGGAAGACGGAGATTACACTCGATTTTTTTAACTGGGATGTGGTGTGTAAAGTATAATTTCAGCTTAATTAAAAAACTTTAAAAGTGCTAAAACGTTGTTCAAATTCATAAAAAGCTAAGTTTGAAATTGGCTTATTAGTGTGTAATTTGCAAGACGAGTATGCGTGAAATGATATTTTAAGAGTAAAAGAGACGTATGGCTTTAAGGAATGGAATAGAATGAAAGATGAAGAGAAGAAAAGAAAAGAAGGATGTTTTGGCATAATGGCGACACAACGATACGCATGAACATTGTGTTTTATAATTTAAATGTAATAAATATTTATTAGTGTGTCAATAATGCTTTTGACCCTACATTAATTTTTTATTTGTAGCTATGTATACAAGCTTCAGACGTCAATCAAGGCAAAGACGGGAAAGAAATAGTGTCCGTCATCTTACCGGTGTTGTTAGACACAGGAATCACAAATCTCGTTAAGGAAGTGAGGAGTGTTAGGTGAGCTGTATATTTTATTAAAGCAATATGTACATAGTGAGGTTTTTCTTTTCTGAGGGCTAAATTTGACAGGTTCCTCTAATATATTATTATATGTATGGTACTTTTTGTGATATAAATGACTCTTTATTTATTATTTATTCTATTGACATTACTACTTTCAATTGGCTCTGACGTGACAGTAGCTCCTGTGTTACTCAGTCATAGTCAATCTGTTTATTAAAGTTAATCTAAATCCCTTTAGCTGTTTCAACGTGAAGATGTCACAAACTCACAAACTAACATTCGCAATAAAAATAGTCGTCTGATAATATTTTTAAAAAAATTTGAAATATAAAATTCATTCCTTTTTAATGGTTTCAAAGTATGCCAATACTAATAATATTTGTTTCCCATTTATGTTTTCATATATAGATGACTAGCATTGCTCGCGGCTCCGCCCGCGTTGAGATGACCAAAAACCAAATTCTTAGTTTTTACAGATTAGTATACTCTTACTAAATATGATGCGGTAACAGACAGACAGACAGAAGAAAATATTAAAAACTATAGATTCGGCCTCTGTATCGATAATAATGTTTATTTCAATAAGGTTTTCCAAAAAATATTTAATGTACGATTCGGTTTAGTTACAATTTTATTATATGTATAGATTAATAATGTCTACTCCGATTATTAACTGCCGTCATAAAAAAGAAGGATGCCTCCTCGTTTTCGAGATATTTAAAGTTTTGTCTTACTACTATGTACGTCAAAATTACTATTAGTTTTGTTTAGCATTTAAGTTATTTTTGATGAAATTGTTAGTTAGGGCCTTCTTTATTGTGATGGCTTTATAAATGTGGTACGCAATTCCAGTCTCCAAACAGTGTCGAAGTTGGTCGGCGCGGCCGGCGGCACCCTGGCGCCGTTCCTGCCGCGGCTGGTGCCGGCGCTGGTGGGCGCGGCGGGCGAGCTGGAGTCCGCGCAGCTGTCCTACCTCAGCACGGCGCTGGCCGACAGCGGCTCGCGCGAGCTGCTGGACGACATGCGCGCCAGCGCCGCCAGGCAGCACTACACCACTGATACTGTTGTTAAGGTGGGTGGTGGGTTATTAGTAAATAGGGTTTTATTTTGTATTGCAGTCTCTATGTAGTTTTGGTGTCGAATATGTTGTATTTAAGGCAATGGTAGCTCGTAGTATAACGCTCGTTTGAAAAATAAATAAATATGTTAGGGAAATTAACACACAGCACCATCTAGTTCCATGGTAAGCTACGAGGCTTGTGTTATGGATACCAGATAGCTGATACACTATACATATATAATTTTAAATACATACATATTATAATTCTCGAAACCGCGACCATTGTCACTGTAAGTATGTAAGCAAGTACTAAAACAAACTCTGTTTTTGAGAAATATTCTCTTCTTTCTGTAAATATGTATTAAAACTAGACATAGATCTCTTTTAGTAAATAATGATGCTAGCTTTATCTTATCGTAATTGATTAAACTACAAAAAAGGGATAGAACTTTAAAAATATTATTCTAAGTCAAAGTAATTCCATTTAGAGTTTAATTAGAGACACAATAATTTAATTAAATTATAAACAATCCATTCCAGTGCATGCCGTATATAAACATCGAGGCGATGAAGGAAATGTTACCGAAAATTCTGGAACTAATGAAATCCCCGCAACTTGGCACTAAGGTCGCGTGCGCACACTTCTTAGTGCTCACGGCTCATTACCTGAGGGCTGACCTCGAACCGGTCGCTGGGAAGTTAATGAGTAACCTGTTGAATGGAATATTCGATAGAAATGCCACTGTTAGGAAAAATTATGCTGAGGCTTTGGGGCAAATTTCTGCGTACGCTAAGGTATGTGTGATTTTTTTTTTCACTATGTTATTTAATATTATAAGTTACTAGCGATTAATCTTACTTCGCTCGTGCATCCTTGATGGGTTAGGAACGTATAAAAGACAAACGTCAAAAGAAAAAAATCTTCTTTTGCGTCCGAAACCTTTGCAAGGGTATACAGAATAACCCACCAGAGTTTCATCACAATCGGATCAATTGTTTAGGTACGCGTAGAGATTATGATAAATATTTTTATTTCTAGTCAGTAAGTCTAATTTTTCTTTTTCTTAATAACTTGTATTTATAGCATAACTCGTTAATAAAGAAACATTAACTAACATTAAAATTTGATATTTTAGCCGCAATCTATTGAGAAGTTAATGAAGAAACTGGTGAATTTGTATGAAACGAAAGAGGACGACGCGTCGCGTTCGGCCATCGCGCTAACTCTCAAGTCCATTGCTAAAGCTAAAATTGAACATATAAAGGATAATGAGGAGATTTTAGCACCCGTAGTGTTCCTTGCGATGCATGCACCTAAAGAAGACGGTAATTGTTTTTTTTGTTATATTTATAAGTAATAAAAAAGTAAACTATATGTAAATATAGTATGTAGGATAGGAAGCTATTTCTATACCAAATTACACTAAAAACCATTGGCTATTCTTCTGATTTGGCCATTCACCAAATAAGGACTAAAAAGTATAAATAAATATATCCCAGGGGAACCGTAAATTTTTCCGGGATAAAAAGTAGCCTATGTCCTATTCCAGACTATAATCTATCTTTGTGTCAAATTTCATTCAGATCCGTTCAGCCGTTCTGGCGTAATTGAGTAACAATCATCCATCTGAACATTTAAACTTTCTAATATGGGTAAGAAATAAGATTATATTAAAAACGATGGCAGGTCGTAAGGCCCTGGGTTCGAATTCGAATCGGGTCTAAATTAGTTGTTAGGTTTTTCTATCAATACTTAGTAAAAGCCCGAACTTGGAAAGTCCCTTCTAATCCCCTAACTAATCGTGTCGATTGTGGTTCCACGTTGGAATGCATTCATACTATAATATGCCCCGCGCAGTTGACAAGCCTCATGGAGGTTGGCCGCCGTAACTGAAATCGAGAAGAGAATTATTATATCCACAACTGTATATTCTAACATTTACATTATCAATACGTTAAGCATCTTTACATATAACTAATTTCTACAAAATGTGATTGTTGTCGGTATATAAATTAAATATATTCATTACATATATTTATGTAAAATTAACAAAAAAAAAAAGAATATTTACATCCCAAAAAATATAGGTTAGAGGTAAATAAAGAAAAATACATATAATAAAATCAAATTTCCGTACTTTTACTAAGTGATGCGTAATGATTTTTCATAGATGGTGTTATTGATATTTTTGAGGGTCTATTATCTTATTAAGAGTTAAATGTATTTTGCTAGAATATTTTACATGTATTTAAAAAAAGAATATTTATAAAGAAACAATATTTTGACATCGTAATTGTCAGAGTCAACAACAGTGGAGATGTTCGAGGAGATCTGGTCGGACATGTCGCCGACGCGCGCGGGCGGCGCGCGCCGGCACCTGCGCGCCATCCGCGCCGCCGCCGACGTCGCGCTCGCCTCCGGCTCCTGGACTAAGAAGATACAGGTTACAATGTTAATTATTTTTACTAGGGACCCACCCTCGCTTCGCTCTGGTTCATACCTAGGTACGTATTAATTTTTTTGAGCGTAACCCTAATTCTTTTTCTAAAATAAAAATAGCCTATATTACTCCCTATAACATCAGTTATCTTCCAGTGAAAATCCCATCAAAATCCGTCCAGCCGTTTCAGAGATTATCCGGATCAAACAGACAGACAGACAAAAATAAAAAAAATGTATTTTTCTTATAAGTACCGTATGTATGTATATAATTTCATGTGCATTTAGTAAAACGCAGAAATTTTGACATTACAAATAGCACTTCAATTTTATTTATCTTTATAGAATATAGATTTGTTACCTTTACTGGACAGTTGTTTTTGGATATTAGTCTATATCCATTTTAACCCCGGCTAAATATTGTCTATAAAAGTATATATCAAAGTAATCGATACCGATAGATATTTGTTCCAAAAACAGCTTGTTGAGCTATCAAAATACAGATATTATACACGATTCTTTTTCGTGCTTCAGTCCCTTTTGTCCACCTCCCTGCCCGGTGATGTTGTAGAGGTTCGGTTTTTTCGCGATTTATATCGTTTTGACGCTTCTAATTCATCATGGAAGAGATCGAAATCCTAAAAAATCCGAAATTTACTTAAAATATCATAATATTTGCGTAAATCTAAGAAAGTGTTATGCGAGACAATAGTGTAGGCTCTATACGTTTTATAAAAAGATTTGCTAATATAGTATTGTTTCCAGGCCGCGAACGCAATCAAAACAGTATGTAAAGAGGTGAGCCCTCTGGGTGAGGAGAGAGAGCCGTTCATCCGCTCCTTGTTGGCGGCGGTTCAAGGGAAAACGTTCGATGGAAAACATCATATTTTAGAAGCTTTGGCAGATTTATGTGTGTCAGTATTTATTGGTGTTGTATATTTTTCCAATTTAGTCTAAACACAATAATGTATTGCTATTAGATTAATGAAATTGGCAGCGTTTTGTGTTATTTTAAAAAGACAAGGAATATTACTATATGCTTTAACAATTTAACAAGTATTATACAATTTACATAAATTAATTTAAAACAACTATTTATCCTATTTACTCGTTATCTATTAATGTATACAGTCTTAATTTTAACTGTATAATTTATTTGAACCCAACAGTACAAAAGGAGAGGACTCCCTCTCCCCCGCGCTGACAACGGAGTGCGTGGACGCGCTGGTGGCGGAGAGCCGCAAGCAGGAGCCGGCGTACAAGCGCCACGCGCTGAGCGCGCTCGCCCGCGCGCTGCCCGCCGCCGAGTGCGACAGGTTCCATCAGTTGTATGAAATCGTTAAGCAGATATTGTCCAAGGTGATAATCTATACTAATATTATAAATGTGAAAGTGTTTGTTTGTTTATCATAAGTTCTTTCACGTCGAAACGGAATGACGGTTTGGAATGAATTTTTGTGTGAAGAGTGAAGAGTTGACATAGGCTACTTTTTGCCGCGGGAGATTATCTCATCCACCACGGGAGATTATCTCATCCACCACGGGAAAAGGCGCTAAAACACAATTCAAACAATTATTTATAATCAGAATTACTTGAAACATGATATTAATGCTCTTCAATACAATTAAATAACGTGCAATACGTGTTTTTTTTTTTTTATTATTTTTAGGTGGTAAAATAGGGGATGAAAGTTTGTATGAAACCTACCTTTTTAGAGCTTTTTTCATAGTTTTAGCGCGAGCGAAGCGGCGGGTCCTGCTAGTATTATATAATTTGTCTAATAAATAATATCCTTAATTTGGCTCATAGCGATAATGACCTTCTGGTTAGTCTCAATATGTCACTTATAATAATAATAGCTTTCTGACCGATTTCAACCACAGCGGCCAATCACATTGAGACTGCGCGGGATATAATATAGTGTACAAGTTTGTGCTAACTAATGTGTGCTAATTCCTGTCACTCTCATACTCCGGTGGGACGACTACTCGACACAACCGGTGAAAGTTAAGGCGCAGGACCGATGGTTTTACATGTTTTTCGAGGCACAGGGCAGGTTGAAACGCCGCTAACTTCCCAACTCTGGGCTACTATGAAGATATTTTATCTTAATAATTAAACTTGACCGTCCCTACGCGAGACGCGAACCCAAGACCTCCGGATCTGCAGCCGTACGTGCTAGTCACAAGGTCACGGAGGCATAGAAGATATTGTAGAGATATTTTTTGCCCAAACCCGCGCTTTCAGATCAGGCGTAGCAGTGACAATTTCAGGTGCTTCACTTCTATTATCTACTTTTCACTATCGTTGGCAATTTGTTGGTAGAAAAACTACTGTCCTTCAACTTCAGCATTAATCTATATAATAATTATGGTACAACTTAACCAAGTGTATATTTAATTAAATATAATATTATAGGATGAATTATCGGTGGGCAAGGACTCTGACGAAGAAGACAATGAGGGTGTTAGACAGAGACGGGAACAGTTGACGGCGTTGAAGGAAGCCGCTTACGATTTGCTCGGCAAAGCGTGGCCTAAAGACCCACACACACAAGGTAATATAATATTCTAATAATATATATTGTATGTTACAACTTTCAATTACGAAGGGCTCAAAACCACGATATAAATAATAAATTGTAGGTTGTTCGTATGTAAAAATCCAAATAAACACTAGAATACATTAATGTAAAAAAAAAAATTAAATAAATTTTTTCTCTTTGTTGGGGCTAGCGCATTTTCTTATATAATTAAACTACTTATTAATCGACTCCAAAAAAAGAAGGTACACACACGAATACGATAGATCTATTAACGAATATAAAACTTAATCAAAATGAAAATGATTTAACCGATACAAAACGAAGTTAAAATACATTTTATATACATATAGCAACATACGTTAGATTTGCTTCATAATTTTGAGTTAATTTCTTTTTACTTTTTTTGTCGACCTCAGTCGATTTCTTTTTTTTATTAATTATTTATATTACCTAACTTATAACAATATATCTATTGCAGAGAAATACCAGGACCTATATTTCGATCACTGTTCCAAAGCGTACCCGACCAGTTCCCGATCGACACAGCTCGCCATACTAGCGTCTGTTTCGTGTGTGGTCGAGAGGCTCGCGGCGTTGAAGGAGATGCCCATGGATACTGACAGTGGGGGAAGGGACTCGGTGGCCATTGTTACTGCCCATGTTGCTGATATTGTGGAGTATACACTTAGTAAGTCTTGAATGAAAAGAGCAACTGTTGAGTTTCTCATCCGATTCTTCTAAGCAGAACTGCATTTCGAGCCGGTGGTAGGTTCCTCACGGACTGACTATGCTGACATTTAATTTAAATTCAAAATGCAAAATTGACGATTCAAAAGTGCTTGTAATTCTATTTGAATAAAGTATATTTTTATTTGATTCGTGTATGTACGTGTGGTATGAGCGAGCGTGTACTCTGCGTTGGTAAACTTAAATTGGCCTATGCACACCACTTTTTTTAAACGTATCGATAATAATGAATTAAACAAAAATGCAGATTAGTTGCGATCGTATTCATAAAATTAAGATAACGCCGCGTTAAAAAGTTATCGTGTACATAAGCACGCCCTTATTTTGTTAAAGTTATTAAATAAGAGATCGAGTATTATATGTTATTTTTTTTTGTAGAAAATAGTAACCAAGTGCGGAATAGAAGAGATGCCCTTAATTTAATGGAAATTTTGATCAAACAACTCAAAGGTTAGTTATTTGTTATCTAACTTCAATAATTAATTTGGATTAAATATGGTTATTCTTAATATATATTTTTTGCTATTGTTTCAGAACTGCAAAAAACAGAGGAACTAAATAAATTAAAAGATATTTATCAGTTATACGCTCAAGATTTATCAAAAGAATCCTCGCATGAGTTGCGGGTAAAAGTAGAAAATATTAAAGTTTACTTCAAGTGAAACCACACCAGTGTTACCATTATTTATACGGAAAACTGATTTGTGTAATATTCTTAATAAATTGACTTTCTAAAAAGTAAGTTTCGATTATTTAAAAAAATATATATTTGTATTTGATTTTGGTGTTTATACATTTAACAAAGTTTAATATAATATATAACCGCACATATATAAACAATCAATATTCTTGTTTTCTTTGAATAGCTAATACTTTTTTACCTGTTGTTACTTTCTTATTACTAGAATATAACACGACTTCTGCTATTAGGCAGGAACTTTTTGCTTTTTGCTGCTTGACAATTCTTTTATTTAAACAATAAATAATAATTTATGTCCATTATGTAAATAATAAATATGTATAAATAATAATGAAAACGTTTTGGCTACTGACCATAAATGGGTAACAAAAAGATGCAAATTAATAATATAAAGTTAAAAAGTAAACCTTTTTAATTATACTCTAAATATAAATATAATATAAAGTCTAAGTAAGGTTCAGGATAATACTCGGACCAGGTGTTTAAACAATAAAGAAATTTCTTTTACTATATATTTAATGCCATTGCGTTAGACAAATGGAATGAAACAACAGATAACAAACATTTAACTGACAGCAAGTATGTCAAAGTGATTAAACTACAAACCGGTGATACACAATGTAGTGTTTAAGAGTTATAATTTAGTCAAAAAAATCTCGAATATTTATAAGTGAAGCAGGGTTGTCATTTTCCATAAGTTTTTCCCCATAATTTTATTCTATGGTCAATATATTAATTCGGTTCATTCATCCTGTATTTTATTTCAAGGGGAGTAAATACTTAGAAGTTATTGTCTTATTTCATGAAGTTATTTGTTTAAAGAGTAATATTTAACTAAATATGTATCGATGCCATTCTAAGGTGTTGTGGATTACTTAGTCTATTTAGAAATCTCAGAATAAGGAATAATATATACGGAGTGTCATACAACGAAATATGAAGTCATACAGAAATGTCAATGTGAGCGTGGTGTAGACACAGATAATGTTGACCAAAGTTTCTCTACAGAAATAATATTTTTAATGAATTTTATAAATGAAATTTTATACTTTTTAAAATTTTTGAATTTACTATTTATTTTCTTAGAATCAAATTGCTTAATTCTTCTCATAGATTGCGGATTATTGATTAAGAAATAAAGAAATTTCTCTTATTATCTGGAGAAAGTAAACAATCTCCATGGCAACATCGGAAACAGTAGCATAAACAGCAAAATCACGATACTATTTTTGACTGTGACATTTATTTCGACGGATTCCGTTTATATAATTCTTTAGTCTAAAGTAGAAATATACTATACTTTTCTATTACTTTAGTAGTGCCATTTATTAACATAATCTCATAAAAAGCTGTCAACGACATATTAATAAATAGAATTTATAAGGTCATATGGCAATACAATAATAACTCAGAACAAAGCTGTATAACAAAAACAACTGACCAAGCAAAACATTTTGTACAAAATAATCACAAAGCCTTAAATTATTATTAAACTATGTTAACACCTAATATTATTATAATATTTCACGTGAAAATTTATCAATAATCAATATTAAATATAATATAATTTATCTAAATAGTATCATACAATGACTTCTATTACTAAGTGACGTGATTGTAAAGATAAATTGATTTTGATTAGAGCTCCGTCTATACTTTTTGAATAATTAAGATTCACACGTTAGTTACAGTGAATGAAGAAACAAATCGTGAGTTCTTGAAAATTTTTAAAAGTGCTAATAAAATAGCGCATTGTATATTTAATACTCTAGTGTCTGCTGCAGAATAAAGTTATATAATTTTTCAAATACATTTAGTGTAGATGTTAAAAAATGACAAAATTATTGGTCTGCTTAAACACGCAGCCCGAAATAATTGACATGGTATATAATTTTGTTGTACAATAACATATACTTTCTCATACAAACCTTGATATGACTTCTCTAGCTATTATATGAGACACTACACCTATCTTTCATCACCAACTAATAAACTCCAAGCAAAATAGCTGTGTCTGGATGACGATATTACAAGGGTTCCGTACTTATTATTTAGCTACCCTAGAAAAGAAACCATCATACAACTACAAACTATGACAAGACAAACCAAATCCACCAACTCTTAACCACAAATAAAATCAACACATCTTCACAAATCACGAACCAGCGTACAAATAATAAACTAGAGTCCAGCGGTCCCCAAATAGTGGTCCGCAGAACCCCCTAGGGTAGGGTTCCGTAGACTGGTCACAGGAGTTCAGAGTTCCGTCCGAGAGTTTAATAAAACGTCAAACATGAAGCCTAATTTTAGTGCTATTATAAATATGTGAAAAATTTCATTCATCACATTAGGGTACGTACCCATATTGCGTCCCCTGTGACTAAGTGTGGAATCTTGCAGAAATGGGAATCGCTGAACTAGACATCATCAAACAGCCCTCTAGGGGGCATGGTCATATTATCGCGCCGCGGGCAGCGCGTCGAAGCTGCGCTAGAACTCCTCATCTCTGCTGGGTGCTTGGTACTCGCGGTCGCTCTACAACTTCTGCGTCCACCAGCACATAAATAATAAACTATGGATGGTAGAGGCAAGGAGAACCATCATAAATGGGAGGGAGACAAGTTGAAAAAGTGTCCATCTGTAAGCTGTAAAGACTGGCGCTAGCGTAGCAAGAGTGTATGATGTGAATTTGGCAATTGTAAACGGAGTGAAGTGTGCTGAGTTATTTGATAGCTATTAAAACATCAAAAATATTCACAGAAAAAAATGTACATTGCTAAAACACTGACTAATAATTATCTATATTCAAAATCCATATTTAAAAGTAAATATAACCGAAAAAACTGTGGTGATATTTTTTGCGAAATTTTAACAATACTTTCGGCTCAAAATATACCCACTTGCTAACGTGGCGCCACCCCAATTTGCCAATTAGACGCTTTTCGACGAACACTTTCATCACAAATAGTTCTCGTACCTCTACCCTCAATACAACAAATATTAAACTAAACATCATCAAACAGCCCTCTAGGGGGCATGGTCATGTCGCGGCGCACGGCGGGCAGCGCGTCGAACTCGTCGTCCCTGGGCGCCGGGTGCGCGCGGTCGCTCACGTAGTAGTCTGCGTCCACGTCGTGCAGGAGCCCGGTGCGGGCTGCAACGTGAGCCACATGCACAATAACTGATATAGTGGTGTTTTAGTTCATTTGTCAACAATGGCGTTAAATGAATAGAAGTACAAGTGTACCATAAGCATATACATCATGGGGATGCCCCCACATGCTGCTTCTTCACATTAAACTTCTAACTAATGTTTAAATGATTCACGTTATAATTTTTATTAATATTTTAAAGTTATCCCTTTTTCGGAGAAAACTTTTAAACAGGCATTTTACTAATTACAAATTTATTTCTTTTAACTTTGCACTCTTTACTTTTTACAACTTTGCACCTCCCTCCAGCACATGTACCCCAAGTATGTAAAATGTAAGGTATAGTAGTGTTACTATAATATTGTACTGCTAATAGTTAATATTTAGTTATATTTTATACAGATACAGAAATAAATTACGCAAATAAAAAAAGAGTAATTTTCAGTAGTTTCAGATGATTTTTTCATGGACAAGTAAAGTCATATGTGATCAAGTACATTAGTGTAAAAAGCAAAGTGGTGTTACCTCCATCTTGGTTGTCTCTCGTGGTGTAGTTGGAGAAGCGCTCGTTGTAGTCGCGTCGGCGCGCTATCGACTCCTCCACGCGTTGGCGTCTGCGCTTCTCTATAATACAATTATTAATTTGATAAAATGAATATAAAAATTATAAAGTTATATTGAAAATTATCTATATAAATAAAAATGAATGTTCGTATGTTTGTCGTCTATGCCTTTTTAACCATTGATTCAATTTAGATGAAACTCTGGTGTATTATTCTATATAAGAAAACTGGGAACGTTTGTCATTTATGCATTCCTAAACCACTGAAGCTTAGAAACGCACCGAGTGAAGCAAGGCTAAGTCGTTAATTGATAATACATTAAATTTTAGAATGTAAACTAGGTAATTGTGGTAACAAGAAGACTCGAATGTTTTTTTTGAACTCTCACATCAACACATTGAATATAATATATTTGCTCCATAAGAAACAGTACATTATCCTTTGACCTTAGGCGCGGCACTATGGCCATATCACTACAAGACACCTTTAAATTAAATCTATTAATCAATATCTTATTATCTATACTAATATTAAAAATGTGAAAGTGTGTTGTTTGTTTATTTGTTTGTCCTTCTTTCACGTCGAAATGGAGTGACGAATTGACGTGATTTTTTGTATGGAGATAGTTGGAGGGCTGGAAAGTGACATAGGCTACTTTTTACCGCGGGAGATTATCTCATTCCCACGGGAAAACACGTTATAATACAATCCAAAAAAAAATATGTATGATCAGAATTACTTGAACCTTGGTATTTTATTAAGAGCTAATGCACTTTAATAAAATTAAATAAATACGTGTTTAAGCATTTTCGAAATTCATCCGATAAGGGGGTAAAATAGGGGATGAAAATTGGTATGAAATCTTTTTAGAATATTTTTGCAGTTTTAGCGCGAGCGAAGCCGCGTGTTCTGCTAGTATATAAATAAACATTAAATTGTCAAAAAAAATCACTTATACATACCACGTTTAATAATTTCCCGTCCTTCATCAACCAGGTCAGTAGTCAGTTCATCGTCTCCTACAAATTGTTGGAATCCACATAACGATAGCAGGCGGCTTCCAAGGGAAAGGTATGTAGCGAGACAGAGCAGTACTACCAGCATGGGGAAGTATATGTTGAAACCCTCCGCTATGATGCCTAACACATCCATGTGTCCCATTATCTGGAAACAGGATAAATATAATTTTAAGGCACTATAGACATGACACGTAGATAAAAATGCTTGTTTTATAAACGCGCTGACGATTTGCTTTGTAAATAATTTCTTTTTCGTAATTTTTTTGTTTTATTCTGATTTTTGTTCCTCAATGGTTTAAAAGTAGGGTAGAAAATGACTACATTCGTCAATTCTTAAATATTTTCAAAGGTGATCAGTTGAAAAAAAAAGACCATTCAAACAAAAAATTTAAATTAATTATTTTAAAAATCTGTGGGCCACCTCATAATGTTGAGTAAAAAATTTTTTTATATTTGAAAAATTTAGTTTTTTTTATAAGCTACAAATTCTACACACCAGATAAGAAAAATAAATTTGTTTTCGCTCCACCCTAATATATATATATATATATAATATATATATATATATATATATATATATATATATATATTAAATCCATATAGGGGCCATCTAAGAATACGTAGTCCATAAACTTATTAGCTACTGTATCTTGAAATCGCTAGTAAAATAGTAAAATTTCGAAAATCTGATTAAACTACTAACTCATTATTTTATTTTTTATTGATTAGGTTTTTTAATTAGAATATATGTTTCGATATTTTAATTTATTGATATTAGGAACATAAATAATAAATATTGAAATGTACAATTCGCTCAAAATTACGCCATCTATTGCATTAAAGACGTTATATTTGATACAAACTTATTACCCATACAATTACTATACAACGGGGAATTACCTGCGTATAATAAGTTTCCATAATCCTCTCCTTAATAACATGCGAGTCCATATGAACTAAGCTGAGGAAGTTCAAGCACATAGCCGGAGTCAACCTGCACACCATCATGCCAGAGAATATCAAACTGTACTCGTTGGTCTGGTGGTGAGGCGCCAGGTAGTACAGGTTGAGAACCCTGATCTTCAGTACTGTTGAGTACGCGCAGTAGAACATGTATGCGATAATGAGGGTTGATATTGACTGGAAATAAGAAAATTTGTTAACACATTATTATCTCGATTTAAAAATAGGTGTTTTGAATAAAAATATTTTTTCGTATTGAATTGCAGTTTTATTTTAGTAACCGAGAGACGGAGCTTTGCTAGACGTTTTTCAGAAAAGATATAAAAATTGGGTTTTTTCAGCAAAGACCTATATAGTTATATACCTAAAAACAAAACCTAATATACTAAAAAAACAAAATCTTATCTAAATACAAAATTTGATCCAAATCGTTAGAGCCGTTTCCGAGATACACGAAATAAATTAATATAATATATACATTATACAAGATAATATATACAAGAGTTGCTTATTTATTATTATAAGATTTTTTGTTCCCGAACTTTCCAATGCAAATATTTACATAAACTAAAAAAGTATTAAGGAAGAGTTAGATTAGTGCGGTTGAACGTTTTACTCTTATGTATTCTACAAATTACACAATATATACTCCAATTATAAACCGATTTTCGTAATTCCTTTTTAACGTTGTAACACGCGAGCGGAACTGCGTTGCTTTTTAAATACAGTTTTACAATCAATATTATAATAATTATTGAAGGCTTTATTTAAAAGGAACATTACCTACCTGATATTTATTTTTTATAAAAAAAAAAGTTATTGGGCTTACCACAATAGCAGCATAATTATAGGTATCTCTTGCCGAGTTCACTATCATTGCAAATATTGATAGCACGGGCTTCTTACAGAAGAACGTCACTTCAGACCACACGACGGCCACCGACAGTATGCACGTTACTACCGCCATTGTCTTCAGGAAATACTGTTTGATAAAGCATTCCCAGTACCATTCTGTAATAAATTTATTACATATAATTCTTGTTACAAATACATATGTTACTGTAAAATCTCAACATTTGACAATACTTAAAATTTCCTTCAAAATGTTATCTTACCAAGTTTAATGGTAAAAATATAGATTGGATTAGATTCTGACCTTCTACTAGCATTAACTGTGCAAATCTCAATTTTTTAACTTATAATTAATAAAAAAAACCTAAATATGCTATCTAATATTCTAATATATAAAGCAGCTTACCAACAATAGGAGGATAAAATAGACGTTGAAACCTCGGCCTTGGAGTATGGAATGTGTGCTGAAACCTATGGTCAGGCGAGCGAGAGTTTGCTGCGATATCTTCTAAATGAAATATGCGTTCCAACATCAAACCCCATTGAGTTTCTGTTCTTTGTAACACATGTAGTGCCTTGATGGTCTGTTGCAATTAAAATATAAATAAAGCTCAAAATTATTAGTATGATATTTAATCTTTAAGTTTTATACATTTTCCTCACAAAATGATTGATGAATAAGAACTATCACATAATATGTATGTATCTTTTGAAGTATGTGATATGTAGTACATTATATACTTTTAATAATTCAGTTTTTTTTAAACACAATTTATAACAAAAACATTTTTGGATTTGTTGAGATTTCATAAAAAATATATGAAAAATGGATAGATGGATGGATGTTTGTTACTCTTTCACACCAGAACGGCTTTTGGAATAGCACATAGGTTACTTTTTATCCTAGAAAAATACATGGTTCTTGTGGGATAGATTTCTTTTTGTCTAGGGACGGATCCAAAGGGAAGCAAAGGTGAGTCTCTAGTAAATGATAATATTTTATGATATTAGATGAGTAACATACCTTCTTATGTAAATTGACAAGTGACTTAAATGAGGGTGGTGAGGGCCTTTCAGGTGGCGCTCTTGAATTTAATTTATCCCGCAGTTGTATTGGGAGCTTTTGGACAATTGTTTCTACATGTCTGTATAAAGGATGTCCAGGACCAACTGCTGCAGTAACCGAATTTAAGCTCTGGAGTCACATAAACAGGGGTTGTTTTTGAATAAATTATTAATGTAAATACATTAAAAGTAACTGTCAAGTTTAACACTGATAAATATAAAATATATAAATAAGTACCTATTATATAGTATAATTTAACAAATATAATTTAACAAATATCAATACATTCAAAATAACTTTAAAAAACAGTAATTAACACAGCAATCAATTATAACAATGTTCCCAAATACTAAAAACAAAATAAATATTCACCTCTAATATTTCATCCATTGTTTCTTCTGCTTCACATTTGTCAGTACTCAATTTAGCTACTTTAAAGTAACTATAATTTAAAGTGTAATTTTTCTTAGAATTGTTCCACAAGTTCCTTGGTACTTCAACAAGAGCATAGCCCAGAAGTAATATTAAAAGAAACAAGCCCCAAGTGTTACTCGCTGATGATGCTATGGCTTTGATTTTAGGACCATCTAAATATACTCCTGGCTTTAATGCTATGTATATAAGTAGGATACCGCAAATTAATAAATATGAGCCATAGTAAATAGCATTGTCAACCAATGCAGATTTTAGTTTTCCCTTCACTGTAAAGTCTCCAGCTTTACTATATGATTGCATCATCGGCATTATAAGCCTGAAAAATAATTATGATTATTACTTAAATGTTGAAAATATTATAATATTCTAATTTCTATTTAAGTTTTAAAATAATTATAGTATACTCTGAAATCAAGCTTTTACCTAAGTTAAAGTATAGTTGAGTAGTAAATTGTATTTTCTTACCATGTCAAGCACTGTGACGTCCAATATACAACCCTCCAGAGATTAGGAAAGACACTATCTGGTACATAACTCCATGGCTTTTGACACAGATTGGTTGGTGGAGCTGCTGTTGTAGCATTTGTTGGATGAGGCCCAGGTGTAACAATATGAGTTGCATTATCTAGACATTGTCTATAGACAGTCTAGAAACAAAAGATACAAAAATAAAAATCAACATACTAAAAAACATTACATACGCCTATATAAATTTAACAAATTACAGCAAGTGTAGGAGTAGGAGAGGTATGGAGCAGTAGTAGAAGCATAAACTATGCAATAAATATAATTTTATCTTATTTTCTATAAAGTAAAAGAACTCAATACTCACTGAAGAAACATCCAATGGTAAAATGAACATAATAACAAATGAGAAGTACCATGCTGTTAAGACAGACACTGTAACCAATATGTGATTTCGGTAGCAGTCGCCATATCGGTATAAAAGAGTGGCGGCTAGTATAAACGCCGATATTATTTCTATTACAAATAATGTATAAACCATTTTTAAGTTATATATTAATAATTACTTATAAAACAAAACTGTATGTTAATTCTTTTTCGCCGTTTTTTGTTTTTCTTTCCACACTTGTACAGCTTCGCGTTGTAATTGTTCAAAACGAACTTGAGTCGGAGATTTTAATGGTAGTATTATAGGCTTTTCAATTTCGTACTCCGATGGGCATTCTTCATAAAATAAAATACCTTTGTCTGGCAAAATTGGATCAAACTCAATAATCTTTTCTGCTTCGGATACCACTTTAGACATTTTAAGTATAATGAATAACCTGTTTTGACATTTTTGTATCCTTATTGTAATAAATTATATCTTTAGAATATATTTTATTAGGTTAATATAATAATTATAAAGAAGCAATAAATTTAATCACTTTTCTAAACAACTCAATGTACTTTTATAGATTACAGTTCACAAAACAATGATTATGATGACAAATGACAGCTATGACAACGTCGTAGAATTTTGTGATGTCAAAATGTCTATTGATGTATAGAGAAATATCGTTTAAAAATAATGTGTTGAAATAAAACAAATTAATTAATATGCCTTACTTTAATAAAAACTAAATGAGGAATCTATAGCAAAGTATACTGGATATTACATTTCGAAATATTTTAGCAGCTAAATTTGACGGTCGGTGACCATTTTGGCACGTCATGGTTAAACTTAATAAGACTAATTTAGTATTTTAATTTATAATCGCATTAGTTTGATAAATATTATGCTGTCATGATTCTTTTGATATTCAAAACTCCATGTTTTATTGATAAATATTAACATTGTTTCTTGTCATAGTTTTTATGTTTATTTTTCTTCATATGAGCTACTAAAGGGATTAACAGTAAACACAACGGACGTTCCGTTGGTATCTTTTTTGACTCTATTATTAAACGGAGGCTTATATTCTTATGCATAACTTAATTTTTGATTCATAAGTTTAAAAGCTTCTCTTCACAAAAAAAGCTTCTAAATACCTAAATTGATATTTTTAAATTATTATAACAGAGGAGTAGGTATAACATGGTTGTATCTGTGTAGGTACCTACTGTTGGTTGCTTTTCCACAAACTGTGATGTGCAATTGTGCATTGGAAATCTAGCACATGACAAGATATTAATAAAAGATACTTCTTAAATGATACATTACCTACATTTAAGAAATACTTGAAGAGTGTTTATTACAAAAGTAAACTAAGAAAATATAACTTTTCTATTGACAAAAAATAAAATTGGAAAGGATGTAACTATAAAAACAAAAAATCGAAAATAAAAAATAGTCGTATGTTTCTTTAAATTTTTTTACTGGCCTTGTTACAATAAATAAAACACGAATGCATAAAAGCTAACTACAAAAAAGATGAAAACAAGTAGACGAAGGAATAGGTATAGTATTATGCAGTCAGTCAGTTTTAAACATACAAATTGTATATAGTTTTGTGATCACCTCATATAAAGTTTTATTTTGATAAAGATATTGGTTTGGAATAAAACCTTTAAAAAACCGACTTCCAGGCACTAAAATGTAAAAAATAACTAAACGAGGGTTTTCATTTAGAATAGATACCTGATCAGATATTTTCGAAGTCGGTGCCAGCCGATGCAAAGGAAATCTAATATATTTCGATACGTAAAATACATCACAAATTAAGGTATATTTTAACTATAATTACTATTCATACCTAATCATATTTACCTATTAGGTATTCATATCTTAAAATATTCTCGGCAAGGAATATCTTGAAGTTTTTTTAGTGACTTCCTACAATACATACAAAGACTGATAAACACATTACCCTCCTTTGCGTCGCGCAGTCGGGTAAAAATACCTACCTATACTGTCTATCCTACTTTAATAAAAATATTTACCCATTACAAAATTAATTGTAATTTATATGAATAAGGATGAAACTGGATGTAGTGGACCTATTACATCAAGTTTCAGTACCTTTAAACTCAAAAAAGTCAAAATAGCAGCTCAAAATCGCCTAAATTATATAAGAATGTATAGTAAGTATTATTGAAATTTTCATCACGTTTTGAAATACGTATAATATTATTTGCTATTAAAAACTACATCCATATAACATAAAAAAATAAAGTTTGATTTCATTCTTTGGCAAAGTTTATTATAGGAAAATTCTTCAATTGATTATATTGGAGGACTTTGACCTATGATATTATAGTCTAAAATTCTTAATTGTATCTATATTATAAAGTTTACGTACAAGCTATTTTCAAAATTAGGTACAATTTAATTTTTTAAATATTTTTTTACTGTAAACATGTTACAATTTATACATACAATAATCGTATGCATATCATAATTTAATTTTACTCACATTGATCACATTGCTTAGCAATGTTCGATTTAACGCTAATTTCTGAATTAAATTGGCAGTTTTATTGTACCCAGCAGTTTAATAAAGCTGGACAGTTTAAGCGGAATCGTTTTGGTGATTTATAAATGTTAGTTACAAATGACTAGCGAGTTTTAGTTATTTAATCAAATGTACCTACCTACTAATAGATTGTTATTTTAAACAGGCTGGCTATTGTTAAAATCGTGCCTTAAACGTAGCTTTAAAGTAAGAGTTAACACCATATAATTTATTGACTCTAAAGCTAGAAAATATTTCGTCTATGAGGCCTTTAAGAATCAAATGAAATAAAAACGTTTTTAAGTTATTATTTAATCCGTCAATCCGGCATGAACTACTCGTAAGTATGTATTTAGTTATGTAATATACGAATGGCCGCCCTTTTTCATTTTTGTTTAATGTTGGGAAATGTATATCACCTGTATATATACAGGTGGACGCGTCGACTAGAAAAGCCTTTTTTTTTTATGTTGGGAAATGCATTTACGCATACCACCCGATCCCCCAGGTGGTGATGTGGGGCTCACCGACTAGAAGAGCCGGTACTACCCACTAAAACCCGACATTCCCCTCCCCTCCGCCTTAATGGGACGCCGCAGGATCGCTTGCGCATAACTACTACGGCGCCCCGGCGGCAGGTCTGCCTAAACGCTAGGCAGACCACCAAACCAATGGGGCTGCTCCACCGTTAACTCTGCTACGCCAGAGAGGTACCCGGAGCAGCCCCATTAAACCTAACCACCGCCCACCGAAGTGGGTCACCTCCAATCGGCTGCAGAGGACAGGGAGAGCGGCAACGAAACACCGACACTCCTCTTCCCCTGCAGCCCCACCGCGTCTGCCATCAAACGATGGCGGCCCCGTCTAGGCCGCGGAAGGTAGGGAGAACGGCGCACCGAAATACCGGCACTCCTCTCCCGCCGCGGCCTACCCCTCCGCCGGATGCGGGCCTGCGATCACAGTCCCGCAACCGGCACCCATCATCCGGTTGTGGGACCAAGCCACCACCGGTGGCCGCAACGTCTTCGGCTCGAGTCGACTAGAAAAGCCTACCCAGACAGAACCATGACGTGTATTGAACATAAAAATTCCGGACAAGTGCGAATCGGACTCGCCCACCGAGAGTTAATCTGTTTAACTTTAATTTTCAACTTTTTTATTATTTGGTATTTTTCCTTTATTTGTGCTATAAGACCTTGCTTTTTGCCAAATTTCGTAATTCTAGGTCAACGGGAACTACCATAAAGGTTTTCGATCCAAAACCTATAGGGTACTTACGGTTGACCTAGAATCGTCAATTCTTACTGAAAAAGTCGAAAATTAAGGTAATTTTTGTACTCACAAGTTTTCGCTAAAATCTAAATTTGCCCATATCTTTTTATCGTGTTGACTATAGGCCTCAGTATCTGGTATAAATTTCAACTTGCTAGGTCTAACCGCTCCTGAGAAAATCGGTGGTGACATACGGACAGACAGACACACGGAAAGACGGACAAGAGAGTGATCTTATAGGGGTTCCTTTTTTACCTTTCGAGATACGGAACCTTAAAAACGTCGCCATAGACGTTTGTAAGATGTTTTAAGTACGTATACTGAAGAGCTAAATGTCTAGCTGATATTTAGATGTTAATGTACCCCCACCACCACCACCACGAAATGAACACACGTCGCACACATTACACATTTTAAATATTTAATTTAGCAATTTATGTACATATTTCCTTGTAAGTATGTAAGTTAAGAACATGTTTAATATTTTTTTTCTTAGTGAGGATATCATGACAGGGATAACAAAGGCAACCTTCGTCAAACCTTGTTATCTGCCGCATCGAATTTCGATTTTTCTTTTACGGTTAGAGATGATTGAAATTTGAAATAAATCAAGCCTATAATACATTATGAGGTTATTCAATGAGAAAATAAAATGAAACGCTCCCGAAAATATACGATACATCGAATTATTATAAAACATTTTCAAATAAACATAAGTAAAATATCGTGAAATATTTTTTATACCTTTATTTCCAAGCAATTATTAGGTAATATACAGTAAACAGTATATTAGGTATATGCGTAATATTTTTTTAATTTTTTAAAATTATTTTAAAGTAGGTATTTAATAGTAAATTTAAAAGTACCTACCCACGTATAATAAAGTACCTATTATTTGCCCTCACTTTACTCAAACCTTAATAGCTATATCCCGCGTGTTGAAATTTCTAATTAATCAATCATTTGATATATTCCAGACTAGCATTATTTGTTAAAAAATAATATGAAACGAACTTATTTTTACGGTCGATAGAATGAGTATATTGTGGAAACGTTAATATTATTCGTATTTATTTTAGTGTTCACTTAGCAAAATACGTAAGTAAGAAAAACAACACAGTATTTTGCCAAACGAAACCTATAATACGCGAGTTGGACTTGCATTTGGCCAATTTTTCTCACGGCCTCGCGTTCCCTCTCCGCCGTCTCCTTCAGTGAGATGACGGTCTCACTAAAGGAGACCATCGCCGACCAGGACCTCGCGTCACGTAGCATGGCCCCCACCACGCTTCGCAACGAAAGGTCTCCACCAACTACCGCCATCAGGGCATTGCGCTGGGGAGTCCGAGCGGCGCATACCACGAGGGTGTGGTGCGAGGGTCGGATGCACCACACTCGTGGCATACGGGCAACGGTTCCCGACGCGCAAACTGACACAGATACCTACCAAAGCACCCGTGCCCGGTAAGCATCTGCGTCAGCCTGAACGTCAGGATCCCGTGTGGCCTCCTGACCCAGCGAGACAGGTACGGACGAACCGCACCCACCGTCGCCAGGCCAGCCGCCGGAGTCCCCAGGTCTTCCCACCAGCACCGGATCA